GCCCCCCGCCGCAACGGCGGGCGCCGGCGTCAAGGAAATGCGAGGACGTGGAGAAGGGAGGAGCAGGAGGGAGGCGAGTGAGGCGACTTTGGGCGACCCTGTAGGGAGGCTTGAAGAGGCAGCACTCCCTATGTAGTATATCCTGGCAGTCGCGGCTAGCTTTCGGCGGCCTGAGGAGAAGAGGGACGGGAGCAAGAGAGAGGACAGCGCAACAGCGCCCTTCCCGGCAGCAAGGCGACGGAGACTGTCCGGTGGAAGCCCAACTCTGCATGAATGCAACGCCCGCAAGGCGCCCAAGGACGTGGAGAAGCGGACGGAACTCGACGTAACCGCAAAAGTGGCTTCTTGGAGGCGGGACGAGGATATCGTCGCCTTACATCGCCACCTTCAGCGCTACCGTACTTGTGACCAGTCTATCCAGCACCTGCGACGCCTCTTGTGACCCTGGTTTTAAGTTCCTGACGGCCAAGTCCTGGGTGAGCTTGTAAACCTGCTCGATGAAGCGCGAAAAGTCAGCTCTCCCACGCAAGCGGTCCTGGCGGGCAACGCACCTTCCTCAACGCCTTCTCGTCCGTCCCGCCGTCAGGTAATCGACCCAGCTCGTCCAGGCTCCGCAACTCGCCCTCAACTATCGCCTCCATTCTTCGCAGGACCTCTCCGTTCGCCTGTCTCGCTTCGTCTTCTTCTGATAGCAGCGGCGCGATGTGTACGAGAGCGAGGTGAGACGTGGAAGGCGACAGGCCAAAGTGTTTGAGCGAGTCGGAGATCTGCGAAGAGGAGGATCAGTTGGTGAAGAAGGTGAGGAAGGGCAGGAGACACGAGAACGCACGTTGTTGCCCGGCTCTAGCATCCACAATACTTCCGAATGCAGCGTCTTCGTCTTCAATGCACCGTCTGCTCGAGCGAGAACAGCCTGCTGGACTGCCGTGAGGAGGTGAAGTCGAGAGGTGAGCTGGCGTGGACAGGGAGGTCAGCCTGGCTTCTCCGCACGTCTGAGCCTTACAGGAGATGTACTGACCATCTTGGCATCCACGAAAGCAAAGTCCACCGCCGCCCTCTCCCGCTCTCCCTCCTCATCAGCTGGAAGTTGCGATGCAGCGACGAGCCGGTGACGGAGTTGTGCGGCGTTGCGGACAGACCAGACGGCAATGTGGACAGTCTGGCCAGCGTGTGGCAGCGGGTAAGACTCCATAATAGCGAGGACGAACGAGTGTGAGGAGGAGAAGCGGAGCGAGGCAGTGCAAGCGTGCAAGAACCCTCTCAAGCCTGTGTGCTCGTCTCTGAACGTCGAAGAGCGACAAGCAAGCTCTTCAAAAACGATCACCTCAAGCAAATCGCCTACGCCTCCTCCTTGACACTCCCCCTCCTGGCCTTCTTCTCCAAACTCCGCATCTCCCTTTCAAACTCGTCATCGTCGTCCTCCGCATAACTCTTGACTCGGCTCTTGGCGCGCGAGGAGCCTCGCCTGCCGCCCCCGAGGGCGCGGTAGGCTGGTTCGGGGGATCCGGCGAGCGAGGAAGGGCCGGGCGAGGGAGAGGCGCCGGCGGGTGTGGAGATGGCGGTTGAGGACTTGGAGCGCGCTCCGCCTGCATCAGAAGGTCTGTCAGATGTACTTTGCCTTGGCTGTAACAGGAAACAAGCAAGAGTGAAGACTCGAAAGACTGGGGCGCACATCGCTTGACAGGCGCCGCCTTCCCCGCCGACCCAACCTTCGCCTTCTTCTGCCCCAACGCCTCCTTCGGCGTGCCGCCCCTCTTCGTTCCCGCGAGCCCAGCCGCACCAGGCGTACCGAGGTTACTGCCTGTGCGCGAGAGGGCTGCGGAGTCTTCTTCGGGCGGTGGGGAAGCTTGGAGCGCGGGTGAGGGGGCGATGGAGTGCGTGGGCGGGATGTAGAGGATGTGAGTGCGGTGAGGAACGGCGTTGATCTGCGCTCAAGAATCGAGAAGGGTTAGGTTCCGCTCCGCCAGCTCGCCGTAGCCGAGCATGCGACTCGACGTGAACGCACCATCTGCCTCCACCAATCCTCGAGCTTGCTATCCTTCGGCCGTCCATTCCTCGAAGCGCGGAACAAGCAGTCCCTCGCGTAGTCCGTGCAATGCTCGACGACGACATCCACCGGCACCGGCGCCTCAAAGTCCGTCACGGGCTGATACATCGCCCTGTGCTTGCCCTTGGCCGAGTGAGGCGGGAATCGCTCGGCGGGGAAGATGAAGAAGGAGAGGAGGACGTCTTGACGCCCTGGAATGGCGGGCATGCCGGGCGGTGGAGGGAGAGCCGTGTAGAGGTAGTGCGCCGGGATGAGGTACTGCTCGCCCGGGACCTCGTGGAACTCGACGACGAGACTTGGGTGCGCGGGTGCGGGAGGAGAGCCGTTCGAGTTGCCTGCTGCTGGTTGGGCGGGTGCAGCTGCAGCAGCGGTCGCCGCCTCGTCCTCCTGCCTCAGCTGCTCGATCAACCTCGCGAGTCCGCTCAACTCGTCCGACGAAGCCTGTCCCGAAGCCGCCTTGCGCAAGATGTCCGCCAGTGCCGGGTCCGTCTGCGACGCAGCGTTCAGGCGGGCGATGAGCGCAGGCGTGATCGCAGCCGGGTTGAGCGTCGCCTGCTGCATCGTCGGAGTTGACGCAGACGACGGTGACCAGTCGCAGAGGTACAGCTTGGTCTCGAAGAAGGCGTGCGGGCCGACCGAGACGGTCGAGGTTGCGAAGTGCTTGAGCGAGTGAGGGGTCTGCGACGGTGAAGGGGACTGGGCACGCCCAGTCGCGCTGCGGAAGAGGGTGAAGGTGTCGCGGAGGAGGGTTTGGCGGCTTTGGTGGAGCGAGTCGACAATCGAGAGGGCTGGAGGGGGAGGAGGGAGTGGAAGGGTATACGGCGGCGCAGCCATCATCTGCGGCTGGTCAAGGGCATCAGAACTGTCTCCTGGACGTCTCCAAAGTGCCTGCTAGCCTCGCGAGCGCTTCTTGCATCCCCGAGTCCACCTCCTCCCTTGGACTGATGAGGAACTGGCGGCGCCGCAACAGCACGGTGGACCGTCAAAGTGCGCAAGTAGGTCCTCTATAATCTGCCTGGAGCCCTGAAGTCCTCGCCAGACCCCCGCTGCCCCTGCACCATCGTCCAGCCCGCCCTCGACGTCCCCGTCCTCCTCGTGCGGGTTTAGCACGCCCCCGCGCTCTGTTCATCGCCGTTCAAAGCCAGCCATAAATCGTAGACCCACCGGCTGAGCCATCGCAGTCACACAGTTCTCCAGCTGCGAGTCTGAGCGAGTCGAAGCGAGTGGGAGAGCGAGAGAACCAATCTTCGCACGTGCAGCGAATTGCCCGTTGCGACGCCTCGCAACCATCGTCTGTTTCCCTCCCTCCCACTCTCCCTCTGAGCTTGCCACCTGCATTGAACTGTCTGCAATGGCTGCAGGCGACTGGGCAAAGGTCGGGCTAGGCGTGCGTCCAACTCCCGCGTCCTCGCGTGCCCTCGTCGCTGACGTCCTCCTCGCCACACGACATCGCAGTTCGCACCCTCGCCCGCATCGTCCTCCTCGTCCCGCACAGCCTCGAAACCATCGCAGAGCAAAGCAGCGACGCGCCGACCCCCGCCAGCCAGCGCTGCACGCGCGAGCCAGCGGCGCCTGCTCCCTCTCTCCAAGGCTGCACTCGTCACGCCTCGCGACTCTCCTGCTTCGACTTCCAGCCAGTCTAGATCGAAGCAGTCTAAGCTGATTTTTGGTGGAAGCGCGGCGAGCGGGAGTCGGAGGAAGGCGCTTGCGGAGAAGGGTACCAACGGGGCGGACGAGTCGCTCAGCGGGCGTGCGAAGGGGAAGGGCAAGGCTCGCGCTCGAGACGACGACGACGGAGATGAGGATGAAGAGGACATGCAGGAGAGGGAGAAGGAAGAGAAGCCCGGTTTCCTCCGCCGCTTCATCTTCGGCGCCGGACGAACCAAATCCACTCCTGCCGCCGCCTCCCGCTCAACTCCTTCTCTCGGCCGCACCATCCTCCGACCATCTCAGCCTCGCCACGGCACAACAATCGAGTTCGACCATTCACAGCCTGCCGACCAGTCGTGGGAAGACGAGTTGGCCGGCGAGGAGGACAGGCGGAAGAGGCGGAGGACGGAGGAGAAGGCGCGGTGGGGAGGGCTGGAGATGTGCGATGAGGAGGTGCATGGTGGGTTTGGGATGGGTTCGCAAGGCGGCGAGGTGGTCGGCAGTACGAGCGGGAGGAGGAGCGGCCGCCGGCTCGAGGCGGACGTAGGCAGCGGATCTTCCTCGGCGCGCAGGACGCGGCGTACAAGCGAGCAGTACGAACAAGACGTCACGCTTGCCGTCGACGACGAGGCAGAGTCGTCAGCCGAACCCTCGACACTTGACTCGTCCGCCTCTCCCGCCGACCTCGACACTCGCGCACCCTCCGCCCCGCTCTACTCGACCGTTCGCTCCCACGCCCGTGGCGTATCTGTCGAAGCATCTCCCTCGACTGCCTCATCGACCTCGAGCACGGCCGATACCCTCCAAGCGCAACTCGTTCCTCACGCGCCGGTGAAGCGCAAGCCGATCGTCCTCGTTCCGGACTCAGACCCACCTAGTGGTGCTGAAGACCATGATGAGCTTTCCGAGAACGAGGCGGAGGAAGACGAGCGGGAGCTGGACGAGCTGGTCGAGAGATTGGGAGGGAAGGGCGCAGCAGTGGACGACTCCGGCTTTGCGGAGGGCGAGCAGTTCGGCCAAGAGGACGACCAGATGGTCAATCTGCAGGCGGACGAGGAGGAGAAGCCGGCTGCGACGATGCTCGCCGCCATCGACTTAACCACCGCCTCGTCCTCGCCAATCCCCGTTCGTCGCCCCTCCGCTCGCGCGTCTTCATCGGACAACTCATCGACCTCGCCGTCGAGCGAAGACGACGTCAAGCCATTTGGCGTTGGTTCGAGAAGCAACTCGAGCGCTGGAGCGACAGGCAAACCGCTTGGCCCTTCCGACTCGGCCTTACTCATGCCGCCTCCCGTCGCGCGCTTCAAGCGTCTCAGACGAGGCGCGCCTTCGTCACGCGAGTCTCAGAACGGATCGGACTCGCCGGAGCAGGAGTCGCAAATCAAGCCGTCGAAGAAGCGTCCTCGCGTCTTGGTCGAAGAGACGCAACCTGGCTTCGAGTACCCCCGGTCGACGACCGTCACCCACGAGTCTCTCCCGCTTGACAACCTCTGCGAAGACACGCAGTACCCCGACTACGCCCCGCTGCCCCTTCCACACCCCGACGCCGACTTCTCCCCCGCCAAACTCGACCTCGAAACTCCCCTTCCGCTCCCAACTCCTCGGCACCTCTCTTCGCCCATCCGGCCACTCACGACGCCCGGCGCATCGTCGTGGAAAGACCGTGTCGATGTCGCTTGGGTCGGTGCGCGCCCGCTTTCCCCGAGCGCACCGCGCCAGTCCAGGCTGGGCGAGTTCTTCGCGCGTCAGGGCGGTGGCGAGGACGACGAGGTTGTGCAGGATTCGCAGATGGGTGGGGTAGAGGACGAGGGGGAGATGCGGGCGTTGGAGAGGGCGTTGGTCGAGACGAGGGAGCGGATGAAGTGGTGGAGTGCGTCGAGGAGTCGCAGCGCTACGCCGGCGGAGGCTCGAACCGCTCAGCCCGACCAGGTCGACGAGATTGGCGATCCGGACGAGGAGCAGCTTGACCAAGTCCCAGACTCGGACCCCGAAGACGACGCTTCCTGCCTTCCACTCGACGCGGCGCGTTCCGCCTCTCCTTCCGCCATCGCCCCGCTCCCTTCCTCGCCTCATGCCGCGCGACAGGGCACGGCAAGCCCGCTCGGCACGCCTGTCAAGGCGAGGTTTCCGCGGTACTCGCCCGGGAAGATGCGGAGTGCGGTTGAGCGCTGGGAGGAGCGGGAGAAGAGGTCTGTGTCGGTCGAAGCCGGGGTGCAGCGTGTCGGTGGGACGAAGCAGGACGAGCAGCAGAAGGCTGAAGGCGAGGGCGAGACGCAGTGGGAGAGCTACTGGTCTTACCCCTCTTCCTCGCCCGACCCGCTCCTCCTCACCTCGACTTCCGCCGCTCGTGCCGCCGGCTCCTCGACTCGCCCTCGCTCGCCTCTTCCCGCCGTCCAGCTCATGCCGCACCAGCGCGCGCTAATTGACGAGATCCTCGCCGAGAAGAAGAAGCGCAGGGCCGAGCGAGGCGCCTCGTCGAAGCCCAGGGTCAGGAAGGGTGACGGCGAAGACGAGTTCGTGTTGAGCGACGACGAGGACGACGTCCCCGAAGGGTACAGGAAGAACGAGAAGGGCGAGTTGGAGCGGATTGATGCGGACAGGTTCAATGTCGACGCGATGATGGGCCCCGTGGACGATAAAGAGGACTGGGGGGACACGCTGACGGGGTGGTAGAGCTTGTGAGCCTGTACATACATAGAGTAGTCTCGCCTTTCCTTTCGCTTGTCGTATCCCTTCATGCAATTCGTTCGCAACCGCTTATGTTCGAGCCACTCTCGCGTTCAATTGGGTCTGTGAGACGACGCGAACGAGCGTAGGAATACAACACGCAAAGATGGGCGAGACGACATGCGCGGAGACAGGACAGGCGGGCGGATGAGATCAAGCTGCGAGGAGAACGCAGGTCAGCGAGAGCTCTGATGTCGCCCATGCATGATCAGAACGCGCCCATGAGATCGAAGTCGTCGAGCTCGTCCTGCAAAGCGAAGAACCAGTCAGTACCGGCGAGAAGCGGACGCGAGACTCGCAACTCACATTGTACTTCTGGACGTGGCGCTTGATCTTGGACGTGTCGACCCAGGTGACAAAGTCCTCCATGTTGCGTGTGACGAGGAAGGCCGGGTCGGTGATCGTATCGGGTCCAACACGGACATGGCCTTGCTCGATGTAGGTGACGGCCTGCGAAGCGGAGAAGTCAGCCCGCCAGTTTCGAGATCGCAGAGCGACGGAAGCGCACCATCTTGACTGTCTCTGCCATCTTCAGCCGAACCATGACCACCGCCAGCCGTCTTCGGCACATTGCGCCGACCGTGACCTTTCCTTCCCGCTTTCCCTGTCCCTCGACCTCCTTCTCCTTGCCCTTGAAGCCCTTGACGACTGGCGCATCCGAACCTTCGATGTCGCTCATCTTGGCGCCTCGGTCGAGGATGCCCATGTCGTACAGCTTGGAGAGGAGGATGTCTTCGTACTTGGTGCGGAACGGGTCGGCGGGTGGGAGGCGGGAGAGCAGGTGAGAGAGCCGGCGGACTTGTCCACAGATCTTGTTGTAGGTGTGATAGTCTTCGCTGCGAATGGAAGACGAATACCGTCAGTTGGTCTGTTGGAAGGATGTCAAGGAGGTGGGGAGGAGCGACTCCTCGCCAACAACGCCTGGCGCCCGCACGACTCGCTCGATGGCGTCGAAGAGAGTATACGCACCGATTCTGTACGTGGTACCGCCGCATGACAGCGATCTCGCGGTGTCCGGCATCGCTCTTCCACTGGAGGAAGTCGACCTTGCGCAGGAGCTTCTGCTCGTGGTGCTTGAGTTGGCGCATGGCTGAGTGTGTTCAGGCAAGTCTGTCGAGCAGTCCTAGCGTGTCTAAACGGGCGCAGAAGCGAGAGCAAGTGAACAGTGGCTGTCGACCTCGAGCTCGACCAGGCCAACACAGGTCTACCTCCTGCGCATCACTCGACTGCACAACCACACCGCTGTGGAGTGCTGACAACACGCTCACGAGACTTGCGGTGATCAGCAATACCCTCCCGTCCTTGCTCCCCACTTCGAGCGCGCCTTCACCGTCCACCGCTCTCTTCGAAAACTTTCCGCCTCGACAGACCTAGTCTCGCCAGCTGAGACTGCGCGACTCCCTTTACTGCTACTGGATAGAGGATAGAGGGCATGGTGGGCATCTGAGGGGCGAAGCGGGACTCGGGGGAAGACTTCCTCCATCGACGACGACGCACACGCACGAGCAGCAGCAAAGATGATCAACCTATTACATTCAAGCTCAACAATCAGAAGGGACTCTTCAATCCCGCACGATGTTGACCACCATTCTGCAATCCTGAGCGCTGCTCGCGCGTGTTTGTGCCGTCGTCGTCCGAGGAGGAGGTTGGGCCAGGTCGCGTTGTGGCGCTCGGTCGCCTTGCGACAAAGCCTCGGGCTCTATTTTCTTGCTATTGGAGCGAGATGCAGACGATACATGGCTAAGGCTACAGAGGGTTGCACCTCATTTCCGCCTCGTCCCCGTTCACTAGTCAAACCGCTCATGGCTCCGCTGGCTTCTCAGGCTGCCGTCCCACGAGTCCGTCCTCGCCCTGATGCTTGTGCCCTCTCCGCCGCCCAGCTCCGTGTGCACCGCACTACTCGTCCCTTCTCCCATCGACGACGCCGGCCGCTCAAGCATCTCGAGCACGACATGGAGGTTGTCGACCTCCGGCGGGTCCCGTCCAGCGATATGCGACGCCCCGAAGCCGTACCAAGCGTTGTCGAGCGCCGCATCGAGATCGTACTCGTCGTCGAGGTACTCGGTCTCGGGCAGTCCGAAGTCGACCGCTGCATGCTGCTGCGGCACCTCGAGGAACGCAGTGCCGCCCTTGCGCTCTTCCATGACAGGCGTGTGGGCGTTTGACCAGCTGGATCCGGGGTACTTGGGCGGCTCATCCATGCGCGAATCGACGTGCGAAGCTGCGCCGCCGTCCGCGCGCGACTGCTTCGTGTTGAGGGATGTTGCGCGCGAGGGATCCGTGATCGAGATTGCGGGAGGGAAGGGCAAGAAGGGGAGGTAGCGACGCAGGTGCTGGACGGTGGGCGAACTGCCGTCGAGCGAGCGGAAGAGGATGAGGAGTGCAACGACGGTCGAGAGGATGCCGTTGAGCCAGCATGCGACGAGGAGCTGGACTTGGAACTGTGGGTGCGAGGGATGAGCACGCTGGACTAGTGAGAAGCCAGGGACGGGCTCACCTGGGCCGAGTTGGTCATGAGCGAGAGCGGCGAGACGCCGAGCCAGAACGCCATGGCGGCGTTGACGAGCAACTGTGGGAGGACTCGGTCAACTGAGCAAGCGAACTGGCCACTGGAGGCGGAACGAACCATGAGACCGATCGCGCAAGCGGAATAAAACCGGTTGTTCCTCGCCCAAGCCAACAACGTCCACTGTCGCTTGACGCCCGCGAAGAACTCGTCGTCAAGCGGGTCAACTGGTGATTTCTCGGGCTTCGTCTCCGGCAGTTGCGCGCTCTTGCTCGTCGTGCCACGGCGGAAGTTTGTCAAGGGCGAGCGCGGACGGAGGCGAGGCATCTTGCCCTGTGCGCGGAGCTTCTTGATCGTTGCTGAGAGATGGCGGATCTCGAGCGAGGCGCCGGTTGTGTAGACCTACGGGCGACAGGTCAGCCGCGAGACAAGGAGGCGAAGAGGAGAGAGAGGGACTCACGGCAAAAGTGACGAGGAGCGTGAAGGCGATGTACAAGTAGCCGATCCGCACATACTTCGAGTAATCGCGCATCTCCGCACCGAACTTCTCACCCAGCGTGAAGAAGTTGAGGAGGTTGCCGATGTCGAGGCCTTTCGCAGGCGTCCACGACTGGTCATACACCTTGAGCTGCGAAACGATCGACATGGCGTCGCGGTAGCCGTTGTTGAAGGAGTGTGCGGCGATGAACATGATGACGACCACCGGGACGAAGGCGCAGATGGGCAGAAGGAAAGGGAGAGTGAGGGCGACGATGGTCTTCCACCGCGACTCCCGGTAGAAGGCGCCCTTCTTGCGGATGTACCTGCCATTTCAAGTGCTGTGAGCCAGGTTTCTAGGGCGAGCAGGCCAGCAAACGCACCAAGCAGAAATGGTCGCCCATGCTTCGCAGAAGAAGCCGACCCAGAGCGGCGCGATCCATCCCGCTTGAAGACCGAGGTAGTAGCGCGGGAAGCGCTCCCCCTTTGAGATGCGTACGGCGGTGACGATTGAGAGGATGCCGACTGCGAGCGGACGAGCGAGCGAGTTTTAGGGTTGGCTGGGGGATAGCAAGCCGCTGAACGCACGAGCTGCATAGGCCAGGGCGCAAATGCCGTAAATCGTCGAGATGTTTGGAATCACGATCGTCTTGTCCACGCGGTGGAAGAGCCAGAAGCGTCCTTGCTGGAGTCGGAGGACGAGACTCGCGAGAACGATAATGATGGACCTGCCACGCGAAGGGATGGTCAGCGTCGCACTCATACAGCTGGTTCGATTGGTACGCACAGGGAGAAGAGGCCGGCAAGGAACCAGAGCATTGCTCGGAAGCCAGGCGTCACGGACGGGTAGAAGATACGAAGGACCGTCTGCTCGAACGCCGGGTACGGCGAGTGGCCCTGCGCGATCTCACCCTCGACACTCTGAAGGACCTGCGTGACCCATGGAGCAATCCATTGCGAGTCGGGTGGTAGGATGGACGTGAGGTTGAGGCCGCTGAGGAAACTGGCAGACATGTCGGCCCTGATTGGATCGCGATCGCTCAAGTCGTCGAGCGGAGGTTGTGCAGAGTTGTGGTCCGCTGTGAAGGCGTCGAGTCGGGACGGGCGTAGGCGGGGTCGACGTTGGTACAGGTCGGTGCGCGAATTAGGTGAAGGAACGGTTGTCGAAGGGAGTCGACCGGCTCGAGACGGCAGGCGCTGCAAGTGGATTGCGCTGGAGCAGCAGGTGAGGAGCAGCAACGGACACCAGACGAGCGGGAGGAGCGGGAAGAGAGAGCGTGTGCAAGGCCAGCGCAACCCTGCCGCGAAGGCTGAATGCCGCAGCGACGTTGCCAGCCTTGGCCAGCCAGCCTGGAGCTGCTCATCGCTTGTACGGATCTGCATAGCGTCCAGACAGCGGGCTTGGCTCCCCAGACACGGCGGAAGGGAGGAGCTGCCAGACGCGGAAGTGGATGGAGGGGGCTGGACGCTTGAGGAGGAGGTCGTCGACACCGGGCTCCTTCGCCGCTTCGCACTTCCGCGACGTACCCTACTCGGCCTTGTTGGATCCCCTGTAGGATCTGCGCTACGTAAAGCAGGGGGAGAAAGGGGAAGGCGGGAGGAAGAACTTGACCTTCCTAATTCCGCAGCAAGCGCTCGTTCGGCTGCTGCTATGCTCCTTCTCTACAGTCCTGCGCGTGCATGACTGCTTGATATAACGCCTGCGTGGCGAGGATTGGGTCGGGTGAAGAGCAGAAGGAGCGTAAGGTGGTACAAGCTTGGCGCACTCCCGTTAAGGGATGCCAGACTGTCGATTTCACAGCTTCGATTCCAGCTGGAGAGCCAGAGTACCGTAAAGCGTCCAGCGGTTCCGCTCCTCCTGCCTCTCCTCCTTGACGAGGCCTTTTGATCCGGACAGCGTCCAATCCCACCGCTTCGTCTGCCCCGTCACGCTTTTCTCCTGCCACTCCGCCATATCAACAGGCGCAAGGCCAGACGCAAGCGCATGTCGCAGGAAAGCCGCGACGGCTGAGCGTCCTGTGTGGAAGCCGGCGGCGAAGTGCACGACGCAGGAAGGTGCCGTACGAAGGATGGCGAGGAGCGACTGAATCAAGGCCCGGTGCAGTTCACGTTCCCAGACGCAGTCGGCGACGAGGATTAGGTCGGGCGAAGGGCAGGCTCTGGGGAAGCATAACATGAGCGGAGACTTGCAGCGAAGAGATCGCCTTCGGGACGCACTCGAGTACCGGTCCAACGCTTGTGCCCCATGTGTGCCCGACGACTTGCACTCGTTGTTGTAGCTGGGGAGAAAGCGCTTGTTGTACAGCTTGTGAAGTGTCGGCAAGCATGGTCGGGTTGTCGTAGTCGGTCAAGACGACCTGACACTCTCCGGGTTAGCTCGTAGTCTCCGGAAGCATCCCAGACATTACACACCTGCTCAGCGCCCATCTGAGCCGCCACGATGCCAGGCAACGCAAGCCCGCAGCCCAACTCGACAATTCGCTTGCCCTTGACGTCGACTTCGCCCGTCGCGAGACGGTCTGCAAGCAGTATCGCAGACGACCACACGTAGCCTGCGTGTAGGGAACGCGTCCGGGGCCGCGGGACTGGCAGGGAGAGTGTGAAGGCTTCGGGCGAACTGAGTGGGGACGAGTACAGGAAGTTCGTGCCAGGGAGGCCGTGCGCGGGCGAGGCGGAGAGGTGGTTCTCGGGATGGTACTCGAGCGTCGTCGTCGTCATGCCAGAGCAGTCAAAGCGAGAGAGGAGGAGGAGAGAGAGAGGGAGTCACGAGCAGTGTGCTCCCCACTTCCCTCGCGAACGCCGTCGAAACAGGCGAGCGGCAACGAAACAACAAGCAAGCGATGCAGGATGCGAGTACAGTGAACGAGAAGCGCTCTGAAACATTCACTCTGCATCCCCGACCTCGCTCCCCCCGACCTCTGCCTCGCCTTCATCCTCCTCGTACTGCTCGCCGTCGCCATTCTCCCGCCTGTGCGTCCATTCGTCGTACTCCTTGAACGCCTTCGCAGACTCGCGCTGTCCAGTCGCCGGATTGACCATTGTGAGCATCGTGCGGCGGACTGCACGGGACAAGGGGTCAGACCTGGCTCTCTTCGTCGAGAATCCGGAGACTCGAAACGTACTGAGCTGGTCGAATGGCCATCCTCCTTCCTCATCCGAGTCGTAGTCCGGGTCGCGGTTCTGCAGCAAGTCGCGCTTGACGTGCAGCCAGGTTGCTGGGACGGCGAAGAGCGTCAGCCAAGGTTCGTCGCTTGATGACATGCAAGCGCCTTTAGACGCACTTGGCAAGCCAGAAGAAACCGGGACGTCGTGATTCCAGTCCTCGTATTGCCAGCCGAGCGGGAGAATGTCTGCGGAGGAGATTTGAGGTCAGTGCCTGCCCTGCTGGTCACGCCGAGACCGCGCGCAGGCACCCTCGAGGAATGCTCAGTGAGGAGTGACACACCTGGTGGTGTCTCCAGCAGCGCTTGCTTGTGCTGCGACTTGGCGAACGACAGCTTGCTGCGTCCGGGACCTCCCACCCTTGCACGCTTCGCGGCGGGCTCACCTGTGTTAGCGAAAGCGAATAGTCAGCATTGCAGCGCATGCACGGGAACAGGCGAAACGCACCAGCCTGCACCGCCTGCTCCTTCTCAGCCTGCTTCTGCAACTTCTCCCTCGCCTCCTCCTCCTTCTTCTGGATCGCCGGCACTGTCTTGACAACACCGTCACGAACAGCCTTCATCTCGCGCGCAAACTGCAACTCGCTCGGCGTGTCGACGTTCTCCTTCTGAGCGGGCGGATCGCGGACGAGCTGGATGGGCGGGCTGAGGATTCGTTTGCCGGGCGTATCGAAGTCATTGATGAAGGTGCGGTTCTCGAGGAAGTGGTGAAGAAGGGTGAGGAAGGCTTGTGCGCGAGGTCGAGCGGGCATGCTATAGATGAGTCGATTAGCGGAAAATCGCCGGCGGCGAGATGGCTAAACTCACTCGGAAGGGAAGAACAGGTCCCAGAGGTCGAAGCCTTCGGGGAAGTACTTCTCCGTGATCCAGCCCGCCTCGTTGAACATGAGGAAGATGAGCTCGATCACGGTTGTCGGCGGACCTCGGGTCAAATCCGGCGAAGCCTGCAAAGCGGATCCGTCAGCCTTTGCTATCTTCCGTGACGGGCGAATGGAAGGCTCACTCGTCGTCGCGCAACCTCCCTGAGCGTTGTCGGCAGGTTGTTATTCTCCCAGTCGAGCACAGCGCCCTTCAGGACGCCCTTGATGCGCGGCGCGTCCGACATCTCTTTCTGCGAGTGTTCCTCGGTCTGCAGCGACGGCACAGGATGGTACGTGCGCAAGGCGGTACGCATGTTTGGGTAGACTGCACGGCCACGGGATCAGCGCGGCAACATCGAAGAGGAGAAGAGGGGAACGTACAGGCGAGGGTGGTGTTGATGCGGCCAATATTGACGAGGAAGCAGATCTTGCAGTAGTTCATGGCGAACGTCTCATTCTTCGACAGCTTGCCGCGGACGTTCTGCGTCGTCTTGTTGCTCGAGAGGATCGCTTCGAGGAACAGCTGGTCAAAGTTGAGGTAGCTGGGTGGGCCCGGCGGAGAGTGCTGCACACGCAGAGAGCCGAACGTCAGCCCAGAAGGAGGTCAGCGAATGTGCCGAGCTGACCTGGTCGACCGGCGCTGTGAAGCTGAAGGTGCGGTCCGCGAATATCTCGTTCAACACCTCCCACTGGATGTCGTACCGCAGCAACGGCTCGGAGTCAAGCTTCTTGATGGCCTGCGTGCAGGGAAGCAATCGTGTGAGAGGGGTGACGGCGCGAGCGGGATTCGAGTACTCGCACCCAGTTGACCTCCTTGTATGATCGCTTCGACCGAGGGTGCGAGAGAGCATGAAGCTCTTCTGCCGTCTTCTTCGGAGGCATTTCGGGCTTAGAAGGGTGTTGCGCGAGCCGAAGAAGGAGGAAAGGAGAGGGGTCGCTGCGGTGTGTTGAGGCTTGAGGCTGATGGGCCGGCTCGAAAGCAGTGCAGGTGGTCGTGAAGGGGCTAGATCGGAGTCAAAATCGGGCAGAGCGCTCCTCTGGTACTAGCCGGCCGTCCTTGTCGTGTCAAGTCGATCCCGACGGCGTGAAGTGATGAGGATGAGGGAGAAGGCGGGGGCAGTGCGGGAGAGTGCAGGTGGTCGCAGTGGAATGAATGGCGATCTGTGAAGCAATGAACAAGTCGAACAAGGCTCGCAAGCCGTGTAGCAGTGAGTAGTCGCAGTCCAAGAGCGTCTTCGATCTCCTTGTCCACCTACCACACCGCTCACACGGCTAGACGGGCTCATTCAGACTCTAGAGCTCGCAAAGGCCCTTCTAGAGCCTGCGTACAACTCGACAACGGCGCACGAGCGCCTACTCACTTTCCCTCACCCTGCTCTTTCATCGCCGCCAAGCTCGCACACGACAATCCGCCCGAAGCGAGTCAAGCGTCTGGTTGGAACAGAAACGGTCGGAAGCTCATCTCCACGGCGTAGACCGGACAAGGAAGGCTTGCAGACGTCGAAGCGGGACATCAGCGGGTCGGCAGCAGATCTCTCGCACTCAGCGTCGGCTCGTGGGAGGTCCAGTGGGCAGCTTAGACGGTCGGCGGAGCCTAAAGGAGGGAGTCGGCTCACGACACCACGGCAGCCGTAGCGGCAGGGACAAACTCGGCACCGACAGTGTTCCTCTCCCCATCCTTCTCTCTCTTCCCAAGCTCTCGGTCAGAGTGAACCAGTACGACTTCTTCGACTATGCCGCCCAAGAAGTCTGCAGCCAAGAAGAAGAAGGCGGCTTCGAACGCTCGAGGGTTCGCCACGGTATCGGTTCCGAAGAAGAAGGAACCGGAGGAGGACGTCGCAGCTGCTCAGGCTGCGGCCGAGGGAGGCGAAGGAGGAGCCGTCAATGAGGGTGGAGCAGAAGCGGGACAGGTTGACGGCGAGACTGCCGGAGGTGCCGGACGAGGCGAGGCGAACAGCTCGGCGGGCGATGCGGGCGCCGCTGCAAAGCCGCAGGATGGCTGGGACGACCCGGAGACGCTCGAGAAGAAAGAGTTGCAGGAGCTGGCGGAAAGGATCAGGCCCGGTTGCGATAAGGAGATCAACAGGATTGTCAAGGTGCGCTCGTTTGACTGGTCGCCCCGGACAAGCTTTTGACCCAATGCTCTACAGGTCTTCGACTACGAGCGCAGGATAGCTAAGACGATGGCGGGCTACTTGTGGCAAGAGCAAGATCTCGTGCGTCCCTATTTGACCACGTACAAGCGGCACACTAACGAGTCCCCGCGACAGCAACGCCGCATCATCGACCTTGCTCTCGCGGAGCGAGGCGACGAGTCGCCACAGCCGATGTTCGACGCAGAAGACAAGGTCATTGCCAAGGTCGCCACCCTCTACGGCATCCTGGAGCAACTTGGCTTCAAGGCGGAGCGAGTTGAGCAGTGCTTGCGGTTTGTCAAGGCGCTCGATCTCGAGGACTGCCTCGAATGGGTGCGTCAGCTACCTCGAGGCGCTAGGGAGTCGTCACTGACACAGCCAATTCGGCAGATGTTCCTGCACGCCAACTCGGACGAGCTCGCCTGCGAAGGTCCGGCTGCGCCTCCCGTACAACTACCCGACAGCTCGCCTCCGACCCCTCGCCCCGGTCACTCGCCCAAGTCGACGCCTGCTCGCAGTCCCGCAGTGGGCAAGACGCCTGCTTCGCCCTCACCTGCCGCCTCGAAGACGCCGGCGGACGGCCCTGACGAAGCTGCTGAGGCATCGTCTCTGCGCGCTCGCATCCTCGCGTACGGCGAAGAGCTCGACAAGGCTCTTTCGTCGAACGCAGACGGCGACGAGGTAGAAGGTGCCGAGGCCGATGCGAACGTCAAGTACTCGAAGCTCAAGCTCCAGTTGTCGGAGATCCAGCGGGCTCAAGCGACGCACAAGCGCGTGACGAAGGGCAAGGGCGACAGGAAGGGTGCGCAAGCGATGAGCGACGAACAGGAGAAGGTGCTGGACGCACAGGGCGAGCTGCTCAAGGAGAAGATCAAGACGGTCGAGAGCGACTACACTTTCCGCAAGACCGATGCCGGTACGCTTGTGCCTTTTGCGCTTCCGCGACTGATGCTGACATCGGCGGGCTTCGCAGAGAAACTCTACCGCGAAGAGCGTACCAAGCTTGACGCTGCGCAACTCTCGGCTCGTCTGAGCGGGACGACCCTCGACAGCCCTTTCCCTAGCCTCGCCTTGCCGCCGACGCCAGCCTCGAATGGCCTTGCGCCGAGCGCGGAGATCAGCAGCTCGACAAGCTCCACTCCGGCCGGCAACGGCAGAACTTCCTCATCTCCGCCTTCGCCCGGCAGATCCACCGCTGAAATGTCCGCCAACGACGACGAAGAAGGCGACTTCTTCGGCAACATGCTCGACGAGATGCCGACGGAGGAGACGACCGAGCAGGGGACGACCATTCCCGTCCGCAACCTCTCGCTGCCGAAGCACTTTTCCGGCAAGACGCCCAAGGTCAGCCTCGAGGAAACTGTCCGCAAGCTCGACAAAGGCGCCTCGGTGTCGTTCAGCGTCATCAGCCGCAGTCGTGCCGTTCGCGCGGCGGTGAAGGTGCGCTGGTCGGAGAACACGACAGGCAAGACCTTCACCTACAGGATGGACGACATCGCCTGCTGGGACGAGAAGCAGGCTTACAACTACATCGCCACGCTCGCGCTCTTCGACATCGCAACGGGTCCTCAGGGATCGGGCCTCGCCGTCAACAAAGCGCTTCCCACCGTGTTCCGCGACCTGTGGGACGAGTTGGTCGCGCAGCGTCAAGCTGAGGACGAAGAGGACTACAGACGCCGCCTCAAGGTGTATCGCGCCATCGCTGAGCCAAGGTGCCAGGAGCCGCCAAGTCGAGTAAGTTCCGTTCAACCGCACCACCGCTCCCGTTGCTAAGTGTCGCGCTCGCAGGACCAACGCGCCGCTCGCGCAGAGAAGGTAGTTGCCGAAGCGAACACCATCGCCGGCCCGAAGGAGATCACGGCCGAGCGAGCTGAGCAGATCCAACACGAGATCTACCAGCGTCAGAGCTGGCCGACCTACCAGGAGATGCTTGTATGTCCCGTTCTTCCTCGTTCACGCACGCTGGACCGACTGACGCTTTGTTGGTGCAGCGCCAACGTGCCAACTTGCCCATCGCAGCGTACCGCTCGTCCATCATGACCGCGATCGACGACTCGCAATGCATCGTTCTGTGCGGTGAGACTGGATGGTGCGTAAGACATCTCGTCGGTATGTGCAAGCTCGCTGACCCGCCGGCCTCTGCAGCGGCAAGTCGACGCAAGTACCGTCATTCATCCTCGAGCACAATATGCGTCTCGGTCGCGATGTCAAGGTGTACTGTACCGAGCCTCGCCGTATCTCGGCCATCTCCCTCGCACAGCGCGTTTCGCAGGAGCTCGGCGAGCCGCCCAACGCCTGCGGATCTCGCAACTCGTACGTCGGCTACTCGATCCGCCTCGACTCCGCTGTATCGGCCTCTACACGGATTGTCTACGCCACGACGGTACGTCAAGGCGTTCCAAAAGTCGACCCCGCACAGCGCGCTGACTCCCATGAATTTCCAGGGTATCGTCCTCCGCATGCTCGAGGGATCCGAGTCGCTGTCGGACGTCACGCACATCATCATCGACGAGGTCCACGAGCGCTCGATCGACTCGGATTTCCTGCTCATCGTCCTCCGCGAGATCCTCAAGGTCCGCAAGGACCTCAAGTGCGTCCTCTTCCGATGCTGCCTCTTGCTGACCGCAGTCGCTGATCTTTGCTCTGCAGAGTCATCCTCATGTCCGCGACGGTCGAGTGCGTCTCGCCTGTTCATCTCTGCCAGCGACGCCGCTGACGGTTTCCTCCGCAGTGCCGAGAAGATTGCCGACTACATGGGCGGTTGTCCCGTCGTTCGCGTGCCGGGACGGACCTTCCCCGTCACGGCGTACTACCTTGAAGACGTCGTCGAGCTCACGAGGTATCGTCTCGACCCGGATACCGACTCGCCCTACGTTGCACGCAACAAGCGAGGCGAGTCCTAGTCGATTTTCGGTCGTGGCTCTGGCTTACCCACTCTTTCGCAGCTTACGGCGGGAAGCCTCGCAAGATGGTCGATGACGTCCCGCTCGACGACGATGACGAGGACGATGCTCCAGCCGATGCGGACGAGGTCGCGCAGGCGCCCATCTCGAAGCAAAGCCGCATCACTCTCGAGTGCCTCGACCACCACGCCATCAACTTCGAGCTCATCCTCATCCTCCTCGAAAACCTATGCTTCTACAAGCCGGAACTCGTGCCCTTCTCGAGTGCCGTCCTGGTCTTCCTCCCGTCGCTCGAGTCGATCCGTCGCCTCACCGACCTGCTCGAGGCGCACCCCGCCTTCGGCTCCAGCCAGTTCGTCATCCTTCCTCTCCACTCGACCATCTCGAACGAGAACCAGTCTCTCGTCTTCAACGTCCCGCGACCTGGCATCCGCAAAATTGTCGTCTCGACAAACATCGCCGAGACGGGTGTCACGATCCCCGACATCACGGCCGTCATCGATTCGGGCAAGCATCGCGAAATGCGCTTCGACGAGAAGCGCCAGATCAGCCGGCTCGTCGAGACGTTCGTCGCCCAGTCCAACGCCGCACAACGACGTGGACGCGCTGGTCGTGTCCGCGAGGGCGTGTGCTTCCACCTCTTCACCAAGCACGGTCACGACAACTACGTGCGGTCATCCCTTCCGGTTCCCCGAGCACTAGCTGACCACTTCACCCGCAGATGCAAGAGCACCCGCAACCCGAGATGATGCGACTCTCGCTGCAAGACCTCGCGCTTCGCATCAAGATCATGAAGATCGGCAGCACAAGCATCGAGGAGACGCTGCTCAACGCCCTCGACCCGCCGACGCCGCAGAACATCCAGCGCGCCATCTCCGCTCTCGTCGAAGTCAAGGCCCTGACAACGTCCGAGGAGATCACGCCGCTCGGCCTGCACCTCGCCAAGCTGCCCATGGATGTCCACCTGGGCCTCTTCCTGATCATGTCTTGCATCTTCGGCTGCCTTGACGCCGCACTCGTCATCGCCGTGAGTACTCGCCGCGGTTCGGACCCTGTTTACCGGTTTCTCAATCTTTGCTGGTTCGCAGGCTACCCTCAACAGTAAGAGCCCGTGGATCACGCCGTTCGGTCGCGAAAGCGAGGCCGACGCCGTCAAGCGGAGCTTCAAGACGGAGAACTCGGACTTCCTGACGACTTACAAGGCGTACTGCTCGTGGCGCGAAGCTTGCGCCAACAACTACGAGCGCGAGTTCTGCCGCGTGCGTACACGCTCCTCTGCCTGCAACCCTCTTGCACGCTGACGACGCATCGTCGCCTGTCGCAGAAGAGCTTCCTCTCGCTCCAGAACCTGCAGCAGATTGAAGAACTCCGCCAGCAGTTTTTCTCCTTCCTCGTTGACGCTGGTTTCGTCAACATCACCAACGCCGAGCGCCGCGACCTCACCTCGACGCGGTACGGCAAGTCGCGTACTAAGTTCCTCCGCGTCCCTGCCGAGCTCGACACGGCCTCGCGTGACCCTCGAACCGTCATGGCCTGCCTCGCCGCCTCGATGTACCCGAAGCTGCTCGTCATCGACCCGCAGAACGGCTCGCTTCGCACGCTCGCCAACTCGGCACCTGCGGCGATTCACCCCTCGAGCGTCAACTTTGGCGCCGGTCGTCGCGTCGACTTTGGTCAGGGTACCCGCTTCGCCGCTTTCTTCCAGGCTATGCACACGAAGAAGCTCTGTACGTGCAGTCTCTCGCCTATCGCTTGTGCTGTGCGCTGACGCCGTGCTCTGTAGACGTGTGGGAGTCGGGCTCGGTCGACGAGCGGGCCGTCTACCTCCTCTGCGGCAATGCAGACTTCCAGGTGCGTTTCCTCACACTCCAGCCGCTCTCTCGACCGCTCACCCTGCTCGCCTCCCAGCTCCTCGCTCACTCGATCTCGGTCGACCGCAAGATCCGCACCCACTTCGAGGATCCCAAGACGGCGATTGCGGTCAAAGTCCTGCGCGAGAAGTGGAAGGAGCTCTTCAACAAGAAGATGCGCGACCCGGCCGCCCCGCTCGACCCGGAGCACGAGCAGTGGCTCGCGCTGCTGCTCGAGGCGTTCAAGAGCCCGAAGAGGGAGGACGACGAGGAGAAGAAGCGGCAGAGGGCCGAGAAGAAGCCCGTCAAGCTGTCGCTGACGAGGAACGGCTAACTTCCCTCGCATGCCTTTCGCATCTTCTGTCGCTCGTCAATAGCGACGCGTTGTATGAAAAGAACCTCATTGCAGCATCGTCGTCCTGCGAGGTCGGCGGACTTTGACGGCGAAGGCTGCTCGCTCGTCTCGCCTTGTCCGGATCCGCTGCTCAGTATTCCCCTTGCCGTTCTGAGCCTCTTTTGACCGCATCTACACTGCAAGCGCCCGCCCAGGTCGCTGACGGCCTTTGACTCTTCGGCGAGATTTCGGGTTCGCCTCGAACACTGCGCTGCTTCGTTTCACACCGCTTGACCGCTCGAGTAAACCTTCTGTCGCATCGCTGGAACCCTAAAGACGCATCTCAGCCGCCCACCGCCTCCCTAGCCGCCTCCCGCTCGCATTCAGAAGATCCGCGATGAGCACCTTCGGCGCGCTTTTCCGCGTCACGACGTACGGAGAGTCGCACTGCGCCTCTGTCGGAGCGATCATCGATGGCTGCCCTCCTGTGAGTCGGTCGTACCCTTCCGGCGGAGCGTGGCCGATGAGGACAGGACGAGGAGAAGTTCAGGGTCGATCAACCTGGCAACACGGCTTTGAGGGAGTAGAGGGGGCGCTTGAGAAGCTGTACTGACTCGTAACGTATCACAGGGCATGCCCCTCACGGACGAGGACATCCAGCCGCAGATGACCCGCCGACGCCCTGGACAGAGCAACCTCACCACTCCTGTGCGGGAGTCCTTACCCTTTCGAGCTGCTCCAGTACTGACTTCGACTTGATCTGTAGCGCAATGAAGCCGACGCCGTCCAGATCCAGTCGGGTGTCGAGGCAGGCGTGACTCTCGGTACTCCCATCGGCCTCCTCGTCCGCAACAAGGACCAGCGCCCTCACGACTACACCGAGACGGACCACTACCCTCGACCCAGCCACGCCGACTGGACCTACCTTCTCAAGTACGGCTTGAAGGCGAGCAGCGGAGGTGGACGGAGTAGTGCACGCGAGACTATCGGTGCGCTTCCCCGTCCTGCTGGTCGTCTAGATTCCCAGCTGACGATTCACGTCCTTCATAGGGCGTGTCGCTGCGGGTACGATCGCCGAGCGCTACCTCAAGCTCGCCTACGGTGTCGAGATCGTCGCCTTCGTCTCCTCGGTCGGAAAGGTTCACATGCCCGAATCCAGCACCGACAGCGACCTGCTGAGCGAAGACTACCTCAAGCTCTTGAGCACGATCACCCGCGAAAAGGTCGACGAGAACACGATTCGATGCCCGCATGCTGAGACGGCTCAGGCGATGGAGGAGGTGTGCTAGTTCCGCTCTGCTCCACTTTATCGCCCATGCTGAACGACTTATGTCACGCAGCGGATTATGGCGGCAAAGGCGAAGAACGACTCCATCGGCGGCACCGTCACCTGCGTTATCCGCCGCTCTCCCGTTGGCCTTGGCGAGCCGGTCTTCGACAAGCTTGAGGCTAAGCTCGCGCACGCCATGCTCTCCATTCCTGCGACCAAGGGCTTCGAGATCGGCTCGGGCTTCAAGGGTACTGAGGTGCCCGGATCGGAGCACAACGATGCGTTCGTCAAGAAGGCGGACGGCAGTTTGGGCACCAAGACAAACAGGAGCGGCGGTATCCAGGGAGGCATCACGAACGGCGAGGACATCTACTTCAAGTGAGTGTGGGCAGTTCCGCGCGATACATTAGTGTGCTGACGGCTAGCCTCGCCCAGGATTGCCTTCAAGTCGCCCGCAACCATCTCGCAAGAGCAGGCGACGGCCAAGTACGACGGCGAGAGTGGCGTGCTCGCAACTCGCGGTCGCCACGACCCTTGCGTCGTTCCTCGGTGCGTAGCGCGGAGTCTTCCCACTAGACGATCGTCTAGCTGACTTCCAATCGTCCGCAGCGCCGTTCCTATCGTCGAGGCCATGGCCGCTCTCGTCATCATGGAGTGCGTCGCTTGCTCCGTCTGAGCGAAGCGTGTAGCTGATCTTTCGCGACCTGCAGCGCCGTCCTCATCCAAAACGCCCGCCAGACCGCCGCCTCCCTCCTCCCGCCTCTGGAGACTCCTCTGCCACCCTCTATGTCTCTGCCGCCGAAGAAGGTCGAGGAGAAGATGGTCAAGGAGATCGTTCAGGAGCAGCAGGCGTAGACAAGCTGGTTCAGTTGCTGCAGAAAACCGATTCGCATCGCATGCCCTTCGTTCGTTGTGGGTCGTCGCCTTTGCTGCCCTCGCCACAGCAACCTGTCGGCTTGCGCTCGACAGCTCTCGACCGCAAGCCCGCGCTGGTCCGTCTTCGCCTGCACGCCCTTCGCTCTTCTCCCTCCTCCGCATGCCTCGCTCGTCTCTCGCTGGCCCTACGCCTCCTGCTGCTCGACCAGACTACTTTGACTCGCTAGCTGATCTCGCACAGTATGCCAGCCAGCCTCGCGATCTTCTCGCTCGACGCTCTGCCCCACCGGTCCCGTTCGCCTCGACAGCGGGTCCTCCGCGCAGAGATGCGCGGTCCAACAAGCTAGTAGTGTGTCACGACTACAAGGTGCGCCCGTCGCCAATCCCAGCGTCTCCCAGGACTCTGCTGACTCTGCCTCTTCGCAGGGAGGGTACGGCGAACGTGAAGACGAGCGTGGCTACACCTTCCAGTGGTTCCATCTTTGCGACACCTTCATCTAGTGCGCTGCTACACTCAGCTGGACGGCCAGAAGGTCGGACGCTGACGACTAGCCGGCAGCTTCTCCCACCACCGCGTCTCTTGTCCTCCTGCGGGCTGGATCCGCTCTGCCCACGTCAATGGTACAAAGATACTCGGCACCCTCATATTTGAGTGGGACGCAGGGCGGGAAGACATCGTCGAGCTCGTCGCGCCATCTTCCCCAACCACGAAACGCTTCTCTTCCTTCTCGCCTCGTTATGCCGACTTCCTCGTCGACCTCGCTGTCGAGCGCGGCTTTGACGGTTGGCTCGTCAATGTCGAAGTCGACCTCGGGTTCGGCTCGGCGAAAGAAGGCGCGAAGGAGCACGCCCGGGTCTTGCTCGGCTGGCTCGTGTACTTCCGGGCCGCGCTCAAGAAGCGAATTCCGCATGCCGAAGTCATCTGGTGCGTAGCGTCAGTCCCGCTGCATCCTCATCGCTGACCTAACGTCGCGCAGGTACGACTCGGTCACGGCTGAGGGCAAGCTCTCCTGGCAAAACTGCGTCAACGAGCTCAACCGCCCTTTCTTCCTCGCCTGCGACTCGATTTTCCTCAACTACTGGTGGCGGAGCGAGCAACTCGCCGCGACCTCACAGGAGATCCAGCAGACCTGTCCAGACCGAGCGGCCGACGTTTGCGTCGGCATCGACGTCTTCGGGCGTGGAACGCTCGGCGGCGGCGGCTTCGAGAGCTGGAGGGCGTCGCACGCCATCTGCACTGCGAAACAAGCGACGCGAAATCCTTCAGCATCCGGATTTTCGGTTGCGCTCTTCGCGCCAGGGTGGACCGTTGAAGCGGAATCTCTCGGTCATTCTCTCGCCACGCCCGACTCGTTTGCGAAATGGGCAGCCGACGACGCATACCTCTGGTCTCACGGTGCGCCTACACCGTCAGTCCCGATAGAAACCGCTCGGCAAGAACGGCAGAGGCGGGAGCAGCGCGGCGTCCTTCGCGCTCGTCAGCTCGCGGCCTCTCTCGCTCCAGTTGCCTCGCCACTCCCCATCTCCGAACGAATACCCGATCCCCCAACTTTCGACTACAACGCGCCTCTCGACCCGCTGCCCGGGTCCGAACTCGGCGTCTCGCACCGACCGCTCGCATCGTTCTTCTCGCCTCGAGCTGTACCCTGCCCCGACTTTCGCTTCTACACCAACTTCTGCGCCGGGTCGGGCCATCGAATGTTCGTCAATGGTGCCGAGGTCGACCAAAGCGATACCGGCTGGACCGACGTCGCATTCTCCTCCCCTCAAACACCCGAATTGGTTGGTGTAAGCGCGACTACAACGGAAGAACAAGCGTGGGAAGGCACGCGCGCTGTCGAGATCAAGCTGGCGGGTGCCGCGGACGAGATCCTCGTACCGTTCTTCCCGCTCGCCCTTCCTCCGTTGCCGGCCGGCATCGAGCTCGAGGCTTGGGTCATCTGGAAGCCAGTGGACGGGCTGAGTACAACTGTCGCTCCCATACTGAGCGACGACTCCACCTCCCTTTCTCAGCTCTCCGTCGATACCGCCTCGACAGACTCGAAGGATTGGTCGCGGACCACCGCCAGGCTCCGCTGCGACGTCGGTACGTTGAACAGCGCGATACACACCCTCTCCTTGAAACTCTCCAACGGAGCAGCCATCCTCGTCGGGGCCATGGGGGTTCGTCCGGTCGAACCCGCCACAGCTCGACCCGTTCTCGCCAGCCTCGAGTATCTCCCAGCCGAGTCAGTACTGCGGTGGCAAATCGATTATGCCACTGCATCCGCCGTCACAGCCTCATCTGCTTCCCTCACCGCCCACCCGCCTTTCCAGCACTTCCACCTCTTCGTCCGCGACAAGGAGGGCGACAAGCGCTACCTCGGCACGACCTTCGAATCACAGTTTGCCGTCGCGCGACGCTGCATCGAGGAAGCAGCGAGTATCGTTGTCCAAGGCGTCGATGACGCGGGCCGACTTGAGCAGCTCGAGGAAGGAGAAGCGCAGCTCTTGCAATGAAAGTCGCCGAGTTGTCGAAGAAAAAGACGTTGATCCAGTATTGCCTACACCGAGAGAAGCCATGCTATCGGAAGAGGGTATCGAAGAACGATGCAACGTGTGTCGTGCGAGGCGAAATGAGGTGAAACGAGAGAGAACCGTAATAACACATGCGAGAGAGACGACGGGATGAAGGGTGTCGACGGCTAGCGTCTAGGCGGGCTTGACATTCTCGCTGCTGCCTTGAGCAGAGCTCGCGGCGGACGAGAAGCCCGATTCGTCGATGGCTTGTCCAAAGCTGGCGCTGCCAGCGCGGGCGCGGCCCGCTTCGATGAGTCGCTGGCCCTCAGCATTGACGTCGTCGAGCGATGGGTCGCCATACGACTCGGCCGTGAGGACGGAAGGTGGGAGTGGTGTCGGGCCTGGTCGCTTCGGCGATGCCTGCGCCTGCTCCATCTCTTCCTTCTCCTGGACGAGCGACTGCAGCTTTGCCTCAACCTGGTCGAGCGTCTCACTCGCGTCGCCGCCAGCGGACGGCGCTGGCGTCGCGAGGACACCCGGGAAAGCCGGGACAGGTCCAGGCGTCTGGTCGGGCGTCGGCGAGGTGATCTGCAGGCCAGGACCGAGAGCATGCGCAGTGGCAGTCTTCGGTACCATCGTCTGCGCGCCTGACGGCGGCGAAGGTTCAGGAGATGCTGAAGGGGAACCGGCAATCGAGGCGAGGCCGCTCGCACCGCGAATACCGCTCGGCGAGTCAGAGCGCGAGATGGGCCGGTCGATATGAAGATGCTGGGAGACCTCGTCGGCGCGAGATGCGAGTTCGGCGGCGGAAAAACCGGGAGGCGCCTTCATGCGAGCGGGCGAACGAGGTCGTGCCGGGGTCCCCGACAATGCGCTGCTCGACACGCTCGAATCGGGCGTCTCGGACTTGCGGCCGAAACCGGAGAGGTATGCCATCGAGCCCCACTCGACGAGCTTCGACTCCAACCAGGGGAGCGAGACGGGCTTCGTGAGGAAGTCGTTGCAACCGGCTGCAAGGGCGGCGACTCGGTCGGCTTGCAAGGACGAGGCAGTGAGGGCGACGATGATGACGGGCATGGTGAGGAGAGGCGAGCCGGGCGTGCTGAGAGGGTCCCTTCCGAGGGCTGATGAGGGCGAACTCGGCACCGAAGTCGGCGTAGTAACGAAGGCACCGACGTTGTTCTGTCGCTCGAGCTCGCGGATCTCGCGAGTTGCCTCGATACCGTCCTTGACGGGAAGCTGGATATCCATCTGTCGTGGAAAAGGGGGTCAGCGCTCTCAAGCAGACTAGGAGCACAGCGACGCACCAGGACGAGGTGGAAATTGCCCTTCTTCCACATTTCGACCGCCTGCTCGCCGTCCTTCGCGACCTTGAAGCTGATGCCCTTCTTGCGCATGAAACCGATGAGAATCGTTTGGTTGATAGGGTTGTCTGCAGGTAGGCGATGTCAGGATGGCAGCACGAGACAATTAGGTAGACGAAAGAGACGCACCCTCGACGATCAACACGCTGATGGGCGGGACACCGATGATGGTACTCTTCCTGCTCGTCCTGCGCTTGTTCTTCGGCATGCTTACCATTGTCGAACTCCTCGTTCGTGCCTTCGCTGGTCCAGCCGGCGAAGATGGTGTCGCAGGCCTAGCTCGCGCGGCCGCGAAGGCCCGCGCAGCTGCTTCGCCTGCCGCAGCGGCTCCGCTGGAGACCTGCGGAAGAGGCGAGACGATGGGCGAAACTGCGCCGCTGCCGCTGCCACGGCGAGATACGCTGTACAGCGGGCTCTGCGAACCGCCGAGCGCACGAGGAGAGGTTGCGTTGGAGGCGGGACCGGCGCTGCCGCTGGATCCGCTCAGGCTGCGACGAGATGGTGTCGGGATCGAGCGATTCGACGAGGTGTGAGATTGCTGCCGCGAGAGCGCTTCGCCCATGACGTTGGGCGGGAGCTCCTCGGGCGAGACGTCCTCGCCGAGCGCGCGCGATTTGGCGGCCGAGATGAACGAGTCGAGCGTGAGAGCCGGAGTGCCGGGGGGCGCAGAGGCTACGGGCGCGATGACGATGTCGCCGCTGTTCGAGTGACTGGGGGCGGAGCTGACTCGTCGACTCGAGCTGGCTGAACCGAGACCGATCTCGTGCGGCGCAGCTGTCGAGACGCGAGAGGGCGGGTCGCTTGGCGGGCGTGAAGTGGCGTCCGCGACGGCGTGCTCAGGGATCTCCTGCGACGTGAGGCTGCGGTCGAGACCTGCACGAATCTTCTCGCGGGTCGACGACGAGCGGCTGCCGCGGGGCTGAGGCTGGAAGAAGATGCCTGAGCGGCCGTCGGGGCTCTGTACGATCATGCCTTCGCTCGTCGTCGTCTCCTTGAGCTCCTCCGTCACCGACGAAAAGTACGAGTCGGCCGTGTCCGGCACCCTGCCGAGCGGCGAAGGCGGGAGACGACCTGCGCCAGTCGCCTCGAATTGTGCAGGCGGCGTTCGGGGCTTGCCGAGAGTCTGCCCAGCCGCGCTGCCGGTCCCACTACTGTCGCTGCCTTTCCGACTCGCCTCCTGCTGCTGGTTGACGGAGAAGTCGAACTCTTGCTGCTCCTTTGATGCGAGCGAGGGCGAGAGACGAGGCGTCCAGTACTGGATACCAGGCGAGGTAGGCGAGGTCGCGATTGGCGGCAAGAACGGGTCGACAGGCGGACGCTTGAGCGCCGTCCAGATGGCGGTAAGGATGCGTCTCGGTCCGGCTGGCTTCGGGACGACGATAACCTCGGGCAGGGTGGGCGACTTGCTCATCGCGAGCGTGTCCTGGACGATCTCCTTGATCGTCTTGTAGTGAACGAGGCTCGCGAAATGGACGATGACCCACTGCGACGCCTGCTGCGAGTGCGGCTGCGATGACTGGTTCTGGTGGAGCTATCGGACGTGTGGGCTCGACCTCGTCCTCCGTGTCGCAAGTTGCGGTCGCTTCGCCATAAGCGTCGGCGCCATGTGGAGTGGCGGTGCTCGGAGCGAAATGAGCATTCGTCGCAGAGTCGAGACGTCGTCGTCGATGATGACGAGGCTCGGATTGCCTTCGCCAATGACAGGCGGCGCGGGCGCTTTACCGTCACTCGTCGAGCTGGGGGACGTCGAAGCCGTTTCGAAGCCCGAGTCGAACCTCGATGTCACGCCCGGCCTGCCTCCTCCCAACGCCGCGCCCTTCCACAGCGAGTCGGGCGAGCCTCCTCCACTGCCGTTTGAAAGCCCCTCGCCCTCGAGCGGAACGTGCTGGATGTCCATGCCCCAGCCAGCGAGATACGCCGTCAGGTGCCTGGCGAATGCGCTGTTCTCGCCCGCATGTAGCGCGACCTTGTGGCCGGCAAGAGCCGTGTCGGCGAACCGCTTGAGGTCGTTCATCGACGGTTCTTGCCCAACGATGGTCTCGAGGCTTGCACGACGACGGCCGAGGATCGTTGAGGGGTCTTCGGCAATTGACTGCGTCTTTGGTCGCGCGGCGGGGAGGAGCGCCTCGAGTGCCCAGGCTTGCGACGTCGCTTCGCTCTGAATGGACGGTGCGAGCGAGAGACCGACGAGGGAGAAGAGCGAGCGAGCGAAAGCCGTGTCGAAAGGAGGTTTGGGAAGCGGATCGTTCGCCGGCATCGCGGCGGTCTCGTCGATGAAGGAGGGTGAGGCGGGACGAGGAGGCGTTGTAAGAAGGATCTTGAGCGAGACCGTCCACCACTTTTGGGGGCGGGCGGAAGGAGGAGAGGCGGCAGCGTGGTAGCTGCCGCTTGGGGACGGCGGACGAGAGCTGTCGGGGGAGGAGGGAGGAGTCGCTGCCGTAGCGAGGAAGCGGATATCGACGCTTGAACCGCTTCGCGCGCCAGCAAGGATGTGGTGCAGGATCTGCATGACCATGCGTCAACAAAACGTCTCGCGAGATCGAGATGGGCGACGTCTGGACGCACCCAGATCAGCGTCACGCTCCATGCGCGCTCGTCAGCCCTGACCAACAACTCCCTCGACTCGCTACCCTTCTTCTCCTTCCTTGACGCCTCATTCTTCATCTGCTGCGCAGCATCCGTCGCCGCCGGTCCTCCCGCCACGCCTGGCGACATAGCCGGACTAGGCGCGCTGCCCGAGCCGGTTTGTCCGACAGCCAACTCGATGCCCCTTGCCGCCGCATCAGCAGCGAGGACGTCTGCGACGCCCTGAATGAGCGAGGGGAAGTCAAAGACCTGCTCGGGGTCCTCTTCGGGCTCGAGGGGAGGTCCCCCGCCTTGGCCGCCGAGATGTCGCGGGACAGGCGAGGGCGGGAGAGGCTGCTCGCCCTTGCCGACTTCGCCCGCCCACTCAAAGCCGCGGAAAAGACGCCACACTGCGGCGGCGGAGACGGCGGGCATCGAGAGCGTCGTCGCGGCGTGCAGCTCGTGCGAGTACGAGGGAAGGAGGTGTTCGACCGTTGGCAGGCCGTTGAAGAAGGAGGCGGAGGCGGAGGTAGTGCTGCTGGTGGCGGTGGAAGAGATGCTGGCGGCGGAGGAGAGGAGTGCGTTGGAGCCTGTTGCGGACGAGATGCTCGCCTTGCGGTTGGCTGCGGAGGGGAGGGTGGCGTCAAAAAGGGAGGGCAGGGGAAGCGGCGGCGAGAAGATATGTGTCGGGCCGAGTTGCGAGAGAAGGAGAAGTGCTGGAGGTAGGAGAGTCGCAATCAGGTCGAGAGATTGCTCGAGACGAGGCGGCGAAGTCGTCGACTGGCCGGCGGAGTAGCCAGAGCCCGGCTCGTCGATCGCTTCGAGGGGGGTTCCCGGCGCTCGTCCCGACGTATATGCATGATCGTGCGCCTGTACCGTCATCTGGCTCGTCATGCTTCCTCTCCGACCCGGTCTCTCACCAACCGCGTACCCGAACATGCTGTCCATTGGATCCCGCTCCTTGCCCCGCAGCGTCGACGGCGATCCAGGCGAGAGCTGAGGAGGCACGCCAGCGAGACCAGGCGACGAGGCTGGCGATGCAGACGAGCTGCCCGCGGATTTCTGGCTTCCCGCTTGCGAGCGACTTCGTCGGAACGACGGGGCGAAGCGCTTCATCGTTCCGCCTGGCGACACTGACGGCGAAAGGTATGGTTGGCCAGGCGAAGGGGGAAAAGCGCCTGGCAAAGGCGAGTCGGAGGGTCTTCTGGCCACATCGGGTTCGCCATCCGGCGAGGTCTGACAGGAGGGCGTCGGGCTGGAGAGTGAGCGCGGGAGGGGCGGTCGTACGGGGCTAGCCGATGAGGAGGACGGGCGGAACGAATCGAGGAAACGGGTGAGAAAGGTGCCGGGTTGCGGTTGTTCGCTCACGGCGGAGTTTCCTGCATATCACGTCGACCGGGTCCGCTCGTTAGCTCCCGCTTCTCTACACTCGACAGTACCCTGCTCACCGAGCGACTTTCGCGACTTCCTCCTCCCGACCCTCGACGCAGTGGAGCCTCCAGCTCCGTCCGCGCCACTTGCACCGGTCCGCCCTGCCAGGTCACTGTTGCTCGAGTTTGCTGACGACCCAGACGAGTCGGCGCTGGCCTTGCGACGTTGCGAGCGCTGTGAATTGGTCGAAGTAGCTGTGATCGGACTCAGATCTGCCCCCGACATGCGCTGCGAGGAAGCGACCAGCGAGCGCCTGGTCGAAGCTGTGCCCCTGTGAGGTGTGTAGTAAGTTGCGCCAGTCCAAACGAGCCTGTTTTTCGCAAGCGTGAAGGGTGAGAGGGAGACCTTGTCCGGCGAGGATGCCTCTTCGGCAGAGCACCTCGCCTCGCACGCGCTCGCGCACCGTCGCTGGGCTGCTCTGCTGCAGTGCTAGGCTCTCGCGGTACTCTGAACTCCATCCCGGCAGACGCCAACGCTTCCGACGGCCGCGGTCACTCGTCTCGCTCGATCCCGACTTCATCAGCAAACCAATTCGCAGCGCCTTGTTCTCAGGCTGAGTGGGCGCAACAGGGGCTGCTACGGCTCGAGGGAACTTGCTGAACGCATAGGCAGGAGACGGAACGGAGGAACTTGAGGGCGGAAGGCTGCTTCACCGCTTCTCGCTTCTCGCTTCTCGCACCGCTCGCGAAGTCGAACCTCGAGTTGATCTCCAACCGTCAAGGCAACAGACTCACACTTGGCTGGACGTGCTTGGCATGTGCTACTCAGTCTCCTCGGTGATCTCGTACTTGCTCGCGTCGTGCCCGTCCAGCATCCATGCCGGGTTGGCCCAGACGTCGCAGCGGGCACAGCAGCTCGAGCGATACAAGCAGATATCATACGACTGCAAAGTAGCAACAAGTCAGCCAACGCTGTAGACGGAATGAGAGGGAGGCGCACCAGCTCCCAGCTCCTCTTGCGGCTGCGACGTTCCGTGTCTGCAAACGGCCAGGGATCGTCCTCTTCGTTGCTCGGTTCACGCGCTGGTCTCCTCAACCAGGGAGATTGCCAGACCCACTTGTCCTCGTCGTTTTCCCACCTGCTCCGCTCGAATTGCTGCTTTCGTGCCCGGAGCTCGACCCGCCTGTCCTCCGGTACCTCGACCGAGAAGCGTGCGTGCCTAAGTGGCGAGTTGTATGTGCGCTGGCGAAGGAATGACTTGACGAGGCTCCAGCATGTTCCGCCGGGGATCCAGATGCCGAGGGTGAAGTCGGTGAGCGAGGTGGGGACGACATCGAGGAAATTGGCAAGGGTGAAGGAGTGCTGGTCCAGCTCAGCAGGCGACATCTTGGGTGTCCATCCAACAGTAGTCTTGATGCTCAGCCTCGTGAGTTGGCGCATGTTGACGACCATTGCGGTGAGAAGCGGAAGGTGTACCGTGCCGAGGTCGTCCTCCGCGTTCAGGCGCAGTTCAACAAGCCTGTGACACTCGGTCGACCACCTGAAGACACCGTTTGCGTTGCGTGTTCGAAAGGAGAGGCTGAGCATCGTAAGGTGCCGAGGGGAGACGAAGCGCAGGAAGCGCTGGAGGAGGATCGCCTCAGCCTTGGCCGTCGTCTTGTCTCTCCAGCCATACTGCTTCAGCCGCAGGTCCATCTCGCTGAGTCGAAGCTGGAAAGGAGGGGCAGGGAAGGACGCAGGGATGTGGGTGTCTTTGGGGAGGGTCGTGTCAACCACGAGAGTCTGCAAGTTGGGTGTTCGAGGGAGGACGACACGGAGGAGAGCGGAGGGGGTCCACACTGCACCATATGTGTAGATGCTCAGGGAAGTCAAGCCAGCAAAGGGGAAGAAGGGCAACGTCGCTTCAAGCAGATCCACCTTTCCCCTCCAGGTAATCCTCCCGAGCCTGCTGCATCGTCGTAGGATCCCCCGCAACGGCCGCCACAGGTCAATGTTGACCTCGCTGTCGAAACCCAGGGAGAGTTCTGCAATGAAGCCGGCGAGGTGCGGGTACCGCTTGAGATGCTTGTCAAGCGCGACCACGGAGAAACGCAGCGCCTCGTTGTTCCATCCGGTCTCGACGCGGCCGAACAACAGCTCTTGCCCGAGCTCTGTCCACTCCCGGGACACGAGCGATGCCCGCTTCGCGAGGCCTGCACGATCGTACTCGTCGTGCGCCTCGCTCAAGATCCGCCGCAAGAGCTCCGTAGGCAAGCGGGGGTAGGCGTGCTGCATCCGTAGACCAGCAGCGAGGGAGAGGGGGGCAGCTAGTTGCTGGGCGGGTCAGCTTGCAGAAACGCAGCGAAGTGAAGGAGGAGAAGAGTCGCCGAAGTCACGCTGAACGGGTCGCTCCGTCCAAATCTTGCCTTCCGCTGGAGATGGATGCTACCATTGCGCAAGGGGCTAACTGAAACGAGTCCGCAAGGACAGGAGGCCGGAACCTTGCATGAACGTCAGTTCTACTACAGCCTCTCCTTCTCCGAGTCCCTCCACCACCATGACCGATCCTGCTGCCCGCGATCTAGCTCCCAGCTCCCGTCATCCGACTCATAGCAAGTCTCGCAGTAGCCTGCCCAGAAGCGGTAGCTCTGCAAACCCAAGATGAACGTTAGCTGTCGCTTCCACCAATACATGCGAGAGGAACCGAGACTCACCATAAGCCAGCGCGCACTGACCCGCTCCCTCCTGGATGCTGCAAACGGCCAGACGTCCTCTGCAGGTTCGCAAGCCAGCTCGGAAGGCGGAGTAGTCCGCCTAATCGTCCCTTCGTACTCGCCAACATTTGACCACGTCCGTCGACGCCTGCCATCTTGAGATGTGAGCCGTTGCTTGTTTGCTGTGACCGATATGCGATCCCAGCGACCCGCTGCCGAGTCAATCGTGGCGGCGAGCAAAGGCGAGTTGTATAGGCGGCACCTTAAGAACGCCTTGAAAATGCCGCAGCAATCTCCTGCTGGTGCCCAGATGGCAACGTTGAACGTGACGAGCGTTGTCGGCAGCAAGTCGAGGAAGGCAGACAAGCAGACGGCGTGAAGGTTTTCTTCTCCTTCGGACAAATTGGAACGATACTGCACGCTCCTATCGCCGTACAGCTCGAGACGTCGCATTTGCCTCAGAGGGACAATCATTGAGGTGAGACGGGACGTGTAGGGTGTCAAGTCGCCGTCCTGCATCCATGCGACAAGGCTGCGAAGGTTGACGCATGCGCTGATCCACTTGCTCACGCCGCCAAAGTTGCGGGTGTGGAACGAAATCGCGAAGGATGTAAGAGTTGTAGGTTCGATCAGGCGGAAGAAGCGCTGGACGACGATGGCTTCTATGCGAGCGAACGAGGGGGGAGGTCTGAGTCGACGCTGGTCGTTGTAACCGTTGAACTCGAGGGTCAAGGTGCGAAGCGGAAGAGCAGGGACGCCGGATGGGGCGGAAATCGGGGCGCCGGGGTGGGCGGGAAGATTGACCGCACGCAAAGTCAGGTGACGGAGTTGAAGACACTCCGGAAGAAAGCGCAAGACCGGTGCAGGATCCCAGCTTCCGTGCAGAGATCCAAGGTCCAGTGAGGTGAGGGTAGTGCGAGGGAAGAAGGGTAGCATCGCAGGGACCATCTTCAGCTTATCGTCGTGCCAAACGACTTCGGTCACCTGGCGGCATCGTTCGAGGAGTCGACACAGCGGCTGGAGTGCAGCGTCCGTTGCGTTCCAAGAGAACTGCACCTTCAGCACCCGCACGAGGTCTGCCAGGTGAGGGTACCGGTCGAGGTGCTCGACCAGGACGGCTGCTAAGTCACCCCGCTTCGAGTACCGCCCCAGCACAGGTTGCTTGAACGCAAGCGCCTGGCCGATTTCCTTCCATTCCCGACAGACCAGTGAGACGCTCCTGCCGAGCTGCTCGACGTTCAAGTCGTACGAATTTGCCGCGACAGCATCCTGGCAGATGCGCTCGACAAGCTCGAAGGGAAGTCGAGGGTAACAGTGCGGCATTGCGTGAAGGCGGAGAGGCAAGCAAGACAGCGTTGGAGCAGGTTTCGGCTGGTCAGCGTTGACCGTGGTGAGTTGGCGGAGGGAAAGCAGCGCGAGGAGGTCGGCTGGAGTCACCTCGCTCGCTCACCGCTCACACGGCTCAGGCGGGCTTGCAGAGCCAGCTGCCAGTCCTCCCCACTCTCTGACGTCGAGCGCACGATGCGGCACACTCGCCGGACCCCTCCACCCTCCTGCCGTTCCTCACAATCGCTTCATCTCCTCGAACGTCTCAACGGCTTTCTAACACGCTGGACGTAGAGCGGGTGGGCTGGAAGGCCGAGTGACATTGCTGAAACGCTGGCCCCGGCTGGCACGGCTTCTCGACCGCTGTTTGAGCGACGAGCGCTCTGCGACGTGAGGCGGACGGTCGAGGAGGGACGGCACCGTGTTACAAGCGTCGAGGTCACCAATCCAGCTCTACCGAAGGATCCGACACCTCATACTCGGCTGCGTCGGGACCGTCGAGCGTCCACGACCCGTAGTCCCAGTCGCCGCAGCTACACCCCTCCCAATGCTTGTATGACTGCGAGGCAACGAAGGTTCGTCAGTGTTGTAAACGTTGTCAACGACCAGAAGAGAAACTCACAAGACACCATGTTGCCTCAGTGCTGTCTTCCTCCACCTGCTGCGATCTCGTCGCTTCGAGCTGCACCCGACCTTCTTGACCTCGGCGTCGAAGGTGACGGCTTCGAGCAATGAGTCATGCAAGTGCGTCCGCAGGAACGTCTTGACGAGGTCGTAGCACTCGCCTGCCGGTGCCCAAACCTCCGCTGTCAGTTCAACGAGTGTCGGAGGCAGTGTGTTGAAGAAGTCGGACAGCTCGGCAGCGAGCTCGTCAAGCCCCCATATGCGCCTGTAGTTATCCTCATCCCAGGTTGCCCACCTTTCAGCCTCACGGATGAGTTTGAGGGTTCTCAGGTGCAGTAACTGCAAGACCATGGATGTGAGCTCGACGTCGAAGTCCTTGGGATCGGCCTCAACAAGGCAGAACTCAAGATTATGCAAGTTGGTGCACCGCTCAACCCATCGTGAGAGGGTGTCAAAGTTGCTCTCGTGCAGCGTGAGTGACAGGGTTGTCAGCGCTTCTGGGCAAACGCGAAGGAGGACGTGTTGGTAGAAGACATGCTTCACTGCTGGCGGCCGAGTCAGAGCCGTTATCAGTCTGGAGGCGCAGTGTCTTGAGCGGGAGAGATTCCGACACTGCGGCGTTAAAGGAGAGGGGAGAATCGCCAGGAAGGGCGAGGCTGAGCGAGAGACTGCGAAGGCTGGCACAATGCGGGAGTGTACCGAGAAGCGCAGAAATATCGCACCGCTGCTTCGACCCGCCAAGGCGCACGTCCGTTAGCTTCGCGAGCGGCAGGACGTGCGGGTCCGCCGTGAGGAGGTCGAGGTTGCTCAGCCATTGGATTTGCGTAATGCGATTGCAGCGCTGCAAGATGCTTCGTACAGCATCTGCGTTGGCGGGCTTGTTGGTGCTGAAGTTCAGGCGCAAGTCACGGACAAGTTTCGCGATGTGCGGAAAGCGCTCAAGGTGCTTCGCAAACAGCGCAATCGGGTCCTTGGGGTAGTAGCCCCTCAAAGTAGGCCGATAGAATGCTAGCTCTTGACCTGGACCGGCCCAGTCCCGGCAGACGAGCGAGAAATGCCTGCCGTTGGCCTCCGCCCACCAGTCGTACCCTGCCTCCTCGCTGAGTTCGTGTAGGAAGATGTTGCGCAGCAGTTCGCTTGGCAAGAGGGAGGCTGAGCGAGGCAAGGTAAGCAGGCGATTGCGAAGAAGCGAGACGGGAGGAGAGAAGAGAGAGAAAGAGCGGTCGAGGTGCGGACGGAGCAAAGTCGTGACTTCGTCCGCTGACCTTTTCCTCAGCGAAGTCATACATTCGTTCTCGGTCTTCGAAAGTGCAAGTCAGCCAGCGTTCTCCATCGTAGAAGCTATCCGGACGACAGGCTGGAAGGTTGAGCCTCCCTCCCAGCGAATCGCAACGACGGACAAGGTGCCCCCGGAACAAACGTACTCATGGCAAGCAAGCAAAAGAGAGGGCGAGACGGCGGAATAGGAGAGAAGAAAGGCTACAGATCGGGACGCCGCCCTTTTGAGTGCACAGACAGACTAAAGACGCCGTTCACCAAACAATCACGAGAGCGAGAAGAGGTAGCTCAGGTCCTCAGGGGTGAGCTGTGATAGGACGGCGTCAGTCGTGAAACCGAAGAGCAGAGAGGGCGGACGGCAAACGCACCCGACCCATCGCCGCATCGTCGTCGCCAAGCGCAGACGCCGCCAAATCCTCCTTCTTCTTCTGCAAGTCGAGAATCCTCGACTCGATCGAGTTCTCTGCAACGGTACGAGCGAGATCAGCAATCGTGCGAAGATGCGATAGACAAGGACGAGATCCACCAATGATGAGGCGGGTGACAGTAATCGGCCGGTCTGCAAGACAGAACGTGGAATGTTATGTCAGCTTAAGCACAAAGGGAGGGGAGGCGAAGACTACTCACGCTGCCCAATACGGTGCACGCGGTCCATCGCTTGCAGCTCGACCTGCGGGCGGGGAAAGGGGAACGTCAGCAGGGCGCTCGAGCGAGTCAAGCCTGTCACGCGCACCGCAGGGTTCCACCACGGGTCGAGGATGATGACGCGTGAGGCTTCGACCAAGTTAAGAGCCTGTAAGCGGAGTATGCGGAGCGGAGATGTCAACGGAGAGTCGCGAGAACACGGAGGTGAGCAGCACGCACCACACCACCGGCCTTGAGCGAGATGAGGAAGACGGTGCATTCGGGGTCGCTCGTGAAATGCTTGATCGTGTTCTCGCGAGCGAGCGGCGTCATCGTGCCGGCGAGGCGGACGTACTTGAAGCCGCTGAGCTGGAGACGACGAGCGACGAGGTCGCTGCGAGTAAAGCAACATCAGCAAGCTGGAAGATGCTCGGAAGGAGCAGCGCAACGCACAGCATCGACGTGAACTGTGAGAAGACGAGCGTCTTGAGCGTACGGTCTTCGGTCCTCGTCTTGCTGAGCTCCTCGAGGCTACACGACGGCAATCGCCTGGTCAGTAACTCAACAGACGAGCGAGCACAACGTAACTACGCACAGGGCCTCGATCTTGCTGCTCGTCCTGCTCTTGGTCGGGTCGATGCGGGCAAGGAAGCCTTGCCTGCCGGTCTCGTCCACCTCGATCGCGTCCTGGTCGAGGTCGATGCTCATCGGGAGGTGGCAGACGGGGCACTCGGGCCTCTGCTCGACGGCCGTCTCGAGGTACTGGCGGACACACTCGCGGCAGAAGATGTGGCGGCACGACGTCTTGACGGCGTCCTCGGCTTCGTCGAGGCAGAGGCGGCACGTGATGATCTCCTGCGGCAAGTCGGCAGCGGCGTGTTGGACGGGCTCTGCAGTCTTGGACTTGATGACGAGGTCGGGGTGGTCCGCCATCTGCCGCATGCGCGTGATGAGGGTGAAGATGTTCGAGTAGTTGTTGAGCACCGTGCCCTCGTCGGCATAAGTGTTGAACTTGCGCTTGACGTCCTTGAAGAGCGACTGGTACAGCTCCTCCTCCTCCTCGGTGAAGAAGTCGCGGCGGACGTTGACGACGCGCGGGGGAAGGCCGAGGTCGTCGGCGCGCTCGACCTTGGTGCGGCGGAGCATGAGGTGCGAGAGGAGGAGGCTCATCTTCTGGAAGGCGCGCTGGCCCTCGCCGGTCGTCGTCCCGCCGTACTGGATCGGCGTCAAGACCGCCTGGTTCCAGTAGCAGGTGTGCTGCATCGAGCTGTGCCCGCAAGCCGAGCAGGGACCGCCCGACGCGAGCCAGTGCAGGCTCTTGCAGTCGCACCGCTTGCAGAAGTAGAAGGCGAACGGGTCGCATCCGACGAAGCGAATGAGCGAGTACAGCTCGCCGACGCGGTTCTGGAGCGGTGTACCGGACAAACACCAGCGGTAGTGCGCGCGAAGGGCGAAGGCGGCCTTGGCGGTGTTCGACTGGCGGTCCTTGATGTTGTGCGCCTCGTCGAGGATAACGCGGTGCCTGGGCGAACGGATAGCACGTCAGCTGCGGTACAGGCGAGACCTCTGGCCCGAATGCCAGTAGCAGGAGAGTCGAACGCACCACTTGACCTTGTGCAGGATCGAGTCCTCCTTGAGCACCTTGCCCTTCTTCGTGAAGCCCTTCTGCTCACGGCGGAACGTCGACTCGAGGACGGCGTCTGGAATGGGTCACGTCAGCGAGCGCACGAGAGATAGGGAAGCGCTGGAAACGCACAGGAAGTCAAGACGACATCGAATTTCTCCATCTCCTTGGCGTTGCTGAGCCTGTTCGAGCCGTGGAAGACGAGCACCTTGAAGCCGGTCGTAAACTTCTCGATCTCGCTCTTCCACTGCATGATAGCAACTGTCGGGGCGAGCACGAGCGTCGAGCCCTTCGGGTGCGTCGGCGACCAATCGGAGAGGATGAGCGAGATGGTCTGGATCGTCTTGCCCATGCTACCCGCGCAAAGAACGTCAGCAATGCTCAGCAGTAACAGCGCAGAACAACGCACCCCATTTCGTCGCAGAGGAAGCCGCCCTTGAATGGCCCCGCCTCCTGCTGCTTGAGCCAGTTCAAGCCCTCGAGCTGGAACGGCAGAAGCTTCTGCGTGAGGAGCGCGGGTTGCTCGGCGCGCTCGACTTTGGTGAGAGGCCGCTCGGCGAGGTCGGGCCAGCAGGTCTTGAGCTCCGGATGATTCTTCCCGAGGTAGTAGGTCGTACGCTCGAACTGCGGTGGGCGGACCGTCAGCGCGTGGAGAAACGCAGTCTGCGAGAGAGCGAACGCACATGCGACATCTTCTTGAGAGCCTTCTTTTCCTCCTTCGTGATGACGGCGCCCTTGCGCGGCGCGACCTTTTCCTTCTTCTTCTTCTTGAGCTCTTTGTCGCCCTCGCCTCCTTCGGCCGGCAACGTCTCCTCTTCCTCCTCGTCCTTGACCTTCTTCGCCTTCTTCTTCGCCTTCTCCTTGTCCTTCTTCTTCTTCGGCTTCTCCTCCTCCTCCGACTCGTCTAGCTCAAACGCATCGCTACCTTCCTCCTCATCGACATCCATCTCAGCCGCCTCGGCCTCGGCGTCCCAATCCTCATCCTCGTCCTCCGAGTGCACTGACGACGCCGAGGGCGCAAAGACGGATCCCTCGGAATCGCTGTCCGAATCGCTCGGCGGGGCGACACGACGAGGCGTCGAGGCCTTCATCTTGCCCTTGCCCTTGACGCTGCTAGGCGTGCGTGACTCGCGCTCCTTGCGCGTCGGCTTGCGCTCCTTGCGCGTCGGCTTGCGCTCCTCGATCACCACCTCGAACGAAGGCGACCTTGCGCGACCTTTGCCCTTGAGCGAGCGCGAGACGGAACGCGCGAGGTCTTCGGCGTCGACAGCTTTGCCCTTGCCCTTGTCTGGCGTAGACTTGGAGAGACTGCTCTTGAGCTTCTTGGCGAGCTCGCGGGCCTTCTTGACGCCGGCATCCTCCCCGTCGTCATCGTCCATCATCAGCTCGTCCTCGTCCTCCTCCTCCTTCGCCTCGTCCTTGACGCTCGAGGCATCGTACTCGTCTGCACTGCCACCGTTGTCGGACGAAGCCGTCGACTCGACGATAGCCCTGCCCTTACCCTTTGCCGCCCGCTTCGAGAGCTTGACCTCCTCCTCTTCCGAATCGGTGAGCTGGAAGGTCGGCAAGACGAGCTTTTTCGATGCTGCAGCGGCAGCAGAACGGCGAGGAGTCGTGCGAGAACTGTTCGACGAACCTGGGATCAGCGAAACCCGCGAGGTGGAGGTAAGAGTTTCCGCTCGCAACGCACCTAGGCGTCTGTGCGCCCTCTTCGCTGTCCTCGACCTCCGAGTCGAGATCCATCTTGCCACCCTTGCCGCCCCTCACGCTCGTAGGCGCCGTGCTCGGTGACCCAGTCCCCGACCCCCTCGCACCGGTCGCAGCGCCCTCGGTCTCCGAGTCGGACGAGATGATGGTGACAGCTGACGAGTGGGTCGAAGAACGGCGTGGGCGGGCCATGGTGTGCGCCTGTGCGATGTTGGGCGTGGTGAGGATGGTCGAGGACGGTGTGGCGATGCTGGATGAGGATCGCGCGAGCCGGGGTGGGACAAGCGCGTGCCGGTTCGTCTATGCAAAGACGGTCTCCAGCAGTCTACAGCGCACAGTGCGAGCCTCTCAGTCGAGCGAGTGAGCGGTGAGAGCGAGTGGCAAAGGGGTCGAGGCTGACTTTGCCAGGCGAGGCACGTCAGGACGCGACAAAGGTCAACTTGCCAAGTTGACATCCTCGTTTGTAGTGAATGCGAATGCTGTGCGAGTTACTGCGAAGTACTGTCGAGTCTATCGTGCAAAGTCTACTCCTGCGACGCCTCTTCACCCCGCACACCCTCGAGGAACCCCTGGCAACACGCCTCGACATCAACCAGCTCCTTCGGCGCATCCACCGACAGCACCACGCAGTCGTCCTTGCGCACCAACACCTCGTCCTCGATCCGCACCGTCATGTCGTGGAAGTGCTTCGGGAAGTGCGCCAGAGGGGGGACGGTGATGCCCGGCTCGACCGTCTGCGAAGCGAGGAATAGCGAGGGCGTGGACGATGTGTCAGTGGGAGTCAGAGGGTCAGCGGGTTTGTGTGTACGCACAACGACCATGCCTTCCTGTAGCCTACGAATCGACCATCCAGGCGAACGAGAAGTCAGCGAGAGTTCCGCCGAACTCGGCCACGTCGCGCAACCCTGCGAACTCACCGCTCATCCCTCCCATAGCTCCTCGTATCATGCAAGTCCACTCCAATCGGATGCCCGACAAAATGCGGATACAACACCCTCTCCAGTTCTCCAGCCCTCATCTCGAAACCCAAGTCGCGCAACTCTGTCCGCGTCAAGTCGACAGAGTAGCGGTGCAGGTCTTCGAAGGTCCAGGAGGTGGAGGAGGTGCAACGCTGCGTGCAGGCGCGGACGACGCGGAGGACGGCTTCGTAGAGGTGCGCTTGGGGAGTCGTGAATGTGCCGGAGGCGGGGAAGGTGCCTGTGGCGCGACGTTTGACGAGAGTCAGCCAACTTGCGAAGGCCTCGTAAGCTGTCGAAAGCCTTCCGAAGCGCAGACGCACGGGTGATGTCGCTCGCATACCCTCCCCACTCGCACCCCGCATCAATCAGCACCATCTCGCCCTCCTTGACCGGTCGATTGTTCTCGACATAGTGGATCGTGAGTGCTTGAGCGCCGGATGCGCAGACTGGAACGTAGGCGAGGCGAGGGGAGCCGGAGAGGGAGGTGTGGTAGCTGAAGTGCGCGACGAGGGAGGATTCGGGGAGGCCGGGGCGGGCGAAGCGCATGACCTGTGGCATAGCGAGATGAGTGACTGGACCACAGCATATCAACACACCCTTGCTCGGCAAGCTAGCCAGCTGCGAGCACGGGTGAAGCTCAGGCCCGCTCAATCACGCACCTTTGCATGCGCATCCGCACTGATATCCGCCGCTCTCCGCATGACCTTGACCTCCGCCTCACTCTTGATCAATCTCAACCTCTCGACTTCCTTCTCCGCGCTCCGCACATCCCGCTTCTCCAACGCCTTCATCACCTCATCTACCTCATCGCGACCTGGGTCCTTCCCCGCCAGCGAGAGGTACGAGAGGAATGATCGAGAGGGTGAGCGAGGGCGCGTGCGGGAAAAGGTTGAGAGAGACTGCGAGGGGAGGTCGATGTAGATCGGGCCGCGGGAGTTGTGCGAGAGGATCTGCTGCAGCCGGTGGCCGAACCTGGCGGAATCGCAGGCCTGGGTACGGGGCTAATGAGCTCTCAACCGTGTCGAAGTGACGAGCGAATTGGGACACACCTCGTCCGCACCGAAAACTTGCATCACGCCGTCGAGCCCAGTCCGCGCCCCGTTCCACAACTCCTCGTACGCGTCCTTCGGCCGGCAAAACAGCGTCATCTTGTAACCTCTAGATGAGCTATCCTTCTCTGAGGGCGGGTGAACAAGCGGTTTCAGCTGCCGGACCTTCTCAGCGAAGCGGGAAGGGACGAACCGAGTATGAGCGCAGAGTCGGGTTCTTCAAAGCCCGTGATGTACCAGAGATTACTTCGTTGTCGGAAGCGGTAGCTGTGCATCCCAGACGCATCCCAGAGGTCAGCCCATCCACTTTCGAGAAGAAGCCGCCAAGAGGAGCGTCGCGAACGGACTCACAAGATGTTCTGCGTCATGTACTGGATCTGTCCGCCCGCAATGACGACGACCGCGTTGCCCTCCAGCCGGTCCATCAACTTCCGTCGCCGCTGCTCGTACTCCTTTGCCGAGATGCCAGGCGTGAGCTCGCCGGGTGCGAGGAGGTGAGGGTGAGTAGAGGGAAGCGGCTGGCCGTATGCCTTTGTCGTACTGTGCGACTGGAAGGCTGCATGGTGTCCGTGAGGGTGTGAGAGAGGCTGAGGAGTGCTTGACGAGTGCCGAGGATGAGGAAGAGCGAGCGGAAGAGTGGGAGTCCGTGGGCGAGCGGTACGACCTTCTGCCCGAGTGAGAGCACTTCTCAACACTGCTCTGCCGCCGCGAGAACCCATTCCGAGCGAGAAGTCGCACGAGGTCGCTTGCCAACCCTTGCCTCGTCCTCTTCGTCCTCGACCGCTCACACTCGCTGCTCTCATCGCTCGACCGGCCGCGATGAACAACACTATGATACCGAGGGAGATGCAGGATGACCAGGATCTCGCGTTCATGGACCAGGCGGTGGTCATGGTGCGTTCCCATCGCTTCATCAGTTAGCGAGTCGCACTCCAGCTAACACCGGTGCTCCAGGCCGAGGAGGCTCTTACAGCTCGCGAGATTCCTGTCGGATGTGTTCTCGTCCACGACGGCAAGGTCGTTGCGCGCGGACGCAATCGCACGAACGAGGGACGGAACGCGACCCTCCATGCAGAGTTCGACGCCCTCAGACACCTCCTTCCCGACCGCTCGCATGCTCAGACACCGGGCTTGACACGACCATACACGCCGCAAGCGGAGGACGTGATCGCAGCGGCGGCGGAGAAGGAGGGACCGGTCGCGGGAGGGAGGAAGATCTGGCAGACCCCGCTCAAGGGCGTCGTGCTGTACGTGACCGTCGAGCCGTGCCTGATGTGCGCGTCGGCGATGCGTCAGGTCGGCATCGAGAAGGTCGTGTACGGCTGTGCGAACGACCGGTTCGGTGGGACAGGCGGCGTCCAGTCGATCCACTCCGAGTGCGTCCACTTCACCTTTGATTCGCCTGATTTCCCGCTTACACTCGCTTCTCAAGCCCACGACTACTGTACGCTCCGCCGTACCCGGCAGTCGGCGGCTACCGGCGCGAAGAAGCGATCATGCTGTTGCGGCGGTTCTACATCTCGGAGAATTCGACAGGTGCGTGCCTCCTACACGCTGGATCACTTGAAAGGCTGACATCTTCGCACTGCAGCGCCAAAGCCGAAGAAGAAGTCGAATCGCGTTCTCAAGACAGAGATCCCTGGCGTCGTCTCAACTCCCTCTTCCCCTGCTTCCTCCCTCTCCCGAACTTCCACCCCGGCACTTTACCCCGAACCTACACCAGCGCCTGTCAATCTCCCGCCACCCGTACCCACCGTCTAGCCGCCAGCAGGTCAAGGAGTCCGCGCCAGTGCGAGCCCGACTTCGCCTCGTCTCATCCAGCATTTTCAGCCATTGTAACGTCGCTAACTCGTCAGCAGCCCACGTTACTCGTCAGCCTGAGAGGTGTACCCGCTGCTTCCAGACTTCCTGGCCGGACGTACGTGACCTCGCTCACGCTCGAACCGCTCGCCCGCTCGACCCTGCGCCTCCTGTCCTTTTTCTCCCGGTTCGCCCCACAGCCTCCTCTCGAGCCGCAGCATGCAACGATCCAATCCACGTGTTCAGAATCTCGCCCACGGACGCTCGAATCGTCTGTCGACTTCTCCTCCCTCTCACCCGCTCAACTTGAACATGAGCGCCTCTGGCTCGAGTGGCTTGGGCGGATGGTCGTCGCTCATCCCACCCGGCGCTGAGTGGATCGAGCCCAACTATGACCAGATCCTCAAGAGTGTCGCCGCAGGACAGTCGCCCTACCTCGTGATCATTAACATAGTTCGGAATCTTTACCATCCGACCGTGCCAGCCGGCTTCACGGGACAGCTGTACTTCTTGCTTGGGCTCTTCGCGATGTGCGTCCTCCTCTACCTCCTCGCAACTGTCGCTGACGCTCCAGCGCTTCCAGACACACGCTCACTCTGGTTCTTGGACTCGCCATTCGCCTCGCCCAAGGGCGACTATGGTTCTTCACTCGGCTCGACAGAACCGTCGTCCTGCCGAACACCTCGACCTTGTACGCGTTTTGCGCCACCGTCTACGCCGCTCGTACGTCGCGAAGAATCGTCCGTGCAGACATCCGCTGACCCATCCCTCCAGTCGGCATCGTCCTCATCGTCGCCTCGATCGACATCTCGCGAGGAGGCGATTTGCCAAGATGGTACCAAGGAATGCGGGCGTCCTGGTTCGGCTGCCTCTGGGTTGGCGCTTACTTCGAGATTTGGTCGACGCTGTGCGGATGGTACATCCGCAAGAAAGGCGCCTTCTACAAGGAGTCACGCGTCAAGACGGTGCTCGCCATCCTCATCCCCCTCGCCGTTCTCGTCATCGCCTGGGTCCCGCCTCTCGTCATTTTCTACTTCTCCATCCACGCCTACAACCACTCTTTCGTCGTCGCTGGAGAGATCGTCGACATGCTCGAGGAGTGGCAGAAGACGTGGACGCCTGCCAAAGGCCTCGAAATCGACAAGCTGGCGATGCTCTTCGCACCTGGGTCGGAGCTCGGTTACGACTTCACAAAAAGCTCGCACCTGACGCGGACTGGATACGCCTATGTCGCAGGCATACTCCTCGCAACGTTTGCCGTCAGCTGCTCCGCATCACGCGAAGGAACTTGTAGCTGACCGAGCGAACCGACAGATTTACCTCGTCGGCGTCTGGCTCGAGGTGGCGCATCTCTCGCAGACGGTCTCTGACCTTCGCACACAAGCTAGAGAAGCCGTCTACAAGCGCAACAGAGGAGCCCGGCCAAGCGACCTGACCGGCAAGACGAACGAGCGCTCCGACTCTTCCGCATCGACGCCTTCTTTGTCGACTCGGATCGCCCGACAACTCGATGAAGAGCAGTTCGCCCACGATGGGCGGACCGAGGCGACGCAGCACCCTTGGACGTTGCTGGCTTGGGTGCGAAGAAATCGTCTTTACTCGGCAGGGTGCATTGCGACGATGCTCCTCGTCAACGCCGGCATCGACTTGTGGCAGGCGACGACGCGCGTCGACCTGCGTTATCCGTCGGGACAGTTTATCGTAGAGATCCTGATCTCCTGGTACGCAAAACCCCGTGCATCCGCTTCGAACCGCGACTGACGCCTCTCCCCAGCTGGATGAACGGCATCCTTTCGACCGCTGTCGCTCTCCTCCTCCTTTTCCGCTCTCTCGACGCCTCGACTTCGCCTTTCCTCACCCTCCTCCGCCACCGTCTCCCCTTCCTCCCTTTCCCTCCCCCTCCCGCCGTCACCTGCTCGAACGCAACTCGCTCACTCATCACGACTGAACCGCCTCGCTACGCCGCAGCGTACGCGACAGGCTCTGTTCCTCTCGTCGAGCGCACGACGACGAGGTCGTTCAACGATGCGGCGGAGGGAGAGACGCCTCTGCCGGTCATGCTGTCGGAGCGGGGTCGGAAGGAGAGTGAATGGGATGACCACGAGCAGGAGAAGCAGGGGGCGTGGAGCGCAATTGCGGATAGCAGTGCACCTTCGAGTCCTCATGCGATGTGATAGAAATGCAGGAGTATCCGTAGAACCGGAATTGACGATTGCAGCGTTGTCACGGTTCCCATAGCTACACTTTGAGAATGCCTGAATTGTCATCTGCATGACATGCGAGAGTGCTGAGCGCAACTGCTCGGCCTTCGAGTGACCCCCGACTGCGCGTCGTGCTGGACTCGCGGTCCGGCGAGTCGTCAGGGAGCGACGTCCTGCTTGTGGAAGCTTGTTGTTTCGCCTATCCCGTCGGCTGTACCGCCGCAAGGGCTCATCGCGCGTCTTCCATCTTGACCTCTCCGTTCAAGCCGCTCGGACCCGGACCGGCGATCGACGAGTGAGCGCCGTTCGTTGCGGGGACAGAAGGAGCAGGGGGTGGCGCAGGCGTGCTAAGCGCATCGGCGAGGTCGGGGAAAGCCTCGCCCATCTGGGCGCGGAGGAGGTCGCGGTAGTCCTGCGAGACAAGACGAAAGTCAGGTGTTTTCGCTTCGGGAGGTTCCGTCGACGCGTGCTCACCGACACTGCTGAGAGAATGCCATTGGTGTACATGTTCTCGCCGGAGAGACGCTCGATGAAGTTCTTCGTGTGCATGTGCGGATTCTTGCCCTGGTCGACGAAGCTGTTGGGAGATCCTGCGTGTGAGCTGCTGCGCTAAGGCGCTTCCTACGGCTGGCTCACTTAATCACCTCAAGGGGAATGTTGACGTTTGCAACGAGGTCCTTCTGAGCGTGCAAGCGACCGAGTTGTTCGATCGTTTGTTGCCTGTCGAGGAGGAGAGGGTATCAGGCTGAAGCCAGATCTGACGCGGAAAGCTGCATTCACGCCTTGCGACCAATCAGTCCGCCCGGCACACCGCTCGCCACGCCATTTGACGAGCTTTCGAGAGCCGACTCTTGCACGTCGCTCGCACCTGATGAAGTCGGATGGGTCAGCGTCAACAGCTCCTGACGGGCTGAAAGAACCTGTACTCACAGATGCCAAGCTCTAGCAGCGTCTGGAGTAGCTGCTCGAGGCTCTGCTCGATTTGAAGGCGAGGAGGAGCTGCTGTCGCTGGAGGAGGGGCGGCGGTCATGGCGGCGGCGTCTGGCGCCTCGGCGGGAAGAGCAATCGACTTCTGGCGAGCTTGAGAGCAGTACAGGCGCACAGCCGAGCCCGAAGCTGAGCGAAGCGGTGAGTGTCGTCGACGGACCTTCCTCGCCCTGTTCTTCGACCCCGACGACCAATTTGTGGCTGCTCTAGCTGGCTTGTGCGCGTGTTGCTGGACAGAACAGACTTCTCGAAGAAGTGCACAGGTGAGCACGCCCCTTCCCATGCCGCTGCTGCGACGCCTGAGCGCTTCACGAGTGGACCTCCTCTTCGAAGTTGAATGAGGGAATGGCACGGCGGCGACGCTCTCTGATGGGCAGCAGAGACGCTTGGACGATGAACAGAACCGTTCTAGCTTCCTATGCGAGGTGGCGCCTTCGTACGTCGCGCTGACACCTTCGTCCACCTCGTCGCAGACGCTCGCTCCTCTCCGCATTCCTCACCTCGGCAACGCTTTACCCTTAACGACTTTCTGACGACTGCTCACGGCTCACGGCTTGACGACCGATGCCGAAGACTCTGACAAGGTCGCTGTCACGAGTGAGCCTTCCCTCCTGCATTTCGAGAGGTAAAGACGCTGACCGCTGACTTCGATCAACAGCCTCTGGCGGACCTGAGCAACCTCCTGTGGATTCGCTCAAAGGCCGCCAAGACGGATACGGTCGAGCAGACGGCCGGCCCTCCCCCGCTGCTCGCCCTTCCCGAAATCACTGCCGACCCGTTCGCTCCTTTCGACCTCGATGAACCCGACGACCACCTCGACGCACCCTTCGACGGTCCTACTCGTCCCTCAGTCGACTCTCACCTCTGGAAGGAGTGCACGCCAATCCCGGATGATCCGATGGGCGAAGCATTGGCGGAGGAATCCTTCGCACGGAGGGTCGCGAGTCGACACACGGCCATCGTCGAGACTGAGGACGAGTTATCCGGCTCGGAGGACGAGTACGAAGATGCCGACGATTCGAGCGAGTTTGCCGAGCCGGTGTCGCCGTCCTTCGAAGACGAAAGCGCGGGCGCGATCTCGACACCCAATACGTCGCTTCCACACGCTTCACCCGATCGCTACGACGCCGGATCACCATGGGCGTCGTCACCGCATGCGAAGGGTGAGGCTGGCTCCCAGCAAGACGGCTATCCTTTTCCGCACACCTCGACTCCACCTCGCCCTCCAGCCGCTCATTTCGTCGAGCTGATCGAGACGTGCCCTACTCCACCTTCGTCAGCTGCCGTTGTGGCCGAAGAACGGCGACGAAGCCTACTCGTGGCTAGCGGTCTAGGAATCGATTGCGAGGAAGACTCGGATGGCGAAGACTCGACGCGACCGTCTTCCGTCACCCCGAGATCTCCCAGCCGCATTCGGTCCCGATCTCGCTCGCCGTACCAGCTCGGTAGTCGAGCAGCATCTCCCGACTCGCTGGACGAGGAGGAACAAGCGGAGATCGTTGAACCACCACTCGAGTCGTACCCGCCGTCGCTCTACCCGGACGAGGCCCACTTCGACACGTACACTCGCCGGCCTCGACATCCCCGCGCCTCAGTCTATCGCTCGGACGACGAAGACCCCTTGCCCTTTTCCGAACTCACCTCGACGAGTCTTGTCAACTCGCTCCTTGCTCTCCGTCAACCTCACAACGACTCGACTTCGCACATCCCCGCTCCTCCGGCTGAAGACCCGTCGACTCTGCCCGCCCCCCGTCACGTCCGCCCTCACCACGCCCGAGAGCGTTCGGGCGCTCAGTCTCCTGCACCCTTCTCTGACTTGGTCTCGCCCACGACCGCCCAATCTCGACGCGACTTCAGCACCTCCCAGCCCTTCCTCCGCGCTCAGCAGTCTAATTCCACCCTCTTCTCGTGGGATCTCGCCCACCTTCCCGCTCCCCGCACGCCACGAGAACGGCCATTCAGAGTCCGCACCTCTGCTCTTTTCCTCCCGACGTCCTTTCTCGGCGGCGGAAAGGGAACGGGCTTGTACGGCGATGTGTGCGGTGCGGTCGAGCGGAAAGTCGAGGAGCCGAAGAAGAAGGAGAGGCGGCGCTCGATGCCGTTCAGCAGCAGTCTGGCGAGTCTGAGTGCCGTGTTTAGCGGCGATAGCGAGCGGTCCGCGCGGCGAAACAGCGGCTTCGGTATCAGGTCGGCGTCCGTCGCGGGACACGCCATTCCAGAGGATGCCGTCGACGCTCGTCCTTGGACACCCTCGCTCGCACCTCAAGTCGACGAGTTCGCCGTCCTCGCAGCGGAGAAGGATGTCGTTCCGCCTAAGAGTGACAGGCTCAAACGCTCGACTAGCCTCCGCAGGTCGCTCAATCGATGGACTAGGCGGGCGAGCTGGGCGCCATCAACGGCGCTCGACGTGGAGGAGGAGGATGAAAGGCGGCGAGAAAGGCAGGAACGGAGGAAGAGCGGGTTGAGCTTCTCGTTGTTTCGGCCGCAGGGCACCAGGCCGGCGGAGGACCTCGACCACTGGGTTTCCGTCGTTTTCCGCTAGAGTTACTTATCCCCATACACGCATCTTCGACGTCTATTCACGCCTAATCTACGCTCTCACGACTTGTTGTTGTCGAATGCCATGCAGTGCAGACGTTCCGTTTGATTCGATTCTCGGGTTTCTCGGCGAGCTCCTCTGGCACACTATTGCCCGCGCTCATCCTCCCATTCCTCCTCTGCCTCGCCGTCCTCTGCACCCGTCTCTCCCTCCGTCCCAGGTCGAGGCCCGACGAAACCGAAGTAGTTCCCTAGCCGGCGGAACACACCTCGAACAGCCTCGGCGCTCTCATCCTCGTTCATTTCGCGCTGCCTGTTCGCCTCTTCTCCGTCCTCGTCCTCGCCAGCGAAGCCCCCAGGCATCTCGCCTCCACCGCCGTTCAGCATCGCCAGTTCCTCCAATAACTCGGCCCGAAGCTCGTCATTCAGCTCGACCTGCGGTCCTTCCGCGCCCATACCCAGCATGCGCATCAATCCGTCTCGCAACGCAGCGGCGACGTCCGTGCCCCCGCCTCCTCCTCGGCCTGCTAGACCCGCTGGTACGACGCCACGACCTCGTCGGCGAAAGGATGGCGCGGCGTACAGCATGGCGAAGTACGAGTCGTCGTAGTGCGTGACGTTGGGACCGGTGGGAGGGAGAGGGTCGAAGGAGTAGAAGGTGCCGCTTCGGGCAGTGGGAGGGAGGTAAGGTCGGACGGAGGGGATTTCTGCGGCGAACGATTGATCAGTATGTGCGTGTGACGAAATGTTCTCCCAGAACACTCACCGGAGATGAAGGCAGCGCGGATGATGCCAGCCGGCGCGTAGCCTTCGGGGAACGGACCCTTTGAGAAAAGCTCTTCGCCAATCTTGACATCTTCGTTCGACTGGTCGTCCAGCATCGTCGCGGCAGTCACGACTGCTTTTCGCAGCCACGCCGTCGACGCCGGGTCTTTCCAGAGTGGTGCTGAGCGGTTGGCGTAAAGTTCGGAGAGCAGGGAGAGGGCATAGGAAGGGTTTTTGCTGCGAGCGGTGAGCGTGTCAGGCGAGGTCGCCGAACTCGAACGTGATCGGACGCACGTGTATGAGCCGTCAGGCTGTGCTCTTCGGTGCGAGACGAGAGCGGGCGGAACGTCGAAGGCGAGAGCGTTCGAGAGGAGCGTCGCAACCATCGGGAAGCGGAGGATCGCGCTGACGAGAGCGGCAGTGCTCTTGTCTCCGGTCTATATGGAAGGGAACGATGAACATGCCGAGTGCACCGAGAGTAAGGGACCGGGACGTACCTCCTTCTTCTCCTCTTCCTGGTTCCGCAAGCACAGCGCCTTTGCGTAAGCGAGTCCAGGATAGCCACTTATGCACATCGACGGATACGCCGCCTCAAGCGCCGGAATGAGCTTGAAGAACCACTCGTGCTGACCCGCCTTCGGCGCGAGGAGGTCGAGCCAGCAGAGCATCCCAACTGGATCTGCGTCGCCGCTTATGCTCAGTCCGATCTTCGCCCATTCGAAGGCTGTCCGCCAAGTTCCGCGCTTGACGAGGAGTGCGACTTTGCGAGCAATGCCGAGGTAGAGGGCGCGGTTCTCGATCTGGCTGTACGCGAGGCGGAACGAGCCGGAAGGGAAGGTGGGAGGGAGTGGAGCGGAGAGGGCGTAGAGTGCTCGGGAGAGGTGGGTAGACGAGGCGCCCTGGTCACCTTGTTGCGCCATCATCTCGGACAGCTGCATGTGGGTGTCGACGTGGTAGGGCTGCGCGGCGAGGACGTCGTACAGCCTGTTTCCGTCCGCTTGCTGCAAAACCTCGAGGAACATCATCTGCGCCTGCTTATAGCTTGGCGAGTGTACAAAGGTAAACCAGTCTCCGCCGCTCGCGTCCTCCTGCGCCTCGACGCCCTCGTACCGCTCGAGTGTGAGAACACCTGCAGGCGATGGCCAACCGGGCTCGGGCGTTGCGAGATACGACGAGGTGCGGCGGAGGGAGGTGGCGTGGTGCGGATTGTTGGCGAAGCGAGCGTGCAGGTTCGAGCGAGGGGCTTGAGGAGCGCTTCCGATCTGGGATGGTGATGGTCAGACGAAAGTCAAAGCGGTAGCTCGGCGGCACATACCACACTCTTGCCGAACATTCGCCGCAATTCGGCATCGGAGTCGAGGTACTTCGGGTCGAAAGCGTAGACCTGGAGGGGGCCGTCAATGCGCCGCTTTCCCTGGACGCGAGATCGCACGCACCTCCTTGACAGCGGCCCATTTGGGATCAAGACGACTTGTCGCCGTCGAACCAGCCGTAACCTGGGCATTTCCGCCCCTCGTCGCCAGCTCCGCCAGCGCCCTGTCAATCTCGTCCATCCCGTCATCCTCGACCTTGGGCGTCTCTGCCTTCGCAGCTTTGGCCTTTTTGCTCTTCGACTTTGTAGGCGTCGCAGCAACACTTGGCGGACTGGCAGGAGAGTCGAGGGACACAGGGGCAGAAGGCGAATCGTCGGCGGGTTTCGCAGCCTTCTTCTTTTTCTTTCGGTTCGAGCTCTTTGCCTGGCGGGTAGCAATACCTTCAGTTCGACCTGCGAGCACGAGCAAGGACAACGGACCTTTGTCGGCGCAGCAATCGTGCTCTCCTCCTCCTCCTCGTCCTGGTCGTCCGGCTCATCGCCAAGTCCGAGCTGCAGGGTCCCCAAGTTGGTTCAGCGTTCACAGAGGACACATCTGGGAGCACTCACGGCGGCGAATCCTCCCTTGGGTTGCGCTACCACTTCTTCTTCCTCCTCATCAGTTATGTCATTCTGGGTCGGAAGAGTCGACGTCGAAGCCTGTCGGGAGCGCTCGAGCTCTTCCAGCTCGGCAAGTTCGCGTTGTTGGCGCTTGTTGAGCCGGCCCATAGCAAGTTCAGCGGTCTAGCGGGATGAAGTCGCTTGCTGACCCTCGTCCGACCTGCTCTCCCTCGTCCCGCTCGCTGCTCTCGCTGTCTTCCCGCTCAGACTGCTCGCACGATGTTTTCTGCTCACCGGGACGACCGTCAGGTGCGCTCACGTCCCCTCGCGCGCCCTCCCACGTCGTCGCGAGCTCACACACCTCGTCCCCACCTCAAGCAGGTCGAAGCGCCGCCCTCGCCTCCAGCGGTCGACAGGCTGTCCAAGCTGCCGATGGAGCTCTTGCAGAAGATCTTTGACGACGCCTACGCCACCGACAAGCCGACTGAGCCTCTCTCGCGCACCCTTCTTCCCCTCTTCGACCGCTGCGTCTGGCGCGACGTCAAGGTCGTCGGTGACAAGCGCCTTGTCGCCTTCTGCGCCACTTTCCAGACTCGCCCGTCGGTCGGGAGGCACTGCCGCACCCTGAAGGTTGAGCACCTCAGGTCTCCGGCCGTCGTCTCGCAAGCCTCTCTCGAGACCGTCTTCGCGAATGTCCCGATCCTCGTCACACTCGTCATCCACGGTGACTGGGACACTCTTCTCGAAGTTCTGATGCCTTCCGGGCGCCAGGCTGCATTGCCGTTCAGCGCAACGATCCGACATTATTCTTGCATCTGCAAGACGCAACGCACCGACCCGTACAACCCGGCCTACCTCGCGTGCATCACCAGCATGACGGGCTTGACTGCTCTTCAGCTCGTTCTCGAGCACACAGAACAGGGCAGCGCCGTCTCCCCTCCTTTGCCTTCGAACGGATCGGTCAAGGTCGCACCGCTCAACGTTCTTTCCATCTCAGTCTTGCGCGAATCAGACCTCGACAGTTTGCGCCTGCTTCTCCGGAGTGTCCCATCAGTCAAGAAACTTGTGGTCGCGCATTCTGATGAGCCATCGCGCTTGGAGAAGCTGATCCAGGCACTCGCAGCTCCGGACCGCCTTGAGCACTTGGTCTTGCACGCATTCGCCGTCGCGCGTCGTGCTCTACCCGCCGAACTCAAGCAGCTCACCCACCTCAAGCAATTCACGTTTCACGGCGACTTCTCCCAACTCGGCCGCGACTCTTTCGACATCTTGCGTGCCTTGCCGCTGGAGCGCATCGAGCTCGGCAGAAAGAGCGACATCTCTTCCGTCGAGCTCATTGCTCTTCTCACGGGCGAGACGAGGCTCCCGAGTCTTAAGAGGCTTCACCTCGACAACCTGGAGGGCGTAATTGGCGGCTCGATCGCTACGGAAAGCGATATCGACGAGGACGGCGCGGATCGCGGTTGGATAATGCCTCGCTGGACACGCTCATTCCGCAAAATGGATCGTCACGGCCTCATCAACGCGGGCGTCAAGATCACCGGCTCCTTCCTTCGCGCTTCCGACACGGAAGACGCATGGAACGACGCGCTCGACACTTTCGCAGACAACGAGAACGAGCTCTTCTGGCTCGCTATGGAGGCCAATGATGGCGACGAGGTCGCAGCCTGGGAGGCCGTCTACAGCGGGCGGATGTTTTGAGTTCAGTCTTTCGGTGTACTGCGTGAAGTGTAGTCAAACAGGGCGTTCTCCTGCGTGCTACGGACGCCCGATGCTCGCAGCCTATACCTCTTTCTGCCAGCCCTTTCGCTTCTGGCCTGCTGCTCTGCCTCTTCGCATTCTCGCGCCTCGCGCCTCACGCCGCTCTGTCCGGTTCTTTCAGACGAGTTCAGCAGCAAGCGATAGTTCCGCCACACAGTCGATCTAGACCGCACTCTCCCTCGTCGTAGTCCTCGACAACCCCCCTCCCTCCGCCTCATGCACCTCCATCTCCCCAACCCTCTCCTTGACATCCTCCCCCTCGACCTTCTCGTTCTCGGGCTGGTCGACAGCCTGCGCATGCGACTCTTTTTCGATAGCGGCGTCGGCAAGCGCGACGCGGGCGGTGCGGTCGAGGGAGGAGATCTTGCGGTGGACGGTGCGGGAGACGCGGAGAGGGCGACGGACGACCTGCGACGAGAGGCATGTCAGAGGTACTTCTACAAAGAGCGAGAGGAGGCGGGAGGCGCACCATGACGGGAGCACTTGACTTCTGCACCAAGTAGTTCGAAGTCGATCCGAGAAGCATGCTGCACAAGATCGAGGGAGTCAGTCTCCAGCTACGAGGAATGCAAGAGATACGAGATGCGAAGAAAGCGAGAGACTCACCCCTTCAGCTTCGTCAACCCCCGACTTCCCACCAGCACCAGCGTTGGCTCGAGGTAATCAATCATATCGACAAGCATGTGTCGCGGGACCTTGGCATGGATGGCCTGGCAGATGACGCGGACGTTGAGGCGCGTCCGCTCGAGAAGAGTGGTTGCTTGGCGCGCGAGTTGCAGGGCTGGTGCTTGTCGTTCGCGTTGGTTGGCGATCTTGGCTTGGCGAGAGGTGTCGTCCGAGTCGACTGCGAAGCAGCGCGGTCAGCAAGCTCTGAGAGGGATAGAGCGAGAGCGGACGCACGCTTCGAGTCCGTCTCCATGACCGAGACGAGGATGCACTGTGTCGAGAGATCGCGGCAAAATCAGTTCCACTGCAGAGTGACAGCACCGACGAGCGATACCACGACGCACCTCGTCACCCTCACGCAAGACCGTCCCGATAGCCCACTGGATCGCATACAGACTCTCCTCGCTCAAGTCGCTCGCAACAAGGTACCTCCTCCTCTTCCTCCCTGCCTCCACAAGCGCCCTATCCGGATCTCCATGCGTAAGCGTAACCGTACACCGGTTCTTCTCGAACGTCGGTCGGCCAGTCTTGAGTTCGAGCTTTTGCGGCGCGCCGGACTTGGTTGATTTCCGGCGTGGGAGGAGGCCGGTTCGAGGGTTAGCCCGGGGCAGGCCGCCGATTGTTGCGGTTGAGGAGGAGAGTGAAGGGGAGTTGGAGATCAGGGAGGAGGACATCGGGTCGGTTGGAGGGATTAGGTTGGGACCTTCGCCGGGGTAGTAGATCGTGTTTCCTTCGCGGGTCAGGAAATCGAAGGGCGTGTCGGCCGATGCGTTAGCCTGCCAGGATGAGAGTGCATCAGCTTCCACCCGCCTGAAGTAGCCTGGCGAGCTATGCGGCAACGCCAGGCATTGAGGAGGACCAGCGACGTACCTCCGTGTTCTTCTCGACCTCTTCGTCGAACTCGATCTCCTCGTCGTCCTCGCTGAACTCGTCGTCGTAACCGACGCTGCCGTTCTCGCTGCCCTCCTCGTCGCTCGTGTCGTCGTCGACAAACGCATTGCTCGGCGAAACGACCGGCATCGGTCGTGCACCCTCGCCCTCGCTCTCGCCGTCCATGTCGTCTCCACGGATACCCTCCGCAGATGCATCGCGACTCCTCGTCCCCGCGCGCGAGCGGCTGCGCGACTTGCTCGACCTGCGCCAAGGAGACAGCGACCTGCCCCGACCCCTGCCGCGGTCGTCCTCCGAGTCCGAAGTCCCTGCGCCCGCTGCACCCGACTTGTTTGTGCTCCGTCGGATGGACAGGAAGTTCATTGTGTCCGCCGAGAGCGTGTACGATGAGCGAGAGACGGGTCGATGATGTCGCGAGGTGGGGGTTCCGTTCGAGCTGGCGGCTGTCGCTGGTGGATTGGGTCGTACGTAGGTATGGATAAGTACTCTAGAGCAGTCTACTGAACGTGTCTGCTCGCAGTGATTGGCGATCTTTCTGAGCGAGGTCGTCACGGTGAAAGGCCAAGTACCCCTTCGCCGACATCGACTCGGCTTGTGCCGCTCACACGCTCTCGGGCTGAGCTGACGGGTGCTCACTGCCACTAACTGAGCTCACTGAACGCTCACGTAGTCGCTCGAACTTGTCCCGCCGCGCCCTTCCGCCTGCTCGACTCGCAGTCGCCTCCCCCGCTTTGCCGCACCGACCACGCTACCGAGCTCGTCCAGGGGCCGCGCGGGAACACGAGATGGACTTTGCAGACGTGGTGCACAAGGCACTTGAGGAGAGGCAGCGCGGCGGGGCAGACGATGGCGAGACGGGCGCACTTTCGAAGGGAGATGGACATGACAAGGGCAAAGAGCGTCCGCCGGCTCTGTCGCTCCTGTCTGTGCCCGGGTCAGACAGGCCGACGAGCGCGGGTGCGAGTCCCGTTGCGCGAGCACAGGACGGACCGTCTTCGCCTGGAACGCCGCGAACCGCTACCTCGCCAAGTTCGCCTCTCCAGCTCCCCTTTCTCCTCGCAAACGGCCGTCCGAACGCAGGCGGCTCGAAGCGGGGCCCGGATTCTCGCTCTCCGTCCGCATCGAGATCGCCGACTCGTCGCCAGACGGCGGCAGACGAATTCCTCCTTCCTCCTTTCTACGGCGCGCAGATCCCCTCCTCGCCGACTAGCTCTCCCCCTTCGAACGCTCTCGGTCTCGACACACCTCGACCGAAACATCGGACGCAGGCGATGTTCAATTGGTTCGACGACATGAGGGAGAAGGAGGGAAGGGATTCGGGCGAGACGGAGACGTTCAGGCGGACAGACAGTCCAGCTCGGCTCGACATGAGTCGGTCGTCCTCGCTTTCAACAACGGCGAACAAGGCGAACGATGGTCCGAACGGCGTTCCGCCCTGCCCCGCATCCGGCGCGAAACCCCGCTCCTCATACCGCTTCCCGACCACCTCCTCCTCTCCCTCCTCATCCAAAACGCGCCGCCGCCAACCTCGCCAAAACGGCTATGCCAACAGTAACCTCGCCCAGGACGCGCAGTCGATGTCGAGCGACCGCGACTGGTCAGATGTCGACTCGACGCCTGCTCCTCGTCCCAAGTCCTCCCCCTCCGCCTCGAAAGACAAACGTCCGCCCTCGCCTTCTCATCCGCGCCGATCAAGCACCGACGAGAAACGCCAAAACAGCGCCGACACGACTGGCGCACAATCGATGGGGTCGGACTTGACGAGCGGCGCACAAGTGAGCGGTGGCCTGCGCGGGGCTTTCACCGTCTCGGATCTCGAGCGCGGCGCGCGAATCTTGCGAGGCGAAGAGCCTGATCGGCCCGCGCACGAGACGCCTGCTGGAGCGGCGAAAGAGTCGACCCCGAAGCATACTTCGGCGCTCAAGAAGCCTCAACAGGCGCTTTCGCCGCTGTTCAAGGGCTCGACAAAGTTGTTGGGTGGAGGGAAGTTGAAGCGCGCGCGGTCGGCGGGCGAGGCGGAGGGTCCGTCGAGTGGGGTTCAGACGCCTTCGGGCGAGGCCGGCGGGCATTCGAGGGACGTTTCGGAGCGAGGGAGCGTGCCAGCGACGCCTGCGCGGCCCAGGAGTATGCATGATGCGGCGGGGGAAGAGGCAGAGTGGGAGGACGAGACGAGGGACCAGTTCGACACGCTGGCGGGCGCGCGGAGCCACGATGCACAGTCGGGACGGCCGAACCAGAGTCGGAGAAGCAGCTTGTGGACGGGCGGAGGCTTCTTCGCGCCTCACCATCGCGCAAGTGGGTCAGGGTCGGGGACGTCGACTCCTCGTGGCGGCGAGAGCGAGGACGAGGGCGCGGCATCGAGCGGTCCCGGCCCGAAGAGGCCGGCGGGTGCGGCAAGGAGGGGCAGCGCCTGGAACGTTGTCAAGAACCGTTTCGGCGTTGCGGGAGGCGACAAGGGCAGAAAGAAGAAGGAGAAGCAGGGTGCGAGTTTGACCGGTCATGAGCTCGTCTCGGTACGATCTACCCTTTCTCCCCTTCTCGTATGAGCACTCGTTGACGCTCGTCGTACCAGGAACTCGCTACGGGCGTCTTGCCGCTCGTGCTCGTCAAGATGGCGACGATGGACCGGGACGACAAGGGCGACAAGCGCATCCCGATTCTCATGAACTACCTGAGTGCGTGGTCGTGCGTTTCTCCTTCTCGCGTCATGCTAACGTGTCTCTCGCGCCTGCAGAGCTCAAGATCACCGACTCGGTGTACCCCTTCCACGACCGCCACGCCATCTTCCGCATCGAGCTCGAGTACGGCGACGGCGCCGTCAAGTGGGTCATCTACCGCGAGCTCAAGGACTTCGTCAACTTGCATGCCCACTACCACGTCGCCAACCTTCGCCAAGGGATCGACAAGTTCCCGGCCTTTCCCAAGACCAGCTTGCCGTACCTCAATTGGCTCAAGAGCGAGGGACGGGGACAGGTTGGAAAGGCGGAGTTTGCGAGGATGCAGCGCGAGGCGCTCGAGAATTACCTCCTCAAGCTGATCCGGGCGACGGTGCGTTAGGATACGTTCCGTTTGATGAACCGTCCGAACAACGCTGATGCCAGTTTCTCGGCTTCGACGCAGATGTTCGGGCCCGGTGCGAACCGTCTCTGCAAGTTCCTCGAGATTTCGGCCATGTCGATCAAGCTCGCTACTTGCGGCGGTGAACAGGGAAAGCAGGGTTACCTCGTTCGTTTCGCTCTCCGCTTTCTCGCCTACCTGCACTGACGAGTCTCCCTCGTAGCGCATCACCTCGTCCGGCGCGTCGAGGCGCAAGCAGCCTGGCTTCCACCCGCTCAGCTGGAAGAAGCGGCATGAGCCGAAGTGGTTCATCGTCCGCGACAGCTACATCGTCGCAGTCGAGAGCCCCGCATCGGTGCGCTCCAACGCTTGCTATCGCGCTCATTGCAATGCTGACGAACGCTGCGCAGACCGAGGTCTTCGAGGTCATCATGGTCGACTCGACCTTCGAGATCGAGCGTCCGACGCGCATGTATCGCAAAGGCCTCAACTTCCTTCATGCGAACGGCACGAACGACAGCCTCGACGATGTCGACCCGGAACTGCGCGAAGGCAACGTCGACCTCTTGGCCCAGGTTGGGCGGCCTCAAGGCCATCGCGGCGCAGGTGATCCGAACGACCCTTCGACTACCGACCCGAAGAGCAACAACGAGAAGGAAGACCTCAAAAGCTCGTCCGTCCACACCTTCTACCTCCGCTCGAGCGAACGTAAGTTGCGCCTCGTCGCAAAGACGGAACGTCAGCAGGACCAGTTTGTCGCCAGTATCGAGAAGATGCTGGCCAAGACGATTTGGGCAGGCAAGAACCGCTTCGAGAGCTTTGCGCCTATCCGGTTGAACGTCGCGGCGCAGTGGCTGATCGACGGGGTTAGTCGTTCGTCTCCTCGTCCGTTTTCTCCGGCTGACAGCTCTTCACGCAGCGCGACTACTTCTGGAGTCTCTCACGCGCGATTTCTCTCGCCAAGGAGAAGATCTAGTGCGTACTGCTCGCCTCCTTCACCTGCGCCGCGAGCTGACTCGCCTTCCCGCGCAGCATCCACGACTGGTGGCTCTCACCTGAGCTCTACCTTCGCCGCCCCGTCGCCAACAACGGTGTGTGCCACCCTCCTTTTCGCGCTATGCTTGCTCACTAACCACCGCTCGCAGAGAAATGGCGGCTCGACAAGCTTCTTCAGCGCAAGGCTCGCGAGGGCGTCCAGGTGTTCGTCATCGTCTACAAGGAGGTCTCGAACGATTTTACGCCTGTCGACTCGCAGTACACCAAGCTCCGCCTGCGAGGCTTGCATCCGAACATCCACGTCCAGCGCTCGCCTTCGCACACCTCTACCGGCACGCTCCTATGGTCCCACGTGCGTTGCTCACGGCTTCTGTTCTTTCGGGCGCGCTGACGACGCTCTCCTCCCGCAGCACGAGAAGATGTGCGTGATCGACGACACCATCGGATTCATGGGCGGCCTCGATCTCTGCTTCGGTCGCTGGGACTCTCCCGGCCACGTCCTCGTCGACGACGGACCTAATCCCATCAAGGACGGCCGAGCAGTCCACGGCCTCGACACCGAGACCGCCGCGAGGCACCAGATCTGGCCCGGCAAGGATTACTCAAACCAGCGCGTCCTCGACTTCCACACGCTCTCGAAGCCGTTCGAAGACATGTACGACCGCGGCAAGGTGCCGAGGCAGCCCTGGTGAGTCGAGGCGTGTCAGCATACCCTGACAATTACTGACATCGCCTTCCGCAGGCACGACATCGGCCTCCAAATCATCGGTCAGCCCGCTCGCGACCTCTGCCGGCACTTCATTCAGCGGTCCATTCGCTTTCATTGCTGTTGTTGCCGGCGGATGCTGACGAGCTCCTCTTCAGATGGAACTACCTCCTTCGCATTAAGAACCACTCCGTCAAGATGCCTTTCCTCCTCCCCGCGCCCGACTTCACGCCCGAGCAGCTGCAGAACCAGCGCATCACCGGTACCTGCGAGGTCCAGATCTGCCGCTCGGTCGGCCCGTGGTCGATGGGCATCTCGCACATCGAGCACTCGATTCAGAACGCCTACATCAAGTGCATCCAGCTCAGCGACCACTTCGTCTACATCGAGGTGCGTCGAAGTTCTCTCGTTCTTTCCCATGCCCGCTCACGCTTCTTCCTCGCCCGCAGAACCAGTTCTTCATTTCGTCGACCGAGGTTGAGGGGACCGTCATCGAGAACAGGATCGGCGACGCCCTCGTCTCGCGCATTGTGCGAGCCCACAGCGAAGGAACGCCTTGGCGTGCGATCATCGTCACTCCGCTCGTGCCAGGATGTGCGTCGCCCTGGCTTCGTCTCGCTTCCTCCGCACTAATCCGTCTCCTCTGCGCAGACCCTTACCCGCTCGACCACTCCGAAGCCGGTTCCGTCCGCCTCATCATGGAATGCCAGTACCGCACGATCTGCCGCGGCGAGCACTCGATCTTCGCCCGCTTGCGCCGCGAAGGAATCGACCCCGACGAGTACATCACCTTCTTCGGCCTGCGCTCGTGGGGCACACTCTCGAACGGCGCCTTGACGACCGAATCGGTGCGTCTCACTCGCTATTCTCGTTCTCGATGCTCCGCTGACTGGCTGCTCTCACTCGCAGACCTACATTCACGCCAAGGGTATGATCGTCGACGACCGCATCGCCATCATCGGCTCGGCCAACATCAACGAGCGTTCTCAGCGCGGCGACCGCGACTCTGAGCTCGCCTGTATCATTCGCGACACCGACATGATCGACTCGACCATGGCTGGCAAGCCTTACCAGGTTGGCCGGTTTGCGCACACGATGCGCGTCCGCTTGATGCGCGAGCATCTCGGTATCGATGTTGACGAGCTCGAGGCGAGCGAGGGGCGGGAGGAGCTCGAGGCGCACGAGGCAGAGCACTTGACCTCGAAGGACGAGCAGTGGGATCCCGACCACGAGCAGAGCGTCGGCGATGACCACGGCGCCAAGGCGGGTAAGACGTCGCGCTTCATTCGGAGTGCGGCGGGCGCGACGGGCGAGTACGTCAGCGGCGTGAGCGGGGGCGTCGCCGAGGCTGCGTCGCTCGGGTTGCAGAAGACGGCTGGCAAAGTCACGACCGACATGAAGCTCAAGATCGACAAGAAGGAGAACAAGCCGCCTCAGTCTGTCGACGACGACGAGGAGACGAACGCCGACCGCATCGTGCAGGGCTCGTCCGGCACGGATGGCTTCGCTTCGACAGTCGTCCCGACGCTCGAAGAGAAGGTCATGAGCGAGGGCCGCCCTTCCGGCTCGAACAAGCTCGATGGCAATGTGCGCGACTTGCGTCAGCAGGCGGCGAGGGAGCGCAAGCAGGGCCCGACGCTCCAGTCGCCGGCTCAGAAGCGCGAGGCGAAGGAAGAGGCGGAAGGCGACGCGGGCGGACAGCGCCCTCCCTCTGGCGAACCGCAGCCGAGTGACAAGCACCCTCAGCGCAGCAAGCTCGGCGAAAAGACGACGCAGCACAACACGTCTGTCGACGACACGCGCAAGCTCGACATGGAGGATGCCAGTTCGCCCGAGGAGCCTGAGCCGCTTTCGCCTATGAACGAGGACGGGCCCGAGTCGAAGGACAAACAGGACGAGCGCGAGAAGCAGGTCAAGGTCCACCCGCCTCCGCCCGACTTGAACGCCGACCCGCCCGACATCGCCAACGCCGACCAGGGCTACCGCTCGCTCGACCAGGACGGCAAGGACGGCAAGTCGGCTGTGGCTTCGGCTGAGAGTCGCGAGAACCTCCACCGCACGACGAGCCAGTCGCAGGGCAACGAGCAGGCCGTGAACCGCAACACGATCACGTCGAGCTTGCGGCGGAACTTGCGCGAGCGCGGGGCGTACACGATCCCGCTTGCGGCGCCAAAGATCGACCCGTATGGCTTTGCGGACCCGCTTGTCGACTCGTTCTACAAGGACGTTTGGCTGGCGGCGGCTGTCAGGAACACGCAGGTCTACCGCAAGGTGTTCCGCTGCATCCCTGACGACCTTGTCCAGACGTGGAAGCAGCACCGCGAGTTCCAAGTGCGTTCGCTCAGCCTTCTCCTGCCAATTCGACATCGCTGACGCTCATTGCTCGCGCAGAACTGGGCTGAACGGCACAACAAGGTTCGTTCCGCCTCCTCCGCTCTTCCCCTTTCCCCATGCTGACCTTCCCGTCTCGCAGGCCCCGAAGAACGTCGTCCCGCCCGGCGACGAGGCACCTCACAGCGACCCCGCCGGTCACTCCGGCCAGCACGGCGCGGGAGGCGGCGGTTCAGGCGGTGGGGCGATGGGCCAGGGGCGGGACGAGCCCGGTCCTACGATGGACAAGGAGAACCGCGGGTCGGCGATGGAGTCGATCAAGTCGGCTGGTATCCCTGGCGGCGGTACGGGGGAGAAGGAGAAGAGTCGCTCGAGGGACAAGTTGGATGAGTATGGGGTTGCGGAGGAGAAGGGCGGGATTGAGCGGTCGACGGAGGGCAAGTCGACTATAACGCGGAGGGCGAGGTCGTCGACTGTTGCGGCGTCGGAGGACTCGAGCGCGACTGCTGTCGAAGGCGGGAAGAAGGCGCGCGGGCGGAGCGGGACGGTCCTGCGCAGCGGCGGCGGCTCGAACGGCGAGAAGAAGAAGGATGCGGCGTCGCCTAGCTCGCCTGGTGGTGCGAATGGCGGGTCGAGCGAGTCCGGCGGAGGAGGAGAGGGGAATGAGGGGCATGAGCACGAGGATGCGTTCCCCAAGGAGGAGAGGGAGCAGATGGAGGCGCTCCTGGAGGAGGTCACGGGCCAGCTTGGTGCGTTCGCGTGCGTCTCCTTCCTGAGAGTGGGCGAGCTGACAGACTCCGGTCGTTCACTCGCAGTCGTCTTTCCGACAAGGTTCGTGTCCTTCTCCTCTCCGACCTCTCGCGACTCCCGCTGACTCTCGTCGTCTTCTCCTACACCCGCAGGTTCCTCGAGGCAGAGTCCGCAGGCGGCAACTTCCTGTTCTCGAAGGACCGCATCCCGTGCGTCGTCCCCACGCACTCGTCCTCTTCCTCATCGCCGTTCGCTGACTCTTTCCTCCCTCGACTTTCTCCTCTTCTGCAGACCCATGGCTGTGCGTTGCGCCCTTGACTCTTGGAAACGAACTGCGCTGACTGTTTGGTTGATTGCCCGCGCAGATCTACGACTGAGGCGCGTTTCCGCGATAGACACTTTGACTCGCATTACACTTTTTTCTCCGCAATAGCAACTTCGTAATCAGCGCGATTCCCCGCGGGCAACCGTGGCACGTGAATCGTTTTTCGGGAGCCGGCTTTCTTTCTCTCTCTGCGAACGAGGTTGACTTCGACGCTTCGCTCTTTCTCTCTCTCGCACTTTGTTACTCTCCCAAAGAACGACACTACACACGAGATGGTCCAGTCATTCGAGGCACAGGAAGACCAGCTCTTCAAGGAGCAGGTCGAGCAGGTCAAGCAGTGGTGGAAGGCAAGTCGCCCGCCGTCATCGCCCGGCAAAGTCGCCCTCACGGCCTTCGTTGGGCTGGACGAGCACCGCAAACTGACACTCGATGGCAACCCACACAGTCGCCGCGCTTCAAGGGCCTCGTCCGCCCGTACTCGGCAGAGGACGTCGTCTCGAAGCGGGGCACGCTCGAGATCCAGTACCCGTCCGGCGTCCAGGGCAAGAAGCTGTGGAACATGCTCAACCAGAAGTTCAAGGACGGCCTCCCCAGCCACACCTACGGAGCGTGCGTCGTCCGCTCGTTCTCCCATCTCGCGAAGAAGTCGCCGGTGCATCTCGGACGAGGGGGAGGGGCTCAACTCGCGGGGCTCTTTACGGGGGATAACGACTGCGCGGGGACGACTCGCTGTGCATGGATGGACTGCTGCTGCTCGACGACCAACGCGCCACGGGACTGTCGCCGAAAGGATGACGAGCTGACCTCTTGCTCTCCCGGACTCGGTTTCGTTCCCCTCGCGGAATGAACACAGGCTCGACCCCGTCCAGGTCACGCAGATGGCCAAGTACCTCGAGACGGTCTACGTCTCGGGATGGCAGTCGTCGTCGACCGCGTCGTCGACCAACGAGCCCGGTCCCGACCTCGCCGACTACCCCTCCAACACGGTCCCGAACAAGGTCGAGCACTTGTTCATGGCCCAGCTCTTCCACGACCGCAAGCAGCGCGAGGCTCGCTCCCGCATGTCGCCCGAGGAACGCGCAAAGACGCCCTACATCGACTACCTCCGCCCCATCGTCGCCGACGCCGACACTGGACACGGTGGCTTGACCGCCGTCATGAAGCTCACCAAGATGTTTGTCGAGAAGGGCGCCGCCGGTATCCACGTCGAGGACCAGATGCCCGGAACGAAGAAGTGCGGTCACGTACGTTGCGCTTCCGCCCGACGCTTTTGCTGTCGCTTCCTCGGAAAAGACGCGGCGGTGTCGTCGAATAAACGCTCCTGTACTATCGCTGACTTTGTCCCCGCGCAGATGGCCGGCAAGGTCCTCGTCCCGATCTCTGAGCACATCAACCGCCTCCTCGCCATCCGCCTTCAGTACGACATCATGGGCGTCGAGAATCTCGCCGTCGCTCGCACCGACGCCGAAGCCGCGACGCTCCTCTCGTCCAACGTCGACGAGCGCGACCACCCCTTCATCCTCGGCTCGACCAACTCGGACCTCGACGAGGACCTCGTCACGGTCATGTCTCGCGCCGAGCGCAACAACGTCGTCGGCGAGGCTCTGCAAAAAGTCGAGGACGACTGGATCAAGTCAGCCAACCTCATGCTCTACTCGGACTGCGTCGCTGCCGCCGCCAAGAAGAAGGGCGCGTCGCAGAGGAAGATCGACGAGTTCGTCAAGCAGTCGGCGCATGTCTCGCACTCCAAGGCCAAGAAGCTCGCGAGTCAGTTGCTCGGCGTCGACCCGTACTGGAACTGGGACACTCCCCGTACTCGCGAGGGTTTCTACCGCTACCAGGGCGGAACCCAGTGCGCCATCAACCGCGCTGTCGCCTTCGCGCCGTACTGCGACCTCTTGTGGATGGAGACCAAGAACCCCGACTGTGCGTTGCGCCGTCTGTCCCTCGGCGACTGCGCGAGCTGAGCTGACCTCCGTCCCTCCTCACTCGCAGACAAGCAGGCGAAGGAGTTTGCCGAGGGCGTCCACGCCGTCTACCCCGACCACTGGCTCGCCTACAAGTGCGTTCGAGCGCTCTTCACACTCGAGATTCGCCGCTAACTCGGATACTCGCGCAGCCTCTCGCCCTCGTTCAACTGGTCGGCTGCCGGCCTCAACGAGGACCAGATGAAGAGCTACGTTTGGGACTTGGGCAAGCTCGGCTTTTGCTGGCAGTTCATCACCGTGCGTCTTCCTTTTTCCCGACTTAGCAGCGAGTTTGGAGGCTCACCTTCCCAATCTCCTTCTCAGCTCGCGGGTCTTCACTCGAACGCCTACATCTCCGACTTGTTCGCCAAGGGCTTCTCCAAGGTGCGTTGTCGTACGCGTCGCTGGGAGAAGGAGAACGTTGCTGACTCCGCTTCTCGACCGCTTGCAGGAGGGCATGAAGGCCTACGTCAACATCGTCCAGTCCAAGGAGCGCGAGATCGGCTGCGACGTCCTCACTCACCAGAAGGTGCGTTGCGAGTCTTTCGATCCGTAAGAAGAGTACAGACTGACCTTCTCCTCCCTTGCAGTGGTCTGGCGCCGACTACGTCGACAACCTCCTCAAGACCGTCACGGGCGGTATCTCGTCTACCGCCGCAATGGGCGCTGGCGTCACCGAGTCGCAGTTCAAGTAGGCTTCGACGCCTCCCCTCCTCCTTCTCCTCGCGGACACTTGTACCATCCCTCTCTCTCTCTCTCGCGCCGGCCCACTTTTGCTGCATCCTCTGCCCGCTTTTGCTGTACTATGCACCCTATTTCTGTCCACAGTGTACTGAAACAAGAACAACTGTTGGTTTTCGCTCCAGCGGTTTCAGTGGAGGAGAGGGACTTCGCGCTCGTCTCGCTCGACGGCGGCGGCGACCGTCACCTCGCGTCGCTGTCACGCACTGTATGCACGCCTCGTTCTGGCCTTATTGTGTTGTCCTCGCGCGCTCACCGCGCCCACCTTCCGCAAGCGCTCGCTCGAGCTTGACCTTCCCAAGTCGGCAGTCGCCCGCACGAAGCGAAACGTCTCTCTCCTCGCTTCACACGGCCATCCGCGACGCTGTTCGCTGCTCCTGCTCGCTCTACTCGACGTTGTGAACGCCCGCCGCTCGCTCGAAGTACCGCCAGTCGTCCCCGCCTCGCCCTCTTCCCACCCTCGTCGCTCGTTCCCAAGCCCGGTTCTCATCAGCTTTCCCTCCTTTCGCCGCCCTCCTTCCGCCCAGCGACAACGCGTGACGCTCAGTGAACGGTCCCATCATGTTCTCCTGCACATTGGCGACGGCGGCGGTCTTCTTCGTGGCCACCTTGGGCGGATCACTCGTTGAGGCCATTGTCATCACTTCGCCGACGGTGTTGACGGTCTGGGAGTGCGTCCCTCCTCTTCTTATGTCCGTACCAAAAGTGGACGGAGAGCTGACGAATCTCCTCTTTCAGCCAAACCGGCAGCGACCGCAACCTGATCACTTGGTCGCTCAAGCCCGAGACCTATCCTCCTCCCGCGACGCCTTTCTTCGATATCTACATCCGAAACGGCGTGGGAAGCATGTACACTCCCTCGCTGAACGTGCGTCTGCCCGACTTTCGGGCCGTTTCCGCTCAGAAGGAGGGTGCTGACCCATTTGGTGGAACAGCTGCGATTGGCGGCGAGCGTCAATGCGTTGACGACGACGCTCCTCGAGGTGGCGGATGCGCAGAAGTTCATCCCGGGCATTGGTTGTCCGTCCTATCCCTTCCTCTCCTCCAACGAGTCCTGACTGACCCGCTTCTCCTGACGCAGACCAACTCTTCTTCTCCGATCCCGCCAATCCAGAGACCGTCTACTGTGACTCGGAGATCTTTGCCATCGGAACGGCAGGCGGAGGAAATGCTGGACCGATGTCGCCCTCCTCGACGACCGAAGCGCCAGACGCGGAGGCGACTTCGACGACAACCTCGAGTGACGAGGCGGAGACATCGTCTGCGACGGCAGAGGAAGGCGTTTCGTCCACCGACAGCCTATCATCAATCTCGACGTCCTCCGACTCTTCCTCGCCCGTCACTTCCGCTCCCTCCTCCGCGTCCTCGCCCACCTCTTCTCCCTCTCGATCACGAGCCAAGAGCGGTATCACAGCAGCACCAGTCCCAGGAGGACCGGACGAGCAAGGCTTCAACCTCGTTCCAAGCGGAGCAGGGCGGACAGCGGTTGGCGGCGGAGCGGCGGTTCTGGTTGTTCTCGCGGCGGTGGCATCGCTGTGAGGTGGAAGAGAAGTCTTTGCAGGCCCTTGATACCCCTACTCTATTAGCTCAGACTGTAGCCCTTTCGCCCGGCGCTGTATCCTTCTCTTCCTCCTTCATCCGCATAGCATCCCTTTTCCTCCATCTCCTCGCCCTCCGACGGACCGTATGTGCCCTTCGTAATACTGCTGCAAATCGCCTGAGCCTTGACGCGATGCAAGCCCTGAGAGAGGGGACCATCAAAAGAAGCCTAATCTTCGCTCGAGTAGGGGTCGGGTGCGAGGGACCGCACACCGTGAGAGACGGGGCAGTTCGGCCTCGACACCTCTGGCCTTCTCGTCCTGACCTCGGTGGATAGGGCGCGGAGCCCGGCGAGGGGAGAGAAGGCGCGAGCGAGAGGGGAGGGGAGAGGAAAGTGGAAGCGTGTGAGGGAGCAAGCGAGATGAGAAAGCCTCTCGAGACTGGTCAGCGGTCAGCCTCGCCTATTGGCGTCCATTGCAGGCGCAATGAGACTGACGACTGAGGCCGAATGCAGGATAAGCTGGGTTGATGCAGGTCGGAGAAGTGCCGTGGCGAGTCGAGCAGGGCGATTAGGCTGAACCATCGTCGGAAGAGGGGTACTCGACGGGCTGCCCGCCAGGCGGCATGTTGTAGGCGTACGCGTTCCCTCCTCCGCCGTACGCCGGATCCATCATCGGCTGCGTCGTCGGGATGGCGTACGGGTCGAACGGCGCGGAATGACCGCCGCCCATGCCGAGGTAAGGGTCGATCGGTCCGCCCGGCTGAGGTGCCGCGCTCGTCGGGATGTCGTAGGGGTTCATCGGCGCCGAAGTCGAGGCGGTCGCGGCGAGGAGATGCTGGATATTGTGCGGCTGGTAGTCCTGCTGCGGGTAGGCGCCGATCGGAATGTCGGCTTGTTGCTGCTGACCGTACTCGACTGGCGAACCGTATTCGCCGCCGCCATTCTCGTAGCCGTACTGCCCGTTCGCATAGCCGTCCTCGACGTCCGGCGAGCCCTCGTAGCCTGCCTGAGCCCGTGGACGACGCTTGACAGGCTTCTTCGCGGCTCCCTTCTTCTCGTCCTCCTCGACAAACGTCTGCCAGATGTAGCCCGCGCACTGATCGGCTCCGGGCAACTCCTGAATGAGCGCCTTGACGACATTGTTCGACAAGCCGAAGTAGTCGGGACCCGAGACCGAGCCCGAGTGCTGCTTGTTGCGGATCTTCATCGTCGCTTTGAGAACCTGCGTCCAGGCGCCGGTGGGCGTGCCGGAGGTGATGACGACACCCGGCTGGTCGGAGGGGTACATCTCGAAGAGGGGCATGTTGTTGCCGCCGTCGACGATGCGGCAGGTGTAGTCGGCGTGAGCGTTCGCATCGATCATCGACGGGTAGCGCCTGCGGGAGCAAGGCGTCAGAGGGTGAAGGGTGAGCGAGAGTTTCAGCGGCGCAGCATACCTCGTAGACTCGTAGCCGACCGGGAAGATGTAGCGCTCAGTGTGAAAGTACTCGCCGGGGTTGATAGCTGCAGCGAGGGAATTTGAGTCAGCGTAAGTTCTCGTCAAGGTGGAAAAGCAGGCGAACGTACCGCCGAGAGCGCGAACCTGGATGATCCCGAGCGAGAGCGGCAAGCGAGGCGATCCATCCGCATTGCGCGCGACATGCGGGATGGTGAAGGTCCCGCTCGTCAGGTTGTGCTGGCGGACCTTCTTCGGCCTCGACGCGCCCGTGTCCGACTTGCGGCCTCGCTTGCCCGACGAAGGAGCCGAGTACACGCGAGGCTTGTAGTCGCCTCCATCGTCTTCTGCAGGCGCCTCGGCTGATCCGACCGAGACCGCGTCGTCGTCCATCGCGACGTCGATATCGCCCGCCGGCAAAGCTGGCTGCGGAGGTGCTGCAGGTGCCGGCTCGGGCGCAGGAGCGGCGACAGGAGCGGGCGCAGCGACGGAAGGCGCTTCTGCTGCAGTGGCGGCGGCGAGAGCTTCAGCGTTGTTGCGCGCCATGGAAGCGCCGACGGGGACGGCCGCGCCGATCGAGGCGAACGGGTTTGGGAGGTCGAAAGCCGGAACTGCTGGTTCTGCTCCCGTACTCGGACGAGCTGACCTCCTCCCTCCAGCTCCCTGCGAGTCGTCCCGCCGCCGCTTTCCGCCCCTCGGTCCATCGCTGACCACCTCGAGCGTCTCGCCTGACAGCGCCCGCTCGACATTCGCCGCAATTGTCGAACCCTGCAGTCCGAGTACAGCGACAGCCGGGAACGTCGGTCGAGGCAAGCCGTGCGCAATGCGCTGGGCGTTGTACTCGTCGCGCAGCCTCTGGGCGGCAACGGCGGTACGGAGGTGTTGCGATCGCTGGCGGGGAGGGAGGGTCTTGGGGAGAGTAGCCGGACCGAGAGGTCTGTTGTAGTCGTCGCCGGACATGTCGGTATTGGTCGTGAGGACGGGCAATTTGCGAGGACGGTCTTCGAGAGAGGGGAGGGAAGGGGGATGGAGGAGCGGGTAGGCGCGCTCGTGTTCCGTCCTGTACGACTCGTCGCGCATGATCGACACGTCTTGGGACGTCAGGCCGGCAGCCATCTCGAGCTCGATGACGCGGTCGAGGAGGGCTGACTTGTCCTCGCGAAGGCGGTGGATGAGCTTCTGCGCCCGGTGCAGCGCGAGGGAAGCATCGTCGCGGCTCTGCGTGGGCGAGACATCAGTCAGCAGTCCGCCTTCACCTGATACAGACTCTCGACACGCACCTCGACGGCCGCAAAGTACAGCTTCTTCAGCTTGCGATACTTGCTCGCCGAGACTCGGTCCTCATCCTCCTCGTCCTCGGTGACCGCACTGACGCCCCTCGACCCGCTCGCGACCGCGTTCCCCTGCCCTCCATGCGTCGTCAGCCCCGCATACCCTCCGGCCGTGTTGGGCGAGGCGGCAAAGACGGGCGGTGCGGGTGCGAGTGCCGGCGGTGCAAGGACTGGTGGTGCTGGTGCGGCGACGGGCGCGGCCGTCACGGGCGCCGAGGATCCGCCAAACTTCAGCTTGATCGTGGGACCTCGCGGCGGAGGAGCGGGTTGGGCGTGCGTCTCCAGGGTGGGCGAGTCGGGCGGGTCGTGCAGCAGCAGAAGCGAGTCAGTAGAAGCAGTCGGCACCGCGTGCAGGCGCTCCAGCAGGACGATAGGGAGTGGGTGAGCGTGCCAGGGTGGAGCTGGCGAGCTGGTGAGAGAGTGAGACGGTGTTGGCGCAACAGCGTGGTTCGTCGAGCGAGTTGGGTGTGGTCGTGACGCGTAGATGAATCTCTGTAACTGTCCAGCACCTGACTGCCCCTCCTCAGTACTCTGCGCGGTCAGGAGGTGTGGGTGGAGAGCAGGACTTGGACGCCTCGCTCGCTTCCTCCGGTTGCGTGAACTATGTAGCGAGTCTCTGTAGCCGAGCAGCATCTTCCCAGTCAAGCTTTGGCTCGAAACGGGGCAGCGGTTGAGGAGGAAGAGGCGTTGACATTCGCCGGAGATTGACAAGGCCTCTCGAGCTCCTCCCGCTCACTTTGAGTGCTCGAAGGGGGGTTACAAGCTGCCCTACAGCATCTACCTGGTCTGCTGGGTCCGCCACACCGCTGCCTGCTTCGCCCGCCCTTCTCTCTCTCCCCTCGACCCTCCCCACATCGCCTGCCTCGACTCGACCATGTCTGGCGTCCTGACCTTCCGCGGTGCGTCCTACGGTCGCCATCGAGACAGGAAAACAGCTGACCGGGATCGCTCCCCGCAGAGACGGTCAAGCTGGTGCGAGACTACCGTTTGTCCTCCTTCGCTCGTCTCTGGCCCCCCTCAGACAGCCCGCTAAGCCGCTTTCTGTACTCTCACGCAGTCGAAGTCGCCTTTCACACCCTTCTATACATCCGCCAAGTCTACCCAGCCCGTACGCCGCAGCCCTTCCCCTGCTATATCGACCAACACGCTGACCTCGCTCGATTCGGTCTCTTACCGTCCACAGAGCTCTTCGCCGAGGTCAAGAAGTACAACATCCCTATCTGGCAGTCACGACATCCGATGCTGAACGAGTATCTCGGGCGAATACTCGAGTGCATTCAGGGAGAGATGGAGAAGGTGCATGCAGTCCGCTCGTCCTTTCGTCGCTCTGGCTCACCTTTCTTGCACAGGGAACGATACGAAGAGTCATCTTCGTGGTGAAGGATGCGGGACCGGACGAGACGCCTCTCGAGCGGTTCATCTTCGAGTTCGAGTGGTTGATCCCGGAGCGGGACATGCCGAAGGCTGGCGACGACTTCACGTGGGTCCACTCGCTCGCCAAGCAGTGCGCCTGCTGACCTCTCGCTTCGGACAGTCCAGCGGCGCACGGTCTTGCAGAAGGCGACGTGGAAGAACTGCTTCGAGCGTGTCTTCTCAAGCTCAACCACTCTTCCGCGTATCTGACACGGCTCGAGGGCGGTGCGTCACCCGTTCAGTCCTCAAAACGCGATTTGCGAGCTGACGACTTCCCGCAGAGGTCTCGTTTGCCGTCCTGGTCGAGCTGAAAGACGACGCGCCTCCGCCAGAATCGAAGGCTGCGCGCGAAGGGGTTTGTCACCCAATTCCCTCGCCCTTCTAGCGGCTCACTGATGTCTGATTCCGACGCAGCACGTTGGTACAGAGTGGATCCCAGCAGATAGCCGGCAAGCGATGGAGGACGACGGCGAGGGACCAGGTCGAGGGCCGACGAACAAGAGCGAGCTGAGCAGCATCTCGCCACTCGAGGCGATCCGACTGGGCATGATCAACGTGCGTCGCTCTACTTCGCGGGACGGGACGTTCGGTGACGATCATTCGCGCGCAGATGGACATGCGGGTCGAAGAGTGTGCGGCCAAATTCAAGGGAGAGGACGACGAGATGGCGGATAGCAGTGCCGAGGTGGCGATACGAAAGCTGCCAGATCGTAAGGGCAAGGGAAGGGCATACTAATTATCCTCTTCAGGACGCTTCGAGAGATGTTCCGCTAGTTCGACCTTCTCACTCGTGCACCTGTCCCTTCAGGCGGCTCCTAAGCGAGAGGGCGCGGCTATTTCATGCCGAAGATCCACTACCGAGTGACTTGACGCAGAGAAAGGGGTCAAGCGGGCGAAGTCATCATTTCGCTCGTCGGTTCGCACCTCGACGCCTCTCTCTCTTCTTCTCTTCTTCACCTCCATCTCGCTCTTCCGCAACGGCCGGCTTATCATGCTTCGCTCTGCGCCACCTCTCCCACGCGAACTGCTGCGCAGCATCTTCCTGCAGGAGCTCTACGACGAGAGGGGTCCTGACTGGGCCGAGTTCAACGGGAAGAGGTTCTCCCTCGTTTGCCGCGACGGGGCGGCTCCCGGGCAGGAGTTGACGTTCTACCGGCCTGTGCTGGACTATGGGCTGTCATTCCGCTGGAATCGCCCCGAAAATCCGCTACAGCAGTTCGCGAAGCACCTTGCACGCTTCCCACACATCGCCCACCTCGTCCGCGACCTTCGCCTCGAGTGCATCAACGACAAGGCTGAGACGAAGGAGGCTCTGCGGACCATCCTCCAGCGTTGCGATCGCATCACGGAGATTTGGTGACCAAACAAGCTCAACCTCCTCACGACAGAAATCCGCAGCCTCCCTCTTGCAGAGCTCACGGTCCTGCAAATCGGCAATTCTGAGCGATGGGACTTCTCCGTGCTTCTGAGAGCGCTGCCGCTTTGTGTCAAACTCCGCAGCCTCGCCCTTAGCGTCGCCCTTCCTGGCGATCCTCCTTCCTCTTTTGCCGCATCAGCGGTTGTACCCCTCTCACTCCGGACGCTGCTCCTCCAACGTACTCATCGGCGAGAATTCGCCTCTGTGCGCGCCGAGGCCTACTTCTACGGACAAATTCCGCGCTACGCTTGCCCCAAGGCATTGACGACACTCTCCATCTCGCTACACGCCCAGAATTTCGAGACGCTCTTGCGCTGGGTCAAGCAGTGCAGTAGCTTGCAGGACCTCGAGTTCTGCATCGTTGATGCCGATCCCACGGACTTTGTCGTCGAGCTCACTTCGCTGCTTGCGCATCTAGATCACCTGATGACTTTGCGGTTCACGCAGGAGAAGCAGACAAAGTCGGACATGTGGGAAGCGGAGAACGACCGGTGCAGGACAGGACTCGGAGAGCTTGCCGCGCATCTCTCACACTTCCTCGACACACTCCCTCCGACGCTCGTCGAACTCGAAGCCGCGTTCTGGGCGCCTGCCGGCGATTGCAACGATCTTGTCAAGACGTTCTTGCGGTCGCGGAGTCACGACTCGCCTCTCAGGAGGGTCATCTTCGACGCCGAGGTCAAGAAGTTTGGTCGAGTGCGCCTCAAGGCAACCAAATCGCACGAGTGGATCGAACAAGGCGTTGAGAGCAAGACGGACTGGAACTTGGTGAGTTGTCTTTTCACTCTGCTGCAGCCGTTCGCTATACTGACGTCCCTTCCGCTCGCAGACGTACAAGCACTGGGCTGGCTGCAGTTGCGGCGACTGGGACTACGGCTCGTGGACGCTCGATGGTCCCGACGCAGCCGAGTACGAGGTATCTGATCCTTCGGTGGAGCTTGAATGGTGATCTGAACGCTTGTAACACGGTGCACTCCCTCCTCACCGTCCGCATAACGTCGCAGAGCGCTCGTCGCTCGAACAGCAATCGAAAAGCCGTGTCAGCCATGGCCAGCGTTTCAGCAATGCCACTCGTGCCTTCCAGCCCACCCGCTCTGCCTACAGCGCGTTGAACAGCCGTTGAAACACTTGAGGAGATGAAGTTGTGAGGAACGGCAGGAGGCTGAAGGGGTCCGGCGAGTGTGTCGAATCGTGCGGTCGATCATGCAGAGTGGAAATACGTGGTAGCTGGCTCTGCAAGCCCGTCTGAGCCGTGTAAGCGGTGAGCGAGCGAGGTGACTCCAGCCGACCGCCGACCTCCTCCTCGCTGCTTCCCCTCCGCCAACTCACCACGGTCAGCGCTGACCAGCCGAAGCCTGCTCCAACGCTTTCCCGCTTGCTCCTTCGCCTTCACGCAATGCCGCATAGCTTTCCTCGACTCCCCTCGAGCTTGTCGAGCGCATCTGCAAGGATGCAGCAGTGGGCGCACTCGACTCGCAGGTCGAGCAACTCGCGAGGAGCGTCTCGCCGGTCTGTCGGGAATGGAAGGAAATTGGCCAGGCGCTTGCGTTCAAGCAACCTGTGCTGGGGCGGTACTCGAAGCGGTGTGACTTAGCAGCCGTCCTGGTCGAGCACCTCGACCGGTACCCTGACCTAGCAGACCTCGTGCGGGTGCTGAAGGTGCAGTTCTCTTGGAACGCAACGGACGCCGCACTGGATTCGCTGTGTCAACTCCTCGCCCGATGCCGCCAGGTGACCGAAGTCGTGTGGCACAACGATAAGCTGAAGATGATCCCTGCGGCGCTACCCTTCTTCCCCTGCGCTACCCTCACCTCACTGGACCTTGGACATCTGCTCGGACGCTGGGATCCTGCACCGGTCTTGCGCTTTCTTCCGGAGTGTCTACAACTCCGTCACCTGACTTTGCGCTCCAAACAACTTCCAGCCCACCCCGGCGCACCAATGTCCGCCCCATCAGGCGTCTCTGCTCTCCCTCTTCGCACCCTGACCCTCGAGTTTAACGGCTACAACAACCAGCGTCGACTCGAGCCACCCCCTTCATTCGCTCCTATCGAAGCCATCTTCCTCCAGCGCTTCTTCCGACTGATCGACCCTACAACTCTCACATCCCTCACAATTTCGTTCCATGCTCGCAACTTTGGCGGCGTGAGCAAGTGGATCAGTGGATGCGTCAACCTTCGCAGCCTGATCGCTTGGATGCAGGACGGCGACTTGACACCTTACACGTCGCGCTTGACATCCATGATCCGCCCACTCAGGCAGCTACGACAGCTCAAGCTTCGCGGAGTCGGCAACAGTAGCGAGGAGCGCGGCCCAAGTTTGTCCGAAAGGGAGGAAAACTTCCATGCCTTGACTTTGTCCGCCTTTCTCGACTCGCTGCCCACGACGCTTGTGATGCTCAGAGCAGGGATCTGGGCACCGGCAGGCGACTGCTGCGGGATCGTCAAGGCGTTCTTGAGATGCAAATTGTACGATTCGCCATTGATCTCCGCCACAATCGACGCAGCGACTCATGACTGGAGTCGCATCCCAGTCACAGCAACCAAGCAGCAGCTTGTGTACCAAGGTCATGGGCGCCGCGGCTCTTGGGCAGCTGTCCAAGAGTCCGAAGGGGTACTCGCTCGCCCTGCTGCACTTCCCGAGGCAACTCAAGGATCTGCGGAGGACCCCTGGCCGTTTGCTACGCCCAGGCAGAGGCGTCGCGGTGCGCGTTGGCTTATGGCGAGTCTTGGACCACCCTCCACTCCGTTTAGATTGGCGGCTGACATTTCGCGTTCTCCCACAGAGCTTTCGCTACAGCGAAGGCTACTGCGAGACTTGCTATTGGTTGGATAGGGGGAGTTGGGAGCTCGATGGCCCGCAGAAGGGACAGAAGCAGGGACAGTCCTGGTGGCGGGACTGCGAGAAGGAGACGCTGGAGTAGACATTTCGGTGAAGTAAGGCATTTAGCACATTCCTCTCGTGAGAGGCGCACAGCTTGTTTCTCAGCTGTGGCGCTCATCAGGTCGGGTGATGCGACCAGAGCAGCGCGACGTCGGCTCGCTCTTTCGCTGCGCTGCTCGTTGAAGACTCGCTCAATCGCGGACTTGTTACCCGTCTCCCCTTCGAGCTTCCTCTCAAGACCAGCGTGAATGATCCCCCAGCACACGAAGCTTTTGCAGCGGATCCTGAGCATGGCGAACCGTGAGCTCAATCCTGCAAGTGTGTCGAAGCGAGCGCTGCTCGTCTGCCGGATTCAGGAGGAGTGCCCAGTGTTGCCAACAGCTTGGCTCGCGCCTTCAAGACCGATTGCTCCGCCCCGAGAGCCCAGGTCGGCCGCCAACTTGCGTAAGGAGATGAAGCGGAGAGGATGGAACAGCAGGAGGGCCGACGGTATGGGCGCGTCTGGCGTAACCCGTATCCGCAAAAGAGAAGCACTTCAGGGCGTTCGCTGGCTTGGCAGAGCCGCCTGAGCTGTGTGAGCGGTGAGCGAGGGAGGTCAGCAGCGCGAACGAGACGCGACGAACTGTTGTTATCCGTCCAGTCGCTCACATCGCACTTCCTAGCTTGTTGCTACTTCTTGCTTACGGCTTAGTGCTCTCTGTACCGGTCTGATGCCTGCTAGGTGCGCTCCAACAGATCGCGACGCCTCCAACCACCCGCTCATTTCTCATCGCGTGAACAGCCGTCCGACGGTCAAGCGCCAGTACGGCGTGCGCAAGGCCGCTAGCGTGTCTGCGACACCGTCCAAAACAACGTATGTGACGCGTCCGCCCACTCGTACGCTCCCGAGGACTCACATTCGCTCTTCTTCCGCTCGCAGCCCCACCCCGACTCATCGCACCTCAGCCTCTTCTTCCTCAACGTACGGCTCATCACCACCGCGCCGGAAGTCGCGACTACTGTCCAGCGCCGGCGATGACTGGACTGCGGCAGTCGCCGAGACGTTCTCCTCGCCAATGATGTCAGGGGACGAGGGGTCGAGGAAGGGGAAGACGGCCAGAGGGGAGATGGACTCGACGCCGCCTACCACTCCGGTGACAGCAGAGAAAGGCGAAGTCGGCAGAGTCTTGCGGGAACGGAAGACGCCAACGAAACCTCCCGCGCCGAAGGGCGACTTGCGATCGTTCTTCAAGCGGACTTCGCCGCGCAAGCGGCAGCGTCTCTCGTCGCCTAACGAGGAGGGCGATGTCGCGTCCGACATGTTCCGCAGCGACTCGGCCGGCTCTGCCTCCTCCTCCAGCTCGACCAGTTCCTCCCGCACGGCCCTAACTTCCATCTCTTCGACATCCTCCTCTTCCTCCTCCGGCAAGCCTGCAAAGTACGAACAACTCTACCTCGACCCATTCCACACTGCCGGCCACGCCACCCTCTCCTGCACGACCTGCGCCCTCTCGTACGCCCGCACGCCCGAAGACATGGCTTTCCATGCAAAGCACCACAAGAAGGTTGTCAGCGGATGCGACTGGATTGCAGGCGATGATGTAAAGGGCTGTACAGTCGTGGAAGAGGCGGTGGATTGGGGTGAGAAGCATGGCGGAAAGGTTGTCGTGGTGGATTACCCGCTGGCGGACGCGGTCACCAAGCGGAAGGTGCGTTGCAATCCGTGGTCATTGCTACATATTCCTGACGGTCTCGCTCTCGCAGCTCAAGGACATTCTCGAGACCGTCGATACCGAACTCTCCTCCACCTCGCTCACGCCCGAACAGCTCGCCCAGTCGAAAGTGTTCCTCTTCGTTACGCCTCAGCGAAAGGTCATCGCCTGCGCAGTCGTCCAGCGTATCAAGGTTGCGTACCAGATCGTCTCGGCGAAGGCGAAGGACGAGGCTGGCGATGACAAGAGGAACCTGCTGCGATTCGGGGAGGACCAGGGCGCCATCTTCTGCTCGTACGTCCTGTTGTGTCAGTAACGTATAATCACGCGCTGACGCGAGTTGCGCAGGCCGACACCCTCGCCGACTCTGCTCGGTGTCCAACGCATCTGGACCTCGACCTCCGCCCGCCGGCACGGTCTTGCCTCGCTCCTCCTTGATCACGTCGCCGCCAAGTACATTTACGGCAGTCCCATACCCAGGGACCGGCGCGTGGACGACTTCGCCTTCAGTCAGCCGACAGGAAAGGGGCAGAAGTTGGCGAGGGCTTGGACGGGCTCGGACAGGTTCAAGGTCTTCGTAGATTGAGGCGGGTCCGCTGAGACACTTAGTCGACTGTTTCGCGACTCTGCGCATTGCCTGGGAGCTTTTTGTGAGGTCTCTGCGCCTTCACCTTCGTGTCGTCAGGTCGAGCGACAGCTTGACCTCCGTCACTCCCGCCTACCCGCTCGTTCGAGGCGCCCATCCCTCCAGGGGCTCGCTTGACTCTTTCACGATGTCAAGCATCGAGCAGATCTCGTCCTCGCTGCCGTTCGGCTCGTCGACCGCCTCATCACCCAAGTCGACCTCGCTCGGCTGGCGACTCGTCCTCGGTCTCTGGTGGTTTGCGAGATGGGTGCCGTGGTATTTGTGGCTGATGGCGGGTATCTGGGCGTACGCCAACTACGGGCGAGGGTCATTGGCGCGGAAACGCAAGACGTGAGTCTCCTCCCTCATCAATCTCGACTCCTGCCGCAGTCCGAGCAGCGACCCAAGGACCGGCAGGACGGACAGGCGCATCTATGCGAGAGCGTGAGGCTGCTCTCAGCCGCCTGCATTTTCCAAAGTCCTCCTCGACCCCTCGACAGGCGGACGACTTGCGGAAAGAGACGCTGACCCAGTCTTTCCGCTACTCGCAGCCGACGATCTGCACCATCGACCGCAATCAACGCAGGCACGCCGCGCCGACCGACCCTTACGCCTCGCCAACCCGCTCGTCCCTCCTCTCCCTTCACCGGCATCAACCGTTCCTCGCCCCAGCTTTCGAGGCGCAGCTCGTACGCTCGCTTGCCTGCTTCCGAGATCCGACAGGGTAGCCGCGGTGGACAGCGGGAGATGCAGGAGAGGCGAACGGAATCTCGAGGTACGTCGGCGGTACTGATCTCGCTCAATCGCATGCCCACACGTCACGCTCTATAGGCCACACACCTCTTGCGAGACCGACAGTGTCTTCGCCTCAGCCCGCTGTGCACTCTACCGGCTCCCTTCCGCGTCTTCCGTCATCCGGTCTCAGCCTCCCTCGCTCGACCTCGTCCTCCTCACTCCGCCACCAAGGCTCAGCTTCCATGCCCGTCCTACCCACGTCTGCGCGCAAGCGTGGACGTGGTGACGACGAGGAGACGGAAGTCAAGCGCTCTAAGCTGAGCGAGTCGTACCACTTCGACGACACCGACGAGGATGGCGAGGGTCCTTCGGCGATGGAGTTGGACGACTTTGCTGCGTCGAAGCCGAGCAGGGGCCAGAAACGAGGCGGGCCGGATACGGATGCAGAAGAGGAGGACGGCGTAAAGCGCTCGCGCACGATGGAGCCGAGCGAATCGGAAGCGGAGGAGCAATCGGAGTCGGCTACGCGGAAGCGTCATGCTGCCGGATCCCCATCTGCGAGCGACGACGAAGCCGAGCGCCAAGTCTCGCATCAGGGCAAGAAGGCTCGGAGGACTGCTCGGGGTGTCGGGAGCGTGCGCGACAAGCGGGGCATCGAAGACGTCTCTCGCGAGGAGTCGGAGGAAGAGGCTGGATACGACAGCGAAGGTGCTGCGCGCTATTCGAGGGCTAGCACGAGGAATGCCGACTCGGACGTTTCGGAGGACGAGGGAGAACAAGCGTTTGTGGCGGAGGAGCCCTCGGCAACGAACCGTGGCCAGACGACCGTGAAGCGCTCTCGCGAACGAGCCCGTCGCGAGGGATCAGCCGACGACGACATGATGGGCGACGACCTTGAGTCGGACAGCCGGGATGCCTTCTCTCCTGCACCTTCGACCGGCACGCCGCAGAAGAAGCGTCTCTCGACCGCCGCGTCCGCAAAGAAACGCTTGTCGTCGAAGGCGGCCTCGACTGCTCGCAAGGCATCCTCCGCCCGCTCCGCCGTGAACGCCAAACTCGCTGCCGCCTCGCGCAAATCGTCCGACACGCCTCGCAAGGTTGGCGAAGAGTGGACCAACTACGAGGGCGACCGGTACAGGATTGACAAGGACGGCGTGCAGAGGCGGCTCGTCGAGGTCAGGGAGACGAGGCTCAAGCACAAAATGCCGAAGGACTCGAAGCACCCGGATGCCAAGTTGACGCACGAGGTGCGTTGCGTCCCTTCGCCTTCTCTTCGGCTTCACTGACGACTCCTGCTGCACAGGTTGTCGTCGAGCGATGGGTCACGGCCGATGAGTACAACGCACTGCTTGAGCAGCGCAAGCTTGCATGGCAGAACTCGCGCGAGGACGAGGAGCGGGATCGCCGCGCCGCCGAGCAAGGTGGCGAAAACGACACCAGCATGACCGACGCCAACGAGTCGCCGCAGCCCGCGTCGAAGGAGCGCGGCATCTACTTTGCCACGGGCGTCGGCACGCCTCTCCGCAGCTACTCTGGCCTTGGCTCCCGCCTCCCTTCCTCTTCCTCCCTCACCTCTCTCGCCAAGCTCTCCAACTCGCCTTCCTCGTACTCGACGCTTCCGAATGGCCGCATGCGTCTCCCCTCTTCCGCCTCAGGTTCCGCTCTTGCCGCCCTCGCAGCTGGCTCGCCGCGGCGCAAGTGGTCTGTGAACGACGTCAAGCGTTTGCTTGAGGACGAAGACGCGGCGAAGGCTGAGCGCGAGAAGCGCAGACAAGCGACCATCACCCTCGGCGGAGACGAGGCAGAGGCGGAGGTGCCGAAGACACCGGCCGTACCGGCGACCGCGCCAGCAAACGAGACGGAGGGCAAGATCAAGCTGGCCGACTACGCTCTTCCCGCTTCGTCGGCAGAGTCGTCTGCCGCGGCGAAGGCGCAGCCAGTACGTTCCGTCTCCCGCTTGTTCTGCGTCAGTCCACTGACTTATCTTCTGACAGACGTCCTTGTTCATTCCCGCTCCTTCGGCTACCGCCAAGATCGACACTCAGCCCGCCTCGACTGCCTCTTCGGCCAAATCTGCCGGCGTACCCAACTTTTTCGGCGCCGCTCTGGGCTCGACAGCGAAGGAGACGCAGGCCAAGCCGGCTGCAGCCGCATCGACGGCTTCCAAGCCGGCTTTCAGCTTTGGCTCGGCGCCTGCCTCAGCGACCGCGACGGAACCCGCTCCGCAGAAGATCGATACCGCGGCGAAGCCATCGTTTAGCTTCGGTTCTGCGCCGTCTGCACCCGCCGCCACGGAGAACAAAACCGACAAGCCTGCGTTCAGCACCAGCGCAGTACCGGCCGCGCCCACACCGAGCGAGCCTCCCAAGCCGACCTTCAGTTTCGGCGCTCCTGCGGCGAAGGACACCTCGGCCGAGAAGAAAGAAGAGTCTGCAGCTCCGGCTGCCGCGTCACTCTTCAGCGGCTTTGGCGCGTCCTCCAGTTCCGCCTCGACTACGTCGGCTCCGTCCGCAACAAACGAGGCGTCGAAGACTCCGTTCTCCTTTGGTTCCGCATCTACTTCCTCGACGGCGGACGCCACCCCCGCTCCTGCCGCACCAGCAGGAGGCTTCTCGTTTGGATCAAGCACGCCAGCTGCTGCAACCGAGAAGAACGAGGATGCCGCGCCAAAACCGAGCTTCTCCTTCGGCGCGACTTCGACTTCGGCAGCCGTGCAACCCGCTCCAGCGCCGTCCTTCGGCTTCGGCTCAACATCCACAACGGCGCCTGCGAAGACGGATGACAAGCCAGCAACCGCCTCGCCCTTCTCGTTCGGCGCTGCTCCTGCGCAGGCAGACAAGCCCGCCGCGCCCGCGTTCGGCTTCGGCACATCCGCCGGCGCCAATAAGGATCCGACGACCGGTGCTGCACCGGCCGCTGCGTCGCCTTTCTCGTTCGGCAACTCGTCGGCTCCTGCGCCAGCCTCGTCGTCCACCTCAAACGGGGGCTTCAGCTTCGGCCAGCCAGCTGCTCCCTCGACGACGAATGCTACGGCAACAGGCGCGGCTCTCTCGGCCACTCCGTCGTTCGGATTCGGCAGTACTTCCTCGACTCAGAATGCATCGGCACCCGCTCAAGGCGGCTTCAGCTTCGGCGCTCCGACCTCATCCAACCCGTCAGCCACATCGAGCGGCTTTTCCTTCGGTGCCCCAGCAGCCGCCAGCCCCGCTCCCCCCTCGACCGGCGTCTCCTTCGGCGCAGCGCCGGCCGCCGCCAGTCCCGCCGCCGCCCCCTCTACCAGCTTCAGCTTCGGCGCCGCTCCTGCAGCACCCTCGAGCGGATTCGGCTTTGGCGCCGCACCGGCAGCGACGACGCCGGGAGTCTCGCCCTCGACTGGGACGTTCAACTTTGGCGCAGCTGGTGGGCCGACTAGTCCTGGAGCGCAGTCTGCTGGAGGGACGCCCATGTTCTGTACGTCAAGTCTTTCTCCTCGCCTTCATGTCGACGCTGACCGCACCGTAACCTCGCAGCTCTCGGATCTGGAGGAGGAGACGCTGCGACGACGCCGAGGAGGAGGCCGGTCCGGAGGCTGCCTGGGCGGTAGGAGCGCGGGATGACTAGCATGAAGTAGCTGCAAGTGATCTATCGTACGCAAGGTTCACGGAATGGCAGTCAGCGAGCCGAAGTTCGCCTGTTGACCTCGAGCCGTCGACCTCGCGCTCTTCGTCCTCCGCCAACACGCCTCGTTCTCCAGAATTCGCTCGCACTGGCTGCTAGTCGCTTCTCCCGGCTGCCTGGCTCCCTTCAGTGTCCACTACACCCTCGCCATGCTCCCCTCACTCCTCGCCGGATCCTCATCGCTTCCCACAACAACTCGCTCGCCTCAACCACCGCAACGCCTCGAGCCGACGCGCAGACACATCAGAGCCATCGCACGCACACACAGCACAATGCCAGCGCCCGTCACTCGCCAACAGCCGCTCTCTAGGGGCCCCAGACTCGACGGCAGCCCGCGCGAACGAGTGCTTTGACTTTTCTCCCCTCGCTCTCTTCCTCTCTCGCTCTTACGCTTCACTCGCTACGCTGATCCCGCGGCCGAGGTCTCAAGATGCTCTCCATCCCATCACCCAACGCGCTCGACGCCTCTCGGCTGGTCATCGAGCCCACTCCCTCTCCGAAACCTGTCCCAAGCGACTCCTCGACGCTCGTCTTCGGCCAAACATTCACAGACCACATGCTCACCGTCCGATGGAACGTGTCGACGGGCTGGGACGCACCCGTCATCAAGCCTTACGCGCCGTTGATGTTGGACCCGGCTTCGACGGTGTTGCATTACGCGCCGACGCTGTTTGAGGGGATGAAGGTGCGTCCGCTGGAAGATGCGTGGAAGAGGGCAGGGAGCTGATGAAATTTGTTGGCGGACGCAGGCGTACAAGGACAAGCAGGGTCGGACGAGGCTCTTCCGGCCTGACCTCAATATGGCGCGGTACGTACCGCACTCTCCGTTCTTTCGTCGTGCCCAGTTTCAAGAGGTCGACCTGGATCACCGCTGACACCCTCGCGCCCCGCCTCTGCAGCATGAACCGCGGTGCGGCCCGCATGGCCTTCCCGACCTTCGACGGCGCTGAACTCGTCTCGCTTATCAAGGAGCTCCTGCGCATCGACGACCGATGGATGCCAACCGACCCGGGTTGCAGCATGTACATCCGCCCGACTGTGATTGGGACGAGGGCGTCTCTCGGTGTGGGTCCTTCGTCGGAGGTGTTGCTTTTTGTCATGTGCGTGCGCTTTCTCGCTCTCTCACTTCGCGAGGAGGAGCTGATGGAGTTCTGATGGCGCGCAGCATGTGTCCCGTAGCCAAGTACTACTCAAGCGGCGCGAAACCCGTCTCGCTCCTCGCCTCGACGAAAGACGTCCGCGCCTTCCCGGGCGGAACAGGCTCGTACAAGTTCGGACTCAACTACGCAGCGTGCGTCGCGCCGCAGATGGAGGCGGCGCAGAAGGGGTACCAGCAGGTGCGTTGCCGAAGCGGTTCGAGAGCGATTTGAGGAGGATGAAGGCTGATTACGTGGTTCTTGGCAGGTCCTGTGGGTTCTTGGTGACGATCACGAGTGTACGGAGGTCGGAATGATGAACCTTGTCGGAGGAAAGAAGAGGGAGGACGGGGGTGAGTCTCGCCAACTTCACCTCGAGAAAGTAGTCCCAGCGCTGACCCGCTCCGTCCGCAGCCGTCGAGCTCTTCACGCCTCCGCTGAGCGACATCATCCTCCCCGGCGTCACTCGCAACTCTGTCCTCGCCCTCGCCCGCGCACACGCCGACCCTTCGAACCCCTTCACCCTCGAAGGCGTCCCTTCGAACCTGGTCGTCTCGGAGCGAAAAGTGACGATGCCCGAGCTGCGCGACGCAGCAAGGGACGGGACGCTCCTCGAGGTGTTTGGGACGGGCACGGCAGCGGTCGTCACGTCTGTCGAGCGGATCGGGTTCGAGGGAGAGGACGTCAAGGTCCCTGTCGAGGGTGGAAACGGGTTTGGACCGATTGCGGGGGCGTTCTACGAGGCTCTGCAGGCGATCCAGTACGGTGATCTCGAGTTTGCGGACTGGAGTGTCGTCGTTTGAGCGGGTCGAAGATGTTGCTCATTCGTTTGTTTCGGTGCGCATTAGACTTTTTGCAACTTAGAACGTTGTTAGATCGATCTGCGTTGCTTGTCCCCACGGGTGCGAGGCGTGCCTCTCGCTTTCTTGACGTGGCCAAGTTCGAGGTTTCGCTGGGCTTCGCTTCTTAACTCGCTTTACAACTCGCCTTACAACAGCTTACAACGCCTGGAGGATGGCCACACTGCGCATCTCGACACCGGCAGAGCGCACCTGGGCACCGCTCATCTCGCCCGTCTCGCCTGCGAGCGCCTCGACGACGCCCCACGACTCGCACTCGCTCTCGGCACGCTGTCGCCTCCTCGCATCGCGCTTCGGCGAGAACGCAGTGCACGAGGACGACCACTTTGAGCACCCCGAGCCACAGCAGCGCGGCGCGAGTCCAAAGACGCCGTCGCCGTCCCGTGCTGCGCCGTTCCCGCTCTCGCCCATCTCGCCTCGCTCCGTCCCGCACTCGCAGCTCCACCCGCCCCCGACGCCAGAGGGCACGCACATCCTCAACGAGATCCTCGAGGAGGAGGCAGAGACGCCCCGTGGCGACAAGGATGTGACGTCGGCGTGGGCTCCACCTCGTCTCGACGTCCCGACTGGAGGAGACGGAGACACTCTCCCGCTCTCGCCAGGACAGCCGCAGGGACTCTATGGCTCGTCCATGCCCGCAGACGACGAGGTCTCGTCGAGCTCGTACGAGCCGCCCGCGTTCAGTCCGCTCGCAGCGCGCAGGGGGAGCAGGTTCAGCTTCGACCGCTTCGACGTCCCTCAGAACGGCGACGACGACGACCTGACTGGTGCGTCCTACTTGTCGACATCGTCAAGCACCCGCTGATGTTTCTCGCTCTTGCAGAGGCGACGGTCGAGGAACGCGAGGCGGAACTTCGCCAGACGCTCAGGGACGGCGCAACCTGGTTGCCTGTCGATGTCTGGCTCGTCGACGGAGAGTTGCTCGTGCGTACGGCATCACCTCGTCCTCAAGCTTGTACTGACGGTTCCCAAGCAGGTCGGACGCAGGATGGAAGAGCTCGAGTCGACCCGGACCTTCTCAAGCTGTTTTGTCGGTGCGTGCGAGCCCGTACCCTCTCAGCGTCTTCAACAAGCCCGCTCACACCAGTTCAACGCCCGCAGAACCCCTCCTCCGCATCTTCTCCACCTCGAACCCCCCAATCGGCCACGCACATCACCGCCGCCGCTCCTCGATCTTCTCCCAAATCAAGCCTCACTCGCCTCTCCAACTCGTCCTGCGCCTTCACACTCCCGCATCCCTCACTTTTCCATACGTCCTCGACGCCCTCCAGCCTCTCCACGATGCGTCGCTCCTCACTTCGTACTGCCCGAACGCCGGCACAACTACGCCAGCAGTCATCACCGTCGTCTCCTCCTCGGCGGACGGGGCAGAGATGGTCCCAGCCGAAGACCTTGAAGCGGTCCACGGCTCGCGCTTCGTCTACCGCGACGCGCCCATCTCTTCCCTCCTCTCGACAAATTCCTCTGCACTCGATCCGCAACTCACGCCTGTCGCTGCGGGCGTGCTGAAAGACTCGACGGGGTGGGACGGACAGTCGCCTGTGACGGACGAGCAGCGCCAGAAGATTGTTGAGCAAGTTGAGGGAGCGCACAGGCGCGGGATCAAGATCCGGTACGAGGGACTGCCGCAGTTTCCCGTTCATGTGCGCGAGAACATCAGGTCGACGTTGGTTGCGCTTGGTGTGGACTACCTCTAGAGCGATTGGCGGGACGGTTCGTGGACCGGACTTCGCTTGGATTGCACCCTTCACCTTGTATCAGTAGACCTCGCAACTCCTCCCTCCCAGCTTCCTCTCGTTCGCTTTGCTTTTTGTTGGTTGTACCCTTTCTCACATACACATGCATCTCCCCTTATCGTTCTTCTCCACCCTCTTGCGGCCTCTTTCTCCCGACTTGCAAACGAAAGTCGCGTCTCGCCCAGCTCTTTTGCGCATCGAGAGTGTCTGTAATTACGCTCAATGCGTGCTACGACTCGAACAAGGCGGGCACCTCCTCCTCAATTGGCTCGGGTCGCATATCCTCGACGTCCCCATCCTCATCAAACATCATCTCGTCCGGATCCGGCCTCGGCGTCTCCGCCGTCAAGCTCGTCATGACGTGCCTCGGCACCTTTCCCGGTCCCTCGAGTTGTCCCAGGCGCGACTGCATCAACCCGTTGAGGAACGTGAGCTCCGAGATCTTGGTCTTGAGACGGGCGACTTCGGCGAGCGCTTCGGGCGGCCAGTGTTCGCGACCTGGTTGGGCTTGTACGTCGGCCATCGAGACGCGACCTCGACCGGCCGAGGAAGAGGCAGACGACGAGCCTCGGATCCGACTCGAACTCGCCGCCGAGACGCTGCGCGCGCCTGCTCCCCCTGCTCCCGGCGCACCACCGCGCGACCGCCCACGCTCTGCCTCGCCCCTCGCACGACTGCGACTCCGACTCGAACCGGCCAACCTCCTCGCGCTGCTTCCCGCCGGACTCGCCGTCCCCCTCGCTCCCGCTCTCGCCGAGACGCGCAACTCGTTGAGCCCCGTCTCGACGCCCACCATCCGTTGTCGAGACGTACTGCTGCCGTTACTGCCCGATCCTGACCCGCTGCCGTGGCCGTTCGCGAGCGCGCCGAAAGCAGGCGGCGCAGTCGGTCCTCCGACGACCGAATCGTCATCCAACTCGTCCACCTCGTCCAAATCGTCCATTCCCGCTCCCGAATCTCCCCTACCCTTCCCCTTCGCCCCACCAACCCCACCGAGATAATCGTCGAACCGCTTCTCCGGCCTCCCTCGACGCTCCTCGCTCCCTCCAAGCCCGCGCGCAACCGTCTCAGGACTGCGCATCCCCTCGCTCGACCCGGACGCAGAAGGCGAAGCAGATGAGGCAGAGGCGCGGCGTTCGTGGCGTGGCTGAACGGCGGCGGAGGCGGGATTCGAGTGTGCGGAGGAAGAGGCGGACGAGGCGGCTGCGGCGGCGGCGGCGAGGTTTGCTGCGACGAGGGCGGGGTGGGGGAAGGGCATTCCGAGAGGCGGGCGGTAAGCGGGTGGGAGGAATGGCGCGGAGGAAGAGGGGACGCCGGAGATGGCTGCGATAGGCGGGAGGTGGACTCCGCTCGACGCGCTGGTACTGGCTTTGACAGTCTCGGTATCGCTATTCGACGCGCTGTTAGGCAGCGAGGATCTCTCCTTCTGCCCCGCTTGGGTCAGGCCGTTCGCCGGCGACCCAGACGCAGCGCGGCTTGGCGGAGCAGACGTCCGACCTCCCGCGCCCGCTGCGAGAGGAGACTGGATGTGCGGTTGGTGGAGGTGGTAGTTGGGGTTCGGGTGGGGGTACCAAGATTGCAGGGCGGGAGGGACGAGCGGGTTGGGCGGCACGGGCGGAGTCGAGGATGCTGAAGTCGAGTTCGAGGTGGAGGCGGCAGCCATAGGCGGACTCAACGATCCCCGCGCCGACGCAGCGCGCGAAGTCGCATCCGCCACACTCGGCGCAGCCGATCCAGTCGCCGGCGACCGCGAGCGCGAGTTACTCTGCGCGTGCGCAAGTGCGTTCGCGGCCATCGCCGCGGCGGGGTGAGGGAACGGCGGAGCAGGGTAGGGATAGCCTGGTGGAGCTTGGCCGGGCTGGAAACCGGCTGGAGGAGGGCCGTAGGGGTAGAAAGGAGGGTAGGGGTATCCTTCGGGCGGGGGAGCGCCGGGGTGGAAACCGGGATAGGGGAAGGGGATTGCGGGAGGAGCAGGACCGCCGGGAGCGGGGGTCGTCCCTTCTGTGGGAGTGTGCGAGCCGGGAGCGCGTTGGCGCGAGTCGAGGGACTGCGCGCGCCGGGCGTCGGAAGAACGACTTCGAGGTGGTGGGTAGGGCTGGTGTGCGTGAGGGTGCGGGCCGTGAGGGTAAGGATAAGGGTAGGGATAGCCGGGGTAAGGCATTCCGTAAGGCATCGCGCCGGGAGGGGGCATGACCTTCCTGGCCTTCCTTCCATCCGCCTCAGCCGTCGCACCATCCCCAAACGGCTTCGTCCGTCCCTCGGCCATCTCCGAATCCTCGTCTGCCCCGGCACCTCCAGGCACACTCTTCCTCCCCTCCCCACTCCTCGTCATACTCTCACTCCGCTCCTTCGAGACGCCCCTCCCAGCCTTCGCTCCTCCCGCCGCGCCGCGGTCCTTGGACGTACTCTTCCCCTTGCTGCGATTGCGAGATTTGATCACGTCCGTCTTGAGCGAGATTGGGCGCGGGCGGCCTTTCATCTTGAAGAAGAGCGCGCAGGCGTTGCAGAGGATGTGGGTACTGTCGTGCGAGCGCCGCCAGAGGGGAGTGGTCTGCGAGAGGGTGAAGACGTCAGTCTCTGCAAGGTTACAACGAAGCCATCCGAAGCGCCTGCGTTGGCTTGCGAAGAGCGAGAACCGGAGAAGCGAGACTGACCTGAGTCGCGCAATTCGCGCAAATCGGCTGGGTCTGCTCAATCCAGGCTCGTCAGCTACGTACACTCGTCTTTCAAGCGCAGGTGTCACGTACCTTGTCGTAGTTGGCAGGCAGCGGATTCGGCAGCCCATTCACCGCGTTCGGCGCAGCGGGATCAAACGATCCAGGCTGTCGTTCTCCCTCTCCTGCCGCCGTCGGTGCAGGCGCAGGAGCAGAGACAGCCGGCGTCGAAGCGGAAGAAGACGAAGCGACGGCCGCGGCGGCTGAAGCGACGCTCGCGAGTGCGGTTGCGGCCGCTCTCGCTTCCGAGTCGTCGAACCTCCGTTGTGCGGCGGGCGAGAGGGGCGCTTCTGGTTGTGTTTCGTCGGTGGATGTGGGTGCGTCGGTGGGAGCAGGGACGGGAGCGGACGAGGCGGAGTGCGAGGACGAGGATGCCGTCGGCTGGTGTTCGCTGCAAACGTGGGAAACGAGCGAAGGTGGTCAGCTCGGCGGACTTGGCGCGGATATAGGGTGCTCGTAGTCATTGTCACACACTGCCTGACTGTCCATCAGGCGCACAGAGAGCGAGCGAGTGCGCCCGTGGCTGACCGCGGACAGAAGGAACCACGAGGGAAAGCCCGGCCGACTTGAAGCTCAGCGAAACGAGCGGATCGCACACTCGCGGGTCGAGTCCAGCGTGTCCACACGAGTTCCACAGCGAGTGTGATTGTGTACCGAGGTGGATCGCGCGTATCGGAGGCGGGTGCGGCGCTGTCGAGGGACGGGGGCGAGAGGGGCGGACTTGCCTGGGTTGTTCTTGGATGGCGGGGAGGGGCTGCTGATGGTGGTGGTCTGCGTGCATGGCGGTGTCTGTCGTGTGCTCGTCCATGGCTGCACCTGTATACTCAGCCAGTCCCCTGCGAGTGAGCAAGACGAGGACGAGTTGTTAGCCGCTCGCTGCCGGCCCTCGCTCTCGGCGTCTATCGCTCAGCTATCGACCCAATACCCTCGGCGATACAAACAGGCTACTAATCAACTCTCCTTACTGGCATCCCTGCACACACTCAGTGCAGCAGCCCTCGTCCCAGCTCGATCCCATCACCGTGCTCACTCCGACTCCGCGCGCTTTTTCACCTCCTCTCCAGACAACCCCGCCCTCGTCGTTTTCCTGGGGAAACTCGACCGCATGGAGCGCGGCAGGCCGTCTCACTGCTCGCTTCGGACTCGTTCGGAGTGCGAGCTCGCTGGCACGTTCGACGACGACAAGCGCGCGCAGAAGGAGAAGCGAGGAGGGAGAGTTCTTGCCGCGAAACGCGCACGTCTAGTGAAGTAGCGGTGTTGCAAGGAGAGAGAATTGCGATAGAAATGCTGCGAGTGTGCGAGTGTTCGAGCGAGAGTTGGGCCGTTCGCTCGACTCGGAAAGCTGGCGAGTCGAGTCGAGTCGAGTCGGGTGAGGTCGAGTGTCGAAGAGAGAGCGAGTTGTGGTCTACCCTCACCGCTTGAACAACAACAACCCCGCCTTGCTTCCCGTCCCCTCCCCCTCCCTCCCCTCCCTCGCCCTCTTCCCAAGACACCTATTCTCGACCGCCTCCAAACCCGCCTTCCACAACCCCGCCTTCCTAACCTCCTCAACCGTACCCTTGCCCAGCTCGTAACTCACATCTACTCCGCGCGACCCGTCGCGCGTGAGCGAGTGCCAGCGTTCTTGGATTGTTAGAGGTGCGGGAGGGACGGAGGGCGACGAGGGGTCGTATGGCGCTGAAGAGGGGGAGGTGCTCGTAGATGAGTTGGAGGGAGAAGAGGGAGGGATGATCGTTCGCCGGACGTAGTGATCCGTGTCGAGCATGAAGATGCCCCACTTGTGGTGGATCGTCAGCGGCGGAGCGCCGTGGAACGTCAGAGCGGCCGTCGTGCTGACGTGCCGAGCGGTCTCACAGTCAGCGAGCGTCCGCGGAGGAGGTAGAGCAAAAGGGCGAGACGTACAACGCCGCCGGGTACTCGTCCTGCGGGACCTCGGTCGTGGTCGACATCGAGAACTGCGCGTCGTGCGATCTGCGCCGCGCAAAGTCGGTCAACAACAACCTCAACAGTGAAGCAAGGAAGCGTGATGCGCACCCAGTGGGAATCATCAAATCGACCTTGTTCTCCTTCACAAGCCTAACGGTCGTCTTCAAGATCCGCATGTCCCTCACAACCGGCACCTCCTCGGCGTCCTTCAACTCAAACACAACTTCCAGCCTCCTCTGCGCCTCTCCCCCCTTGGCCGGCGTCTTGGGCCTGTAAGTCCATCGCCTGAAAACGACGGTTTCGAGGCGCGGACCCGAGAGGAGGGATTTCGTACGCTCGGCTTCGGAGGTCGAGGCGCGTTCGTCCAGCGCTGTCGAGAGGAGGGAGGCGAATGAGGGTGCGGAGGGGACGGGGAGAGGCTCGAGGACTTTGGTCGACTGGAGGACGCCGCTCGGGGGGCTGCACAATCGATTTCCCCATCAGCTCCCGCGCGCGACTCGAAGGGGAAGACCGGAGGGAAACGCACGAAGGGAGGAACACGTTCTTGACCTTCTTGACCGTCTCGCTCGCCCAGTCCGCGAACCGCCCAAACGGCCAACTACCCTCCAACACGGGTCCGAGCGCCGACTGTCGCTCGTAATCGCGATAAAGCGGCCAAGCGACGTGTCCGAATCGCGCAGAGACGTTCACCTCCTTCCCTTCCTTTTCTTCTTCCGCGAAGGGGGCGCGCAAAGCGCGGAGGATCGACAGTTCGGCGGGTGTCTTTGACGACCCGTCCGTCGAAGGAGGCGCATAGATCCCAATCCTCGCCGAGCGCTCAAGCCGCATCCGTTCCGTCCATTGGAGCATCTCCAGATGCGCCTTGTGCGCCGGGTCCTCTGCGACGCTCGAAGAGGTGGACGAGAGGGAGATGGATTTGAACCGAGCGAAGGACGAGGTTCCGCCCGTGAGGATTTGTGAGACGGGGACGAGGGAGGAGTGCGGGAACATTGAGTAGCGGAGGGTGTCGAGGTTTTGCGGGACGGAGGCGAAGAGCGCGGTTGACTTGCGCTCCGAGTCCTGTGCGTCGCGAATGGGTCAGCGCGGGAGAGAGAGAGAGTCGACGGAATAGCGCGGGACTCACGGCGTTGAAGGCGGCAACGACATGACGCTCCGTCTTGACAATCGACTTGGCCTCGACAGCGCTCGCCTTCAGCTTGTCCTGCGGGAATACTCGCGTGAGCAAGCGCTACATCGGAGAAGGCCATCAGAACGCACCGGTTCAGACCCAGGCTCGAGGAAAGCCTTGGATGATCGCGAGATGGCCTGATAGACTTCCGGTCGCAAGGTTGTCGCAGGCGCGGGGAGGTGAAACTCGGTCTTCTCGCAGGTCTGCAGCCAAGAGACACGTCAGTTGCGCTCAAGCGAGGGGATAGGCGATCGAGGGCGTACCTCGGAAAGCGCCTCGACCTCTTCTCGCGCAGTGACGAGGTTCGCATGCGCGCCGGACAAGATGATGCCGACTCGCCCTTGGTCGGGGAAGCGACGGAAGAGTATCTTGACGTTGTGCTCGCGGGAGAGGTTGCTGATGAGGGTGGAGTCTGTTGGCGACGAGTGTCAGCTGCGAGAGCGGGATGAGGATGCTGAGGGAGACGCACTGGGAGAGAGGATGAGGAAGAGGTCGCGGTCGGTGAGGTTGACAGCTGTGCAATAGCGAGTGTGAGCGTATGCTCGGAAGGAGACGCGGGAAAGGATGAACGTACTCATCGAGGAGGTCTTGCCCGTCTGCGGCTTGGGCAGGGTCGTCGGGTTCTGCATGTGCCAGTGCAGCCGCATGATGGTGTAGCACAGCTCGCGCTTGTTCATCTGGTCGAGCGCCTTGGCTTTCCACCACTTGTGCTTGACGCCGTGCAGCGCCGTCCGCATCCGCTCGTCCGAAGTGTCGAGGTTGAGGCCGTGCCTGTACGCAAAGTTGAAGACCTGCCGCTTCGTGAAGGCTCGGTCGATCATCTTGTACGTCTTCTCCCATACCTTCTCGTAGACGAGCCGGTGCGACTGAGGAGAGGTCGGTTCGGGGATGGTGAATCGTCGGGGACGGAACGCTTCGAGATCCTTCAACGTCGGCTGGCCCTTCTCTGGGTCCATGATTTGTTCGAGAGGGGTCTTCTTCTTCTTCGGGGGCGCACTGGACGATGGCTCGCCGGTGGAAGAGGGCGAAGCAGACGATTCGGCGACTGACGACTGTGTTGGCTTCTCGATGGCGTCGAGCATGGCGTTCAGAGCGTCGTGCGACTTGGCCTCCTCCTCACGATGGACAGCTTCGCTCGCATCCGCCTCCTCATCCCGCTCCTCGGATTGCTCTTCGACCTCCTTCCCCGCCTGAGCGTACGATGCCGCCCCTCTGCGCTGATTTCCCACCACATGCCACCCACTGGCCGTCCTCAGTAACCGTCCATCGAGCGTGGCGAGGCGAGATGTCGTCGTCGAGAGGGTCGCTCGAGGTGGTCGTCGTGCGCAGGCGGCGCAGGTCGCCCGTCCTGCCGCTGTCCGCGCCGAGCTAAGCATGTCTCAGCGAGCGCCTGTACACTTCCACACGGCCCACAGCAGCTGTTGCTGGCGAGAGACGGCGGTGGTCGTCGGCTGAGCTTTCGAGATGAAGCGGGCTGGCCTCGTTCTCCACCTCTCGCTCAGCTGGTGCTCGCTTTGACTGCTTGGCTGGATCGGTACACGCTCAGCCGACGCACGCCTGCAGGAATCGACCGCGCGCGAGTTGTCACCACCGCTCGACGCGACCCCCTCCTCATCGGCACTCGCACACGACGACGACCAGGCGGACCAGCAGAGAGACTAGCACGCCACCATGCGCCACGGGAAGAAGCTCGCCAAGTTGAGCCGGCCAACGGCTCACCGCATGCTCATGCTTCGCAACATCGTCTCGTCCGTCCTCGAGCATGAACAGATCATGACCACCGTCGCAAAGGCCAAGGCGGCGCGCAAGCTGGTGGACCAGGTCATCGGATGGGGAAAGTCAGGCACCAAGCGCGACTACCAGCGCGCAAAGGGCTTCCTCCTCGTGCGTCCATCCTCTCCTTCTGCGACTCCCGGACCCCGCTCACTCGTGCTCACTCGCTCGCAGACGGGCGACCGGTCGATCAAGCCTCTCTTTGGACACCTCGCACAGCGCTACGCTGACCGACCAGGCGGCTACACGCGCGTCACCCTCGCCGGCAACCGAGGAGGCGACAATGCCCCCGTCGCCGTTCTCGAACTCGTCGACAACCCGAACGACCTCCGCTTCGAGTTTGCCGCACGATCCATCGGACGCGAGCTGGCGATCAAGGCGCAGGAGAGCAACGACAAGCGGGTCTGGTGGGACTTTAGGGAGCGGGTGGAGAGCAAGGGTGCGGACAAGGTTGGCGAGCTGTTGATGGCGGAGGAGGCGATTGCACCCTTGTCGAGGAAGAACGCCTTCAAGGCACTCAAGTTCCGCAAGGGTACGGTACCCGTCCTGGAGGAGGATGTCAAGGCGGCGCAGGGCGAGGAGGCTGTCGTCGAGGCCAAGGAAGGCGAGGAGGCTGTCGCGGAGAAGCAGGGCGAGGAGGTGGTCTCGCCGCTAGGACCTACAGTCGTCGAGCATCCCGCGACTCTTTTCCTCGACCGCACCTACCACCACTACCTCACCTCCATGGCGACTTTCGTGCTCTCGACTTCTTCCGCACCCGACCCCTCTCGCACCATCAAGCAGCTCACCTCACGACTCGGCTCAATGGACATCAAGGGACCGCCCAATCCCGTTCTTACCGTGCCCAGGGTCGGCAGGGTTCCGCGGGCAGGAGAGCGAACGACCGCTTGGGACCAGACGCTCAAGGAGGGCGGATCTTCCGAGGCGACCGGGCCGATCTCGATTGCGAAGGGTCTCTACAACCGGGTGGCGCGGAGGGCGAGGTGGAAGGCGGCGCTGGCGACGTTCGAGGCGGAGAAGGGGACGACCCTCAACGAGAAGAGCGAGGTGCAGCGCGTGTAGATCCGTTACCCAGCACCCTTCAGCATTTCGCAACTCGCAGCAGTCATCACGGACGTTTGTACAGAGAGCCAGTTGCATCAGAGTTATACAAGAGACTATTGACAATCGTGGAGTGTCCACCTCTTCAGCAGTGTCCGTTCGTTCGACCGTGCGTCGTCTCCTACCACCGCTGTTGCTGCCCATGCATCTGCGACGACTCGTACGGCGGCCTGAAGCCTTGCTCGGTTGGGTTCGCGTAGTCGTAGGGCGCGTACTCCTCGTCTTGGTACCCGATGACCGACGTCGCGTTGAGCGGCGCCCTGCCGCCGCCTCCTCCGCCACCCTTGCGCAGTTTGCCGCCCTGACCTCGTCCGCCGTCCGCAATGTACTCCTCCTCATCGCCCCTGGCGACCTCGTTCCTCAACCCGCTCGACTTGCTTGCGTTCCGACCGTGTCCGAGCGGGTAGCCTGGCGCTGCGAGCTCGTCTTGCGAGTAGGACGCGCGGCCCATCGAGGCGCCGTCCCACAGGCCCGACTGGCGGATCTCTTCTTGCGCGGTCGAGTAGACCGAGTCGTAGCGGGCGCTGCGAGAGAACGGCTGAGCAGGCAGTCTTTACGGGTGGCGATGGGCGAGACTCACTGGTCAAGACGCTGTTCTGAGGCGTAGATGCTCGTGTAGAAGACGAAGTAGAACTGCGAGACGGCGAAGCGGGTGAGGGGCGGCTCTCGGGAGCTGACAGAGACCAACGCACCTCGCAAAGCGCGACGATCGCAAACAGCAGCCCCATAATGCCAATCTGGATCCAGGTCCAGATGTTGCAGATGTTCTTGGCAGTCGAGTCGGCATTGTCGGTGCCGAACAGCATGGTGCACGAGTCGACACCCTTCGAGTGCTGGACTGCTGAGATGATGATTATGGCGAGCGAGAGGAGGATGCTAGCCGTAACGAGCAGGCCGTTGATGCGAAGGCTGCGCGGCGGAGTGTCAGCGGGGTGTGCGAAAGAAGCGGGGGGTCTGGAGACGAACAAAGCCTTGAAGAGGCGTGGCTTCTCGCGGTAGACGCCGAAGAAGCCGAAAGGTTGACCGGCTGCGACGGCGAAGCATAGCACGCCGAGAATGTAGGAAAGGAAGGAGGGCGTGGTGACGGAAACGACTGCACGAGATGGGAGGATTAACCTGGTAGGGTGAGATCGCGCGAAAGAAGGGCGAACGCACTGGAAGGCGCCGCGAAACACAGGACTCCCGCAACGACCGAGATCACGAGGAACTGAGCCAGGATAGCGTAGATGCCGCCATTGTCTGCGAGTCGTGCGATGCCGGAGGTGGAGCAACGCGCCGAGATGGAGACAGGTCAGCAACAACTTCGGGTGGGGGAAGCACGACGCATCGATACGCACATAGTGGCACCGCACAGCACACATACGTGCGCGACCAGATGCCCATCGTTCAGCGGCAAGTCCGGGGAGTCTCCGAGGTTGATGGACGAGGCGGGTGGTGAGCGACGGCGTCGGGAGACGCTGAATTCGCGTGTTAGCTCCTGGATACTCTTGTTGCGGGCGTCGAACGCTCCTGCAAACCCTCAAGGCGCGCTGTTGTCGAGGTTGTACCGCGTTGCTGCGAGGAAGCGATGAAGGGTTGGCAAAGGTTGGGAGAGATTGGGTGCGGTGGTTGCTGGTCTGGCGGGTCTCTGAGAGTCCAGTCTAAGCAGCCAGACTTGTCTAGCAAAGTCAGGCGCGAGCAGAGGTGGGTTGACCAACACCAACCTCCTCGCCGCCTCCTTTGTCCAGGACCACTCGCTCCCGCAGGCAATTCAAGCCCTTTGAGACTCTCAGCGCGGACTCAGACTTGTTACATAGCTAGTGTCGTACCGCCCATCTCGGACTGCTACATCCTGCGCTTTTCTCGCCGCCCCGGACGTACTTGGACGTACAGCTTTGCGCTATAGTGCTCTCGCGCGTCTTCAAAGCAACAGCGAAACCGTCCTGCGAGAGCCAAGCGATTCCATCAAGCGAACTCATCCTGCGTAGTACGCGACTCCTCAGCCACATCCGTCCTCGAGAAGCCAGTACTCCTCGTCAATTTCGCTGTCGTAGAGGTCCCACTCCTCCGAGTCGTCCTCAAGAGCCAAAATTGCCATTTCCCATTTCTCCTCGACGCGTGCTGCGTTCTTGACCGTGCCGCTGATAGCCACGTTCGCCTTGGTAGCCTTCATCTTGAGATCGAGATAGTCGTCGTACCCAAACGACGAAGTCCACATTGGGAGTTCCCAGCCAGCTGGCTCGAAGTCCATCGCGACGTCCTCGTAGGTGACATCGGCAACGTCGCCTGCCTTGCCGTCGACGTTGTCGAGTTTGAGCTTCTTCAAGCTGGACAATCTGCGCGGTCCGTCGACAAGCAAACTCAACTCGATAGCGGAAATGTCGCTCTTCTTGCAGACCTCGATACGCTCGAGCGGAAGCGCGCGCAAGACGTCGAAGGAATCGCGGCCGAGACGCGAGAAGTTGCCGCGGAAGATGATCTGCTTGAGGCCGGCGAGCTGCTTGAGCTCGGCGGGGAGAGCGCTATGCAACGTGCTCGACGTAATCAGGAACAATTGCGCGACGTGCTCAGGAGCTGCAAGCGCAGAGATGACCTTGACCAAGCTTGACGGCTCCTCGTAATGCTTCACAACGAGCGTCTTTATGGTCGGCACGCTCTGGAGAAGCAAGTGCAGGCTGTCGAAACTTGGCCCGTGCGAGACTGAGACGGAAAGGACGTCGAGCGGCGGCAGCGGGACCGCGCCGCCATGAGCGCGCGAACGTAAAGTCTTGATTCGCGATTTGTGCCGGAGGATGAGCTGAAGGACAGTCAAGTTCGTCATGCTGGCGAGCGATCCGAGGTACGCCGGGTGGTACGGGTCGGCGCGCTGCGTCTTGCAGAGGCAGGCGAAATGCCTTATCGACGAGCTGAAAGGGAAGAGGGCTTGGCGTCCGGCAGGGAGCAAGACGTCGAGGAACATCTCCCAGTCGTCGTGAACGACGAGCTTGGTGAGGTTCGGGAGGTTCGCGAAGACGGCCTCAAGAGAGGCTTGCGAGACGGCCGGAGACTTGAGGTGCTGGACCTTCAGGGTGCGGCAGTGCCTCCCAACCGACGGGCGAGTCTGGAAAGTGGCGCTGAATGCGACGAGGCGCTTGTCACCGACGACCTTGACGTCGCGCCAGACGCAGCGGTCGAAGAGCGGAAGGAGGGTGCGCGAGAGAGGCTCAGTCGGCTTGTCGGTGGCATAGGCGTCGTCAAAAATTTTCTGCAAGAGCTCCATCGGCAGCTTGGACAGCCTGTCGACCGCTGGAGGCGACGGGGACGCTTCGACCTGCTCGAGGTGGGGAGGAGGTGGATGAGCTCGCGACAACGTGGGAGCGCGTGCGAGGGGACGCGAGCGCACCTGAGGGTCGTTCCGGCGAGCAGAAGACATCGTACGAGCAGTCTGAGCGGGAAGCCAGCGAGAGAAGTGAGCGGGACAGGAAGAGGGGCGAGGAGGGCGCAGCTTCGACGACGACGGCTTTCGTGCGAGTTCGTGCGGGGGCTGGTGGAAAGAGATCAAGTCTGAGTGCACGGTACAGCTCGCTTGGCGTCCCAACGGATGTCAGACTCGCAACGTTTCAGGTGTCGCGGACCGACAAATTCTCCACCTGTCCCCTCCTCAGCTCTTTCAGAACTTCATCGTACACATCCTGCACGTATGCCGCCATCGCAACGTTCCCCGTGAACGAGATCCCGCATCGAGCCGCCTCTTCGCGCAGGCGCCACATTAGGTCGCTCCGCTCTGTATCGCCAAGCGGGTACGGGACCGTCCACATGTTCCGCCTGAACCAGCTGTTCCGCGTCTGAAGCACCGCATCGGAGAGATCGAGCTGGTCCCCGGGGCGAGGAAGGCGGCCCTGATAACTCCAGTAGAAGTGTCGAGATTCGAGGTCGACATGTCGCGGTGCGTGCGCCGGACCAAGACCGTTGAGGAAAGTCGCCAAGTACATGATGCTGCGTTCGACGAGCCACAGGGAGAAGACGTCGAGACGCGGGCGAGCGCGAAGTATTCGCACTGCCTCCGACGACAATCGCAAGTTGCCGACATTGACGGTAAGGTCCCGGACTTGAGAGAACCCTGCGAGTACGCAGGCACGGTCTATCGATTCTCCGTCGTCTCCGCAACCCTGGTTGATGTGGAGAATGCACACGGTGTCCATGGGCACCGGGAGGGCGAAAGTGCGGATCAATGTGGGTGTCGAGAAGTCGGTGAAGATAAAGTGCTGAAAGTTGATGCCACTTCTCAACACCTGGTGGACGTCTGCCGCTGGCAGGTCGCCTGCGATCTCGAGCTTGACGAGACTCGGACACGGCTGTCCACCGGACGTGACGAGGCGAAGGTTCAGCGGTTCGTCGACGATGTGGTCGACCGAGAGCGTCGTCAATCGGTGGTACTGCATGAACGGGCTGATATCGGTAACGAAGGGGGGGCGATCTGTCGGTGAATGAAGACTTATGGAGATGGTTTCGATATTGCTGAGAGGCAGATTGACGCCGCCTTGGCTCGTAAGAGCGAGGATGGCGGCAAGGTCGACCTGACTACTGGTAAAGTCGAGGTGACGGAGGGTTGGCATCAAGGCAAAGAGCCTCGCGAGGATGTCCGAGTCGTAGGGCGTGTCGTCCACTTCTTCGTCTTCCGACTTGTCCCCAAGCGTGTTCAGGTGGAGTCGCTGACATGAGAAGCCGAGCTCTGGACGTGCTTCAATGGCCCTGAGCAGGATGGCGGACTCGGTGGACGAAAGGCAGGGGATTACGCGATAGCGGACGCGGTCGAGGGAGGGTTGCAGGGCGCGGCAGATCGAGATCGGCCTGTATCGTCCAATGTCGTAGCTGAGGTGGATCCAATAAGCGTAGCCGAGGATCTTGTCGAGCAGCTCGACGGGCAGGTCGAGGAGGGAGGGTGCACGCGACTTCATCTGTCGACGAGGACGACGGGATGAACTCGGGGGAACGGGACTTGGGCGGTTCGGCTGCGCACCTCTCGGCGAGTCTAGGAGAGTCTCTGAGCCAGTCAAGCGAGCGATCCAGCCAAGTCGAGCGAGTGGAACCAGTCAAAGGGTCGCCGGCCAAGTTCGGCTCCGCCTTCTCCTCCTCGACCCCGCGCCATCACGCTCGCGGGGCTCTGCTGCACTCGCCAAACGCTTATCTCGACTCGCACTCGACAGCTGAGCGCGCCAGTCCTTGTCCTGGGCTCGCTCGTGTCGCCATCGCACCGCTCTCTCCCCGATGGACACTCCCGACAAGGCGGGGAAGCAGATCCCGCGTCCGAAGCGCACATACCGAGCGTGCCAACCTTGTCGAGCAGTGAGTCGGGCGCCCACGTCCTGCGACGCCGTCCTCGCCGCGCAGAAGCCATCCCGGTGGGCTGAACGCTCTCAGCTGACTCTTCGCTCGTCCCCGAAACCTCGCAGCGCAAGCTCAAGTGCGACCTCGGTGCGTAGAGGAGTGCTGTAGCGCCTGCGGCAGACGAGCGCAATCGGCTGACCTGCGGCCGCTGCGTTACAGGCGATCCCGACAACCCATCCGACCCTCCTTGCCGTCGCTGTCGCCGCGAATCCCGCGACTGTGTCTTTGTCGCACGCGCCAATGCCAAAACCTACCTCGAACCTCTCCCTACCGGCTCACCAGCACCCTACACAACCGTCGTACCGACTCGACCAAAAGCCCGCAAGGCTGGTTCTTCGCCCGACGAGTCGACCTCGTCCACCCCAGGCGCTCCGCCCGCTCGTGCGGTCGCTCACCCGTATGCGACGCCTCATGTCGGCGGATGGAGCGCCCCGCCGAATCGAGCAGCGCACGCTGTTGCCTCGACCAGCACTTCCGGCGCTGCGACTCCCTCCCTTCCCTCCGTCATGTCCTTCCCGCCCTTCCATCACGGTCTTCCGCCTCAATCGACGCCTCCCGTTGGCTACGACCCGATGAATCCGCACCTTCGTCATCTGGCCGCAGCTCGAACAGCGAGCGGGACGTCGACGCCCGAACGCGTCGCTCAGCCTCTTCACGGAACGAGTGCTGTAGCGACAGTCTCGGACGAGGAAGGCGGAGTAACAGATGGAGACGAGGACGAGGACGAGGACATGGAGGACTTGAGCCACTCTCGCCGGGACTCGCACGAACCTGGCGGTCCTTCCGACGCCAACGTCCTCCTGTCGTCGACCCTACACAACCCTTCCGACGCACTCAAGCTCCTCGCCACGGCATCGTCACTTCGCTCCCTGTCGGCAGAGACCGCCTTCACCGCTCCCGACTCCCGAAGCGCCGGTCCGTCTGGCAGCAACACTCGAAACGCCTCTCGCTCGCGCGAGCGACGAGCCTCGCGGTCTCGAGAACGTGCGGCAGTCGTTGCTGGAGCAGGACCAGGCTCGATGACGCCCGGTAGCGGGAAGGGCAAGGAGCTGGAGCGCGGACGACCGGGCGCACCTTCGCCTCTCAGCCAGACAGAAGCAGGCTGGGACCGCTGGGTGCCCGTAAGAGAGGGCATGGTGACGGTCGCTGAAGCCGAGGCCCTCCTCTCCTTCTTCGAACACCACATGTCGCCTCTCTACCCTCTCCTCTCGCCTCGGATCTTCACGCCCGCCCACCTTCGCTCCCTCACCTCGCGCGAATCCCTCCTCCTCGCGGCGATGATCACCATATCGGCTCGCTACTCGTCCCTCCCTTCCGGCCCGCGCGCTCGGTTGATTCACGAAGCGCTCGCCGAATACTGCCGCGACGAACTCGTCGGCATCCTCGACGGGAGCGGCGAGTTGAGGCATATCTCGAGCGTCGAGGCGCTGCTGTTGTTGACGGAGTGGCCGCCCATCACGGTCGGGCGATCGCAGAAGACGAGGGAGAGGCCGAGGGGGAGGAAGAGGCGGAGTTGGGCGCATTCGGGAAGTATTGCGACGGTCGAGGAGGTCGAGGAGCAGGAGGAGGATGAGGGCGTCGAGGACGCGGAGGCACTCTTGCGCTCGAGTGCGCAGTACGACGGGTGAGTCGCTCACGTCCCCGAATGGCATTTCGTGTCCCGCTCGACGCACGAAGCGAGATGCGAATGGGATGCTGGAAGAATGCGCTGACATCGCCCCTTGCAGGATGAGCTGGAGCTTCATCGGCTGCGCCGTCCGCCTCGCGCAGGAACTCGGCATCCACAACATCTACTTCGGGTCGGAGAAGGAGCGAGGACCGATCACTTGGGAGGAAGAGCGCTGCTTGCGGACGTGGATCTGTGAGTCGTCTCCTACGCTCATCTACTCGTAACGCTGTTGACCAGCGCTATTGCAGACTGCTACAACGCCGACCGGCACGTCTCGGTGCGACTCGGCAGGAACGCTGTCATTCAAGCCTGTGCGTGACGCTTCAGCGCTCCAGCTCCGCGACGAAGCGCCTCTTGCGAAACGTTGCTGATGTGAGTATTTTTTGCTGCGCGCAGACATGTCGTCTTCGTGGTGGGAGCAGGTGACGAGCCACGCCAGTCAGGGAGTTCGGCGGGAAGGGCTCAGCGAGCTGTGGGCGGAGCGGTCTCTTCCTCAAGGCCTGATCGCTGCCGTGAGTTCAATCGTCCCTGCTCATTCCGGTCATTGTTCACGTTCTGCACCTCGCAGCTCATGGGGACGATACAGGAGCGACTGTACCCGAACAAGGAGATCACGCGCTCTATGCTGCGAACCGGCCAGTGGGAGTCGTTCGTCCGCTCGCTTGACCACGAGTTGCAGATGATGCTCTTGAAGTCGCGGACCGTCCTTCGTGCGTTGAGCTCTCCCTCTTCCGCCGCTCCTCTTTGCTTCGAGAACGCAGAGCTGATGTCGGACTGCTCATGTGTCAGAGCAAGGAAACATCGAATCGACGCTTTTGCAAATGGAGTTCGAATACGTCCGGCTGTACGGCAACGCGATCGCCCTGCGCGCTCTGCAAGAACGCCTCCGCCGAGCAGTCAAGGCGAACGACCTCCTCTTCGTCTCGCCGTCGCTGCTCAACCTGCAGGAGGGACAGTGGGTGCTCGATGCGCTCGCAGCGGCGCAGTCGATTCTTGACCGGACGGTCAACTTCCTCGGTACGCCCCCTTTCGCTTCCTTCCGTTCGCCGACCTCGCTCATCAGGCTTGCTCGCTGCGCAGTCCCGAAAGGCTACCTCCGCCTGGCGCCGTCTCGCCTGCACCAGCGCATCCTCTTCGCCGCTACCTTCCTCTTCAAGGCGCTCGCGGTCGGCGTTGTCGAGCACGGCCAGCCCAAGGTCATCCATCTTCTCGACCAGACCATCGCCGTCCTGCACAATAACGCCGTCGACCGCCAACACATCGGGCGAGGCTTTGCCGCGCTACTCAGGCGACTGCAGGAGCAGTGCAAGCCGACCCTCCTGTCGCGCTTCGGCGTGCGTCCGAACGGCCAGGCCAACGGCGAAAATGGCGAGGGACTCGCGCAAACGCCGGCTGCGATGAACCAGCCGTCTCCCAACCCCGAAGCTGCCGCCCTACAACCGCCCGCATCCGCAGATCCCGCCCTCGCGCCCACTCCCAACGCCGGACCTTCCCTTCCGCCTTCAGCAGCTGCAACACCTGGCGCTGGCGTCGCTACTCTCCCCGCCCTCGGCCTCTCAATCAGTCCGACACACGCTTCGGCCGGACAAGGCCTCCTCCCTCCCGGCTACAGCTCGCAACACCCCGCCGCGATCCCCGCTCCCGCCTCGTTCCCTCCGCCGCCCATGCCCACCTCGTCAACCGCCTCGCACCCGTCGTGGCTCGCGCCGACGCCAACAGGCGAGCAGACTGTCGAGTTTGGCGGCTTCAAGCTCGGTACGGCGCCGCTTGGGGCCGACTATTCGAATCCGTTCGAGTGGGACCCGATGAACCACAGCATCCAGGTCGGGCACGAGCAGGACCTGCTCTTCCAGAGCTTGTGGGGCACGGGCGCGGCGGGCTTGGGAGCGAGTGGAGACTTTGGGTCTGGGATCAACCCGGCGCTCAACCTCTTCGGCACGCTCGTTGGCGACGAGTAAGCCTTCTTTGACGGTACAAAACGAGTCGTAGGGACTCGACATCGGAGTATACGTTCATGTCGTCCCTGTTGCAACCATTTTTCGAGGACTCCTCGCCTCCTCACCTCGATATTGCGCAGCCGGGGAGAGACCGCTTCTGATCACTAGCGCTGTCCTCTCCATTCAGCGCGCGCTCACAACGAAGGTGACACTGAAGCCAAGGGTCCGCTCGCTTCATCGCCGAACACTTCGCCTCGACTCCTCACTCGCCTGCTGCTGAACTCGCTTTCGAATGAGCTCTCGCGAGAGGTCTCCCTCAGAGACGTCCAGCTATGCCCAGTACCTCTTCCCGACCGGCCAGCGACGAGTTGTGACGATCCCTTGTGCGTCTCCTGATCAACTTCGAGCGGTGTCGACTGGCTGACACCTCGAGGCGGGCAGCATGGGCGCGCAATCTACCGCCTGACGAGCTGTCGGATGAGGAGGACGACCCCCAGCACCACAGTCCCGTTCCACCCCGCCGCCCATCCGACACTCGTCGCTCGCTCTCCTCGACGCTTCGTAACCGCAGCTCGCTGTCTGGACCGCTTTCCCCCAGGTCAGCAGAAGGAGGAGGCTTTGCAGAGAAGCAGGGACAGCAGAATGGCGCATCGAACTCGTCGTCGCCAGAGTCGAAGGCTGTGCCTCTCATGCCGGCTCCCCCTCGGGAGGCGCACGCAGCAGATACAGTTCAGCGAGAGAGGGGTGAGGCAAGAGAAGGAGCAGGGACGCCTATCGATCGAGGCTGGTGGACCTTCACGCTGACGGGGAAATACCTCGACCGCGTGCACGGCTACATCAACCCTCGCGAGGCGGCAGAGAAGGGCAAGACGCGCGATGCGGGCGACACCACGGACCAGGAGGCGCAGGATGACCACCAGTCTCTGCGGTCGGTCCGGTCTAGGTTGAGTTGGTTGAGCCGGCGAACGAGCGAGCAGGAAACGCGGAATCGGGACTTGGAGAAGCAGGACTACCATCGCAAAATGAGCAAGTCGATGCGGCTCCGCCTCGCTCCGCCAAACGTCTTCTCTCTCAACCAGACAACGGTGCGCTTAGGTCCTTTGTCGTCGTCTGCCGCCCGCTGACCAGCAACTTCTGCAGACTCCTGGCTGGTCGACACCCTGGACACCCTTCCGCCGCGACGAAAACGCCCGCGACTTCCAAGATCCTTTCGAGCTCTCGCGCAATCAGGCGGCCGCCAACTCGAAACGGTCGCGCTTCGAGAACTTCATCCTCCACAACCCGTTCTCGCCGCTCTTCCTCCGCAGCATCAACCTCATCCTTATTGGCTGCACTCTCGGCCTCGCCGCACACATCCGGATTCAAGAGCGAAATAACGGCGTCATCGGTGTGATGGGGACCTCGACACTTTTCGCCATCGTCGTCGCGCCGTTCGCCATCCTCCATATCTTCATTACGCTCTACGTGCGTTTTCCTTGGCGCCGGATTCCGCCACACATCTCTTCCTGATGCCTTACGTGAACAGATCGAGTACTTCGGGCTCCCGATCGGCCTGTGGCAGATCCACACCAAGATGTTCCATACCCTGACGGAGCTCATCTTCATCTGCCTGTACTCGGCCATCCTCTCGATCGTCTTCGACGACCTCTTCACCTCCTCACTCGAATGCACGTCCTTTACGCCGTACGCCCGCTACAACAAGCCGCCGCCCATCACCGCGACCGCCAACGTCGACGGGTCGCTGGCCGACTCGATGTGCAATCAGCAGATCGCGCAGGTCGCCTTCATCTTCTGCAGCGTACTCTTCTACGTCGCCGTCCTCGTCATCAGCCTTTTCCGCATCTTTGCCAAGGTTCAGCGACGGTGAGCCTCGCGATGTCTTTTCTCCTGGCCGGGACCGCCCTGACGCCTTCGTTCCCTCGCAGGAACTGAGCTTCACTTCTCATTGCACACACATGCCATCTCTCTCTTGCATAGCACTGTACCTACTCGCTTGCGCCTTACATACCCGTATCTTCTCCGCTTATTGTCGTTACTCTCGCACCGCAATGCCTCGTTCGCCCCGTGTCCAGTCTCAGGGATTCTGTGTGAGCGTCAACGATACCTCTGCAGGCGAGGAAGAATACGAGCTTGACCCGTTTGCACTCGTACCCTCTCTTTGCCTCTCTCCCTCCACTACAACACTCCCTCCTGCTTCGCGGCATGAATGGGCCGCAAGAACCGCTCTTCCACACGCATCGATAGCTCGAATGCTGTCGCACCTGCTTCCACACCCGTCCTAAGCCGTTCCTCCTCGCCCTCCCCACTCGCCTCGACACACCTTCCCGCCAACCTAGGCGACAAGGATGGCTTGGTGGACGTTGCGGGCTTGCGTCGGCGCACCACGAGTGTTGAGGAAGGCCCTGGGACCGCCGGCTGGGCGCTTGAGCCGGAGGACTCGGCGGACGAGGATCTCGCAGATCAGGATGAAGAGGAGGACGGGAATAGCGAGATGCTACGATGGGGCTGGACGCTCGTCGTGGGGTCGTCGTTAGCCTTCTTCCTCGGCTTCTGGTCCATCCTCATTGGTCCCTTCTGCGCGCCAACGGGCATACGGGTGCGTTCCCTCTCTTCGTTCCTCTTGCCCTTTCGCGCTCACCCCTAGCGATTTGCAGATCCTCGATGCGCTCGCGCGAGATACCTACAACAAATACCTCGCTGTCTTGCTCGTCCCGGTGACCGTCTGCTACGTTATCGTCAACTGGTGGGGTCTCAAGGTGCGCGCCCTTTCGCATTCTCCTTTTCCCTTCTGCTGACGGTTCGTTTCACAGATCTTCCGGCACGCATGAACGCTGGGAAGCACGCGGATCCGTCGGGTTGCGATTCTAGGCCGACGGTCGCCTGACGCCTCCCCTTCGCCCGCTCGTCTATCTCGTCCGCCTTTGCGCCGATAGAGCCTCAAGACGACATCAAGTCGAGCTCGCAGCCAAGCTCAACCAAAGCGGGTTGCCCAGCTTCCGAAAAGCGCCCTCACTCATCACTCGTTCGCCTCGCTCGACCTCCGCCTCTCCTCTCTCGCAGCAGCACTCGCTCTCGCTCAATGACCGCCGCCTCAGCCTAGATCCGACGCACAGGGATATATTTGCAGCTGCAGAGTGTTTGCGAGCGAGTGTGCACAGAGGCGGGGCCAAAAAGATGGTTCCAAGGAAGAAACGACAGGGAAAGGAGAAGGGGAGAGGGAGTGTATGGGTGGACGAGGCTGTAGGGAGCGAGAGGCCAGTGTAAGAGTGCGAGAGAATCGAGTTGAACGATGTTTTGGCGAGCGCGCCGGCTCAATGGAGTCGAGGAATAGACGTGGCAGGGAAATGGGACGAAAGACCGAATGACGGCGATGACGAAGAGACGGCGGAACGGAAACGGGCACGGAGTATACGAACACGAAAGGGGGAGAGGATGAGAAGGGGGTTGATCACCAGCGGAAGGCTCCGCCTGAGCCGCCGCCGCCGAATGGTGGCTGCTGCTGCTGCTGCTGCTGAGGGTGGTACTCCTGCTGCGACGTGACTTGCTGCTGCTGCGGGTACGCGTGGCCTTGCGAAGCCATCTGCTGCTCCATGTTCTCAACGAATCGCTGGAGAGCGGCGAGTCCTTGCTGCTTGACGACGCCGGTGTCGGTGTCTGGGCTGAAGACCCTCGTAGCACGAAGGAGAGGCGGCGCATCGCCAGTGCCGGATCCAGATGCGGTCAAGCGAGCGGCCGTCGAATTGCGGAGGGCTTGGGCGGCGAGGCGGGGAGAGAGAGCGCCAGAGGCGGGCGAGACGGGCATCTGCAGGCGGAGTTGCTGACGCGGCGAAGTCTGTGCAGCGTTGGCGAAGGCAGCGGGAGATGCGACGACGTAGTGCGGCGAGCGAGGCTGGCGAGGCGAGGTTGGAACGTAGCGCGAGTCCTTGCGAGCACGAGTTGGACTCGTCGGTGCGGAGACGCCGGATGCGGTGGTGGGCGTCTTCTGACCCGAGCGAGGGGGGAAGACACCCGTGTCGGCGGCTTCCTCGGTCGAGGACGGGCTGTTGCTCTTCTTGCTGCGGCGGTTCGTCGGGCTCAGCTCGCCCTTGTCGACAGCGCGGCGAAACTTGATCTGGATCCGGTCGATACCCTCCTCCGAGTCTTCCGGCTCTTCATCATCGTCGCAGTCGTCCGTCGCAGTAGAGCCGTCGGCATCCTCATCCTCCTCGTCGTCACCGTCCCGACTGCTGGCATCCTCGTCCTTCGAGTAGACCGATGATGGACGGGGCGAGCGAGTCGCGGCGGCAGTCGCGGCGGTAGCGCCCGAAGCGACAGCCCCAGCGGCACCAGGACCAGGTCCACTATCCCGCCTGTCGGTGTTGCGGGTGATGCTCAATGAGCTCGCGGCGGAACCGCTTCGACGCCTGTTGTTCGCTCCGCCTACCGCCGTCGATGAGCCTCCCTTCAGACCACCACTCTGAGGTCCGCCCTTGCCTTCCTCGGTGGAGATGCGCCTCGAGTGGCCAGTCTGCCGCTTCGCCAGCGAGCTTGCGTACCGCTTGATGGCAGGAACCGAGTCCCAGGCGTTGACGAACGTGCCGGGACCCGAGTGCGCGAACGAGCCAGACGCCGCAGAAGGGCCGGCAGACGAAGCGGGACCCTCGTCGCTGAAAGTCCGAGTCGGCGGAGGAGGCGGCATCGAGCCGAACTGGAAGCCAGTCGCCGTCCCGCCCGGCGTCGTCACCGGCCTGTCCTCCTTCGCCGCAGCCTGTTCCCACGGGAAGACAGGCTTGACCTGGCTTGGGTCGGGCTTCTTGCTCATGACCTCCTTGTACCAATCGTGCGTCTCCTTCGGCGGCTCAGGGTAGCGCGCGGGCGGCTCGAACCGCTTCTTCATCTCGCGGCGAGAGGTCGAGTCCCAGATGTTCGGGGCGTAGGGGACGGCGTCGCGCATTTGAGGCGGGCCATTGCGCGGTGGGGACGAGCGAGCTGGGTCCCAAGTAAGGTGGGGAGGCGAGGCTGCTCGGGCAGAAGGGATGGCGAGCGGGGTAGTGGCGGTCGGCGTGGCGGTCGTGAAAGACTCATGAGAGCGGGGAGGAGAAGGCGGAGCGACAGAAATGGTCGGGGTCGGAGGCGTCGAAGGAGCGGGACCGTCAGCCTGATGCTCAAGGGACGGCTTCGCTTGCACAGGAAGGGGCGGCAGACTCGTCAATGCTTGCGAGAGGAACGAGGGAGGCGCGACGACCCGGCTGGCGACGTCGTAGGTCGAGATCGCGCCGAAGTGCCGCTCAAAAACGTCGAACCATTTGTGCGTCAGGCCGTAGTAGTCCTTGGATGCTGCATCGGGGTCGTAAGCGTCGCGAGTACCGCGGTGCCACGGCTTCTCGGCGCCGATAAAGTGCAGGATTGCGACGTCCTGGCCGTGCCGTCGATAGGCAGGAGCGTAACTGCGGAAGTGCGGTGGTCAGCCCGTCGTCACCGTAACGAGCTCAACGAGAGAGTGCCCACGTGTAGTAAGCCGAGGGAGTAACGTTGTAGGTAAAGCTGAGGCGATGCCAGTCGGAGAAGTAGTCGTTCAAGAGTCCCTGGTCGCCGCCGTCCCAGCTGCCGCGGCTCCGCATCATCCGCAACAACCCGTCGAACGTCTCCATGCTCGGCTCGGCGACAAAGACGCCCGAGTTGAACGCATCGGGCCAGCCGACGTCGGGAGCGGCGGCGAAGCGGTGTGGCAAGTCTAAAAGTGGCGAGATGGGACGGAGGACGAGCGTGTCGGCGTCGAGGAAGACGACCTTCTCGTACTGCGTCAGGCGGAAGAGGTGGAGTTTCGTCAGGCTCGCGGCGAGGTCTCGGCGGCCTGTTTGGGCAAGGCGGCGAAACCGGGCGGGATGGGGCACGAGTCGAGGTGGAGGGCGGCGGCGCAGGCAAGATCGGGTCAGCGCTCGTCCAGGATCGCCTTGATCTCGTTCGTGTCGACCCATCGCGCGTGTCCAACCACCCGATCAGGCGCGAGGGAGGGAGGGCGGGGGCCCGGGGAGAGGTTGGGGAACGTACCGAGCAGTTTCAGCTCCTCGAGGCTCTCTGAGAGGATCTGCTCGACGCCGATGACGATGTCGAACGCCTTCTGCAGTGCCGTGACCGTCCCATGTCCCACAGTCGCCGGCGTGACGAGCGCGACGGTCGCAAACGAGCGCGAGGTCGGGGAGGGCGCGGCGCCTTCAGCGTCGAGCAACGACCGCAGGGCGACGAGCGCGCCCGGCAGGTAGTTGTCTGTGGTGACGAGCGTCACGACCGCGCGGTCCTTTGCCCGCGGCATCGCCATGGCCGGCGGTGTTGTTGGTCGACTCGTGAGGAGGCGTCGAGAGGCAGCAACCGAAAGCGGGCTGAAGCGCTGATGGCGGGGTTGTACGGCGCGAGTGAGCTGGTTCCAAGCAATCTGGTCTAACTCGGTGAGCTGATGAGGACGGTGCAAGCGAAAGCCGCCGAGCTGCCACTGTCGGCGGGTCTCCAGGAGGAGGTCTGGCAGCGTTCCGATGGCGGTGGTTGTCTGGCTGGCTGAGGTGCTCTACTACGATTTCTACAACCTGCTACACTCGGTACGGCCGACGGCCTGGCCGACTTTGCCGCTTCAACCGCCTCGCCTTTCGACACAGGCAACTCGCTCGCTTCGACCACTCCCTCTAGCCAGTCCAACACGCTCAGATCCCGCCAGGGCATACCCACAACGACGTTGCACGTTCGTACACGCCCTCCAGCACCCGGCTCAGCTCCTCGCATCTTCCCTCCCTTCGTCCGCCCGTCGCGTCTCCTCTCGCCAAACAATAACTCGACTCGCCTCAACGCCCGCGACTTGGCCGATGGCGCCTGCAGCAGAGGTCGATAGTCGCGTCGAAGGGTATCTGGGCGGGCTGGCGGGTACGTCTGAGCCGTTTTTCGGGTTGGAGTGCTTCATGGCTTGTTGTGAGCGAGAAGTCGGCGGCGGCAGCGGCGCGCGCGGGTATCTGCAGGCGTAGGGACGTGCGAACGGGTGTCAGCGAACGATGTACGGGTTCGCGGGACGTTTGAGCATGTGTGCCGCAACTCGTCCCCAACTTCACGCTCCAGAATGAGGTTGCCTTCCAGACCGGGCGAGTCGATGGCGCTCACGACGGCCTGGCGAGGCAGTTTGGCGCGATAACGAGCTTGTCGATGTCAAACGAAGCAGCACGAGAGCTCGTAGTTGAACCAGGGCGATTGCGAGATAGCCTCAGTTTCCGCCGAAACTGACCTCTTCTCCGACTCGTCGCCGGGTCGTCACCTGCCTCTGATGAGGACAGAGCAGCGAGAGTGGGACTCACTCTTCAGCTTTCAGGGATGGTTCGGGATCTCGAACGCTGCAGACTTGACGGGCTGTGTGAAGCGGGTTGCGCGAAGGTCAGCAAAACTCGCGACTCGTGGGTCCACGTCGAGTCTGATAGCTAGCAGGCCAGTCGTCGAGATGTCTTGCTGCTTCAGTCGCACGACGCGCGTTTGTAACTCCCACCATGAAGCCACGAGTCGTTACTCGCGAACCGTAGGAAACCGCCCATTCTCTCCCGCAAACCCTGAACTACGCCGTTTCCTTCGCGCTCGCCATAGCCGATGATGCGGAAAGTGGGAGAGGGGAAGCTCACCTGCTTGTGAACCTGTCTTCGCAGGCGAGTCTCTGTCAGCGTGTGGGCGGACTCGGGAGAGCGGGAAAACGCACCAGGACATCATCGCTCCTGTTGAGGACGCTGTACGCCGAGATCAGCATCAATTCGACGTTTGTAACGAGCCCTGAAGCGAGCAATCCGTGCGAGAGACGCGGATCACATTGACCCGCCGCTCGAGACCCCAGGCGAGCTGATGGCGATGCGTGCCGTCAACACCGTCCGAGGTTCACTGAAGGAGTCTCACTCCGTCACAATCGCACGAGAACGTCCTGCCGGACGCTCCATGGTCGCTCGTTTCGGTGGGAGCTGAGGAGAGGAGAGCGAGGGTTGAGGGCGATGAGGAGGTGTACGGCGGCGGGGAGAGCTTTGAAGACGGGGCGAGTGCGTGTGAGTGTTCGAAGAAACGTTTAGGAAGGCGGCTCACCAGCCAGTTCAGCCTTGTTTGTCCTGTCGTGCGAGGTGAAGAAGGAAAGCCAGTTTGGGTCGCCGGTCGCCCTTCTCGCTGCGCAAGACTCAGCAGCTCTCGTACTCGCTGGAAAGGAGTAGTGTTGCTGCGACCTACATCTCCAGCCAGGCAAGATGAAAGTCACCCAGCGTACTGCCGCTCGCCGCCCTCACCGTCTTGCGACTCCGCCTCGAATCGTTTCGCAACGCTACACCACAAACACGCCGAATGGTGGATCAAGCTCAAGCTAGTATTCGACAGCGAGGAAAGTACGTGGAGGAGAAGTGCTGCAGAGGAGAGTAGGCGGCGAGGAAGGCGAACGCGAAGAGGGCCAAGGTGAATGCGCGGAGGGCGAAGGAGGGGAAGATGCCGAGGACGGTGGGTGTTGAGAGGAGCCGTGAGAGAGCTGGCGAGCTGTGCTATAGATTCGAAGTCAGCGGGAGTGTTGCAGCCCGAGGAGAGCGGATAAAGCCAACGCACCGGCAGAAGTTGCTGAGAACACAAGCCCCGCCCTCACCTGCTGCCCTAACGAGCTGGGCGATACGACTTGATGAGCTTGTCGTTGTGTTCCTGCACAATGAGGACGGCGGTCTCGCGGCGGTTGCGGTGATAGTCTAGCCATCCCTCCTTTGTGCGGAACTTCAACTTGACGATCACCCAGCGGGATGGGTCGAAGGGTGCGGCTGCGATGAAGGCGACTTTTCTGCGGACGACATGCGTTAGTAAGAGGCTTAATAGAGAGATGTCAGCGAAATGACTTACACGTCGTGCGAGTGATCACCGCAAGCCTCCTGAAGCAGGTTTTGCAGCGCCTGGATGTTCAACAGCTGGGTCGGGTCGCCTTGAGTGTCGCTCACAACCCGCAGGAGTGAGCAGTCGGTATAGCCGCCGCCGCCTTGGTAGTTGGTGACCTGACCTGGTGCGAGTGGTTCAGGTTCGATGGGGATGATTGGTCGGGTCGGCAGCAACGGAGGCGCTAGCGAGCCGTATGCATGACATGGGTGGTCTGAGCTGATCGGAGGCGGCGGGGGTGGCGGGTGCGGGAGACGATGACGAGGCCGAGGAGGAGGAGGGAGTGGATTGACGTGTGCAGACGGTGTGAAGGTCGAGGCGGAGTGCGACGAATAGCTGCTCCATGACGGAGTGGTAGGGTATGGTTGGGGACCGAGGGGAGGCGGGGGAGCGGAGGGAGAGGCGCGCGATGGGTAAGGTCCGCTGGTTGATGCGAACCAGTGCTGAGGAGGGAGGTAGCTGTCATTGAGCGAGTGCGGCTGGCGCTGTAAGCCGGCTGGAGACGATGAGGTGGAGGCGACAGGCATGCGAGGGTCGGTGATGGGCGGAAGCGGCGGGTAGCTAAAGCCAGCGGCGGTCGAGGGCCATCGACTGCTCGGCGTAGTGTCCGCGGACAGCCACCGGCCTTTGGCGGACGCCGACGACGCCGGAAGCAACTTGGCAGGCGTGGGGGACGACGACAACCTCGCTTTGGTGGACGAGAACGCGAGGTAGTCTTCTTCGCCGGACGACACCGCCATGTCCTCCTCAGCAGCATCCTCGCGCACGCCAGAACCGTCCGTCCAGTCCTCCATAAGCTCATCATCGCCCGCTGCGCCCGTTCGTACCGCACGCTCAACCGAGACCTGACCAGTTGACGAAGTAGTAGCCTCCCCTATCTCTCCGCCGTGTCCGACGCCGGCGCTCCTGCTCAAGTCGTGAGGCTTGAGAGCAGCATACTCATTGTTGCCGAGTGGCTGGCTGGACGGAGGCGGGTCGAACATCGTTGCGTCGAGTTCGAAGTGCGAGTCGGGCTCGGCGTAGGACTCGGACCCGAAATCCTCATCGTACCGCAGAGGCGCCAGGAAGGACGACTCGTTACCCGCCCTGGCGCCCGGAATGTCGGAAGTGAGGAAGGGCGACGGCGGACGGTCGAGGAAAGGAGATGGCGGTCGGTTGAGGAAGGGAGACGGCGGCAAGTCGAGGAAGGGTGATAGCAGGACATCGAGCCGTGCATTCGATTGGGTTTTTCGAAGGACCGGTGACGGAAGGGTGGGAGAAGGAGACGGGACTGGGTCTTGAGCGAGAGGAGGGGGGAGAGGAGCCTTGTCGCGCGCCGGAGTCGACTGGATCGCCGGCGGAGCGCGGACGGCGGAACGGTCTTCTTCCGCTGCGTCGCATGGGCGATCGATACACTGCAGAAGACGGGACTTGGGAGGGAGAGGAGCGTCTGCGGGAACTGGAGGTTGACCGTCGGCGACCGGGGACTCCTCCTTCGACGGCATCGAGACATCGTCGAACTCGATCTGCGGCTGTACGGGCATGTTCGGAAGATGTGCTTGCCGTTGCACGCACCGAGAACGTCGGAGGCGAAGCTGTCGCCTGGTCGGTCATGGAAAGTGCGTCAAGAAGTTGCTTGACGAGGTCGTCGTGTGACAAGCCCATCTCGAAGAGCTTGAGCAGCTCAGAGGCGCTTGTCGGCTGCTGAACGTGGACGTTGTCGAGCAAAAGGTCGTTGAGCGACGACCCGCCTGTTTGCGTGATGACAGTCAGCTCGAGCGTGAGGGAGCCGACAGAGTGGATCACTCACCCAGCGCGACGACTGCCGCACGAAGCCGCAGCGACGGAAGAGCGGTCAGGTAAACTTGCTTGATCTCGTCGGGCTCGACAACATCGTCCAGTTCGAAGCCTGAAGGCTCAACGGTCAGCTCATATAATTGCGAAGCGGCGACGCGGACGCACCGTTTGCTTGCAGAGCGCCCACCATCTCTTCCGTCGAATCCATCGCGAGCGGGTACAAGACGTGGACGTCGGCGAGCGGGGTATCGGACTTGGCGAGACCTGGAAGCCGCTACGAGCAGTCAGCAAAGATAATCAAAGCGAAGGAACCGGAAGAACGCACCCTTAGAGACGACCGTTTGCCGCTTGCCCGCCAAGCTGCACGATCCGCCGGATCCTCGCAAGCCACGGTAACGGTCTGCAAAAAGTGAACATCAGAGCTGCACGACTGAGCGCAAAGCGGATAAACGCACAAGGTCCGGGCTTGCCGCGCATGCCGTTCCCGTGAACTGCGACGTAGTCCGAGAGAGCGCGAGAGATGGTGTTGAGGGTCTCGGGGAGGTTGTTCAGGTCAAGACTGAGCTCTTGCACCATGTTGTCCAGCTCGTCGACCTCGATGTCGAGGCGGAAGGCGCGCTGGAAGTACAGGACGTCGAAGGGCGTATTGATGCCGCGAAACAGCTTGTCCTGAGCGCACTCCCGTCCGAGGAGGAGCGAGCGCACCACCGGGTGCCGTGACGCCATCATGACAGACGGGTGGTACGTGATGAAGACGTAAGAGTTGAAGTAGAAGGAGGCGCAACGGACGTCCGTGAGGTTGATCTTGCGAGGCCGAGGCCGGATGTCGCCGAACGCTTGAGCGTACTCGCCATAGAGCGTGATCGAGACCGTATCAGCACTGTGCCGAACCGTCTGTGAGATCTGTTCGACTGTCGCGTTCCGAGCGGAGAGTTAGGAAGGTCGCGCGGAGTCGACCGTCGGTTCGGCAGACTCACTCGCCTGGATGAGCTGTGCGATGAAGTAGTATCGCGCCGTAGGCTTTGAGGTCGCCGCAAGGCCGAGCCGCCGGGAACGCGCGACGAACATCGGCTTGACGCAAACTCGAAAGACCTCCTGCGGGTGCAAGGTTTGAGCTGGGTGAGGATGGCAGTCGTGCGTAGAGGACGACGACGCACCGCAAAGTGCATCGTGTGACCTGTCTCTCTTTCAATGAAGTCACTCCGCTCGACGACATAGTCGACCGTCGGACATGACGGAGCGGTCGGGTCGCGAGGCGGCACATTCGCAGGCGGGTCCGCTTTGAGGCAGGAAAGCTGGCCGAGCTCGACCGAGTGACGAGCTTGTCGAGGCGGTGGAGCAGGCGAGATGCCCTGGATGAGTTGCGTAACATGGTAGAGCGGTGGTGTGTCCGGCCAGGTCGCGTAGAGGTTGTCGATGGCGGGGACACGCTGGCGAAGCACGGCCTGGAGATCGTAAAGGCGAGGAGGAGCGTGTCGGACAGCGTGGTAGAACTGGATGAGGAGGTTGGTGTTGAGGGGATCGGCGAGGACCGAGTACGGGTTTTGCAGCTCCTCGACCGTCTTATCCGCCATCTGCAGAGACCGTACGGGTCTGAGTACGAGCTATCAAGCGTGTCGAGCGGACTCACCCTGTCCCAGCGACCGTCGTCCATCCCTGCTGCAAGTCGGGGGCGATGTCGAGCGGGAGAAGGCGAGGGCGGCGAGCACGACTTGGGGGAGGGTCTGCGCGGCGCCGGGCGGCCGAACACGAGCAGTAGACTGTCTCCAAGCAAGCACAGAGCCAATCGAGCGAGTGGTAGTGGATGATGCAGAACAGAAAGTGTCCTCGCCCCGCTCGCTCGCCTTGACGACCCTCTCTCCCGCTCACCCATCGCTTGAGGCTGCTAATCGGGCACTGCTGGACGCACAGGCACGCTTGCGACCGCCTGGACCCACTCCTGCTGTCCACGAATCCCGCCATGGCTGCCCCTCTCGCCCTCATCCCCTCGCCCGCTCGTCCGCACGCCGACAACCGCTCTGGCAGGAGTAAGACGACGCTACAGGAGCGCCAGAAGGTCAGTCTCGCTCGTCCTCCCCTGCCCCACCCCTACTCGGGCTGACAGGCGTCTCGAGCGGCCGACAGTACCTCGACTCTCTCCCCAACGGCTATATCCCATCGCGCGAGGAGCTCGAAGCTGCAGGCTACTTCCCGTACGCACCAAAGAGTGCGCTCCAGCCGTGCGGTGCGGGCGACAGGCCGGAGAAGGAGGCGGACAGTGATGTTGGACCTGATGAGGTGCCGAGTGCGTCCACCTTCAGCCATCCGCCACTCGTGATGGCCTGCTGAGCATCCTCCGACCCGCAGAGAGGTCTGCCGGAGGCAACAGGCGCAAGCGAGCAGGACCCGACGACTCGGATGCAGGAGATCGCGACGACGACGACCCTTTCGCGGTGGAAATCCCGCCGCCGAAGCTCGAGGTTGGGAAATGGGCGATGCAGCACTTGATGGACGAGAAGCTGGGTGGACTCGAGCTGGAGAAGATCACGCGCGAGCCAGGTCGTTCGGGTGGGAGGAGCAAGAGGCAAGGGTCGGATTCTGGTCGTCGCCCAAACCCGAAGACCTCCTCGGCCTCCTCAGGCGGCGCAAAGCGCTCGCCTGGAGCACCCGCTTCGCTCGACAATGCCGACGAGATTGAGCCGGGCATTCAGGACAGCGACATCGCCTCTCCCCCTCCCGCCTCGTCTTCTCCGCCGTCCGCTTCCCGCTCGCCCGGTTTCCACCCCTCGCCCGCACCAATCGAGAACGATGCCGCAGTTCACAAGGCTCAGAACGCGCCTGCGACCCCGCCCGACGGATTGACAGACCGTTCGACGAACACTCCTTACCCCGCTCCTCTCGCCTCGCCGTCCGCCTCTGTCGATGATGCTCGTCCGCCTACGGCTTCGACGTCTGCCAGCGACTCAGCAAACATCGAAGTCACCTCACCTACGTGCGGTACTGCGACGATGACGGTCAACGGCAATTCCTCGGCGAACCCTCTCGCGGGTCCCTCTCACGGCGGGGAAGACGCGCCCGTTCTCGAGATGCTTCCTGCACAGGACGATGTCGAGACTACGACTTCAGCTACGACCGCCGACGCGCCCGCCGACGCCGAGCCGTTGACGGCGCCGCCCCTCCGCCGCAGCGCACGCAAGGCCGGAAGACCTGCTCAAGCCGCAACATCCGCCGTCTCCTCGCCGCCGCCTGCTCAGCGTGGGCCAGACAAGTCGGCATCGACGTCGAAATCGTCGACGAGGCGCGAGAAGGACGCAGCCCAGAGCGCCGCTGGTTCTTCCTCAGCTCCGCCCGCTGCCGCAAATCCCCCTTCCACCTCTGCAGGCTCCTCCGCAGCCGCAATCGGCTCCTCGTCGTCGTCAGCCGCCCTCGCAAAGACGCCTCAGCAGACCAAGAAGCCGAAGCAGGACACGGTCAAACTGTTCACAACGTGGGAGAAGAGCAAGGAGGCGGTCTTGGCGCTCTTCAATGAAGGCATCGTGGTGCGTCAAAAACGTCAACTTGGACATAGACCTCTACTGATGCTCGAGGACGCAGCGGCCGATCTACGTTGGAAACGCCAGTCTCCGCTCGAAACCCAGTTACACCTGCGCCCTGCCAGGTGGACGCTCTTTCGGTTTTGTCATGGACGCCGAGATATCGGAGCGCCGCGACATCCGCTTCCGGTTCAACCAAACGACACTTGCGCCCGAGATCGCCATCAGCAAGGAACAAGAGGACTGCCGTCCTGTCCGCGGGACAGCAAATAACCCTCTCAAGCTGTACGAACACGCCGGCTACGACTGGACCGAGTCGCCTCTCGACATTCTCGGCGAAGCGGGGCAGCAGAACCTGAAGGCGTACATCTTTTCGGCGCTGAACGGCCTGAAGAAGTTCTGGCCGAGGGAATCACTGGAGTGGCTGCCGCAGAGTGTGATGGATTGTTGGTCGTCGAAGGAAGAGGTGCGTCTGCTCCTTCACGATGAGCGTGCAGTCGCTTATGCCCGCTCTGGCTCAGGTCGCGCCGTTCAAAAAGGCAATGACTTGGCAAGACGCTCGCGCCGGGAACATCCAGGTCTGTCCTTCTCACGCGCCCTCACCTCACAGATACTGGTGCTGATTAACCGTTCACAGCTTCGTCCTTACGCTGTGCGCGGGAAGTGGTATCTGCGGGCGAAGATTTCGGTCGGCAGTTCGGAACACGAGTGGCGGGGATGGCTGCTCGAGGGCGTCAAGATGGACAGACCGGTATTTGTCGAGCCAGCGGGAAGTCGCGACTTCCAGGTCGTCTCGGAGGGACACGAGGGAGTTCTCCTCTCCTCTCTTGTCGGTTCGAGGGACGCTGCTCAGCTTGCCGTTTGGCGCAGGGAGGTTCGTAGGGTATCTGTTCGTTAGTCTACTACGTTGTAATGACTCGGTCAAGCAAACTCTGCGGCACCACTGCCAAAACCCGTCGGAAAGGCAGAGGAGAGGGAAAATGAGAACCTCGAAGGCCGCTCCTTCGCCGCTCTCCAAATGCAGATGCTAGAACAGGTGTTACAGCAGCGTGAGGGCCGCTACTCCTCAGAAGGTCCCAACATCAACTCCGGGCGGACAAGGCGGTCGTATTCTTCTCCATCGAGGAGCTGGAGTTCGAGCGCCGACTCGCGCAGCGTGATGCCCTTCTTGTGAGCGTTCTTGGCGACCTTGGCCGCCGCATCGTAGCCGACCCTCGAGTTGAGTGCGGTAATGAGCATGAGCGATTCGTTCAGGAGCTTCGAAATTCGCTCCTCGTTGGCTTGAATGCCGACCACACAGTTCTTCGTGAACGATCTGGCGCCGTCGGCGAGGATCCGGATCGACTGGAGGAGGTTCTTGATCATGACGGGCTTGAAGACGTTGAGCTGCGGCAGAGGGGGCGGTGAGGCGACGGGAAGGGCGACGGGAAGGGCGACGGGAAGAGAGAGAGGAAGGTGCAGAGTGAGAGGGGAAGAAAGGGAGAGGGGGGAAGGAGGCGAAGAGGCGAAAAGGAGACGAGGGAAAGAGGGGAGGAGGGCAAGAGGAGTGGTGTCAGCGACCGATGGCTTGAAACGCTCCCTTTCAACGACTCGGAAAGTCTTGTGGCTCTCGATATCCCCTCATGACGACCCGCCAAGCCCGAGCAAAGTCAACCCGACCCGAGTGCGGAACTCACCTCGAACTGGCCCTGGAGGCCGCCGACGGTGATGGCCATGTTGTTGCCAACGACCTGGGCGGCCACCATGGTAAGGGCCTCGCACTGGGTCGGGTTGACCTTGCCCGGCATGATGGACGAGCCAGGCTCGTTCTCAGGCAGGGCAAGTTCACCGAGACCGCAGCGCGGGCCCGAACCAAGGTAGCGAATGTCGTTGGCGATCTTGTTGAACGAGCACGCGACCGTGTTGAGCGCGCCCGATGCCTCGACGATCGCGTCGTGCGCGGCGAGCGCCTCGAACTTGTTCGGCGCCGTCTCGAACGCGAGACCGGTGATCTTGGAGATCTCGGCCGCGACCTTCGAGTCGAAGCCCTTGCGGGTGTTGAGGCCGGTGCCGACGGCCGTACCGCCCTGGGCGAGCTTCGAGAGGCGCGGGAGGACGTCCTTGACGCGCGCGATCGAGTTCTCGACCTGCTGAACGTAGCCGGAGAACTCCTGGCCGAGCGTGAGGGGCGTCGCGTCCTGCAAGTGGGTGCGGCCGATCTTTATGATCTTCTCGAACGACTGCTGCTTCTCGTAGAGAGCGGCCTTGAGCTCCTCAAGCGCCGGGATGAGCGAGTTCGAGATCTCGACGACGGCAGAGACGTGCATCGCGGTCGGGAACGTGTCGTTCGACGACTGCGACATGTTGACGTGGTCGTTCGGGTGGACGGGCTTCTTCGAGCCGAGCTCGCCGCCAAGGATCTCGATAGCGCGGTTCGAGATGACCTGGGGGCCAAGATAGTCAGCGGCGCTGTCTTCCGCCTGCTCCGCTTCCTTCACGCACCTCGTTGACGTTCATGTTGGTCTGGGTGCCCGAGCCGGTCTGGAAGACGACGAGGGGGAAGTGGTCCTGGCCAATCTTGCCAGCAATGACCTGTCCTCGCGAATAAGTCAGTCCTCAACTCGTCCGGCCGCAATCAGGGAATACGCACCTCGTCGGCAGCCTGCTTGATAGCCTCTCCGACCGTGGAGTCGAGGCCGTAGGTCATGTTGACCTCGGCGGCGGCCTTCTTGAGGACGGCGAAGGCCTTGATGAGGGGAGGCGGCATGCGCTCAGAGGGGCCGCCAATGTCAAAGTTCTGCACCGAGCTGTGTAGGAAACATTCCTCGTCAGCTTCAATGTCCTGCGCGTGCCCTCACCAGCCCTTCCTCCCGCCCGCCGTTCCCCACAACAGGGTCGCCAACCTCGCTACGCTCCTGCTGATCTTGCAAGCTCCTCGCGACCCTCGCTTCGTTCACCAGAACCGATATGAGGAGCGTCGGACGCACCGCTGAGTCTGCGCGCCATAGTACTTGTCGGCCGGAACCTGCAGCTCGCCGAACGTGTCGCGCTCGACGCGGAACTTGTCCTGTCCCGGTTGGAGCGCAGGTGAGATTGACATTGCGAGCGAGGCGAATGGAACGGGAAGCGAGGCAAGCGAGGGCGAGTAGGTGAGTGCAAGCGAGATGCGGAGGTGGGAGGGGCGAGAGTCGAGGAGACGGAAGACGAGGCGTCAGCGACACGGCTCTGGGCTGGCTGGAAAGGCTCGCGAAAAACCGTACAAGGATGGCAGAGTAAGACGTGAAGGTCCTGTTGGCGAACTGGCGCGAGGGGCGAACGACGGCCTGCGTCCGGGCGAGAGACGACGTTGGCGAGGTGAGCAAACAGCGACGACGGACGGTGCAAGCGCGTGCGCACCTTGGCAGAGCGAGACAACATCTTCTATGCCTTTCTCTAGTCTAGCAAGCGATGGACAGCACGAGAGACGGAGCGCAACGAGGAAGAACCGCGCCGTCGCCGAAGTCGAGGAATCGGGAAATCTCGCAACCCTCGCAACACCCTCTTTCGTTGCAGTGGCAGGGTGGATGTCATTCAAACCGACGTCTCGATCTATTCCGTCTAGCAGAATCCCGCCGAGCGAGAGGGGCGACGTCCAACCCGCCTGAGTCCCTTTCCTCCCAGATCTCGCCCGATAACGACGCCCGTGAGCCTTCCTCGTCCTTGCTTGTTCGGCGGATGATGGTCGAAGTTGGCCTTGAGCGGCGTAGGCTAGACCGGAGCGAGATCGAGGCGGGCAGGGCTGAACAAAGGAGGACCGCGGCAGGACGATTAGCGTGAAGGTCAGTAGCGCTGCCGTGTTCTGCCGGGCTGGCAGGGCTGCGCAGTGAAAGCAATACTGTTTGTAGCAGCTGAAGAGCCGAGCTGTGCGTCCCTCGAGAGTCTCGCAGGAGCAAACGAGACCCGCACGAGAGCGAGAACTGAGAACGGCTCGCTCCCGCCGTCTCGAATCCAGCCCCTGCGGTTCCAAGTGCCGCTGTCCTGTCCTCGGAGACTCAGCACAACTCAGCCGAAGCCGCTGCAAAGTGGAACCGCTCGTCCCCAGTCCGTGCGAAGAAACTGGTCGCGGAGCATCAGTGGAACCATCGCATGGCGCCAGAGCAGCGCAGACCGGTGCACAAGTCGTGGCTCAAGCCAGCGGGCCGCTCCGCATGCGCTCTGTGGCCGAATCGAGGGGGAGATTGATGAGGACGAGGAGATGGGGCGGAAGTCAGAGGCTTCGCAGGCTGCGGACGATGTGGCGGGTGCAAGCGTATCTCGAAAACAAGCCAGTGTGCTTCTCTCATGGCGTCTAGCGACGAGCGAGCGAGACGACGCAGGAAGACCCGTCCTCGCAAAGCAGGGCGGACGAATCTGAACGCCTTTTCGCTGAATTGCTAAGACGGTCCCGCTCAAAGCTGGGATTGCAGAGGAAGTATCTGTGCTGTGCGGCGAAGAGCCTGCGGGATGAGGGATGATATGGAATCTGAGGGTATCGAGCGTACAATGCGTGCGAAGAGTGCGCGATGCGGTGGAGGATGAGTGGTGAGAGTACGAGAGACTGGGTCTGCAACAACAAGTAAGAACGGGAGGAATGAGACGGAGAGAAGGAAGAGGCGGGACAAGGAAGAGGCGGGCGAAGGAGCCGCTCGGCGCGTCAGTCCAACGACAAGAGCTGGATGCCGGCCGCCTCGAGCAGGCCACGCAGGCGAGCCACGATAGTAGGCGGCAGATCCCGCTGCTGAGCGCGGTTGTAGACCTCGATAGCCTTAAACGGCTCGTTGGCGGCGAGCTCGCACCGGAGCATGGCCTCGTATGTCGATGGGTCGCGGTACGCAGGCTTGCCGTCCTGGTGAGAAGACGCATTGTCGTTCGCGACGGAGGGCGGCGATTGAATAGCTTTGAAGATTCGACGAGCGTGCTCGAAAGCGCCTTGCTCGGTGCAAGTCTGCGAGCAAAGCCGATTGATGAGCTGCGTCAAATGCGAGGTGGATACACCACTCCAACGCACTTTTATGAGCGACACGGCTGTACGTGCCGGAATACTGACGCCGTCTCGATGCAATCGCTCAAGGTAATGCCCGACCAGCTCCGACCGCTCGCCGACAATGCAGGCGTAAAGAAGGGGTTCGAGAACAGAATCTGGTAGGCGGAGATTGTCGCTGCGCATGCGTTCGAGGTAGTAGTCGACCAGGTCGAACCGCTTGCTGGCGATACAGGAACGTAGAAGCTCTTCGGCGACGTTGGCGGACAGGTTGATCCCGTCGCTCCGCATGCGGTCGAGGTATCGGTCGACGAGCTCGTATTGCTTGTTGTCGATAAAACCTTTGAAGAGCGAGTCGGCGAGAGACGCGGCGACCGGGACGCCTTCTTCGCGCATGCGTACGAGGTACTCGTCGACGAGGTCGTAGCGCTTGTTGGCGGTGCAGGAGTCGAGGATGGCTTCGTAGATGACGGCGTCAGGGAGGCGGCGATTCGGGTTGCTGAGAGTCGTCGCGTGCTCCTTGATCGACTCGAAGATGGCTTGAGCGCGTTCGAGGTCCTTTCCGAGGACGCCGTACGCTCGGATGAGCGACGCCCAGTGCGAAGAGCTGACCGCGATGCCCTCCGCTTCGACGAGTTGGGCAAAGATCCGCTGTGTCTGGTCGAGGAGCGGCGGCGCGATCGTGCCGTAGGCGTCGAGGAGACACTGGTAGGTCTCGGCAGTTGGCTGCACCTTGTCCTGTTGGAGCCGTTGCCAGCAGAAGAAGGCGCGTTCGCGGTCGGGCTTCGTGCGGGTGTAGAACTGCATCATGGTGTTGTAGGGCGGGGCGCGCGGTTCGAAGCCGGGCAAGGCGCACATGTCCTTGAAGAGGAACGTCGCAGTCGAGTCGTCGCCAACGTTGCAGCACATGTTGATGACGATGCCGTACGTGAGCGGGGTCGGGCGGACCTCGTACTGCTTCATGAGCTCGAAGTAGTCAAAGGCTTGCTTGGCCTGCCGAGCCTTCGCGAGCTTCGAGAGCAGCGTGTTGAAGAGCGAGGCGGTCGGGCGGACCCCGAGTCGAAGGCCTTCCTCGAACAGCGTTACCGCGGTCCGGGCGTCGCCGTCGGTCACGTCGACTTTGGCGATCTTCGCCTCGTACGTCTCGGCAGACGGTGCCGCTCCAGTAGTGGCGGAACCCTGATCGCTGTGTCCATCCGCGTCGTTGGCTAGGCTAGCGGGCGTCGCCTCGCCGACCTTGCGTTTCGGCGTCTTGCTTGACGGCGGCGACTGCGGCCTCTTTACGCCTTCAACCGGGTCCTCGGCAATCTTCTGCTGCAAGACGCTCGCGATCTGATTGATGCGAGATTCGGACACGCCTGCGATCGTAAGCGCTTCCGTGAAGGCGTCAAAGTCGAGCGAGCCGGATCGAGGCAGGTGGACGCCGCTGGCGAGGAAGTCGTCGAAAACCGCGTCGAAACCGGGGAAAGAGAAGTCGACGACGATGCCCCGTCCGAGGAAAGCGGCGGTATACGCCGCGCACTCAAGCACGACGCGCCAGTCAGCTCCGCTGAGCTGACCCAGCTGGGCCTCGCGATCGATACTCGCTCGCGCTGCGCTGTACGCCTCGGCCACCGTGAGGACGTGATCGGCGACCGGTGCGAGTCCACCCAGAGTGCGGATCTGGCTCGTCAAGCCCACAACGGTGACCGCTTGTCGCAAAGACGGACGCTCTGAGACGAGACGCGTGAGGCCATGAATGGTCTTGTCTTTCGTGTCGTGCTTGGCAAGCGGAACGAAGCCCAGACTGCCCGACGCATCGTCCGTCAGCGCAAACGCCCACTTGCGAGCGGTGCGCGTCCAGGCTACGGGTTCCGGACCACCCATGGTCGTGCTGGACGTCATAACTCGGCGCACGATTTTCGCAAGAGCGACGAACGTTGAGGTAGCCTCCTCGAAGCGGCCGAAAGACCCGAACGCGGAGGCCATGCGGCCAAGGAAACCGGTCGAGCGGTCGTTCGCGATCCCGACGCCATCCTCGTGGCCGTCCTTGACCCCTTGCCTGAAGGCGCGACGGAACTCGAGTACTGTGTCGAAGAGGGCGTTCCGCTCCACAGGGTCGTCCGCCTTGGCCGCATGGGCGAGGTTGAAGTCGATCACTCGCGCGAGCTGCGCGCTCGAAAGCGGTGCTTTATGCGATTGCGCGAGCATGTGGCGGTAGACGTGATTGACGAAGGCGACGTCGTTGGAACGCAGGGCGGTCAGGAGAGCAGCGACCGAAAGCCGGCCTCGCGGGTCGAACACAGCTGGGGCCGTCCCCGAAACGAGCCTGTCGAACCAGGCGATGGCGCTCGCATGGTCGCCCTGTACGGCGAACGTGGCTGCGAGCGTGCCCCAAGTTTCTGGCGCGATGAGCTTGGGATAGCCGACCGGCGCTCGCTGCTTCGAACGCCGCGCCTCGATGAGCTTCTCGACGATGGCGACGGCGCCGGCCATGTCGCCTATCTCGGCTTCTCGTACGGTTTCCCCCCACACCTCCTCGTCGCCGTTGTTGATGTACATGAGCGACTCTGGTCTGAAGACGGGTTCGGTGCTGCTGTTGTGGCGGATCGGCTTCGGCGGAAGCCAGGTGCGGCGGAAGTATTCGCGGGCAGGAGCTTTGATGTCGCCGTTCGCGCGACCTTTCAGGTACGACTCGAAAATGTCCTTGATCAGGTCGGCGCTGTTCTCCTGCTTGGCGTACAGGTGGATCAAGGCAACGTGCGAGCGCCATCCGGGTCGGTATCGTCGATGCTCCTCGAGACGCCCGAACAGCGAAAGCGTGCCCTCGAGTTCGCCTCGAGCGGCTGCGCCCTCGATCAGCGCTTCATGGACGGAAAGGGAGAGGTCCTCGGCCGCGGCGCCGAGCTCGGCGTAGTAGAAGAGCGCCTGCTGAAAGAAGTTGCGCTGGTGCAGCTGAGCGAGAGCGTCGCGCTCGTTCCGGCTGAAGACGTCTTCTTCAGAAGAGCTCACGGCATGCCTCCACGGGCCGCGAGCCGCAGCAATGTGTGGCCGCCTAGCGCCCCTCGCTTCGAGCCACCTGATCTGTCGGAGGTGCTCGCGGTCGCGTGCGCAGAGCGCCTCGATGACGACCTCGTGCGCCGTACGGCTTGGAGCGAGTCGGTCCGAGTTGGCGAAGTCGGCGTGCAGATGGATGATTGAGTCGACGGGCTGCAGAGGCCTGCGCAGGCGAGCGAGCGAGAGCATAGCCCATTCGTGCGCCGGCGTCGACCATTTGGACGGGTCCGCCTGGTACTGCTGCACGGCTCGTTCGAGAACCGAGATGTCGCCCCCCTTGAGCGCCTCGTCGATCTCGTCGTAGGCCTGTTGATCCAGGACGAGAAACCAGGTGAGAACGAATCCGTGCGGAAGCCAAGTCTGCGGAGACAACTGACCTGAACTTGCCGCGTATCCAGCCCCTGAATCGCGCGCTCTCGCCGTCGCGCGCGATACTGCGCGTCAAAGTCCACGGCCGAAGCGGCTGACTCTCCCGATGTGTCCGTACGCTGCGAGCGGGGCGGCCCTGTCGGCGCCGGTTGCGAGATCTGTCGAGACGGCGGGCGTGTCGATTCAGAGCGTGACTTGCCGCGCGAACCTTTGGGATTGACGGTTATCGCTCGTTTGCTCTGATCATTGGATGAGGATGGGACAGATGGAGGCTCAGGCTTAGGCGAATGGGCGGATTGGGCGACGAGTGCTAATGTGTGCAGCGAGCGAGGGACGGAGGAGAGGAAGGCGAGGGATGTGCGGCTGGGCAGGGAAAGGCGGCGAGAGGTGGAAGAGGAAGGGAAGGCGGAGAGGCCGACGGCAGGACCATTCGACGTCTGCAACAGGGGCTTCTCGAGTCAGCAAACGTATGCTGAGACACAGTTAGGACGCAACGCACCTGCGAGCCGCGATCTGGTCTAGACGATTTCGGGACTGTCGTCCAGGAGGCATGCCGCAAGGTGCGCTGTTCGAGGCGCGACGAGTACGCCGCCGACGTGAGCCTGACCCGAACACTACCCTTCATGCCGCGTCCAACAAATCCTTTCCAGCTGTGTCCTCCGTGTTACCGAAGAAAGTCGAGGAGGTGGAAAGGCGACGTCGCAGATTGGGGTGAAGAGGCGTTGCTCGCCGGATGATCTAACGTTCTGAAAGTCCAGTCGCACCACTACGGTCCGAGCATCGCGCCGTATCGACGGTAAGAGGGGCGCGAGATGAACTTGGGCGATGAGGAGGTGGGCGGTGGACTGACGGCACCGGGCGCAACGAGACCAAGACTGCCGTGGTCAGCGGAATCTGGCGAGTCTGGCTGAGTGCAGCAAGCACAGTCGGGTCGTCCGTCTCGAGCGAGTTGGCGGACGAGGCTGTGCCCAGCATGAAGCGAGGTGCTTGTCTTCTGCCAACAACGCTCATTTGCTCGAAGCCGACGAACGACGATGGCAGGCTTCGGGATACGACCAGCGACACCAGGCAAGTCAGTGACCCGAACCGCCCGCGCTGCTCCCGCGATGCCACACCCTCTCGTCACCCGGAGTCGGATTCCGGGTCGTCCGCTGACACTCGCTCGCTTGATGGCATGCAGGAACGATTGTCGTGCTGTCAGCGACGATTGTGAGTCTACCGAGGAGGTCGAAGCAGCTCCGAAGTTGACTGGCTTGTTCGCACAGCTCCTCGTCCTCGTCTCCGTCTCTGTTCCGCTGCTCAAGTCGATCTACTTCCTCAAAGCCTCCATCTCGACTTCTGTCGGCGGCACCAACATCTCGGGAACGGTCACGCTCGGGACCTGGGGTTACTGCGTCGACGGGACTTGCACGAGCGCAAAGCTGGGCTACAGTCTAGGTACGTCGACAATCACCGTTCCCAGGGTCTGCGCCTCGAGAGTTTACGATTCCTCCTTGCCCACAGACGTTGCTCAGCTGTTCGGCGTCAACGGCAAGATTGCCGGCATCTCGACCTCCGTTCTCAAATGGGTGCGTCCCGCTTCGCCACCTCCGAGCAGATCAGCCCTCACGCATTACCTGGGCGCAGATTACATACCTGCTCATACTACACCCCATTGCTGCCGGCTTCAGCGCCATCAGTGTTGTCCTCGGCCTCCTCGCGCATACGCATGGCTTCGCCGGGACAGCCTTCACGACCTGCTTCGCCTCATTCGCCGCAACGTTCTCGCTCCTCGCCTTCATCTTCGACATTGTCGTCTTCGTAATTGCCAAGTCGAGGATCCAGAGCAGCGCGGTTGGCGGTAGTGCGCAGCTTGGAAACGTGCGTCTCCTTCGTCTGTCCGCTGTTGAGCGACTCTCAACTGACCTCGTTGATGCAGGCCGTCTGGATGACACTGGCCGCGATGATCCTCCTCGCCTTGTCGGGCTTCTTCTTTGGCGTGAGTCCGTTCTCCCTTCTCTCGGTCCGAGGATTTCCGCTCACCTTTGAAATCTCGCAGTGCGGCGCCTGCGTCATCCGTCGCCAGCGCGCCGGCAAAGAAGCCTCCGAAGCGTACCGACCTCACCCCGACGCCGACTACGGCGCCAAGATGCGTACGGAAGCGCTTGTCGCAGCTGAGCGGGATGCGTGGCGACGGAAGAATGAGGGACAGCTGCCGCAGTTTGCGGAGCGTGAGGCAATTCCGCTCAACTCGCTCGACTACAACCAGGACGACGAGGATCCGCCTGCAGCGCGGTATGAGCCTAGGCAGTTTGCATCGAGCAGCGATATTGCGGGTCAGGGAGCGGGCGCGCCGAGCATCATCACGGGTGTCGGAGAGGGGTATGGAAGGAGGAACCCTTCGGGCGCACCGGGACAAGGACAAGGCGTCTCGTTTGCGCCCGAACCGACCTCGTACAGGGGCTACGCAGCAGGTGGCGCAGCGGGCATAGGAGCAGGTTCGCAACTCGCTGCGGAAGCTCGAGCGAATCGAGGATACGCTAGTGAAGGAGGACCAGCAGACGATCGGCGCCTAAACAGCACGTCGAGCGGGACGACCGAGCCATTTACCGGCATGTACGGCCACGAACAGCCTGTTGGACAAGCCGTCTCGGGCGCTTACGCGCACGAGGGTGTGGGAGCGTACGGCGCCTCACAACTGGTCGGACCTCGAGCACCTTCAGCGTCTCCAGCATACGGCGGAGCCTACCGGCCTTACCCGCAGTCCACCTCGCCACCTCCTATGCAAGGCTCGTCGAATGCCGTCCCGCCTCTCCCTGCAGCGACCGCCTTCGGCTCGAGCTCCACGCCTTACCCGCCCGAGAAGCCTTCATACCCTTACCAGCAGTCAACTTCGCCGACCTACCACCAGCCGCAGCAACAGCATTTATATGTCCAGAACCCGTCGTCGATGTATGAGGACCCTTATGTCCAGCCGCAGGGCCTGCAGGACGCGCGAAGTCTCGCTCCGACTTATCACACTCACGAGGCGACTGGAGCGGGCGGCTTGCAGTACCAATCGACGAGCGGGCACGACATGTATGGCGTGCCGAGGTACTGAGCGGGAAGAGCGGGCTCGTCGAGCTTTTTGCACGACGAAGGCGGAAGAACGGACGATGGCCTTGATAGACACTTTCTTTGACCGTTGTAGCTCCCTTGAACCCCTTGTGCGCCTGTACAGCTCGAACATCCTTGCTTGTATGTACCTTAACTCGGTCCTCATCCTCGATGGCCAAGAGAGGGAGACTGTCGGACTCCGACAGCATGTAGCTCATTGCGTCTCCTTCGTGCCAGCATCCTCCTTCTGCCCAACTAGGAGATTCTTGATGCCCTCCTTGACCTCCTCGAATCCCGCAAAGTACCTCCGGTTAAAGTCGGCGTGACCAGGCTTCTTCCGCTCGTCGTCCTCCCTCGCCTGCTTCTCCCGCTCCTGCTCCTCTTCCCAGACGCTCTTCTTCCCCTCTCGCCTGATGCCGCGGTCCAGCCCCTCAAGCGCCTTCCTCCACTCCCCCTCGTTCGCATCCGTCTTCTCCATCGTGATCAGCCTCCTCGCCCATTTGCCGAAACTCTGCGACGTGTTCGAGACGAGTCGCATGCCCGGGATCGAGGGGATGTCGACGTCCGAGTAGACGGCGTTGTCGGTCGGGAGGAAAAAGACGAGGCGGCCGCCTGGGCGGAGGAGGTAGAGCGAGAAGGTGACGAGGGTTGAGATGACTTCCTCCATGGGCCAGCCGACCGAGGGAGGGACATAGTCGGGGAAGCTGTGACAGCCCAGGACTTCAGACTCGATCCGTTTGGCGATAACGTGCAGAGGGAAACGCACGTATGGTGATACCCCTCGTGCTCTCGACCGGGCACTATCATCGGCAGGACCTCCCTCGCACCCTCTTCTCGTCCTAACCGCTTCGCACCCGCACGAACGCCGTAAGGGGCTGTGTAAAGGAGGTCGTCAGCTTCGCGGCTAGAAGAACGGACCAGTAAAAAGGGACGAACGGTCTGTCACAATCGCGTCGAACACCTCGCCTGTTCGCCACGGGTGTTGCTGTGAGAGGGAGAGTTCAGCTACAGCGTGCAACGGAGAGCGTAAAGAGCAGCGCGCCGTCATGTCGAAAGTGTAGCAGTCGACTATCCGACCTTGCACGCCGTACTGCTCCGCCGAGTGCCGGATAGACGTTTCTGCGAATCGCACAGGTCAAACGCCAATCAAAAAAAGGTTTTGCGAGCCCACGCACTCTTTCCTCGTATTTGCCGACCGTCGATGTCGCTTCCGAAAGTCATCGCGCCATAAGCCGCGGCGGTGAGCAGCATCGAGCCCGTACCGACTGCGCACGCAACTCGAAGTCAGTATCTGGGTGCCTCAGAGGAGGGGAGGAAGGCCAGGACGCACCAAACGGATCGTACACCCACTTCCCTGGCGCCGCGAGCGCCTGATTCGCCATGAGGAGCGACACCTCGGCCTCCATCGAGGTTGTCCCGATGTACGCACGTTTCTTCAAGTCGAAGACGTCCATCATGTGCCGTGAAGTGTCGCAGATCTGCGCGAGGCGGAGGGGGGAAAGTTGGGAAGGTCAGGAAGCGAGAAGTCAAAGATTTGCGAAGGAAGACGCACCTTGCGTCCCATCCACACCGACCTCAAGCCGCCCGTGTCCTCGGGATCTCCCTCCTCGAATGCCTTCTCCTTGCCCGTCTTGCTCGGGTCCATTCCTTTCTCCTTCCGCTTCTCCCTTACCTTCGCGCCTCGCAGCGGGTCCGACGCGTACTCCTCGAACAGCCCAACTTCGAGCATGGGATTGCGCAGGTCGATCTCGCCGATGAACGCCATGTACTGAAAGGTGTTGACGAGGGCGACTTGTTGCGGGAGGGGAATGGTGCGGTTGTGGCCGGCGATGGTGAACTTCCAGCGGCAGTCCCGGTCGACGGCGTATTTGTCCTGTGATTTTCCATCACGCGCTGATCAGCCTTGAAACAAACACAGCGCAAACTCGGCGAGAAACCGTCGAACGCACCCACTTCTCCCGGCACTCTGCGCTCTTCACCCGCTCGTGCAGCTCCTCGTACGTCTCCGCCGTCGCCCAGAACTCCCACACATGCTTCACGCTGACCAGCCTCGACCCAAGCTTCCTCGCAGCCTCGTCGTCGGGCAGACCGATCAGCATGTAAGGCCGCTGGGCACGACGAAGCAACTGGGTCAGCGCGCTTGCACAGCTGTTAGAGGGCCGAGTACGCACGGTGTAGTCTGGCTTGGCTGGCCAGGAGAACGGGATGTTGTACAATTGGGCCACCGACTCAATCTCTGGCAAACGGAACTCCTCGAGCGGGCCCTGGATCGAGAAGAAGATGTAGAGCTTGTGGCCAGGCGCCAGTCCAGCAGTCTCGCGAGCGTCTGCCATCCTCAGCAGGCGCGGAAAAGCAAGGACAGTGCGAGTAGGCGGAGGTCGAGATGAGGTCGAGCTCGTCGACGAGGTCAACCTGGCTGTTTGACTTGGGTGCTTCGAGTGTATCAGAGCCAGCTTTCCAGCACTCTGCCGGCACGACTGGACTCCTTCAGCCAGCTTGAGAGCGGGTGTCGTGGACGCTCCGCCCCACTTCGAACGGTTCAACCTCGACACGCTCGCCGCTCGCTTCCATCTCGCTCGCTGGTCTGCTCGATTGTCGGACTGTGCCAACTTGACGCTCCACTCGCTGTCGACGCGCCCGCACATCGCCCAAAGCTCTGCGGAAGCCTGGGTGGACCGGTGACGGCGGACACGAAGATGGACGATTCAGGTGCGTACACGCCGCCAGAATGAACTCGTCGTAGGCTGACACAGTCTGCTACACTCGCAGCTCTGCAGGAACGCGCTCTCAAGGCAGCCCGGGCGAAGGAGAAGGTGAACTTGTCGCATCGGCGCACCCAGTCTTCAATCGCACCTCTCTCCGCTCCCCCTCTGGATGCGACGACTCACGCCAATCGTCTTACCCAGCTGCGAAAGTTCCAGGCCGCCAAGAACCTCCGCGCCGCCGCGACGACTCAGTCCGCCTCGACTCTCGCGCAGCAACAGCCTTCGACCGCCTCTCCTGTTTCGCCGGGCGCGGCAGCCGGCGCGAGTGCCGCGTCAGACGCAAGCAGCCTACCGGCAAGCCCCGTCTCGACGACCTTCGCCCCGGCGGCCACGCTCTCCCCGCCTCCCTCTGCCTGTTCGCCTGCTCCTTCCGCTCCCTCACCTACCCTCGCCGCTTTCCGTCGACCTGAAGGGTCAATCGCTGCTCGTCTGGCATCTCCACCTCCGACAAGCATACGCTCCGCAGCTACCTCACCTCCTGCGCCTTCCGCGCCAACCTCCAGCGCCGAACGACTCGCCTCGCCTCCACTTCGTCCTTCCTACGCTGCATCGCCCTTCGCAGCCAGCTCTTTCGCACCGTCTGCGCGCATTTCGTCTATTACCTCTCCGCCTCCGCCTCCTTCGAGTGCTCGACCTCCCGCCTTCTCCCCTCCTCCAACTGCTTCCGCATCTCGTCTCTTCGCCTCGCCTTCTCCAACTCCACAACCCTCCGTCTCACAGCAAGAATTTGAAGCTCTCCGCGATTCCGAACAACGGCTGCATACCCAACTCGCCAAACAAGAATCGACTGCCGCGTCCCTCGCACGGGAGAAAGAGTCGCTCCAGTCGAGGCTGCGGGATCTTGAGGGACAGCTGGCGGACGCACCCGATCCGAGGGAGCTGGAGGGGCTGCGCGTGAGGGTTGAGGAGCAAGACGCGGAGATCGACGAGTTGAGGGAGCAAAGCGAGCGGGATCAGGAGCGGCTGGGGAATCTCGTGCGTCCTTCCCAAGTCTCATCCGCTCACGTGTGAGCTGACCATTCGGTGCGACAGGAACGAGGAGTCGCCCTCGCCCGCCAAGCACTGCAAGAAGTGCACCAACAACTTGCCTCTCGAGACGCAGAAATCGCCGCCCTCTCCTCTGACCTCTCCGCTCGCGACGCTCAGATCGAGTCTTTGTCTGCTGAGCTCGACAAAGCTCGGAATCAACCTCCGCCTCCGCCACAGCCGAGCAAGGAGGAGCAGCAAGAGCTCGAGCGGTTGCGGGCGGAGACGAGGCAGTTGAAGGACGAGTTGAGCGGCGCGAAGGAGGAATTGAGCCGGTCGACGGCAGAGATGGCGTCCTTGCGGGAAGAGCTCGAAGCCGCTCACGCCCCGTCGTCCGCTCCTTCCGGTCCTTCGCAGGAAGAGCTCGACTCCCTCCGAAGCGAACTCGACGTCGCCCACTCTCGAGCCGACGATGAGACCGCACGCGCGGATCGAGCAGACTCGGAGAAGCGAGACGTCGAGGCGAAGCTGCGGACGCTCGAGGGCGATCTCACCCGGGTGAAGGAGGAGAAGGACCGCGAGGTCGAGGCGTTGCAGCGCGAGCTGGAGGGTGCGCAGGAGCGTGTGAGGGGGATGATGGAGGAGCGGGATCAATGGGAGGCGGAACGAGGGACTGCGAAAGAGGAGAAGGACCGGCTGGCGGAGGAGCTGGAAGAGGCGCGAGGCGGCGTCGCGCAGGCCGTGTCTGAGATTGAGGCACAGCTGAAGGAGGTGACGCGACAGCTGGAGGAGCGAAACAGGACGATCGAAAAGCTGGAGGAGCGGATCAAGGACTTCGGGGAGGCGACTTCGCAGCATCTCGACGCAGTCGAGAAGCTTCAGGCGACCATCGCTGAGAAGGACAGCGCCGTACGAGATCTCGAGACACGGCTCACGTCGTCAGGCGGCGATGCCGAACAGCACCAGTCGACCGTCGCTTCTCTCGAGGCCACGCTCGCAGAACGCGACGACCTTGTCAAGGAGCTCGAGGTGCGCGTCTCGACCCTCGAGGCAGATGCCGCTCAGAGCGCCTCGACCATCTCCGAGCTTGAAGCTGCTGTCGCAACCGCACAAGACGAGCTTCAAGGCGTCTCTACGGCGCGAGACGCCCTCAATACCGACGTCGCCTCGCACCTCGCCACCATCTCTTCGCTCCAGGCTTCCCTTTCCTCTCTCACCGACACTTCCTCGTCACACTCGACTCGGGCCGAGACTCTCGCCCGCACCGTCGCCGAACTCGAAGCCGCAAAGGCAGCCCAAGACGCCGAGATCGAGCAGCTTCAACGACAGGTCGAGGGTCTCGATGAGGAGAAGCGCTCCTTCGACCGTGCGCGGGAAGAGGCGTCGGCTGCTATTGCAGATCTGCAGCGACTCCTAGTCGAAGCAAAAGCGCGGCTGCCCAGCGTCGAATTGGAGCGGGATCGGGTCCAGGAGGATCTCGCTGCCCTTCAGCAGGAACTCGACGCTGCAAAGGCCGATCTCGCCGCAGCGTCGCAGCGCGCCGAAGCGGCAGAGACGGACCGAAGCGCTGGGCGCACGGCGATTTCGCAACTCGTGGCCGAGCGGGATCAAGCGCGTTCGCAGGTCGCCGAGCTGGAAGAGCAGCTTCTGCTGGCGAAGGCGCAGGCTTCATCTGCAGGCGACGACCTTCAAACGCTCCGCAACGAGGTCGAGAACCTTCGAGCCCGGTTCGACGCCGCCCAAGCCGAGATTGCCGAAGTCCGCGCCTCGCGCGACACCGTTCAGGCCGAGTTGAGCGAGGCTCGCTCGTTGCACGAAGCGTCTACCGCAGAACACGACACGAGTCGCTCGGAGCTCGAATCGCTTCGAACAGAATTCGAAAAGGCCCGCGCCGATGCAGACGACGCGCGTGCGACTCTCGCCGCCCAACGAGAAGAGCTCGACAAGCTTCGACAAGAGCACCTCGAGGCGCCCGCATCGGCACCACGCGACTCGCAGCACATCGCCGAACTCGAGGAGAAGCTGCAGGTCCAGGAGCAGGCTGCGAACGCTGCCGAAGCTGAGGTCGAGCGGCTGAAGACGGTCGAGGTCGACTTGCGCAAGCAGATCAAGGAGGCGAACGAAGCCGCCGCACAGGTGTCTTCCACGTCCGCCCGCGAAGTCTCTGCGGTTCCACCTGCAACCGGCGGCACAAAGTTGAACGACCTCGAACGCGACCTCTCCGTCTTCAAGAACGTCCTCGCGGCCTCCGAGTCACGTGCGACCGGCTTGCAGCACTCGCTTGAAGCGGCGGAGAAGGAGCTCTTCGACCGCGAAGCCGAAATTTCGCGACTCGAGGGCGAGCTCGCAGCCAGTCAAGCGAAAGAGCGCGAGCTGGAGTTCTCGATCGACTCGGTCACGACCAAGGCGGCGGCGCAGGCAGCTCGTGCTGGAGACCTGCAGAACCAGCTCGACCAGCTCCGCTTCTCGCGGTCGGGTGCCGCAGCCGGCCTACAGGACGAACTGGCGCAGACGAAGAGCGAGCTGCTCAAGGTGCAGGCCGAGTTCAGCTTGGCGACGCAGTCGAAGCAGGAGGCGGAAGCGGACCTCGCCAAGGTCAAGGCCAAGGCTGAGGCGCTCGATGGCCAGTTGAAGCAGACTCAAGCGGATTTGGCCTCGGCTCAAGGTGCGCTCACTCCTCATTCACCTCGCTACGGTGCACATCCTGACCGAATCTTGCCCAGGTCGCGCCACGACGCTCGAGAAGCAGCTCGCCTCCTCGCAAGCCGAAGTTGAGCGTCTGACAACGGCTCACGATACGCTTCAAGCAACGAACACCACTCTCACCGCAACTGTCGACGAGCTCCGCAGCAATCTCTCGAACCTCTCTTCCTCCTCGCCGCCCTCCGATCACACCCGCGCTCTTTCCACCTCCCTCTCCTCGGCGCAAGAAGCCGAGTCTGCGGCCCGCCGCGAACTCGAGACCCTGCGCGCTGAGATGGCCGACCTCGAGCGCTCGAAGCGCGAAGTCGAGGAGGAGCTCGCTCTTTGCCGCGGCGAGGTCGAGGAGACGTCTTCGACTCTGGCTGTTGCCATGGCTGAGCTCGATTCGACGAAGGACGAGGTGACGGAGCTGGAAAAAGCTATCGACGATGCGAGGGAAGAGGCGCATCGTGCGGCTTCCGCACGGTCGGCCCTCGAGCAGGACAAGGCGGCTCTCGTTGAGCAGGTTAACTCGTTGCAGGCGCGCCTCGACGAAGTCGTTGCCTCGACACCCGCGCTTGAGGAACAGATCGCCAGTCTGCGCCGCCAGGTCAAGGAGAAGGAGGCGACGATCGAGCAGCTCGAGACGACCTCGGCTCGCGACATTGAGGCTGCCAACGAGCGAGTCCGCGAGCTGCAGTCGCAGCTTTCTGCTGGCAAGCGTCAAGCCAGCAAGTCAGAGCGCGACCTCAGGGCGATCATGGCGCAGGACTCGGACCGCGAGAACGAAGTGGAGAACTTGCGGGAGGCGATTGCCCGTCTCGAGCAGGAGATTGCGCGCGCGCGCGGCGCCAGCACGAACAGCGTCAGGTCGTCGGTCGACGAGTCGGCGTTGGCGGATGAGCTGGAGCGCAAGGTGGACGAGTGCGAGGCGGTGAGGCAGGAGCTCGAGTTGCAGCGTGAGCGGGTGGCTGAGACCGAGGGTGCTCTCGCTGAGCTACGGGAGATGTACGCGAGGGCGCAGGAGGAGCTCGAGGAGGCGCGGACAGGCGGACACGCGTCGCCATCGACTTCCGCCGTACCTGCGCAACCCTCTCTCGCCTCTTCCACCGAACTCGATTCGCTCCAGCTTCAGCTCTCCGATGCTCAAGCCAAGATTCGTCAACTCGAGCAGGAGGTGTTCTCCCTCGAGGGGGTGCGAGTCAAGATGTTGAAGGCGAACGGCGACTTGAAGAGCCAGGTCGAGAGCATGATGGAGGCGCTCGATCAAGAGCGATCCAAGACGAAGGCCAAGGAGCTCGAGATTGACACGCTCAAGCGCCGCTCCCTTCCTTCGCTCGGCTCACCTCCTCGAGCTTCGCACGCCCCAGGCCCGCCTCGCACGCCCTCCGGATCCGATGCCGCCCAGCGAGCACAGCAGCCTTCCGCGCCAGTCACACCCACCCGCCGCGGCCACTCGCATCGCCGAACAGCCTCGTATCTCCCGACTGTGACGGAACTCGCGGATCCTACCTCTTTCGACCTCGAGCCGTCTCCGCTCGTCTCGCCCCCGCTCGTCCCCTTCCAGCGTACCTCTGGTGACGACTCGTCCTCCGCCGACCCATCGCATCGCTCGGCACACAGCCGACACATCCGCCAGGCGAGTCTCTCGCTACTCAAGGCGCGAATGGAGGACGAGTACGGCGTCACGGACCTCGACCGCGCCGGCCCGCTCTCTCCCTCGCGTGAGCAGCCGGGTCTCGGTTCCGCCTTGAGCCCTCGAGCGGACAAGGGCAACCGGACGCGGCGGGTACCGCTGTCGAACGACCTCGTCCTCTGTGCGGCGTGCAAGGGGGACGACCTCTTCATTGTCTAGATTCGCGCTCGGTCGCCGTAGATACATCCAGCATTGTGCATTGCGACTGTTCACAGCATAGCACGCAGCGTACAGCCTGACTTTTCCTCTTTGCTCACTTCTCGCGACCTTGCGCGTCGCAACGAGGTTGACCTGTCGACACTCGCTCGCTCACGCTTCAGAATGGCCTTGTGGGTCGACCGCTACCGCCCTCGCTCGCTCGGCGACCTCGACTACCACCCAGAGCTGTCCGACCGCCTGCGCGCGCTGGTCCGTCGTCGCTCGTCCTCATCGCTCGACTTCATCTCAAACAGCCCGCGCTGACCTCATCTGGCGCCGTGTGCAGGCTGAGGGCGACTTTCCGCACACGCTGTTCTATGGGCCGTCAGGAGCGGGCAAGAAGACGCGCATCATGGCGACGCTGAGGGAGTTGTTCGGACCCGGTGTGGAGAAGGTGAGCAGGTCTCGCAGTGGCCCTGCGACAGGCGCAGAATGCTGCACGGCCGCTGACCAGAACCTTGAGATGCTCACGCTGCCTCTCTTCGCACAGATCCGCATCGAGCAGCGCACCTTCCTCACCCCGTCGAAGCGGAAGCTTGATGTCAACATCGTCCAGAGCAACTACCACATCGAGATTACCCCCAGGTGTGTCCGCTGACTCGCTGCAGGGGACGTATCACGCTGACGACCAACCCGCACGCAGCGACGTCGGCAATTACGACCGATCCGTCGTTCAGGAGGTTCTCAAGGATATTGCGCAGACCCAGCAGGTCGACCTGAATGCGAAGAAGCGCTTCAAAGGTGAGCTCGATCGTCTCTTGGCAGGCACGGCAGCGCTGACGGCGCATTCGCAGTCGTGATCATCAACGAAGCCGACGGACTCAGCCGCGACGCCCAGTCTGCCTTGCGTCGCACGATGGAGAAGTTCACGTCCAGCTTGCGGGTCATTCTATGCGCCAACTCGACGTCCAAGATCATCGGCCCCATCAGGTCGAGGTGTTTGTTGCTGAGGGTGGGAGCGCCGTCGGAGGAACAGGTGCGTTTTACGGCCGCTCTTTGGGAGACCGCAGAGCTCGAGCCTCTTTGCTATGCAGATCTGCAAGGTGCTGCAATCGGTCGCGAAGCAGGAGTCAGTCGGGGTTCCCGATCACGTTGCAACCCTCGTCTCGCGCATCTCGTACGGCAACCTCCGCCGCGCCATCCTCTCCCTCGAAGCCCTCCACACGCAGGATCCCTCCTTCAAGACCATCAAACCCGACCACTCGCTCCTCTCGACCGGCAAGCAGGACTCGCGTGATATCGACGCCGTTCCGAGGCCGGACTGGGAGAAGTACGCAGCGAAGGCGGCCGAGCGGATCCTGTCGGAGCAATCGCCTGAGAGCTTGCTCGCGGTCCGCGGCATGTTCTACGAGTTGCTCGTGCACTGCATCCCTGCGCCTCTCGTCCTCGCAGTGCGTCTGGCTGTGCGCGCCGGGTTCAGCGCTTTTGGCTGACGTTCTCTCACGCAGACCATCACACGACGCCTGCTCGACCGCGTCGACGAGGACCTGAAGGCGGACGTCGCGTACTGGAGCGCGTTCTACGACCACCGCCTGCGGCAGGGCAGCAAGCACATCTTCCATCTCGAGGGTGCGTGGTCTTCCTTTCCCGCCCATGGCTTGCTACTGACAATGTACTGCTCCTTCAGCTTTCGCCGCTAAGATCATGACGATTCACAAGCGTGAGTTCAAGCTCTCGAGACCTGCATGCTCCCCTCATTGATGTACTTGGCTTCGCGCAGAGCACTCCCTCGGCTTCACCGAGTGACCTCACACGCCCGTCCTCCCCGGCAGTCTCTCTCTGATGTACGAGTACGCTCACGCTTCGATGTAACGCTTGTTGTTTGCCTTGCTCGACCAATTTACCAGGGGATCTCTGTTCCGTCGTACGAGAGGAATTTGCCGCCGTGCGTCTCGCGCTTGGCCTCGTCGAAGATCTTGACGAGCGCGGCAGCACTCTCATCCGGCGAGATGTGCTCGAAGCCGGGCCCACCGTCAGCGGGGAGACCAGCTGCCTCGAGGAACGGCCTGGTCATGTCCGTTGCGACGAGACCAGGATGGACGACAGCAGCGACCAGGCCATCCTTGGCGCCGAACTTGCGCGCAATGTGGGCGACGAGGTGGTTTACGGCAGCCTTGGAGATGCCGTACGGAGCGAGATCCATGTCGGGCGCCATCGAAACGTAGGTAGTCGAACCGCCAGCGGAACTCGTGACGAAGAAGCGAGGGCTCGACGACTCAGTGAGAAGAGAGTAGAATTGCTGGAAGAGGGTGAGGGGACCGAGGGTGTTCACCGTGAAGTGGTCGACGAAAGTGGCGGATGGCGTACTGAGGACCGGCTTGTTGAGTTCGCAGACGCCTGTCAAGTAGGAGTTTGAGCTCGTGTCGATAGCAGCGGATGAAGGAAGCAGCGCACCAGCATTTGCGAGGAGGAAGTCGACCTTGCCGGCCTTTTCCTTGACGAGTTTGGCGAGGGCGGCAGCATCCTCCTCATTCGCCGACTCAAGCTTGACGGGGATAACCTTGCCCGTCTTCTTGGCGAGCTCCTGAAGCGGAAGCGCTTTTGCCGGGTCGCGGGCGCCGGCAAAGATGAGGACGTTGTCGCGCTGGGCGAGGAGGGAAGTGAGGGCGAAGCCGATGCCGCGCGTAGCGCCAGAGATGACGTAGACGGTGGCCGAGGGAGTCATGCTAGTATTCGAGCGAGAAGCGAGCGAAGGAGGCGGACGGAGAGGAAAGGGACGAGGAAGCGAGATGCGGGACGACAAGGCAGAAGCGGCAGTCGGTTTGTTCGCGCACGTACGCAAGCGTGCGGCACGCTGCTTAGCGCGCTAGCTGGGGAGCTCGAGTCAGCTCAGAATTCATGCGCGGCGGAGAGGTCGGCAGATGTGCCGAGGGGAGTCGTCAGGTCGCGGGGCGTACGTCGGGGGTTTGCGCTGCGAAGGGTTCGGCAGCCTGTTCCACAGCGATTCTGCTGGAGCCACTACATAGCGCTGCGTTTGCGCCAAGCTTGAGGTGAAGGGAGAAGGGAGAAGAAGGGGCACACGGGGAGCGAGAGCGGCCGTGCAGCTCCGCACTGGTTGTCGCGAGCCGGTATCATCACAGCGGACAGATTGGCTGCTCCAGCCGTGTGCAGCAGGCGCCGACAGAGAAGTGCGTTGCGACGAGAGCAGCAAGTTGCGCGGTCGCTTGGCGGAGGAGGGAGCTTAAGGGAGGCTTCGCTGGGCGAGGCTGAGAAGCGGCGACCTTGCCTGACTGATCTCTGACAGGAAGAGCAGGTGCGAGACGAGCGAGCGCAGAAAAGAGTGAAAGCGAGCGTAGAAGACGATGATGGATGCGACGGCAGACGGAGCAAGGTGTCGCTTGCATTTCGGTAGGGATGATCGGCTAATGGCAGCAGTTGCAGGAATGGCAGACGGAAGTACTCGCTCGAATGAGCCGGGGTGTAGTCTGCGAGGCTACCAAGGGATCTCCGTTCCGTTGTAGGAGAGAAACTTGCCGCCGTGCGTCTCGCGCTTGGCCTCGTCGAAGAGCTTGACGAGCGCGCTGGCACTCTCGTCGGGCGTGAGGATCGTCATATTGAGGAGCTGAGGGTCGAGAGGGATACCTGCCGCCTCCAGGGTCGTCTTGGCTGTCTCTGTCGAGACGGCGCCTGGGTGGACGAGCGTGGCGAGGAGGTTGTCCTTCTCGCCGTGCTCGCGGGCGATGTGGGCGACGAGGTGATTGAGAGCGGCCTTTGACGAGCCGTACGCAGCGAGACTCAAGGGCGTGAGTGCGACTGAGCCGGTGGAGCCGGCGCCGGAGGTGATCGCGAAAAAGCGAGGAGAGGCGGACTTGGTGAGGAGAGGGTAGAGGTGCTGGAAGAGGACGAGTGCACCGAGAGCGTTGACGGTGAATTGTTTCGTGAAAGAGGCCGGGAGCGTGGCGAGGACGGGCTTGTTGAAGTCTTCAGCGATACCTGCACAGCGATCGTTCGTCAGTGAGAGAGGGTGAGACCCTGCAAGAAGACAACGCACCGGCGTTGTTGATCAGGACGTCGACCTTGCCAGCCTTTTCCTGAACGAGCTCGGCGAGGGCAGCAGCGTCCTGCTCGTTCGCCGCCTCCAGCTTGACCGGGACAACCTTGCCCGTCTTCTTGGCGAGCTCCTGAAGCGGAAGGGCGTTTGCCGGGTCGCGGGCGCCGGCAAAGATGAGGACGTCGTCGCGCTGGGCGAGGAGGGAAGTGAGGGCGAAGCCGATGCCGCGCGTAGCGCCAGAAATGACGTAGACGGTGGAAGCAGGCGAAGACATTGTGTGTGTGTGCGAATGTAGCGTTCAAGAGGCAGATGAGAGTGCAAGAGAGGAATGTTGTACGAGGGTCCTCGTAAGCGCCGGCTAATGCTGAGCGATGCTGACGAGGGTCGCGATAAGCGGCTGACAGGTGGTGGGCTGACACATCTCGGCAGCCGTAAGCAGGCGGAGAGGCGGTCAAGTCGGGAGGAGAACAGGGCGAAGGTAGCAAGCCTCGAGCACCCAGCCAGCCAGCCAGTCCCGCCTTATCCTGCCGTGGTCCTCGAGGACGGCCTCGCTGCATCCGCATGTCTCCTTGGCCCGTCCTCGCAACTCGTGAGAGGGCATCGGACTTTGACGAAGCCATGGAGACGCTCGAGCCGAAAGCGCCGGCCGCGTAAGCTGTGCTGACGGCACATTACGCAATCCAGCAATACCGTAGCAGGCAGCGCAAGCGCCCAGGAGCTGTGTCGCGGTGTGCGGTGATGCGTCGAGGTCAGGGAGGCGAGACGAGAGCGGGGTTGGCAGAGGACACGACTTCGCTCCTGCTCTGCTGGCTTGAGACCGCTCTTACCAGGCTCAGAATCGCCATGCCAGCCTCGTCCAGCCTCCCCATGCGCTCTGGCGACCCGCGACGGGTGTTCCTCCTTCGCCTGCCCAAGATCTCGCTCGGCCCCAGGAAGCGCGAGTTCCTGGTCTACTTTGCGGGTGCACTGGTGAGCAGACGTCGTCCCAAACACACCTTCCAGAGCAGCGCACGGAGCGTTGCGAGCTGACACTCCTCCTTCCCCCACCTCGTCCAGTTCGCGTTCGGTTGGTGGGCCTTCCTCGACGCTGCGGTCCTCTCGTCGCACGCCAAGCCCATCAGCGACCCCGATACGCCCTATGATCCGATCCCAGTCCATGTCACCTTCGCCGACTGGGCACCCGGACTCTGCGCGACCCTCGGGATGATCATCGTCAACCTGATTGACAAGGCGCGGCTCATGAGCGACGACTGGGACGGCAGCTGGAGCGGCGGAGGAGCGGCGTGGAAGGCGCGGCTTTTCCTTTTTGTCGGATTTGCGCTCATGGCAGGAGGTCTCGCGGGCAGCATCGTGCGTCTTTCTGCTTCTCCTCCTGCAAATACCCGCCTGCTGACCTGATTGCAACCTCGCAGACCGTTTTGGTGATCAAGTACGTCGTGCCGCACTACCCGGAGAGCTACGGGATCAACTGGGGCGTCGCGAATGTCCTCCAGTCGAGTGAGTTCCTCCTTTGCGCCTTCAGACGAGTTGAGCTAATGCTTCTCTTCCTTCTGCAGTCGCCATCATGTTCAGGTGAGCTCACTGCGTCCCCTCACGCTCTCTCCGAGCCCAGGCTGACCCGCCTTTCTCCCCGCAGCTCCGTTGTCCTCTGGATCGCGCAGAATGCCGAAGCCGAGTACGACTACAACATCACCCTGTAGCCCGCCCTTCCTACCCACGCTTGCTCTCTATCTCGCCTCGACGCTGCACTGTACCCTGCGATACCAGCCTCTGATGTCGACTTTTGATCTCGTTTCTAAGAGAGATAACACGCTTTTCCCCCATGATACCCGAATGATACGCAGGGCTCGGTGGTTCCGTTTGCTTCTATTCTACCTCCTTCCCCCCTCTCCCAGTTCGCCCTTAACCGGCGCTCAATCCGAGTTTTGGAAGAGCAGTGCGCCCTGTTCCGGCTTCGTCGCGAGCACGGCGTCGGCCAGTTCTTGCTCCGACAGGTTCGGGAACCGCTTGTTGTAGTAGTCGGACTTGAGAGCGTCGATGAAGCGCGGGACGTCGGGTTCGCGGACGAGAGAGACGGTCGCGCCGCCCCACCCCGCACCTATCGCCAATCCACGCCGGTCAGCCCCTGAGGCGGATAAGGAGTTGGAACGAGCCCGACGCACCCGTCACACGACTCCCGAGCGCGCCATTCTCCCGCGCAATCGAGACCAACTCGTCCAACTCGGGACACGAGCACTCGTAGTCCTTCTGACAACTCTCCATACTCTCATTCATCAGCTTGCCCATCTGTTCGAGGAGGTAGCTCGAGGGATCCGCGTGCTTCGGCACGGCGAGGGACGAGGTCGAGTAGGGGTCGACGGGGGCGGTCTGCAGGTCGGGAAGCGAGTCGGAGGCGGAGGTCTCGAGGATGGGCGTAGTGTGACCGTCCTCGATGTCGGAGGGTGAGGCGCGCTGAGACGTCGCGGCGGTGTCACACAAAAGGTCCTTGAACTCGTAGACGCGAAGCGCCTCGGTGAACTGCCGGCCAGCCACTCGTCAGTTCCGCCGCATGGATTCGCAAAGACCGCTCGCAAACGCACCACATGCCTCGCCCTAGTCCACAGCTTGAACCGCCCATCCTTCGGCTCGACCTCGCGATCCGTCACGCTCTTCTCCAACACCTTCGGGTCGACCTCGAGTCTCTCCGCAACCTGTTCCCACGTCATCCCATCCTCCATTCCCGGTCCTCCAAGCGCCTGCCCAATCAACCCCAGCATAGTCTTCAACTCGTGCGTCCCGCTCGCGGTCTTCGGTGGAAGTCGCGAAGAGGGAAGAGCAGGAACCGTCGCGCCGTCTGGCACGAGCTTCTCCGGTCGCTGCGAGTTGCTCCGGATCGGACCGTGCGTGGGACCGCGGTTCTTGAAGTACGCGTCGAGAAGGGTCTTGTACGAGGGGAAGGGGCGGGTCTCGTGCGTGTAGTGCAGGCCGAGGAACTTGGCGAGCAGCAGCGCGCCGAGGCGGCACTCGACGACCTGCATCACGTACTCATGTCAATTACGGCGTCTCAAGAGAGAAGCGCGGCACGCACACGCAGGTTGTAGTGGTATTTGGCCGTGACCTTCTTGTTCGAGGTGACGAGCGTGTTGGCGATGACGAACGAGAACGGCGGGTTGGTCTGCGGGAGAGGGATCGCCCGCGCCTCGAGAGTCGGGATGAACTCGCTGTCGTCAAGAACGAGGTGAGCAGGGGACCTTTGGAACCGGCGAGAAGAATCCGCACATGTGCAGGAGGTGCATGGGACGGCTGAAGACGGATGCGGACTGGTCCATGCCGCCCGAGTTGACCCCAACGAGACGCTCTGCGAACGTAGTCGAGGGTATCAGCGAATGGAAGGGAGGAAGAGATGATCGACGCTGCGGACGCACCACTCTCGATAGCGACGTTGGTCACGTCCCGCCTGCTGATCCCGTCGTCTCCTTCCCTCCGCCCGACAATCTCGAGGACAGCGATCGCGCTCGCAGTCGTCATGGCGGACGACGAGCTCAGCCCGCTTCCCTCAGGGACGGTGCCATTGACGAGGATGAGCACGCGCTCGGGCGGGGTGAACTCCGACTGGCGGGGCTTGCGGTAGAGGTGGCCGAGGATGCCCTTCGTGCCGGCGATGAAGTAGGACGACCAGTGGTGTTCTTGCGGGAGGGCGACGTCGGTTCCGTCGCCGGTCAAGTCGACTTCGAACGAGGTCGGCGAGAACTTGGACGACGAGTTGCGCAGGACAAAGACCGTCTTGCCCTTTTCTGAGGGCGACGGGATGTCCTTCCCAGAGGAGGACGGCGACGCGGTGGAAAATGCGACGAGGACGTCTCGCTCGATGGCGGCGGGGAGGACGGAGAAGCCGCAGTAGTCGATGTGCTCGCCTGCAGAGTGCAGTCCCAACTCCTGTCAGTCCCTGGCCGCTGCGCCATCGAGCTCTCCTTCGCTTCCACGGACAATCTCGCCTCGCGTCGGTTGTTCGGGTGGGGGATGAAAGGGTCGTGTGCTCGTCGTCGAGAGCGATGAGCGGAACGCACCGATGATGTTGACCCTGCCCGGAGCGCGCGCGACCCTGTCGACCGCGACGCCGTACTCGCGCTTGAACTCTTCAAAGACGTCGTTCCATCGCTCGCCTTCGTGCGAGAGTGCCGCCTGGGTGTAGACCTGGTCGAGCGAGTCGGCGAGCGGGAGCGGCGACGTCTCGAGCGAGGGCATGGTCGCAAGCAGAGCACAGCAAGCGTATCAAGCGTATTGAAAAAGAAGATGGGCGAGCGGGAGCGGGACGGCACGGCGTCATCAACTTTGTATTCCTTTGCAATACAAACGCGGTTGTAATGCGAGTTGTCATCAGCAACCAATACAAACTGGAGTGTATTGCTTGTATTGTGACTGAATACCAACCAGTCCTTCCCTCTCGTCCGCTCTGCCTCGCCGCGCTGTCGCTGGAATGGACTCGAAGGGGCTGCCCGCTGCTGTCCAGCGCTTTGCTCATGCCAGCGACCACGCCCACCTCGACCACCTCGCCCCCTCGTCCTCGTCCTCGTCGTTCCCCTCCGGCTCCACCAGCTTCCGACCCGACGCTTCGCCCTCCGCCGCGCGCGCAGAGAATGACTTTGCGGCATTCACGGGAGGAGTGAACGGGCTCGCTGGGCTCGAAAGGAGCTGGAAGGACGAGCGGCGACAGACGGCGACTCGGAATGCCTCACACGACGGCTTCGAGATCACCGCACTCCTGGGCGGGAACGAATTCGTGGCGGACGCAGTAGATGGAGATTGGGAGCGCGAGTTGAAGGAGGAACAGGCGAGACCGTGTCGAGTCGAGATGGAGACGACGATGCCTTCCGACCCATTCGCCTCGTCCGCCATCCTCGCCAACCGATCCACCCGCCTCGACGCACTCGAAGGGAAGGGGAAAGGCAAAGCTCGCGCAGGCGACATGTCCCCGACCTCGGCAGACCTCCTCTCGTCCCTCTCCTCCCTCGACCTCGCAGACAAAGCCTACCTCCGCTCGCTCCTCTCCCTCTCCCCCGACGAAGCCTTCCAGGATTATCTCGCGAGGAGCTCGTATGCGGATGATGTGTACGGGCTGCCGCCGGGTGTCAAGAGGTTGTTCGAGAAGGCGGCGAGGGAGGAGGAGGGCGTGCAGGGCGAGGAGGGGCGGACGAAGGCGCTGAGAAGGCTGGACATGGTCTTGCAGCACTTGAGGGCGTCAGAAAGTGGTGCAGGTGGGGAGACGGCGGCTATCGTCGGCCTTTCGACCCAGCGACAACCGCAAACGGTCCCCTCGCATTCCCCGTTCACCAACTCGGCCTCTTCCGCACATCCCCCTTTTGCCTCGCCTACACTCGCACAACAGCCCGCCCACCAATCCTCCTCACCCCGCCCGAGTCCACCCCGACCCGCGCACTCGCACTACTCCGTCCCTTCCTCCCTCTCCGAATCAGCTTTCATCACAATCGCAGGCTCCCAGCCTCGGCACACTACACGACTTGTGGGAATGGCGAGTCGAGCGGCGGGAGGAGGACAGGGAGGCGAGGTGAATGGGGTTGCAGGATCAGGTCAAGGGGAGGGCCGGATGGCGCTCGACGTGCGGGAAGGGCGGACGCATTGAGTGACGGGATGAGGGTCTGAGAAGCTGTCGGAAGCGTTGTAGCGTATCCCGAACGCCCGAAATGAAGCGATCTCAGCCAAAGACGACGAGAAAGGCCCCGTTCTCGGGCAGTTCAACTTCCTCTGGATCTGCTTGAACGGCAAGCCTCCTTTTTTGGTCTTTGCTCCGCACTGCAGCTGTCTGAACCGCCCAGGAGTCTCTGTACCTGCTCAACTCGACCTCATCACTTTCGCGGAAGTGGCGCCGCACCTTCGTCCTCGACCGCTCTCGCCGCTCAGCTTGCTGGCCAGTACGAGCAGCTCAAAAGACTTCAGGACTCTTGCTCAACTGCCCGACGCGCTCCTCGCTTGCCCCACCGCCTTGACAGCTCGCTCCGATTGATGTCAACTCGCACCTTCATTCGAGGCGCGCCGACTTCTCGCGGTCGTGGACGGGGTGCCAGTCGGGGTGGAGCAGGAGGAGGCGGAGGGTTCAGGAAGAACGACGCGCAGAAGTATCGCGACTACGGGTGCTTCTTACCGAACGGAGGTACGTCCTTCGTCTCTTCTCCTTTACTCCGAGCTCAGGCTGATCAGGGTTCTGTGAAACGCAGAGGTCCTGTGCTTTTGCAATACGGAGCCGCGGATCAAGGCTATTAGGCGGGTGACGAGGAAGGAGAGTTCGCCCAACTTGGGGAGGTGAGTAGGAGACTGCCCGTTGTCTCTGCTTGAGCGCCTCCACGGCGAGCTCAGCTGATTACTCGAGGAGTTCTTGTTTGCAGGGAGTTCTGGTCGTGCGGGAATTGGGTCGAGGGAGAGGGATGTGGCTTCTTCCTTTGGTGCGACGAGGCAGCAGCGTGCGTACTCTTCGATCTTCTATCTGCCACTCAGGCTGAATCGCCCGTCTCCGCAGCAAAGGCCGCGAGTACAAGACACCTCCGCCAGCCGGCGCCGCACCACCCCTCACGCCCTCCTCATCCCCTCAAAAACGTTCCTTCCCCTCCTCCTCCCCTGCAAAACCCTCAGCGGCCCCTCCATCCACACAAGAAGACACCTTCGATGACATCGACTTCGACTCGCTCGACGCCGAGATCGAAGACGAGATCGAGGATGCGGATCCACCTACTCCTGCATCTTCTTCAACACCCGCATCAGGGTCGCCGGCTAAGAAACCTCGCTTCGAGAGTTTCGCGGGGTCGTCACAGGGCCCTGTTACTCCGACCAAACAGGCGGGACAGCGTTTGGGAGGAGTGGGCGGAGGAACAGGACAGACGGCGCGAACTGGCGGGTTCGACGCCATCCGAAACGACCCCGACTCGCCTTTCCACGCGCTCCAGCGCTCGCTCTTCGGAAGCGATGCCACAGCTCCGCCGACCTCCTCTCCCACTACGCCCGGCTCGTCACCGACGAAAGGAGCCGACTCGGATTCCGACTCTTTCGCCGCCCTCTCCTCAGCCCTCTCATCGCTCCCCAGTTTGCTCGACAGCGCCAAGAAGGACCGCGAGAAGGACGCGAGGCTACTGATGGCGGGCAAGAGGAAGGAGGAGAGTCTGCGCAAGTTGTTGGACAAGGAGAAGGAGGAGCGGGAGAAAATGAGGAGGGAGAACGAGGGGTTGAAGGAGAGGATTAGGTGCGTTGGCGGCGCTCCTCGTGTCGCGGGTCTCTCTAGCGTAGCGGTGTGCTGACATTGGGCGAATCTTCCGCCATACAGGATGCTCGAGGAGGAGACGAACGAGCTCCGCACCCGCCTTTCGTGACAGGCTGTTCTCACTTCCGTTTTTCGTCGCCTTGTTGTCGTACTCTGCATCGCTCTGAACTCGTAGACTCTTCTTTGCGCCGCTGGGCAGAAAGCGATGTACATTTTGCAGGAGAGGCGAGGACCCAAGCAACGAAACAAGCGATTCCTTTCCGACCCAGACAAGCGATCCTCCGCACCACCTCGCCAAACGCAACCTCCAGCGTGTCCTCAAGCGCGTCCGTCCGTCAGTCACCGCTCAGTCGTCCGCTCAAGCAAACCTCTGACCGCCTCCGTTCCCGCCCATCCTCTCCTCACCTCCGCCGCGCTCGCGAATGTGCTGCCCGACCATCGCCTCAAGACGATCGAACCTGTCTTGGAAGGTCGAGACCGTCTTGGTAGGCGACGTCGGCGATCCAGGCGGCGAGTAAGCCGTTCCTTCTCCCTCGCCGGCCGTGCCGCGCGTCTGCTGGCGAGTCAGGTAGTCGCTCATGCCGGGTCCTTGGACTTGAGAAGTCCCTTGGCCGACGTCGCCTGCGTGAGGAGCGGGAGCGAGACCGAGGGACTCGCTGACCATCGTCGAGGTCGCCTGAGCGGTGGCGTAGTCCGGGTGGTCGGGTCCCATCACGCTCTCGTACTCGAGGAACCTGCGAGAATGATGTGTGAGCTTCGACGAGAGTGCAGGTGAGGAGAGACGGGCGCACTTGATCAACTTGTAGAAGAGCGCAGCGAGGAGCGCGCCAAGGGCCGGCCCGATCCCTGCGCAAAGGACGGAACTCTCAGCGAAAGGCTTCGAACGTCGCAAAAAGAGCGTGCGTACAGTAGATGTAGTGGTAGCCGGGGAAAGAGGCGACCGCCACGTCGGGACCAAACGAGCGAGCCGGCTAGAGCGAGAGAATCAGCCTAGTTCTCGCTTAAAAGGAGGAAGGACTTTACGTTGACGCTCGCTCCGGTGTAGTAGACTGCAGGAGCGACGCAGCGTCAATGACTACTCTTCAAGAGGAAGCGAGGAAGCTGATGCACCTCCGAGCATCTGCGTAATCCAGAGCGCGAGTCCGATGCCGACGGGCGCCATGAACGTTCCGCGGTGCTTCTCGGCGGCCAAGAAGAAGATGGCGAGGCAGAGGAGGGCCGTGAGGAACATCTCGAGGAAGAGGCCGCGCGCGATGGACATGCCGGGAGCGAGACGGGTCTGCGCGTTAAGCGGGCCTGCGGGACGGATTCCGGGTTGTCAGTACCTTCAGCCTGCCAGAGAAAAGGAGAGCGCACCAGGAATGAGCGCATTGAGGACGGCCGCCGCGCAAATGGCGCCGAGGATCTGGGCGGCGACGAGGAGAGCGACGCGAAGCCAAGTGATGGCTCCGATGACGCCCATGCCGAGGGAGACGGCCGGATTGAAGAGCCCGCCAGAGACTTTGAAGCTGCGGGAGAACGCTGTCAGCCGCGAGACAAGAGCAAGAGGAGGTGGAGGAAGCGCGAGCGCACAAGATCCAGACCGAAACGAGAAGCGAAAGGCCGAAAGCGCAGGAGATGTAGAGGACTGGATATGCGGCGGAGGAAGGGCGAGAGGAGGAAGGGGAACGCCAGGGGGAGGGGAGAAGTCAGTCGCGAAGGTGAGCTTGGAAACACTTTGTACAAGCGGCTTCGTACGCACGGCTCGACGTGTTGGCAGCCGCAGCAGGGTATCCGCCCTGTCCAATGCGAGCGGTACCAGTGACCGACGTGGCGAGAGTGTTGGCGACGCTGCAAGCCGGAGAGGAAGAGTCGAGGTCAGCTTTCGCAAGGACCTCGGCGGACGACGGGACGCACTTGGTACCTCCCAAAGCGAAGAAGAGGAAGGTGAAGGTGCCTGCGAACGACAACGTGCGCGGTCAGCAGCATGTCCCGCTCGACGCAGAGTCGGGGTCGACGAGGCTGGTATCCGCTCGAGCAACGCACCAACAAACTCGCCAATCGTGGCAATGAGGTGGTTCTTCGCGGCGTAGCGCGGGCTGCCTTGCGCCGGCGGGTGCACGTCGAAGAGCTTGAAGCGGGAGCGACGACGAGGGCGGGCGGCGTCGCCCTGCGCGTTGCAACCGGCGTGGAGCGGGAGCTGCGAGTTACCGGAGCTCATCGTGACGCTGTGTGGCGATGCCAGATGACTGGCTGCTCCGCCCGAGGCTGTCGATGTGAGGAGGACGAGGAAGAAGAGGGGCGGGAGCAAGTCGGTGTCACCCTGCCTTCAACGGGACGGCGACTCGTGCAGCCTGATGGAGGAGCTAGCCAGTGTCCAGAAGACGCTGTCAAGGCGTATTCGAGCCTGCCAGCCTGCGAACAAGCAGAGTTAGCCTCGACCTCGCGCGACCTTCTCAAGCTGGCGCTGGCGGAGAGAAACGTCGTTAATGCAGGATGAGCTGGATACAGAGAGGGTGGGAGGACAACAGAACGAAGAAGAGAAAGACGGGTGGAAGATGCCTTAGACGGGCGAGTCGTTGACCTTGTGCCACTCACGCCCCGTCTCGACGACCGTTCCCTCCGTCGATACCTTCCTCCCATGCGCGCCCGCTCCAGCAATTAGCGTCTCGAGAAGCGATTCAATCCGTTCGAGTCGAGTGCGGTAGTCGTAAGGCGGCTGAGGTAGGTCGAAGACTCCGCCCGCCGGTCCGGTCGTGAGCAAGTCGGGAAGACCTGGTCCTTGGACGGCGACAGTGCCCTTCTGGTCGGCTGGGTGGACCTCCTTCTCGCCCATCGAGGTCGTAGCGGCGGTTGGGGTAGCCCGAGTCGAGCCTGAGGCGCCCGCAGCGGTCGACCCGAGGAGGGTGGCGGAAGGAGCGACGAGATTCCGCCCGAGGGCCGCCTTGTCGGTCTTCTCGTTCTGGTTGTTCGAAGAGGAGGGTGAAGGCGTGTCGGGCTCCTCGGGGCCGAGCACGGTCTCGTACTCGAGGTATCTGCGACGAGGAGACGTCAGTTTCGGTGAGAGTGTCGGAAGCGAAAGGCGTCAACGTACTTGATGAACTTGTAGAACCCGGCGGCGAGCAAAGTGCCGAGGAACGGTCCGCTGCAAGCAATAGCGTCAGTGTCGGCGACTACAGAGGCGAGAGAGAATCGGACGAACACCCAGTAGATCCAGTGATATCCGTCGAAGCTCCGCAAAACTACCGCAGGACCGAAGCTGCGCGCCGGCTGTGTGTGCATGCTGGTGAGTAGGCGGCTGGAACTGAACGAGGGAAGGAACGGACGTTGAGCGATCCGCCGGTGTAGTAGACTGCACGTTTCCGTCAGCACAAGGCCACGGCAGGATGAGCAAGCGAGACGCACCTCCTACCAGCTCAGCGACAAAGAGTGCGAGACCGCTGAGGAGGGCGAATGTCAGCTCTTCGCTTCGAGAGAGGTTGCGGAGGGGCGTACATGCCGATCGGAGCAAGGAAAGTCGCCTTGTGCTTCTCGGCCGCCAGGAGAAGGCTAAGGAGACGACTGATTCAGTCAAGCGTGTAGATGGAGCCGAAGGGCCGGACTCACATAGCGAGCATGAGCAGCGCGGTGAGGAACATCTCAAGGAACAAGCCCCTCGCAACGGACGTTCCAGGCGAGAGCTTCGTCGCGACGTTGAGCGTCCCCGGCAGGAGCGCTTGAATGATCGCGGCGCCGACGATCCCGCCGAGGATTTGCGAGATGGTGAGGAAGATAGCCCGGAGAGGTGTGAGGGCGCCAGCGATGGCCATGCCCAACGACACCGCCGGATTGAACAGACCACCAGACACGCGAAAGAAGATCCAGGCGTTTACGGCGAGGGAGAAACCGAAGCTGAGGGCGATGTAGAGGACTGGAAGGGAGGACGGGTCAGCTTGAAGCGTCAAGGAAAGGGAAGTTGCAAACGCACGATTCGAGGTGTTGGGCGCAGACGCCGCCGTTCCATCTTGACCAGCTGTCGTCGCACCAGTCACACTGGTCGTGGGAATGTTGGCGACACTGTAGAGCAGGCAGCGTATCAGCCAGGCATTCTGACGAGCCCGCGAAGAGGAATTCGACTCGCTTGGTCCCACCGAGCGCAATGAGAAGGAACATAGTTGTCCCAACGAACTCTCCCACCATCGCCACGAACGTATTCTTGACGGCAAGGCGAAGGGGACCGCGAGAGGCGGGACGAATGTGCCAGTTGAGCGGGCCGCGATGGCGGCGATGCTCCTGCGAGGGGAGCTCTGTCGGTGCACCGGCTGTTGGAAGGCCTGACATCTTGTTCGGCGGTGGGGAATCGAGAGCGCAAGCAGGAGGGAAGGAGGAAGAGGAGGAGGAGAGGACGACGTCTGCTGAGCCGATCGGGCGTCTCGTTCGTCGCTTCCCTCAGCCCAGTCGATCCTTTTACGTACGTACGTTTTGCAGCTCCAACAAGCTGCGCCAAGTCGTCGTTGCCGCAGGGGAGTGAAGCGACTTGGTCGATGAGCGCATTGCGAGGAACAGCTTTGTGAGACAGTTGGACCGCAGTCGTAGACGTCGCGAGGCTCTCAAATGCGAGCGAAGATCCGAAGCGTGCGTCTGTGCAAGGGGAGCGAGGCTGAGGACGAGCGAGCGACGCGTCAGCGGGATGGGGAGGGGAGCCAGCGCAAGAGGGAGGAGACTTTGGGAAGGTCGAGTTGTTCGAGTCGTTTCTTACGCTCAACGATGCTGCTGAATCTGATTCAGCTTGGTATTGCTGCTGCGACTACGTATAAAAAAGCGGGAACGAGACGGGAGACGAGGCAAGCGGGAGACGGTCGTTCGGCTTTACATGAACTTCTGCGCGAGCGCTGTAAGGGGAGGGCGAGTGTCAGCGTCGCTGCACCGACTCGACTTGCGCAGCGTACAACGACACGATGCGAGCGGTGGGTAGATGCGAAGGGAGTACGCGACGCACAGAAGAGCTGGCCCATTCCTCCCTCGGAGCCGCCGCCAACCATACCCGAGACCTGGTTCTTGACCAGCAGCTTCATCATGGTCTGCGGAACGAGCGCTCAGCGAGAGAAGGGGCGGAGAAGCGAGCGGTTACGAACCTGAGCTGCCGAGTTGACGACATCCTGCTTGCCTCCGCCGGCGGCGCCGCCGTTCTGGTTGAAGAGCTGCGCGGCCTCGCTCATGGCTGCGCATCACGCGTGAGCCTCAGGGTGATCGCAGAGGAGAGGCGGGACGCACCCTGCCCGATGAGCTGCGACTGGAAGTTCCCTCCACCGCCGGACTGCTGCCCGCCCTGACCGCTCGTAAACTTCTTGAGCGCGTTCAGAGCAGCAGCAGCACCGAGCGAGTCGGCACCCATGTTGCTCGAGTCGCCTTGGCCGTAGGCTTGCTGGTGCGCCTGCTGGAGACCTTGCTCGTCGAGGTTGTTCGGGTCGTCGTTCTGGTTCTGGAGGAACGACACTGTGCGAAGGGGCGAAGAAGCTACATCAGCCAGAATCTTGCGCGACGGGAGCCCAACTCTCAAGATCGACGGGACGCACTCGCAGAGGAGAACATGCCCGAGTCCTCGCCCGAGTGGTTCGATGCGTGCTGGACGGCCTGGTCCTGGTTGAGGAACTGGCTGGCGAAACCGCCGACTGTGCGAAAGAGCGCATGCGTTAGCTTGCTGGTTGCAGAGCGGACCGACAGACGAGCGAAGAGATGTCCGCGAACGCACTTCCTCCCGACTGGCCAGGCGGGCGGTTGTCGCTCGAGTTGAACTGGCTGCCACCCTGAATCCCAAAGTCCCCTCCACCCTGTCCCGCGTGCATACGCCCGCCCGTAAAGTCGCTCTGCTGGCCGTACTCGTTCTGTCCACCTCCGAAACCGCCCTGTCCGCCGCCGTACGAGTCCCCGCCGCCCTCGTACGGGTTGCCGCCGCCCTGCTGCTGCTGCTGGTTGTTACCCTGTCCCTGCTGATACTGGTTGAGCGCCTGCCCGAGCGAGAGAGGGTCAGTTTGCCAGTCATCGTCATCGAGGGTGAAGGTGCGGGTGAGGAGGGGACGAGAGGGCGTGGGAGCACCGCGAGTGGGTTGGAGGGCGTGCTCACCTGCTTGGCGAATCCCATCAAGTTGTCCATGGTGTCTGCGCGTGTGCTGTGGTGAGTGCGAGGAGGACAAGGCGAGGTGGGGCTGCGTGAGGAGAGGGTGGTCGCTCAGTACTGCTCTGGCGGGACTGGCGATGTCTGCAGTAATTCCAGTAATACATCTTAGAATTTACTGGCTAGTCGAGTCCTTATTAGCTGAGGTTGTCATCACCCTCGCCTCCTCGACTTGCTCCCCTTCACCACCTCGCGACAACTCATCACGAGCAGCTTCAACGAGCACACCATCAAGCTCACAGCGTCTCACTCACCACGGTCCCGCCCGCGCACTCGCTCCCCACGCCGCCCGCGTCCCTCACAGCCCTCTCGCCTCTCTGAACCTCCTATTCCCTCTCATCGCCCGACCATGCCGACGGAGCGCCGCGCACGCAAGACGCTGACCGGAGCGGCGCCCAAGAAGCGCGAGAACAAGTACCAGAAGTATGGCTGCTGGGCGTCGGACGGGAGTGCGTCCTTCTCCTCCTCCTCCTCCTCCTCGAGCGGATGCACTCGCTTTCACAGGGTCAGCTGAGGTACTGACGAGCTGCCTCTCACGCTCTTGCACCCGGTTGTATCCCGCTGTACCGCACGACCTCCCACCGACAGCCATCTTCTGCTTCTGCGACAACGACCCTCGCCTCGAAGCCGCGCAGCGCACCTGCCAAGTCAGCGACAAGGGCAACGTAGGCCGCAAGTTCTGGGCGTGTGACAACCGCTTGGAGAACTGCGGCTTCTTCGCGTGGGACGACGAGCTGGCGAAGAACGGCCACCCGGGCTGGGGAGAGTTCCACGCGAGCGACGAGGACGAGGACGTCGAAGTTGACCGCCGCGGACACCGCCTCGGAGACGGCTACATCACCCCTCCTCCCTCGACCCAGAACTCGCCCGTCGCCGGACCTTCGACGCCGCGCAAGAACAAGAAGCGCCGCGTCGAGCGCGAACCGTCGCCTGACTGGCCGGACATCGAGGCGGTTCAGGCCGAGCTGGACGACAAGAAGAAGGAGGTGCGCGAGTTGCGCAGGGAGAAGGACGAGTGGAGGAAGGAGAAGGACGAGATGAAGAAGGAGATTGACGGGCTCAAGACGGAGAACTCGAGGTTGCTCGCGAAGGTCTACCCCGAGGTCTTTGGGTGCGTTCTAGCCCGCGTCGTTTCACTCAGTCCGTTTCGTCCTGACCCTGACCTCGGCATTGCTCGATAGTGACAGGGTTGCGGCTGCGTGATGCAGACTGGCGAGGAGGAATCGCTTGTTGGAAGAATGCCGCTTCGTAGGTCTCCCGCTCGCTCTCGCGCGTCATCCAGATCTGACATCTGGGCTCTTCGCAGGTGTCGACGGTCGCGAGGGTAGCAGGAGGAACGCACGCTTAGCATCTTTGCCCTTTCTTGTCCATTTCTCGCCCGCATCTCTTGCTTAGCTTCTTCCCTCTCCTCTTTCTCGTCGTACCAAATGTTGCTTGTATCTAGTGAACCGTCCTACGTGCCCCAACAAAGCCAACGGGGAGGGAAGAAAGGAGACTCGCCCGCCCTCGCCTCTCTTGACCTCCTTCCGCTCACTCGTTCGCCTCAATCCGGCGTCATCGACCGTCTGGGACGCTCGGAGTCTTTTCAAACGTCTGTGCTCGACCACCATCTACTTCGCACCGCGCCCACCGCTATCCCCAGCCCTCCTCAGCCTCTCGCCCCTGCTGATCCGCTCGCCCTCTCATCTCATCCGGACTCGCCCCCTCCGACCTTCGAAGGCCTCCCCGCCACTCCTCCACCTAATCACACCACTACGATGGCCTACACGCCGCCTCGTAGGACGTTGACGGGCGAGTTTGCGATTTCTCGCTCGGAGAAGTATTGGGACTGTTTTGACGACGACGGCAGTGCGTTCTCAGTCTGCTCAACTTGTCTTGAGTACAGTGCGCTAATCGGCAGTCCCCACGCCCACTGTTCGCACCCGTCCCGCTCGACACCACACTCCTCTTCCCCTCTTTCTCGCCCGCTCCTCTCCCCCTCAGCCATCTACTGCTTCTGCGACGTCAGCCCCCGCTACCGCGCAATCAAGCTCACGACCGCAAGCAACAAGAACGGAAACCTCGGTCGCATGTTCTACCGCTGCAGGAAGAAGAAGGACAGGGCTTGCAGGTTCTTCATTTGGGAGGAGTGCGTCCTTTCCTTCCTTCTCCCCGCCAAAAAAACGTGTTTGTTGACGAAGGATTGATGCAGCGAACTCGAGGCGCATGGTTGGCCTGGATACCCTGACGACGACGACCTCCTCGCCAACATCGATTACGACGAACTTGCCGCCGGCCCCGCTCCTCCTCCTCCTCCCGGCAAAGCTCCTGCTTCGACGCCTCCTACCTCGCCGCAAGTCACGCCGAACGTCTCGCCCGTTGCGAAAGAAGACAAGAAGCGTCCGGTCGAGGAGGGGCCCGCTCGCGAGTCGCCAGAGGAGAAGAAACCACGCATCGAGCCGCCCAAGGTGGAGGAAAAGGCTGTAAGACTCGAGGAGGATGCGGTCAAGCGCGAGGAGCGCGTCGAGGAGGTCAAGGAGGAGGATGCGTGCGGATTGCGAAGGTCGAAGCGAGTTTCGGGTGCGTACGATCGCCTTTCTCCCCTACTGACAGGCGCCGTTACGCTAACGCGCTTCCCCGCCGGCTCGCAGTGAAGCCAAAGAGGTTCGACGAGGGATTGTGGACGGAGTGAGGAGGGAGGAGGAGGAATCGCTTGGACTGCTTGCCTTTCGCTAGCTTTGTTTCCTTTACCCGCGCTCTGCCAGTCCTGTACAGATGCTCTTGTTTCGTTGATCTCAACTACAACAACAGTGGCAGACGAGACGATACAAGACGGAGAGACTCTGAATCCGCGAGATGGTACAACGAGGCGAGATCTGTGGAAGACACCGAAGGAGCCGGGTATATGGACCACGAAATGGAGTGCACAACGAAACGAGATGGCAGGAGCAGGACACCCTCGAGCGAACGTCCCCTCTCCCGCCTCCTGCTCCTCGACAACCGCCTCCGCCCTCGTCGCGGTCTCCTCCTTGCCCTCGCCACTCCAGCTCGCGCACATCCTCAACGTCCTCCACTCGTCATCGCCGTCAAGGCGCCAACCTCAGCGCTGTCAGTCTTCAAAGAACAGGAAGACGAACCAGTTGATTCAGAACCAAGGCGAGGCTTGCGACCCTGCTGAGGGCGCGCGTTGCGTATAACTCGGACTAGCAGAGCGCGTCAACACCCCAGTCTCGAGTCGCAAGCCCCATCCTTGTTTTTGCGTTCCTCCTCACGGTGACTACGGGGGCGAATGTGGCATGCCAGCACCGCAGCACCCTGGATCGCCTCCGGTTCTTCGGCGACCGACGACGCCTTGGTCGTCACTCCGACGGGAAGTCCGAGGCGGAGGGCGAAAAGGTCGTGCGAGAACAAGAATGAGAGGGAAGGTCGGAAGCCGCGCCGAGTTGCGAAAGTCGTGGGTCGAGTCGCGGCTCGCTGCTCAACTAGGCATCCTCGCTGCGGAACGAGCGAAGCGAAGGTCAGTCTCGAAGCTGCGAAGTGATGAAGGAGGAAACGACGCACCCGTCAACCTCGTGCAACGCGTTCCGCCATCAACAGCGGGCCAGCCATGGTGGAAAGGCGTCATGGCGACGGACGGTGCGAAGGACGGCGCCCGAGTCTTGGCATGGACGCATGTGGCGAGGCCGAAGGAGTGAGGCGGCACCTCGAGAATGTAAGGCACAACAAGAAGGGGAACACGGAGAGCACAACATTGACGCCGTCCAGGCCGCTCGCCGCGACGACCTGGCAAACGGGTCCCGCCCAATACTCCTCGCCATCGTCTTCTCCTGCGACCGCACCCATACCTGCTCATCCGCCGCGATGTTCGAGGCGGAAGCTTCGGGTGACGACGAGGCCATGACGGCCGTTCCATGGCCCGCGAAAGACGCGGCTGTTGGGACGAAGTCGAAGGAAAGGTCGGAAAGCTCGGCGCCCATAGAAGGCTCGAAGGAGGGGGTCGCGAGTGTATCGGGGCAGATCGTTTGAGGCAACGTGAAGATGGCTGATGCGGCCGGGCGAGTCGAGTCTTCGTTCGACAGCGGAAGCGACGGCGAGCTCGCGGGCGGGGTGCAAGATTCGTCCTCCTCATTCTCCTTGTCGCACAGCGAAGCCTGCTGGTCTCGCTCGAAAACCTGCCACGCGAGTTTTCCCTCGACGCAGAGAGCCGCATACTCTTCGTCCGTCACCCATCGCTCGACAAGGACCTGTAGCAACGATGCGCGTCAGCTTGAGAACGGCGAGAGTGGAAAGGAAGGAAGCCGGCGCACCCTGTACGTCGCCGTCTCGATCGACTCGTCCGTACCCGTCCGCATCTTGTGCACCTGCCGCATATCGACGACCTCAGCGAGCCTTCTCTGCTGCCCATACTGGTCGATTCTAAACATCAACCCGGCGCTGCCGATCCACGAATCGCCGATCTGGCGGGCAGTGTGCGGAGAGGTGGAAGACGGAGAGGCGGGTTTGGCGTCGAGGTCGGCGACAACGGAGGAAGGGGTACGTGAAGGGAAACGGCACTCGGCATGGCGCTTCGTGCGAGGCGAGGAAAAGGGTGTCGTCACGAGCGGGCGAGGCGAGGTTCGGATGTATGTATAGCTGAAGTTGTCGGTCGTGTTGTCGGCGAGTCCGGGGGCAATATGACGAGGGCGTTTCTGAGCAGGAAGTCCGCCTTCGAGCGTCTGCGGATTCGAGTCGGCCTTCTTCGTCCCAAAGGATGCCGAGCGGTAGAGGCTTGTCGAGTCTTGATGCGAAGCTTCCGGCGAGACGTCCTCAAACTTGCGCTTCTCGCGGACACCAGCAACGTCCGGATAATTAATTGGTACGCGGACGCTTGCTCCCGCGAGATCGACGGCGGTGAAGCGGCGTGTCGGCAAGCGCAGGTGGTGCAGTCGAGCGGCGTTTGGCGGGACGGCGCCTGAAGAGGACGAGAGCCCAGGAGGTTGACCAAGTCTTCGCCAGCGCTGGCGTCGTAGGCGCGTCCGCCTCTTCCGCCGCAAAAGCGTCTCCCTCCTCCGTCTCGACCGCATCTGCCTCATCGGCAGTGGGCGGCTGGAAGCCGGCGGGACTGTCGATACCAAGGCTAAAGCAGTCCGAGGCGTTGTCCTCCTCCTCGGCCGCAATCAAGTCGTCTTCGAGATCGCCATCTTTCGGCGAGTCGAGGTGAGGTGGTTCGAGCTGCTCAGAAGCGATGAAGTCGTTCTCGGCGCCGGCACAGATGGTCGACTCGGATGCGGTCGGCGCGTCCAGCGGATCTTGATTGAGGACGGGAATCTGCGGGAAATGCAAAGTCAGCGGCATGTCGAGCGAGTACCAACGTTGCGCGCACCGAGAGGTTGTTCGGCAGCTCGTTCGGAGGCGTGAAGGTGAACTGGGTCGTCTCAGGCGCGATCGCCTCTCCTACCGTCTCGCCGTCAAGGGAGGAGTCGAGACCATCCGAGTCGCCTTCGTCCGCTGTGGTCGCTTCGGGCGCGGCGATGCCGTAGAGCGTGACGCTGATGAACCTGTTGAATCGTTTGCGGGCGGCGGCGAGGAAGGAGAGACGAGTCTTGAGGCGGGTGACGATGGAAAGGGACTGAACGCGAGAGACACGCTGAAGAGCGGTTGAGTCGCAGGCTTCGTCTTCGTCATCAGAGTTGTCGGTGTCGATGGAGCTGGCGCGGTAGGCGCGGGTGCGGGACCGCTTGAAGGCCGGGCGCGAGCACTCGAGCGTCTGGTAACGCTTCTTGCGACGCGGGGCGGGTCGGCGGGGTTCGTCGTCGACCTCCGAGTCGGCGTTGCGGATGCGGGAGGGCTCGTAGAAGGGGTACATGATGTCGTGCTTGTGAATGTAGTCGTCGATGTCGGACTCGCCGCCCGGGACGGCCTCGATGCCTCGCTTGTCGCGCAAGCTGCCGATACCGCGAGCGAAGTGACGAAGCTTCTTGCGTCGAGGCGGGCTCTTGGGGCTGTTCGAGTCTCGGGTGGTGGAAGTCTGGGGCCACCGTACGGCGGCCGTGCGTTTGAGCGGGACCGAGAAAGGCTCCGCCAATGCGTCGGAATCGTCCGTCTCCATGTCTGACGAAGACGTGTCCTTGTCGTCGGGTACCGTCTGCGCAGTCGAGACGGACGTCTTCTCGTCCGCGGCGACCGCAGCCTCGAGGGCTTGTGCGGCATCAGCGACTTGAGCCGTTTCCGCGGTAGTCGCATCCTCGGCGTTCGCAACGGAGGTGTCTTCTTCACGGCTCGATTCGTTACCCGAGTCGTCCTGCTCAGACTCTTCCTCCGAGTCCTCGTCGTCGGTATCGTCGTATTCGCCGCATTCGTCGCTCGCGTCTCCGTCGTCGCTAGTCTCGGATCCGTCGGGGCAGTCGGAGTCCTCGAGCAGACTGGACGCGGCATCCGAGTAGTCCGAGTCGTCAGAGTCCGACTCGTCGAATTCAGCGGTCTCAAGCTCGGCAGGCTCGACTTGCTGGACGTTTTTGGCGGCCTCGACAGGTGCCGGTGTCGGCGCGGGCGAAAGAGTCGTGGTAGGCTTGTCGAGGATGTCGTCGAGACCTTCGCCATCCCAGACTGGCATTTCTTGACGAGGCGTGTCCGGGTCGACAGCGGGGAACCAGTCGGCCGGCAGCAACATTTCGCGCGTCAGGAGAGGGAAGCCGGGCGGGAGAGAGATGGGAGGCAGAGGGCGCGAGGGGTCGTAGGTGTAGGGGAACGTGAAGGGGTCGTAGGTGTCGTCTGCGCGAAGCGAGAGTCAGCAAGTTCGAAGCGAGGGCGAACGGATGGCATGCGTCGCACCTTCCGATTCGAGCGGAACCTTCTGCTGTCCGCTCATGCGGCGGCAGCGACTCTTGGGAGAAGGAGGGCGAGTGGACGAGCGTCTTGGGCGAGGTTTCGGGGAGGAAAAGTCGAGGCCGACGAACGGCGACGGCGGAGCAGGCGGGACACAGTTGAGGACGGATTCGGTTAAAGTTACCATAGCATCTTCGAAGCACGAGGGGTGGCTGCGAGAAGGGCGGGAAGTCAGTCGTGCCAGTTCAGACTGGGACGTCGCAAGCGGGAACTCACGGCTTGAAGCTGAGAGGTCCTCCGATGCAGAGCTTGAGCAGGCCGGTGAGGATAAGGAGCATGACGCGGGGCGGAACAGTCGCATCGAGCCAGTATATGATGGTGAGGAGGTGGGTGCCGTAGGTCGTCTGGGACAGCTTGTCGACGATGGCGGGAACGGTGTGGTACCAGATGTGGAAGTTGAGCATGCCGAGCAGCGTGATGAGGCCGGGAGGCTGCATGTTGGCGAAGTCGAGTGGTCGATGGGAGGGAAAGAGAGAAGAGAGGCAGACGCGGGCTTTTATAGGAGGAGGTCCAGGTGAGACTGCGACGTCCCAAGTCACGGCGTGCGAGCTCGTCCACAGCCTTGTCCATCACCGTCTGCCGCAGGGCAAGCGCTCGCCAGACCAGTCTGTGGCCGTGCAGGCGCTTGTAGCGTGCCTGCTCACCCGTTGGAGCCCTGGGAAGCGAGAACTGCCTTCCACCTCGCGAGTCTGGCGTCGGCTCAGTCCAATAGCTTGCTACAGACTGCATTGCCAGCTTCCACGAACAAAGAAGCGCCCGCAAGTCGTCGTGGTCGGGTTCAGCTTTGCGAGTGATGACCGGAAGGAGGGAGGACAAGGTGGGAGACAGCGGGACCGGCGCAGCTGGTTCAGGAGTGAGCACTGTGGTACTGCTGTGAAGGTCTGCGAGCATCTAGCGAGGGCCGCGGTGCGCGTTGCTGGCCAACCCTCGCCTCCTCACCTTCGTCACCTTTCGACCCTCGACTTGACACCACCGCACGCTATGTCTTCCGCTGAAGGGCTCGCACGAAAGCAGGAGGCTGACTTGACGCCCCAGTGTGACGAGGTGCGCCGCTCGCTCGCTTCGAAGAGGCGTCGTCAGCTCACCCACATCCTCATCGCTTCGCGCACCGCAACAGGTCATCCCCGCCGCAGAGCAGCTTGCAAAGGCGCGCAAGGGCTTCCGTTTTGGGCTAAAGGAGTTACGAGCTGACCGATGTCCGTTCGTTCCGCTCGCGCAGGAGGGCAAGTTGCAGGAGGCCCTCGACAAGCTGTTGGCGCTGGAGAAGCAGGCCCGAAACGTGAGTGCCCGCTGGATAGTCTGCTTGTGGAGACGACTGCTGACTGAGCGGCCGTCTGGCGGGATCGCTGGACAGGCCTCGGACCTTGCCTCGACCTCTCGCCTCCTCATCGCCGTCATCGACATCCTGTTCTCCCATTCCGACTACGCCCAGCTGAACACCTACCTCCACACTCTCTCGCGCAAGCATGGTCAACTACGACAAGCGGTGCAGAAGATGGTGGACAAGGCGATGGAATTTGTCGACAAGCTGGAGGGTGAGGACAAGCTGAAGCTGATTGAGACGCTGAGGGAGATCACGGAGGGTAAAGTACGTCCATCTGGCTCGGACTCTCTGCAGTGTGGCAGCTGCACAGGCACGAGCAGCGTGCACTCTCGAGCAGACGACTTACTATGATTGCCCCGCAGATCTACCTCGAAGTTCCTCGCGCCCGCGTCACCAAAACTCTCGCACACATCAAAGAGTCCGCAGGCGACGTCAACGCCGCGTCCGAGCTGATGCAGGAGCTGCAGATCGAGACGTTCGGGTCGATGGAGCGACGGGAAAAGGTCGAGTTCATCCTCGAGCAGATGAGGCTGTTGAAGGAGCAGGAGGATTGGGAGAAGATGGCGATTGTGGCGAAGAAGATCAACTTGAAGTGGTTGGCGGAGAAGGACCACCAGGTGCGTGCAGAGACAAGCGTCTCTAGTTCGGCTCCTCTCCCGTGCGAGCAAGTCGTGCTCATTCAGCTTCTATCCTTCGTCCACAGGACCTCAAACTGCGATACTTCTCCCTCATGATCCTGTACTCTCTCTGGGTCGACAAATACCTCGACGTCGCGAAACACTACCGCTCTGTCGCCGACACGCCCTCGATCTCCGAAAACCCGGTGCTCGCTCAGGCTTGCCTGCGCAATATCGTCTACTTCCTCATCCTCGCGCCCTACGACAACGAGCAGAACGACTTCCTGCAGCGGGTGTGGAAGGATGACAAGCTGAAGGAGTCGAAGGACCTCTAGTGAGTCGCGCCGCTCGACTGTCAGCCGAAGATGCTATCCAGTATCACGTACTGACTAGAAAGGGCCGATCGCCTCCGTAGCGACCTCGTCAAGTGCTTCATCGAGAAGCAGCTGCAACGGTGGCCGAACGTCGAGGCTTTGTATGGCGAGGCACTGCGGCAAACGAAGGTTTTCGGACAGAAGGGGACGAAGGGCGTCGAGCACGACATCGAGGAGGACGAGAAGCACGCGAAGGGCGACAAGCGGTGGAAGGTGCTGCAGGACCGGATTGTTGAGCATGTGCGTGTTCGTCCCTCTGCGCACTGCTGCGCTACAACACAGAGCAGTGTGGGCTGATTGTGAGTGATCTTGCCTACAGAACATTCGCGTCGTCGCCGGCTACTACACCCGGATTCCCCTCTCCCGCCTCGCTACCTTTGTCTCCCTCTCCGTCGCCGAAACCGAGCAATTCCTCGCCCGCCTCGTCACCTCGAAGACGGTCTACGCCAAGATCGACCGTCCTGCGGGCGTCGTCACGTTCGTCAAGCCGAAGACGGGCGACGAGGTGCTGAACGAGTGGAGCAGCGATGTGCACAAGCTGATGGGCCTCGTCGAGAAGACGTGCCACCTGATCGCGAAGGTGCGACGGTCTTTCATCTGATCTCACGTCCCCCTCTCATCGCTGACTGGTCTCGCCGACGCAGGAGCACGCCGTCCATGCCGCTCTGAAGGCTCAGCAGGCGCGAGCGTGAACTCTTCGTCCCGCTTGACTGCAATTGCAACGCTCGCTTGCCGTTTACGGACTCTGTCTGCGTATAGAGAGTCTGGCAAGCCGTTCGTCCTGCGAGAAGAATACTTTGCTGCTTGGCGACGTTCTCCGAAGTTGGCACCGCGTGCTCGTCGCTCTTCCTCCTTCTCTTCGCTTGCCAGGCTTGCCGCTGCCAGTACTGCTTGCGACCGCACTCAGCAACACACTACGCACCCCCAAAGACTCGCAACGATGGAGTACCCGCTCGCCCATTCTCATCTCCTCCTTAAGCGTCTCCTCGCCCTCAACAAGCCCAAGTCGCTTGCGCCAGCGTTTCACTATGTGTACATGCTCGGGGAGGTCTCTCAGGTGTGCACCGGTACTACAACAGTCTGGCTAAAGCGTTTGCTGACCTATACTCGACTTCCCGCTTCTCTGCACCTCCCAAACGACCCTCCCGTCGGCGTCTCTTACACTGCCTGACAGTGCCGCCACGACACCGGTGCGTGATGACTGCTTGCAACCTGGCGCATCCCTCGCTGACCTCAGATTGCCCGATTAACAGACCGCGAACTTCCCTTCCGCCAGGAAGCCAACTTTGCGTGGCTTTCGGGCTGCGATGTGCCCGGCAGCGCTTTGACGATCGCGTACGAGCACGAGGGCGGCGAGGAGGTTGACCCGAGCAAGGTCCAGACCCGCCTCTGGCTTCCCGACATTGACGACGCCGAGGTGATGTGGTGTGGACTCCCTCCTTCGCCTGAGGACCTCGCGAAGGACATCAAGCTTACGTCCATCCAGCGCGGATGGACCGCTCCTGCGCTCTACCCTCCCAAGCCGGCCAACACGGCCCCGCCGACTATCCTTCACACCCTCCCGAACGTCCGCCCGCCCACCTCCGTGATCGCCTCGATCAACGGTCCCTCGCACACCACCGACTACCTCTTGAAGGCGCTGCACGAGGCGAGGCGGAACAAGTCCCCGCGGGAGATCGAGTTGATGAAGAGGGCGAGCGAGGTCACGGCTGGCGCGCACCGGGAGTTGATGCGCTTGGTCGGGTCCGGCGCGATCAAGGACGAGAACGCTGCCGAGGCAGAGTTCGTCGCGTATTGCAGGAGGAATGGCGCAAAGTACCAGGCGTACATGCCCATCGTTGCGGCGGGAACTTCGGCCGGCACGCTCCACTACGTCGACAACGACCGCCCCTTCCCCTCTCAGCCTCCTACCCTCCTCCTCGTCGACGCCGGCGCAGAGTGGCGCAACTACGCTGCAGACGTCACCCGCTGCATTCCCATCGGTAACGGCGGCAGGTTCACGAGGGAGTGCCGCGATATCTACGAGACGGTCCTGGCGATGCAGGAGGAGGCTTTCAAGCTCATCAAGCCTGGAACGGACTGGGAGGCGATCCAGCGATTGATGTGCGTCCAGTCTTGCAATCCCTCCGCCACCGCTAACTCTCGTCTCGCAGGCACGACGTCCTCGCTCGTCGCCTTCTCCGCATCGGCATCTTCAAGGCCGGCCCGCTCGGTAACGCTTCCGAAGACGAGGTTGTCGCGAAGCTCATCTCCGAAGGCCTCACCTCCGCCTTCTACCCTCACGGTGTCGGGCACCTCCTCGGTATCGACGTCCACGACGTCGGCGGTCTCCCGCAAGGCAAGTCAACGGAGCCGCTCCTCAAGTACCTCCGCCTGCGTGTGCCGCTCGAAGAGGGCTTTGTCGTCACGGTCGAGCCGGGCTGCTACTTCAACGATCACCTCTTTGCGCCGTTCAAGAACAGCGAGTTTGTCGACCACGCCAAGCTGCAGCAGTACCGCTACGTTGGCGGCGTCCGCATCGAGGACAAGTACGTGCCCTCTCGACGACTGCTCAAACGCTTGCTGACCAAGGTGTCGCCCAAACAGCCTTCTCGTCACCAAGACTGGCTTCGAGAACCTCACTCCTTCATGGCTTCCCAAGACTGTGGCCGACATCGAGAGCGTCACGACCGGACAGTCTGCCTAATGGTCGCATGCTCGCAATGACAGAAACGGATCAAGCAAAGTCGCGTGGAGAGACTCCTTGACTTGGTTGCGATTGCGAAGGTACAGACGAAAGACGGTAAGGAAGGGAGGAACGGAACAGAGTCGCCCGCATCTAGTCTACGCATGCAAGCTTAAGCAGATCCGCCCTCACCACCGCCGCCGCCGCCCGAAGTCGGAGTCGCAGCGGGCGCCGGACTCTTGCCCTCCGCTCCTCCCTCCGCACCGCTCATACTGCCGCTTTTGCCCCTCCCGCCGCGGCCACGCCACTCGCCGTTCGACCTGCCGCGCCCACCACGACCGCCGCGCCCGCGTCCACGTCCACGCCCGCCCTCGCCGGGAGTCGAGGGAGCACCCTCCGCGCCCGACGACTCGGTCGCCGCAGCCTCGTCCGCCGAAGCGACTGCGCCAGCTGCGTCAGCCTTGTCCGCCTTGCCCGAAGCAGGAATCTCCGCGTTGGTTGCAGGAGCGGGAGTAGTCGACTGCTGCTGCTGCTGTTGCTGGTGAGGCGCACCGCCGTTGCGAGGGCCTCGTCCCGACGGCTGGCGCTGCTGCTGCTGCTGCTGCTGCTGGGCAGGCTGAGCCGGAGTCTGCGCGGCATTCGGGACAGCAGGCTTCGCCTCGTCCTGCTTAGCCTGCGCCGATCCCGCCTTTGCATCGTCCTTGACCGGTCCAGGCGAAGGAGCGACGACCGAGCCCGCGACAGGCGTCGCACCGGCGTGTCCCCATCCGCCGGGAACGGTAAAGCCTCCACCGCCACGTCCACCTCCGCGAGGACCCGAAGGACCACGCTGGTGAGGGTGGTTACCGAGCGGGGTAGGGCGGCCGATGGGTCCGTTCGCGCCGGGTCCGAAGGGGCGCTGCTGGGAGAAGGCGGCGGGAGCGGTAGGGACGGGAGCTGCTGCAGGAGTCGCGTTGGCAGCGGCGACAGGAGCGTGAGGGAGGTTGGGGCGGGTGTTGCTGGAAGGAGCGGCGTTGGCGGGGACGGGAGAGGCGGCAGCGGCGGGGCGAGGCGTGTTCTGGCGGTAGGCGAAGTTGAAGCCTGAGAGCAGCAGAGGCGGTAAGTTACTGTTGAGAGCGAAGGAAGTATGCGACGTACCCTGGCTCTTCATCTCGCTACCGATCCGTCCCTCGCGAACATCGAGGACAAGGCTGCCATAAGCCGCGTCAGGCAAGTTCCTGCAGGCGAAAGCGTGAGCTTGAGATCATCTGACAGACATGTGCGCCGAACGCACCAGTGCCAGCAGTTCTTCCACGCCGTTTCCTCGATCGCAGCGCCGCCCGAGCCGGGAGGGTTGCTCGTCGGGATCCGGTTGGCGACTGCGAGGGCGTTCTGGAGAAGGCTTCGCTGGTTGTCACTGCGCGAGAACGTGATTCATCAGTCCTGCTCTGTCGAGAGGAACACAGGGCAGGACGTACTCGACGACGCTCTCAACCTGACCCTTGACGTTGTCCCAAATCTCCCTGAAGCTCTTTTGCGACGACTCGAGCTTGCTACGAAACGCGTCCGGGTCGTGCTGAACCGAGAATTCGTTGTACGAGACGCCGTAGCGGAAGTGCAGGCCGGCGGAGATGGTGAGGTCGGCTTTCAGGACGAGTGCGAGTTGCGAGATGAGGCCTTCTCGGCCGGGCGAGGCGTGCGTGATGAGGATGCGAGTCTCGGAGGGGTCGTAGACCTGTAGAACAGTTGCACGGTCAGTCTCGCAGAGGAGCAATACATTCGAGGAGGGACTCGCCTTCTGAGCGGTGTCAACGAGCTCGCCAATTTGGAGAACTGTCGTCCACATCGTACCCTGGCCGCCAGCAATAGTTGCCGTGCCGGTACCGTTGTCGAACAGCTTGTGCGGGACGACCGCACCGCCGAGACCGAACAAGCGCAGGCGAACACCGCCGATCAGAAGGACGCGGGTGGTCGCCTCGTCGAGAACGGTGAGGTTGGGGATGGAGTAAGAAGGAGGAGTCATGGGAAGGGTACCGAAAGAGGGGCGGGTTGCGGTGGAAGGAGGAGCGGGAGCGAGAGTCGAGGGGTCGGAAGGGATGGATTGGGCGGACGGAGGGGCGAGGCGGATCTTTTCGAGAATGGCGACGTCCTCACATGCACCCCAGACGGTGTAAACGGGGACGTTGAGCTTGAGTTCGCCCGAGAGGAGCTTGGGGAACTCGCTCAGGCCGAATGCAGGCGATTCGGAGGGAGAAGCGTTCGGGAAGGCGGTTTTGGGAGGGTTGGCGAGGAGCTCGCGCATTTGAGAAGGGGAGGTGCTGGGCGAGAGAAGTTGCGAACGGAAGGCGGGCGAAATGAGCGACGAGTACTGGACGAGGTGCTTCAGTGTTCGGTCGGAGATGGAGGCGAGAGACGACGGTTCTGTGCGGAACCGACGGCGTCAGCGGCATTGACGACCTAGTCTCCACGTCCCCGGCTCACCGTAGAAGCCAAAGTCTCCGCTGTGGATGATGGCGACAGCCGAGTGCTCCGCTGCGAGCGTGTTGAGGGTCGAGATGGCGCCTGCGCGGAGTTAATGGCGGGTCAGTCGGCTGTGCGAGTTCGTTCAGTGTTTGGCTACCGCTCAACAGAGCCCTCTAACCCTTCGCAACACGCTGTCGAGACGAACGGACCTCCCCACCACGAAGGGGTTCCGACGAGACGAGGCTTCGTACGAGCGCTGTGGTGCTTCGAACGCCGCGCCACGCTGCGCCTGACCATCGACTGCGTCGGTCCAGCAAGCGCGCGCAGCCCCATCTGCCAGCCAGCCGCCCCTCACGACCCCTTCACGAGATCGAGTGCCCAACCCCTCCTCGCCGGCCACAACTCGGAGCAAAGGCCTGCAAGCTGACCTCGTACGTCTGCGACACAGAGGATCCTGCCAGCCTCCGTGTTGATCACGTCGACGCGGCTGGTCATCGAGTCGACCTGGACCTGCTTCGACGGCGCTGCGGCCGCTGGCTGAGCGGGTTGCTGGACTGCATCGGCGGACTGCATGGTTGTAGATGGACCAAGAAAGGGTATCAGAGCCACAGAACGGGCTGAGCAGCGGTCGACGTCGGAGCCAGGTCTCGTCGTGGTCGCTCTCGCTCGAACCGCTCACACGCTGCTGCTCAAGTTGCTCGGGAGTGGTGCACTGACGCATGCTGAGGCCCTGATAACCTGCTGGACTGCGGGAGACGGACCAGAACCGACGCCAACGCCGCGACGACCGATCTTCTCCTCTCCGCCAACTCCTCCGTACAGGTCTCTTGGAGAACGCTGCCACGGTTGCGGATTTGGGCATGGGACGACGTTATCAGGGACACGCGGACAGCGCCTGCTCGGACAAGTTGCGCAATACGAGCGCTCGCACGCTCACGGACCGGTGCCCGACATTGCTTCTCTGCTGACCAAGTCCGTTGCTGGGCTGTCCGGCGCTGCTTCGCTGACTGATTGCTTACGAGGGTACGACCGACATACGGCCGATAAGGCGTCCGCACTCCCGAACCCAGTCGCAGACGCTGCTCTCTTCTTCACCACCTCACGCCTCCTCTCACACGATGTCTTCGCCTACTCCCAACGTCTACGTCATTTCTGGCGCCTCTCGCGGCATCGGTTTCGCCATCACCTCCATCCTTGCTCAACGCGACAACGTCCTCATCTTTGCCGGCGCACGCGACCTGAAGTCGACGCAGCTGAACGAGCTCGCCCTGAAGTCTGGCGGCAAGGTCGTCCCGGTCAAGCTCGAGTCGACGAGTGTCGAGGATGCCGCTGCGCTTGCAAAGGTTGTCGAGGAGAAGGCTGGAAAGGTCGACTACGTCTTGGCGGTGGCCGGTTCGTCCTTGCCATCCTCCTGAACCTTTCACGTGTACTAACGCTCGTGAACTCCCTTGACCAGGCATCTCCCAGTCGACCGACCCGATCGCCCAGGTTCCGCTCGACGACGTCAGGCGTCACTTCGAAGTCAACACCATCGGCCCTCTCGTCCTGTTCCAATCCCTCCTCGCCCTCCTCACCAAGTCCAGCGCGCCGCACTTTATCGTCGTCTCCACCATCGCCGGCTCGATCGCCTCCATGCCCCAATTCCTGTTCCCCGTGAGCTCGTACGCGATCTCCAAGACCGCCGTCAACTCGGCCGTGGTGCGCATCGCGGTCGAGCACCCCGATCTGGACGCATTCGTCTGCCACCCGGGCGTGGTCAGTAGCGACATGATCAAGGAGTATGTGGCGAAGACGGGCACAGCGCTCTCGGACTTTGAGTCGATGGGTATGATCACCCCGGAAGAATCGGCTGCGAGTCTCGTCAAGCTCTTCGACGGGGCCAAGAAGGAGACGCACTCGGGCAAGTTCTTCAACGTGGACGGGACGTTCTTGCCATGGTAGACGAGCTCGTATCGATAGAGATTTCCGTTGCAGTGAAGAATCAGTCGTCTGTGCACCCTCTCCGTTGCGGAAAGGCCTGCTCAACATAGCTTCGGCTTGCACACTCAGTCAATCTGATACGGTGCCGCTACCTCCGAATCGCGCAACCGCTCCTTCCTCCTCAGCCAGCGCAAAATCTTGGCCTTGCTCGCCGCGACATCCGCATCCCCCTCCTCGCGCTGTTCCCTCATCCGCCTCTCCTCCTTACACACCTCGCACATACACACCCAACTCGAAAGCCGATGCAACTCCTCCCTCTCCTCTTCGTAGCTCTGCTCGCCCTCCTGGCGCCGCTCAAACGGTTCAAGCACCTTGAACCGCTCGAGCGCGATGGCTTTCATCTCGGCGTCCAGACCGAGGTGTGCGGCAGCGCAGAGCGCGCAGAATCGGTAGTCGCGCCCGTAGGGACCGCTTCCGCCCATCACGAGCGTCGGGAGGACTGGCGGACCGTTGTCCGTCGGGGCGGGTCGACGAGCGATAGTTGCTGAGGCGAGGCTAGAGAGGGAGGTGGAGGAAGAAGCGCGGCGGTGAGCGAGAGGGCGAGGGTGGGAAGGAGGTGCAGAGGCGTCGAGGCGTGCGAGAAGGGTGAGAAGCAGGCGTTGCTCGAGAGTTGCGGGTCGTTCGGCGGCCGATGAATCGTCGCTGAAATCGTTGACATCAGAACTGGAGGGAAAGGGTGGGCTGGACGAGCGAGGTCGAGCGGACTGCGGCGGAAGGCGGGAGGGTAACGAGATGCCTGGGTCGAGGTGGTGCACGCGTTCCCAGAACGGCGGGACATGCAAGTCGGACTCGTAGGGTATGAAACGGGAGCAGGATATGCAGGTATAGGAGGCTTCGACCAGGTCGCGAAGGTGAGGGGGTATGTTGGCGAGCGCGCTGGGCGAGCCGGAATCGGTCGGACCGTCAAGATTAAGCGATTGTAGGAGCTGTGCTGAAAGGCCCGCGAGCGAAGTGGCGGAAGCAGGCGTAGATGAGGGAAGGAGGCGGTCCGGCCGCAAGTCGGAGATCGTGCACCGCAGGTCAATGAGTACGTCCCGGACATTCGCGCGAGTACCGGCGCGCTTCGTCGTCCTGCGATGCCGGCCACTGGTACTGGTCGAGAGGGGCTTGAGAGCCTTGCGAGAGCTGACGAGGCGGTTGGCGTGTGTGCGGAGGCGACGGAGGGAGGAGAAGAGGGTGACCCAAGGCGGAAGATGCGGGAAGGCGTTGTGCGAGAGTGAGAGGGTTTCGAGGTTCGGAAAGAGCGTTGTAAGGAAGAACGGGAAGACTGGACAAGCGGATGCAAGTCAGCGACGGATCAGGGCGGGGGCAAAGCGGGAGGGACTCGCTCGTAAGCCGATTCTTCGAAAGGTCGAGGCTTTTGACGTTGTCGAGCGCTCTCCTAGCCTTCGCTTGCCCTTCCTTCGCCGTCGCAACCGTAAACGAGAAGTACCAAGCGGCGACTTCCTCGATGCGGCGCAGAGACGGCCATGAGGACAAGGTGGAGTCATCGAGCGCGAGGTCGGAGAGCGAGATGCGGGGAAGAGACGACGGGAGGAGGAACGACTCGAGGGAAGTGAGTAGAGCTGCATCGAGGGCGGTGTGCGGGTCTTGCGAGAGGAAGTCGGGAGGCGGGTTCTGTTCGATCGACGTCAGCCGGCGTCTACGTCTCGAGCTAGGTCAATTGCGCACCTTGGCGACATTATCTTCGGCGAAAGCAGCCCAATCCGCCGACTCGACTTCCTTCCCCTTTCCCTTTCCTGTCGTCCCGTCATCCTTCGCGCCTACAATCCATCTTTGCCTGAGCGCCACGAGCGCCTTCGCATCTTCCCTTGCCAGCTTCGTCCGTCTGAACTCGCGGCTCTTGTCTTCGCTGAGGATCGCAGCCCGCACATCTTTCGCGAGTCGTGCAAGCACGGGGACGAAGATACCGAGCTGGTTCTCGCTCGTCGCGGCGAGAGTCGAGGGCCGTGTAAGGGATGGGAAAGGCGGCAGTGTCGACGAGAGCGATTTGAGTGCGCCGGCGAGCGATTCGTACGACTGCGAGGAAAGCGACTGTCGAGCGCGAAGAACGGCAAGCGAGAGACGCAAGTTCGACCTGGCAACGGGCGAATTCGTTCGGGTCGGACCGTTTGTGCCTCCTCGTCCACTGCCGCCGGTCGCAACCGCTCGCCCGCCAATACTCAGGTCAAGTCTCCTCATCCACACAGACTCGTCACCGCTGATCCCGCTGGAGCTCCAGTGAGACTCTGTTTCGAAGTCGTCCTCCAGGTCTTCGTCACTACTGAGCTCGTCTTCTTCTGTCGAGCTGTCCAGACTCGCTTCGGACGTCGAGGTGGACTGCCATGATGAGGAGGAGGAAGACGGGTGCTTGAAGAGCGGTGGAACCCCGCGCGGCTGTATCGGCGCAGGCGGGCGCAGCGCACGTCCAGGAGCATTCATGCGCTCGCAACGCAGCAAAAGCGGCGAGTGTGCAGCGTCGATGTGAGCCGTTCGAGGGAAGAGAGGGTCGTCCTCGTCCAGGTCACCTCACGCTCGTTCCGCTGCTGCTAGAAGGGTGCTAGCCTGTGCAGACGCGCCGACAGAGCTCCAACAAGTTCCTCCAGCACCGCACCCGCCCTCGTTCGCTCTCAGTTCACCTCCTCGCGACTTCCTCTCATCGCTCGACGGAAGGTCGCAAACACCGGCACACCAGCACGCGGTGAGTTGCGAAGTTCACTGTGGTTGTAAATACGCTCAACTACAGCGCACTGACCAGCGCGACCGTCTCGCAGCTCTTCCCGCCTCACCACCACCCCTAGCTCAGCATGTCGATGGTAGCCGACGCCGGCCGCTTTCTCCAGCGGAACCTCGCGCATTTGCGGCCGCCTCCCCTCGCCGGCAAGAAGCACAACAAGATCCCGACCTACTTCCGACCGAAGCCCAAGTTCGTCCAGCTCAAGGACCGCATCCCGTTCTGGTACATCGCCCCGGGAGACAAGGTTCAGGTCATCAAGGGTGACAGGGAGCTGAAGAATGTCACGGGCGTCGTTGACAAGGTGGACCGACTGACGAACCGAGTCATGTTGAAGGGAACCGAGTTCGCAGTGGGTTTGCACTCCGTTTCAGCCAGCTGCTCCTGGCCACTCACGCCACTGAAGGTGCTAAACTACGCTCGACGACTCGCAGCGCAAGAAGCGGCAACCGACCGAGTACAAGGGGCAAGCCCTCGACCCGAACTACAACCCTCCCGAAGGCGGCATCTACTACATCCCCCGCTCTTTCCACGTCTCCAACCTCCGCCTCGTCTACACGCACAAGAACGAGGAGTACCTGGCGACGCGGATCAGGCAGACAAAGGTGACGTGGAACAGGAGGCTCCGGCGCTTCTCGTGGAGGCGGTACGTGTTGGTGCCTGCGCTGGCTACGAACCACGGCGCGGCGCAGTGGAGGCGGCTTGTCTGGCCCGTGGAGGACAAGCCCAAATATGGCGGCAGTACGTCCCGCACTCTCGCACATTTGGTCGGCGGCTCACGTTACTCATATTCGCTCGCTCACCTCGCAGACAAGAACCCGGCGGTTGTTTGCGAGCAGAAGGAGGCGATGCGCAACAACTTCATGCCCGACCTCTCGAAGCTCTCGCTCGTACCGCGCCCCGAAGAGATCTCTCGCGACCCGTCCAAGTACCCCAAGCTGCCGACGGACGCCCCGCCCGAAGTCAAGGTCGGCATCCTCGACGTTGGCGGCGCGTACTGGTCGAGGGCGAACCGGATGAAGCGGTTCAGGCTTAGGAAGGAAGAGGAGAAGAAGTATGGCAAGGAGAAGATGAAGGAGGCGATTGCGGAGCGCGCGGAGAAGAAGAAGCAGCTCCTCAAGCGGCTGCTCGCCTAGAGCTACGTCGTTTCTTTTCATTCGCTGCAATTTGCATACCCCCGTCGCATTCACACCGCCGTGGCTGGCGAGTCTCGCTCGAGGCCGCTTCTCGCTCTTGCTCTCGCCGCTTCCTGGCTGTCTACGTGAGAGACTGACCTTCCAGATATGTCGCCTTCTCGTAGCAAGCAACAGAAAGCGCCTACAGGATGTTGTCACTCCGTCTCCCCGTGAGCTTCGCGCTTCACCTCTCACAACACCCGCTTGCGCTCGTCTACGCCCCTTGCTAGCCCGCTCCTATTGCTTAACCGCTCAAGCACCTCCAAGTAGCTCAGCAAGCGCCCTCGGCGGACCCTACGAGCGGAAGGCGCGGACAAGTCGAGGTGGATCCTCTCGAGCAGCGATGAAGGTGCTCGTCGCGGACTCGGCGCCGAAGCGCATGTGCGTACCCTCCCTCCCTTCCATTGCTAGCTACTAGGCGTCCAGGTGCTCTCGAGACGGCTCTGGGGTGTGTTGTCGGAGTTGTCAGGAAAGTGCTCGAGGAGGCGATGAAGTCGACAGCGCAAGGCGGGCTCGCGGCTGGCCAGGAAGGGATACCTGGATCGTAACATAGCGCGAAGAACGACTGAGTGGCCCCGCGCGGTCTTCGAGCGAGACGCTGACTCCACCCTCTCCCCCTCCTCGCCTCACAGCAAGCACATCCAGTTCTCGGTCCTCTCGTCGCGCGAAGCGGTCGCCATCGCCGAGTTCGAGGCGAATCAGCGTGACCTGTACACTCCCGGCGACCGTCGTCCCGTCGAGCATGGTGTCCTCGACAAGCGACTCGGCACGAGCGACAAGACTGGGAAGTGCGATACCTGCGGGCTGGGACTGGCAGATTGCGTCGGTCACTATGCCTACATCAAGCTCGTCCTGCCGGTCTTCCACATCGGCTACTTCAAGCACATCCTGAGCATCTTGCAGTGCATTTGCAAGGTGTGCTTGCTTCCGGTCCCCCACTCGTGCTCGCCTGCAGAATGAGCTGACTGTCGTTACTCGCGTGCAGACCTGCTCCCGCATCCTCCTCGACTCGTCCCAGCACCGGAAATACCTCGCCCTCTTCCGCCGACCCAACCTCGACTCCCTCACCATCGCAGCCTACTCGAAACAGCTTGCCGCGCTCTGCCGAAAATGCACGACGTGCCCGCATTGCGGTGCCATCAACGGAGTGGTGAAGAAGATTGGCACGATGCGGATTGGGCACGAGAAATGGCGCGGGCGGAACTTGAAGAAGGATGCGGGAGGAAGGGACGGCGCGGAGGGCAAGGGCAACTACACGGCGTGGAGGGAGAGCTTCGCAGAGGCGGTCAAGGAGGACAAGATGCTCGAGCCGCACATCGACAAGGCCATCGACGACCTCAACCCGCTCAAGGTCCTCACCCTCTTCCGCAAGATCACCAGCTCCGACTGCGAACTGCTCGGTCTCGACCCAACCGCTGGACGACCAGAAGAGTTCCTCTGGCAGTACATCTCGGTTCCGCCCGTGTGCATCCGGCCGAGCGTTGCGCAAGAGGCGGCGACGTGAGTCGGAATCCCAGCCTACCTCCTGCCGGCTTCGCTGACTCTTGTTCGGGTCGCAGGAACGAGGACGACTTGACGGTCAAGCTGACGGAGATCGTTTTCATGAACGCGGTCATCAAGACGGGTCTCGCGAAGGGCGTGACGACGCAGAATCTCATGGTGCGTGCCGCTATAAGTCGCCTCTATGTTTCGAAGCTAACGCGTTGCTCGCCGCCGCAGGAACAATGGGACTTCTTGCAGCTCGCCGTCGCGACCTACATCAACTCGGAAATGCCTGGCATCCCGACCGCGATGGTGCGTTTCTTCGTACAATCACGCAGCGCTCCGAGCTGATAAAAGTCCGTCCTGCAGGGCCAAAAACCGATGCGAGGTCTCTGCCAGCGCCTCAAGGGCAAGCAGGGTCGTTTCCGCGGCAACTTGTCCGGCAAGCGTGTCGATTTCTCCGGGCGAACCGTCATCTCGCCCGATCCGAACCTCATGATCGACCAGGTCGCTGTTCCCGAGCGAGTCGCCAAGATCCTCACCTACCCCGAGCGAGTCACGGCGCACAACATCGAGCGGCTACGGCAAGCGGTCAGGAACGGCACGGACGTCCACCCGGGTGCCAACTTCATCAATCAGGGCGGCGGCGACGGGTCGAAGAAGTTCCTCAAGTACGGCGACCGCGAGTTCATGGCGGACAAGCTGCGCGTTGGAGACGTCGTCGAGCGGCATTTGCGAGACGACGAGTGCGTTCCGCTCGACTCGCTGTAGCTGACCAGCGCTGACTCGTCCTCGCCCCGACAGCATCGTCCTCTTCAACCGACAACCTTCCCTCCATCGTCTTTCTATCCTCTCCCATCGCGTCAAGGTCCGGCCGTGGCGAACCTTCCGTCTCAACGAGTGTGTCTGCACGCCCTACAACGCCGACTTTGACGGCGACGAGATGAACCTGCGTACGCCGGAAGTCCCGCTTGCCGCCTCACAGCCCGTTCACTGACTCTTCCGCTTCGCAGACGTCCCGCAAACGGAGGAGGCGCGAACCGAGGCGTTCCAACTGATGAACATCAAGCGCAACCTCGTGACGCCTCGCAACGGTGAACCGATCATCGCCGCGACGCAAGACTTCATCACCGGCTGCTACCTCATTACTCGCCGCGATACCTTCTTCAACCGCCAGGAGTTCGTCCAGATGTGCTCGTACCTTCAGGACGCCGAGCTCGAGATTGAGCTGCCGCCCCCTACCATCCTCAAGCCCGAGCGACTATGGACCGGCAAGCAGGTTTTCAACGTCCTCATGCGGCCGAACAAGGATTCGCCGGTCAACGTCAACCTCGAGTGCAAGAACAAGACGTTCGCCAAGCCGTCGACGGAGTTCGACATGTCCTACCCGAACTTCATGTCGGTCAATGACGGGTACCTCGTCGTCCAGAACTCGGAGATCATCTCCGGCGTGTTCGACAAGAGCACGGTCGGCGACGGCAACAAGAAGAGCGTCTTCGCCGTCATCCAGCGCGACTTCGGCGAGGACCACGCCGCGAAGTGCATGAACCGCATGGCCAAGCTGTGCGCCCGCTGGCTTGGTGCGTGACCGCTCTCGGATCTATCGCTAGCTTAGCTGACGAGTATCGCCTTCTCACAGCGAACAAGGGCTTCTCAATTGGCATCAGCGACGTCACGCCTGGCGAGCGGCTCAAGGCGGAGAAGGACGATCTCGTGCGGAAAGCGTACAGACAGGCCGACGAGTACATCGAGAAGGCGGCTCGCGGCAAGCTCGAGTGCCAGCCTGGTTCCAACTTGGAGCAAACGCTCGAGTCGCTCATCTCCGGCGACCTGTCGCGCGTTCGTGACCAGGTCGGAGAGATCTGTATGACGGAGCTCAGCCGAAACAACGCTCCGCTCATCATGGCCACCTGCGGTTCGAAAGGTGCGTTTCGCTCTCTGACACTAGTTCGGCAGACACTGACGGGAATACACGATGCAGGTTCCAAGATCAACGTCTCGCAGATGGTCGCCTGTGTCGGTCAGCAGATTATCGCAGGTCATCGTGTCCCGAACGGCTTCCAGGACCGCTCGCTGCCGCACTTCCCTAAGGGTGCCATCGACCCGCTCGCCAAGGGTTTCGTCTCGAACTCGTTCTACTCGGGTCTTCGCGCGACCGAGTTCCTCTTCCACGCCATCTCCGGTCGCGAAGGACTCGTCGACACCGCCGTCAAGACCGCCGAGACGGGTTACATGGCTCGTCGTCTCATGAAGGCGCTCGAGGATTTGTCGAGTCGATACGACCGGTCCGTCCGCAACGCGACTGGCGGCGTCGTCCAGTTCATCTACGGAGACGACGGCCTCGACCCGGCCAACCTCGAAGGAGACGGCAAACCCGTCGTGTTCGAGCGGACCTGGGCGCACGCAAGGGTCAGTTCAGCTCCCTCGCCGCGGCCTGTCGACCTCCGAACTGACCGCTTCATCGTATAGGCCCTCCGTCACGACGTCAGCGAGGAAGGCTTGCTGCCGTACGAGATCAACCGATTGGTTGCCGAGAAGACCGCCACGCCATACTTCACCAACTCGTGCTCCGAGGAGTTCCTGCGCGAGCTGCGTGAGTTTGTCGACCAGCAGATTGCACAGCAGGCCGCCAAGTACCGCGAGGAGTATGGCATGCCCCCTGCTCTCGCGCCTCTCAAGCGCAGTCAGAACAAGTTCGGAAAGGCAGACGGTGAGCGACGACGCCCTGACTCACCCAGGAGCTTGCGCTGATTTCGTCCTTATTGCTCTTCCAGCTGCGATGCAGGCAATCGTCAACAACAAGACGAAGGTGACCGTGACGCAAATCGAGGAGTTCTTGCAACTCTGCTGGACCAAGTTCGTCAAGGCCAAGATCGAGCCTGGTGCGTCGCCCACTTTCGCACCGCCGATCGACTCGATCTGATCGTTCTCGCATTGCAGGTTCCGCCGTCGGTGCTATCGGCGCGCAGTCCATCGGTGAACCCGGTACCCAGATGACGCTCAAGACGTTCCATTTCGCCGGTGTCGCCTCAATGAACGTCACGCTCGGTGTGCCGCGTATCAAGGAGATCATCAACGCCGCCAAGACGATCTCGACGCCCATCATCTCGGCCAAGCTCTTCCAGGACAAGCTCGAGCAGGCCGCCCGAATCGTCAAGGGTCGCGTCGAGAAGACGTATCTCGGCGACGTGAGTGGTCGTACGCCGTTTTCTGATGCTCGTCTGCTCACCGAGTCGCTTCCCGCAGATCGCCTCTGTCATCGCCGGCGTGTACAGCCAGGGCCAGATGTACGTCTCGGTGCACATCGACATGCGCGCCATCAGGGCTCTTCAGGTGCGTCGTCCTTCCCCTCTCGATAGTCAGCGGTTGCTGACGACCTGCTCCTGCGTAGCTCGAGGTCACGCTCGACAGCATCGCCGCCTCTATCTCGAGCGCACCTCGCCTCAAGATCAAGTCGGCCGTGAGTCTCCCTCTTCCTCCCTCCTCGCTCGCAACGATTGACCCAAGTTCTGCCTCCAGGACATCACCGTCAAGCGGCACACGGACGAGATCCACATTGTCGCCCACCACAATGGCGAGGACAAGATGCCCGCTTATCGCCGCCTCATGTGGCTTCGCCGCGTCCTTCCGAGCATCTCGGTCAAGGTGAACTCGCTGTTGCTCACAGGAAGCATCCGCTTGGGAGCTGACCACTGTCTGCCGCTTCATAGGGTGTCCCCGGCTTGCAACGCGCCGTCATCCAGCAGAATGAGAAGGGCATCAAGGAGCTTCTCGTTGAAGGCGAGGGCTTGCGCGAGGTCATGGTCACGGACGGTACGCAGGCTCTTCTGGTCGCCTCGCCGCTGTCGCTGACGTTCCTCCTCGCCGCAGGTGTCATCGGTACGCAAACCAAGTCGAACCACGTCATGGAGGTCGAGAAGGTGCTCGGCATCGAAGCTGCGCGCAAGACCATCATCGACCAGATCCACTACACGATGGACTCGCACGGTCTCGGCGTCGACCCTCGCCACCTCATGCTCCTTGGAGACGTCATGTGCTTCAAGGTGCGTGAAGCGAGCCTGACGCTGGTTGCAGCTCACCCTGTGCGAACGAACTGACGCTTGTTGCGCTTCCGCAGGGCGAGGTACTCGGTATCACCCGCTTCGGTGTCTCCAAGATGAAGGACTCGGTTCTGATGCTCGCCTCGTTCGAGAAGACGACCGACCACCTCTTCGATGCTTCGTTCAACGCTCGCCGCGACCCGATTCAGGGCGTCTCCGAGTGCATCATCCTCGGCTCTCCCGCCAACAACGTCGGTACCGCAATGCCTGCCCTCGTCGCCGACAAGCCCAAGCTCCCGCCGCGCTACCAGACGCTCTTTGAACGCCCAGAGAAAGCGAAAAAGGGCAAGGCGCGGGCTTAGGCGCTCCGCATCGCTTGGTCTCCTGTAGTAGTAGTCGTCTCACCCTCGCATTCTCCTCGCAACGATGTTGTCCAGTCCGATCACAACAACTCTCTTTCCTCTCGCGGATCCGCGCGGGGAGGCATGCTCAAAGTCTGATGCGCTGGCAGAACGAGCGGGAGTGCATAGAGTGACGGCCTGCGTCGCAGGAAAGTGGACGTGTGGTTGCGTGTGGGAGGAGGAGGAGGAGGCTAGTACGGGCGCAGCCTGACGAGCTTGAAGTGATGCTTGCTGATGCTGTGTTGAGCGTGTACTTGTCGAATGGCCTGGTCCTGCGTTGGAAGGAGCAAGGTCAGCGGATTTCGAGTGGCTCGGACGACGCGATCCGGGGGCGTACGATCATTGTAACGAGATAGCGCTGCTGCTTCAACTGAGGCGAAAGAACCTTGTCAGCAAAACGGCGAAAAGGTTGGGAGAGGAGCGGGCTTACGATCCAGTGCGAGTCGAGGGAGGCATCGGTGGTCACGCGCATATAAAGGAAGCTGACGGCGTCGAACAACGCCTGAAGGTAAGACTGCCCGTCCGCGGCATCAGGGTGTCGCAGCGCCAGTGCCTTCGGAATCTCCCTGCTGGCGAGTTTTCTTTCGACGGCGTACACGAGCTGCGCGAGCGCGTCGGCAGTCGCCGTGCCAGCGTGTTGTTGAGCTCGGCGGGCGCAATCGTCCAGCATCGCGCGAATCGCCTTCGCCGGATTCTCGTGGCCGTTCTGGAGGATGTCGAGCGAATCGCCGTCCTGCTGTTGACGTTGTCGCTGCTGCTGGAGGCGCATGGCGTCGGTTAGGATTGGGTGTTTCCGATTCATCGTGACAATGTTGTGGAGTCAAGGGGATGGACGGCGATGGGCGAAGAGACAGTGAGCAAACAAGCGTTTGGCAGGTGTCCTCGCCAGATGAAAAGGTCGTCTCGCGGTCCGCGGACTATCCGATCTGCGTTCGTCACAGCCGCGAGACAGGTGGCGGCGAGGTGCGAGCGGTGTTCGGCGGACAGGAGGTGACGACGGCTTTGGCAGGGAACAGAAGGGGTGGCGAAGCGAGGCGGGGAGGCTTGGCGAACAGCGGCAGCGCGAGCTGAGGAGAAACCCAGCACCGAGCCAGCGCACACGATGGAAAGACGTGAGGACGAACCGGCACACGGCCCTTATTCCATCGACCGCCGGATCCGACCCAACATCTGCTCTATCCGTCCTCCCAGCTTCGCCTGACCCCGCGCGTTCCGCTGTCCACCCGCCCGCTTTTCCTGCCGCCGCTGTTCCCGCAACGCCTCGACCTGCTTCTCCGACAGCTTCGGCCGTTTCGGTTTGGGTGGAGCAGCTGGTGCGGCTTTGGCCGGTTTGGGAGGCGCAGGCTTCGGCTGACGTTGTCGAGGCCGAGAGGAAGAGGAAGAAGAGGCGAGAGAAGCGGCAAGGTGCTGCGGAGGAAGAGGTTGTCGAGAGCGTCGAGCGGATTCAGGTTCCGGTGAAGGGGATGGTGACCCGCCATCGTCGTCCGACTCGTCGTCGCTGCCTCGTCTCCGCTGCGATTGGAAGCGCGCCGACCTGCCCCGCCCCTCGTCCTCGCTGTCCCCATCCTCGTCGCTCCGCTCATTTGCGTCCGAAGCATCGTCGTCGCCGTACAGCCGTCGCCGCAAGCGCTCCCGTTCCGCCTCCTTCTCCGCCTCGTCCACGACCGGCTCGCCGTCGTCCTCGTCGTCCTGCCGTGCCTTCCCCTTGCCCTTGTCTCCCCTGGCTGCCGGCCGTTCAGGCTCGTACCCTGCCTCCTTAAGCGCCTTTGCGTAGGACTTCTTGACCTTAGCCTTGTGGATCAAAGTGCGCTTGATGCGTTGCGCTGCATGACGAGCCAGTCAGAGGTCAGCGGCGAGCAGTATCGCCTTTGAGAGATGAAGGCGAGCGAGACGAACCATGACCGGTGTACTGCCCCTTGCCGAGCTTCGGGCCGACCTGGAAGGGCTTCTTCTTGTCCTTCTGTGGCTTCTGAGCCTGCTGCTTGGCCATACTGAGCAGCAAGATCGGAAAGCAGCGAGTGTGCCGGAAAGAGTTGAGGGAAGCTCAGGCTTGCGCTCTTCCACCTCGCTCGCAACCGCTGGACGCTCTGCTTGACAGTTGCACGTGCTCGTACGATTTACAGCACCAGCTCCAGCACGCAGGGTCGCACCCGCTTGCTGCGGCAGCGTCCGTCGGTATCCTCCTCGACCTCCTGAACGGTCCTTGTCTTCGTTGTGCCGACGAGATCCGGGGACTCCGTGGAATGCCTGCGGGGCGTGAAGCAACACTCGCACGCCCTCGCCGTCGCCCTAGCCCAAGACGAGCGATGTAGGCCTCCTACCCCACCTTCACCTCCGTCCTCGCTTCGTCGCATCTACTTTGCTCGACAGCTTGCTATCTTTTACGACCGGCACCTCCACACTCGACCTCGGCATGGCAGCTCAGGCCGCCGAGTGCAACTGCCCGCAGCTCCAGAATCGGCGACCGCCGCTGTTTCCACGAGGCTCACTCGTCGCTCCGTGCGCATAAAGCGCGCATCGGCTGCTCTCTCTCCTTCTTTCACCTCGTTCTCCACCCTCGCCTTCTCCTTTCTCGTTCCCACCGCCCGTCCTCTCCTTTCCGTCGCTCGCTCTCCCAAGATGGTCGCCAAGACTGCCGTCTATCTCGCCGCGCTGGCCGCGGCTGCTCACTCTGTCACCGCCCACACCATCGTCACCAGTCTCTGGGTCAACGGCAAGGACACTGCTGACGCCGCCGTCGGTGTCGGTTCCTCGTACAGTGCGTCGCAGCTCTCGCTCGCTTGGCTCCCGACTTTCCCTCACGTTCTGGCTTCCGCAGTGCGCACCCCGTCGTCCAACTCGCCCGTCAAGGACCTCTCTTCGTCCAACATGGCCTGTAAGGACCCAATCTCGGCTTCGAACGGACTCGACCTGAGCTTACACTCCCAATCGTCTTGCCCTCGCAGGCAACGACCGTGGCACGACGCCCGTCAGCGGCTTCCTCAAGGTCGCTCCTGGCGACGTGATCGAGCCCGAGTGGTGGCACTCTGGCGCCCGCGGCGAAGACCCTATCGCAACGTCGCACGTCGGACCCATCGAGTCTTGGATCTCGCCTTACAACGCCAATACCAACGGCGACGTCTGGGTGCAGATCTCGTCCGAGGCGTACGACAAGGACTCGAGCCAGTGGGCAGTCGAGAAGATGATCGCGAACAAGGGGCGTAACAAGGTCGTCGTCCCGACGGACATCGCACCTGGGAAGTACATCGTCCAGTTCAACCTCTACGCCATGCACGAGGCGGAGAACGTCGGTGGCGGCCAATGGTACCCCAACTGCGCGCAGGTCGAGGTGACGGGCTCGGGATCGACCAAGCTTCCCGCCGGCGTCGCCATCCCCGGCTTCTACACTGCCTCGACGCCCGGCGTCGTCTGGAACATCTACTACTCGTCGACCTACGACACCAAGCTCGACTACATCGCGCCCGGCACCGGCGTTTGGGACAGCTCGTCGACCTACAGCACCGACGTTTGCCACGAGAAGGTTTACGGTCTTGCGCCTGCTGGCTACTGCCAAGGCGGCAACAACTCGACTGCACCTGTCAAGACTTCGGCGGCTGCGACGACCTCGAAGGCGCCCGCTACGACCAGCAAGGCTGGCTCGACTTCGGCTGTCGCTTCCTCCGCGACGACAACCACGGTTGCGCACACGACTTCGCAGGCCGCGCACACGACTCCTGCTTCCTCGTGCGTTCCTATCCGTCTCTTTCCCGCGCCCGCACTGACCCGCTCTTCCCGTCAGTCCCGCCGCCCCCTCGTCTGCCCCGGCTGGTTCGACCACCTCGTCCGCCCCCAACTCGCAGTACACCGACTATACCTCGTGCATGCGTGCCTACGTGCGTCTGTATCCCTTTCTATCGCAGCCTCACCCCCGCTGACTTGACCTTCGCTTCGCAGAACAAGTGCCTCGACGCGCACCAGCCCAAGAACGGCGGCGCAGCCGACTTCTCTGCCTGCCAGTCGATGAACTGCCAGTCGTACCAGCGCATGGCCAGGCGCTCGGCTCGTCACGCCGCGCGTCACTGAGCGAATTTCCTCTTCTCCCCTCTCCCTTTCTCTCGTTCTATCACTCGTCGACTTTCCTCCGCCAGCTGGACTGGCTAGGATCGACGTCTTCATCTCTTTCCTCTCGCGTGCAATCACAACGTAGCCTTTGACACGCAGCGTTCCATCTCGAGGCGTCTACGTCCCGCGAATATCGCTTCCAATCCCTCTCACGCTGGGCGAGTACGGCGGGGGCGCCAATCCTGCTCCCGGCGCTCCTGTTGGTACCGCATCACCCGTAGCGAACAACGAGCGCTGCTCTAACGTCAACCCTGGCGCTCGTCTCGACGTTCCTCCTGCTTCGGTTCCCTCTTCCGGTCTCGGCACCGAGTGTCCGTCGGGAAGAAAGCGAGAGTATCCTGGTGATGCAGGTTCGGGAGGAAGAGCGGGCGAGGGAGGAGCAGGCGCGAGGAACGGGGAGTCCGCGGGTTGTGAGGGAAAAGGGTGAGCGGCGGGAGGATAAGCGGGAGGGTAGGCGGGTGGGTAGGCGACTGGTGCAGCTACAGGAGCCGGTACAGAATGGGCTGAGTCGTACAAAGGGCGGAAGTTTGAGAGGGAGCGGTTCAGCAAGCCTCGAGAATGTCACAGGAAGAGGACGACGCACCTTTTCGCGCTCTCCGCACGCAGATCCATCGGAGAAGCAGCCCCCCGAGTATGACGAGCGCTGCGATGCCTACGAAGGCTGGCCAAATGCCTACGATGTGTTTGCCCGACGAGTCGTCGTCGTTGTCGCCTCGAACGAGGAGGACGGGCATGGCGACCGGCGGGCGAAGGGAGTCGCGAGAGACGCTAAGCAGACTTCGAGGCGTGCTCTGAACAGCTCTGCGCTGCGGTACGACTGGACAGTGACGAAGGAAAGCGAGGAGTCGAGATGAGAAAGAAGAAGAGGCCTGAGCGGGCTAGGGGTCGAAGCAAACGTCGCGCCGCGAGAGGGAATGAGCTTGCGTGTAGGGAAGGGTCAGAAGCGTGGCGCAAGCGCTGGAATTGGAGGAGCGGAAGCAAGGAGCGAAGGCGACCTTGCCCCTTGCTTGCCCTATGACCTTCCTGAGTTGCCGAGGAGACAACGAAGAGGGCGGAGGGAAGGCTGGAGGAGAAAGAACGACAAGCATGCACATAGCCTGTTCTACGCGTAAAGCGGCGACAGCAAACGAAGGAAGGGAAATGAGCGAACTCACTCCGCCTCGACACCACCGACGGAGACCTCCTCGACGTCCTCCTGCCTCTCGTCAAGCTCGTCGTCCGCCTCGGCGCCGCGCTCGTACGCCTGTTGCTCGATGAGCCTCCTGACGCGCTTCGGAATCCTGACCTGGTCGAGCGGCAGGATCTCCCTCTTCGTGCCGCTCCTCTTTCCCCCGTCGATCCTCAGCCGCTCAAGCTTGCGCCTCGCCTCACTCGCCTTGATCCTCTTGGCACGCTGTCCAGACGTCGGCTTGACCGCGCGCCCGATCTCGCGCTCAGCGAGCCAGTCCTCCCTCGCAGAGTCGTCGCTCGGCGCGTCTCCGATAGGCGGGAGGTCATCTTCGGACGAGTAGGTGCCGGTCGTCCGAAGGTAGTAGGCGAGCTCGTCCTCCGAGGAGGGTGGACCATCGGGAAGAGGGGGGTCGACAGGCGGACGCGGATGGCGAGGAGGCATGAAGTCGGAAGTCCAGAAAAGCGGGCGTGGGAAGCAGCGGCTGACGGGCTTCTCCTCGTCTTCGTTCGCGTCGATGGAGTGCTGGTCGAGCGAGACGGTCTCGTCCATCGCGACGTCGTCGGCGTCGTCCTGCTGTTCGGGCGATGCCGCAGCCGTCGTCTCGGCCGATGTGCGCTGCCCGTGATCCTGCTCCTGCACCTCACGGATCGCCGCCGTAACAGTCACGTCGCCGTCGTCGAGAGACATGTCGCTAATGCCGACGGCGACATCCGTCTGGTCCTGATCCGTCGCCGTTTCTTTTGCCTCCTTCCGCTCGATGACCGTCTCCTCCGCCTCTTCGCGTCCCTGAGTGCTTTGAGGGCGCATGGTCCGTTCCCCATCAACCTCTTCCTCCTCCTCGACGCCATGCATCGGCGACTCCTCCCTCCTCCCATCCCTCACCCCCTCCTCCCAAGTCTCAAGCACAATAGTCGAGTCCATCCCTCCCTCCCTCCCATCCCCCGTCTCCGCATTGCTTCCCAAGCTCAAGCGGATGGACGGGAGGTCCCCGAACTCGGTGGTGGTGAAGTGGAAGACCGGAGCATCGGCGGGAGGGTTCTGAGGGGAGCTGGAGGGGTGGTTGGAGGCTGACGCAGGGGCGGAGAGCGCCCATGGAGCGGGGAGAGCGGACTCGGCGGCGCGAGGGACGCCGAGGAGAGGGGCGGAACGGAGAGGCGAGAGCGAGCGGAGGGGAGATGCGTTGCCGGCTGAGCGAGGGGAGCGGGGGAGGAGGCGGTCGAAGGTTGCGAAAGTCGGCGAAGGAAGCGAACGGATCGCCGGAGGAGGCTCGGAGCCGAGACGCCAACCGCCAGCCGCGCGAGGGAGACGGAGGTTCTGAGCGGCCATCGTCGCAGTCGAGGTCGATCCCCCCTGCGGCGAGAGAGGCTTGCTCGTCGTAGCCGTCTCATCGCGGTAGACAGCGAGAGTAGAGCCGCGCCTCTTCAAGAGTGCGGTGGACGGGGCAGGTCGCAAGGGCGAGCGGCTCGCCTGCAAAGGACGAGCGGCGGAGCGAGGCGAGTCCGTCGTCAAATTCGACTTGTCGAGCAAGGCCGGCTTGCGCAATGTAATCGAAGGGACGACATCGTCGGCAGAAGTGGCGGTGGCCGAAGGCGGGACGTTGCCGCTCGAAGGGCGACGAGCCGGAATCTCGACAACGACCTCGACATCCTTCTTCGATTCCTTGCGCCGCTTCTTCTCGACGAGTGCGTTCTCAGCGTCTTGAAGAGCTTGGTCAGCTCGCCAGCGAGACTGGACGGGCTGCGGCTGAGACGAGCGAGGTTGGGCGGACGAGGCGTCGGTCTTGGCCTGCGAGAAAGCCGACGAAGCGTGTCAGTCGCGCTCGTCCAGCTTGACTCGAGTACAGTGAGAGCAACGCACCTTCTTTGCGAGCGGCCTCTTGCTCGGCTCGGCCTCCGTCTCGTCGTTGCTCTCGACATCCCCCTCCTCGACCCTCTTCGCGCTCCGCTTCTTCCCCTCCCCGCCCTTCACCAATTCGCCCTTCTCGCGTCCCCTCCTCTTCACCTGCTTTTGCGCCTCCCGACGCGCCTCGAAGTCCGACTCTTCACTGAACCGTCCCGCTTCTCGCACAGGCCTCCTCCTCTTCCCGCTCTTCTCAATCCCCTTTCCTCCGTCCTCCTCCTCTTGCGCACCTCGCCCAGACGCTATACGCGCGGCCTTCCGTCCGTAGAGCTTCTTCGGCCGAGCTGCAGAGTGCGATGACCCGCCGCGAGGGGAGGGGAGCGAGTCGTAGTCTGTTGAGTTGCCGGAGGGCATGTGAGGGCGCGGGGAGCGTGTAGGATCAGTCAAAGAGTGTATTTGAGACTGGTAAGTGAGCGTGCGCGGTCGTCCAGCGTGGGCGAGGAGAGCGAGTGATGAGGAGAAGGTCAAGAGAGGAGGCGAGAGGGGTGTGAGATGTCAAACTCGCGGTGGCAACGGGGAACAGAGCCGGGCTGCGTGCGTGGTGAGTAGCCAACGACTACACGCGTGGGAAGAATAGGAACGCGATTCCGCGACGAAGAGACGAGCAAGTCCTCCTCGTCCTCATCCAACCACAGGCAAAGCGTGATCCGCAGGCAGGACCCACACAGCGGCGTTCTCTTGCAAAAAGAAGTGTCTGTAAACCGCCCTACCTGTCCCCTCAACCCCACCTAAACTGGAACTGCTGTCCGCCTCCTCCTCCTCCTCCTCCCCCTCCCGCAAACTGCTGAAAGAACTGTCCCCCGCCATCCGCCCCAGCCGCCTGCTGGAAGAACTGCTGGAACGCAGGTCCGCCACCGCCTGATCCACCGGACTGGAAGAAGATCGGTTGGCCGCCGGAGGAGAAACCGCCTGGGAATCCGCCGCCGCCACGGCCCGAGGTTGGGTCGTTGGGGTCGTCGCCGGCGTCGAAGCGGGCGCGAAGCTCTGTGCAGCCGTGACAGTGGTCGTACAGGGGCGCCACAGCGGAAGGAGGGAAAGAAAGTAGATTGAGAAGGTCAGCTCGAGGATCTGCTGGAGAAACGAACGACACGAGCGGCGCACCTGGGTTGCTCAACACCTCGTACGCCTCGTTCAGCTGCGCCATCTTCTCCTCGCTGCCACCCTCCTTGTCCGGGTGCGCCTTGAGCGTCGCTTTCCGGCTGCGAGGCAGGCGAGTTAGTCGGAACTTGGGAGGAGAGACGGAGCAGACGTACTAGGCACGCTTGATGGTCTTGTCGTCTGCGTCGCGAGAGACGCCGAGGATCTTGTAGTAGTCCTGCGGGAGCGCAACGAGCGTGAGCGACAGTCCCAAGTCCAAGCAGCCCCTTCGTCGAGCGGTCGCGACCGAACAAGCAGCGTGAACTCGCGACGCACCTTCGACTTGCTCTGCTTGAGCAACCTCTGCGCCTTCTGCAACCTCTCCAGTATCGTCCTCTCGCTGCGTCCCGTCGCCTCAAACGCCGCACTCAAAACCCTAACCGCCGCCTCCCACTCCTCCTTCTTCATCAGGTCATCCGCCTGTCCAACCATTCCCCACGGATCTTCAGGATCTAGCTTGAGAGCGGCGGAACAGGCGGCGGAAGACTTGCGCGAGGAGATCGAGATGTAGGCGTGGCAGAGGGTGGAGTGGAGGATTCGTCGGAGGGGGGAGAAGTCGCCGAGGTTGGGGTCGTCAGCGGGGAGCGGGGTCTCGTCTACCTTCGCTGTACGGGTGATAGGCTTCCGGTACGCCTCCAACATCCCCTCGACTCGAGCCAGGACGCCCTCCTTGCTCGAGGTCCCGGCAATCTCCAACGCAGCCTCAGTCCACCTCCCGCCGTCGATCCAGTTCCGCAGCTTCGCCAGATCCTTCTCGAGCGCCTTGAGCTGCTTGAGCGGTTTCGCGCAGGTCTTCGAGTCCGGGTCAGACGAGAGACAGCGTTTGAGCGGGAGAAGTGCGTCGGGAGAGATCTCGGGTCGGGAGTGAGGCGGGTCGGTGAAGAATGCCGAGAGGAGAGCGATGCGGACGAGGAGGTGTTGCGGGAGCGTAGGGGAGAGAGCGGATGCGCGCGAGAGGTCGCCGATTGCGGAGTCAAAGTCGTGAGAGAGTAGGGCGCATTCGGCGCGCAGGAGGCGGAGGGATAGGGATTGAGGAGAGAGGTGGATGGCGGAGGACGTCGAGGCGAGACAGCGGTCGAGGTTGGGAGGAGTCGACGAGCGGGCCTTTTCGGCGGCGAGAAACTCCTTCTGCGCTGCGATGACTTGTTTCCGCTGCGAGGGGCGCGCGGGTCAGCCGACAGATTCGTGCAATCGGAAGTGCACTACGCACCAGCTCCTCTGCCTCTTTGACCTCCTTGTCTGCCGCGCCCTTCTCCTTCTTCGCCGTCTTGAGGTAGATGTCGAGTTCCCTCTTTGCGTCCGCATATTCGGCAAGCTTGGCATGGATCTTGGCGAGCTGGAGGTGCACGACATCGTACTCCCTGACCTTGAGGACATCGAGGAAACCGTCCCTGGCTTTGGCGAGTTGGCCGGTCGCGAGGCGTACAGACGCGCGTTTGTAGAGGGTCGCAAAGTCGCCCGGTTCGCGCTCGAGGCAGTGGTCGTAGATTGAGAGAGCGTCGTGCGACTTGCCCTGCGCCAGTGCGTCCTGAGCGAGTGCGAGGAGCGAGGTGAGCGGGAGGTCGGCGGCGTTGTCGGGGAGTGAGGCGCGTGCGACGGCTGCGAGAGCTAGGGCGACGAGTACGAGTGCACGCATGGCTGGCTGGGTGAGCTCGTGGGCACTCCAAGCTGTCCTATCGAGCGAGTGCGAGAACAGCGAGAGCGACTTTGAGCGAGAGAGTGTCAGCGCGCAGCCCGTTGCCGCC